TGGATCAACATGAAGGTTTTGTGGTTGAGGGAAAAGAACATATGGTGTGTAAATTAAAGAAGTCAATATACTGACTTAAACAAGCTTCCTGACAATGGTATATTAAGTTCAATGATACCATTACATCTTTTGGATTTAAGGAGAACATCATCGATCGATGTATATATCTGAAGATTAGTGGGAGTGAGTTTATAATTTTAGTTCTGTATGTTGACGATATCTTGCTTGCTACTAATGATTTTGGTTTATTACATCAAACCAAGGAGTGTCTCTCTAAGAACTTTGAAATGAAGGATTTGGGTGAGGCATCCTATGTGATTGGAATAGAAATATTTCGTGATAGATCACAAGGACTGTTGGGATTGTCTCAGAAATCATACATTAACCGGATCCTAGAGAGATACAACATGGTTGAATGCTCTGCAAATGTCGTTCCAATTCAGAAGGGAGATAAATTTAGTCTCAAACAATGTCCAAAGAATGAATTGTAACGCAAGCAAATTGAACACATTCCTTATGAATCTATTGTTGGAAGTTTGAATTATGCACAAACTTGTACCAGACCAGACATCAGTTTTGATGTCGGAATGCTGGGCAGGTATCAAAGTAATCCAGGAGTAGATCATTGGAAAGCTGCAAAGAAGGTACTAAGGTATCTGCAAGGAACAAAAGACCACATGCTCACCTTTAGGAGATCTAATCACCTTGAGGTGATTGGATATTCAGATTCAGATTATGCTGGATGTGTAGACACCAGGAAGTCTACTTTTGGCTATTTATTCCTTCTAGCCGGAGGGGCAATTTCATGGAAGAGTGCGAAGCAGTCTGTTATGGCCACATCCACTATGGAAGCTGAATTCATAGCTTGTTATGAAGCTACGAATCATGGTTTATGGCTGCAGAATTTTATTTCTAGACTTGGAATTGTCGACACTATCGCCAAGCTGCTGAAAATTTACTGTGATAATTCTGCAACGGTATTCTTCTCTAAGAATGACAAGTATTCGAAGGGTGCTAAGCATATGGAGGTGAAATACTTTGTCGTTAAGGAAGAAGTTCAGAAACAAAGGGTGTCGATCGAGCATATTAGCACACAGCTTATGATTGTTGATCCATTAACAAAAGGATTGCCTCCTAAGACATTTACTAAACATGTCGAAAGGATGGGGATTATAGGACGTCATGACTAAAGTTATTTTATGTTTCATGGATTGACACTTTGAGCTCATTTATTTTGTTTCTGGAATAAAGTTATGAATCTTGTTTTATTTATTATGGTCAGTATATATACATTATGAATTATGTGGACAACACAAGATTTTTGTCTTTAGGAAAGACATTATTGTTGGACCATTATGAATACCTTGTTATGTGTCATATTGAGCATGAAACTGGTTTTGTGTTACATGGAAGGGACTATGTCGATAAATTGATATAGAACCGCCATGATCCTAATCTAGCTTTCATACTTGATTATGACTTTATGGTGAACCAAATATTATGGATTTATCTTATGATGTGCACACTTATGTTTATTATTAGATCTTGTGATATATAATGACACATGGGCCAAGTGGGAGAATGTAAGCCAAATTCCCGTATAGATCACTAGGGAATAATTGTGGCCCAAGTGTAATTATCACTTAATGGTTTAATATACAAGGTAAGTCATATATTGGTTAGGTTAATGAAAGGTAATTTCCTAATATACCCTGATGGTGGGTCTATATAAAGAAACCCTAAGATTGGTCATCTCTCAACCCATTACGTAGAATTTTTAGCCGTCATAGAAATCTCTAAACCTAAAACCTAAAGGGGTCGAGAAGGAGAAACTCAATTCCGGTGATTACTACTCAAGCCGCCGTCGTCGCTCTCGTCATGGATCGAGGTAGGTTTCCTTGATCTATTACCGATTCATGAAATCATCTAATTCTAAGATCCATGCTATTATGATTTTTGTTTACATGGTTAGGATTTGTTCCTTATTTAAGTGCTTAGTAAGTTAATTGTGGAGATTATGAAGAATAATATTTGAGATTCGTATTAGGAGGTTGGGCTCCCTACAAGCAGCCCCTTTTCTTCTTCCCCTTCTCATCTCTTCTCCCTTTAATCCTTATTCTGCCCGTCCCTTTCTTCTTCCTCTAAATTCCAACCCCAAAACTACTCTGTAACTTCTCTTCTCTATTCTTCCTTTAATCATACTACTGCTATTGTTCTTTTCCTCCTATTCTATTTTCTTAATCACCATCATCAAGAATCATAGCTTCCAAATGAGACAAGGGGCTGTTGCCGTTACCAAGCCCCTGGCCCGGAGTTGATTGTTCCGTTACGAGAAACTACGCAAAGGAACACAACAGAAGCTGAACGGGAGAGGGAATGAGGGGATTCAGAGAGTCGGGAGACAGGAAACGGTGAAGTCGCTGAGATAGGCTTCTGCTGCGGTCGATACAGTGAATCCACTCGAACATTAATTGATGATCGGAAGCAGGGGAAGCGAGATTGTTCTTGCGGATGAAAGAGGGGTCGGAGAGGAGATCGCGGCATGATTTGCAGACGCAGCGGAATCGGGCGATGGAAGAATATAATATCATTAGTGAATTCCATACTTGCTGAGCATATAGTTTAATATTTTTTCCACTCGTGGTTAGGTATAAGGATATTTATAATTTTAGCGGCTTATCATGAATTTTACAATTTTTTCAATTAAAAGTGCTTTCTTGTATTGTTAATTCTCGAAAGAGATCTACATTGAGAAATCACAAGGGTTTGTAGTTGCTGGAGAGGAACACAAGGTATACAAACTTCAGAAGACACAGTACAGCTTGAAGCAAACACCCAGAGGAGGCCCTTTCAATGACGTATGTTGTGTTGAAGGGATCCCGAGGCGGAGGGGAAAATATGGGGTACTACTGAATTTAGTTATACTTTTGGAAAATGGGTTTGAAAGATGTGAGATGTGAATACGAACGTACCGTTTTCTTCAACGCTTCTAGAGTTGATATATTGCGGGTCACACTCTATGCTAATGATATCATGTACACAAATAGCAGTCCAATCATGTTTGAAGAGTTCAAGCAAGCAATCAATCCATGAAGTCTGAGTTCGAAATGACAATTTTTTGGAGGATGAGGTGTTGTTGCGGTAACACAAAATGAATCTGCAATTTTTATTTGTGAAGAGAAATATGTTAGAAAAGTGTTTCATAATGCAATCCAAAGGCTAGAGATGGGTTCCAAGCAAATGCTAAGATCATCTTTAGTGGTAAGTTCCAATAGTCAAAATTTTAGGGTTAGAATTCAAATTATACCTCCTCCAAAAGTGTTTTGGCATTAGTGATGGGTTTCAAAAGTCCAAAGTTCCAGAATTCTACTTTAACTCTTAATCTAGTTTATTGTAGTTTTCATCATTCTAATTAGATAATTTGTTCATTATTTTTATACAAGCATTAAAAATTAATTAAAACGAACATTTTGATATAATTTTTTCTTAATTCGAACATATTTTTTTATATTGAATATTACATCATCAATAACGGAAAATACTTGTATCCTCTGACTTCTCTGACTTTGGCGCGTGTTGTGTACCCCGCTTATATCCTTTGTTGTATTTCTTAGGATACTTGTAACCATACTGCATTGTACACCTATCTATGATATTATACACCTATCTATGACAAAAAAAAAAATTGGCCATCTGGAACCCCTCTAAAGCTGGTCTGGTCCATTTTTTATGGCTTTTTGAATATGCACTAAAGCTGGTCTAATGAGTACAAGGCATCAATTTAGGGCTGCAAATGAGCCGAGCTGCTCGCGAGCGGCTCGGCGTTCGACTCGAGAAAAGCTTGTTCGAAACTCGACTCGTTAATAAACGAGCCGAACACGAGTTCACCTTTGTTCAGCTCGTGAAGCTCGCGAGCTAGCTCAACTCGGTGGCTTGTTGAGCTAAACTCGTGAGCTGGCTCGTTTAGAGCTCATGATATGTCTTAACATGTGCTAGAGAGCCAACTCGATTACCAATTTATGGATGAATCAATCTATATCTTATGATTTTAATTCATATAGTTGTTAAATTATATATATATATATATATATATATATATATATATATAAAGTTTAACACGTTGAGTATGTGAGCAAATATATCTTATTTTCTACTTTAAAAAGAAATTATGCATCATAGATTGCTTCGATATTATGAAATAACATGATTTGGAGTAGTTAAAATTTATTAACTAAATGAATATGATACCAACAAACTATAATATGATATTAGCTAACAAAATAAATCATATGTATCATGATATACAAAATGAAGTACCAAATAAAATTTAAGATTTTAATAAACAAGCTAGCTCGAGCTCGAGCTCGACTCGGCTCGGCTCGTTAATAAACAAGCTGAGCTCGAGCTCGACACGTTTATTAACGAGCCGAACTCAAACTGTGATAAAACTCGACTCGGCTCATTTGCAGCTCTAGGCACCATAGTCTTTCATCCAAGGGAATTTTAAGATATACGAAAGGAACAATCAGACATAGGATTTAGTATAGATAGTTTAATGAAATAGACTCATTGTTGGGGGTACACATATCATTATCATGTAGGAGATACAGATTACAGGAAGACTACTAGTGACTATGTCTTCTTTCTTGCAAGTGCATGGGGTCATTTCATGGTCTTCAAAGAAACCCGCTAGTAGTAACTTTATCAACTATAGAAGTATAAATTTTGATTGGTTCCTGCTGTAAAACACAATATGTTGATAATCTATAGATTTAAACTCATATTCTCCAAACGAGCCCAGAGTGTAACATTTGCATATTTGTGGGTTTGAATCCTACTAATAATTATTTTATATGTTTGGTGGATGCTTCAGAATTGAGAAAATTCATGAACCCTAATGTTGCATTAGTTCTTTAGATGGCAACAAAACCTGAGAAACTGATGACACAGACACAAAAGGGCAAGTGCATGATAATGACGGAGGAAGCACACGTAATTATTATTCAGATAATAATTCATTCAATCACGAATCAGGAATACGAAATATCATCAAATATAATATCCTAAGAAATTGCTAAAAAAAAAAATAACTAATTGTGGAGAGAAACTTGAGAGGGCACATAATTAGTCACGACTTCGAATCGGGTTCCTTGAATTCCAGCAACCTTGCTGAACTTTCCCGTCTCGAGCTCAAACGTAACGAGACTGTAATCTCCGTCGTAATACCGCTTCTCGTTCATCAAATCACTAGCAAACGCCGCAAAGAAGAACCTCAAATTCCTCGAAATCCCCGCGCAATACTCTATCGTCATACTCGCGGGACTCGTCACGACGTACAATTTCGTCCACGACTCCGGCACCCAGTACTCCAACATCACCCAAATCTCCCACGACGAGCTCCGCCTCTCCCTCCTCCCTTCAAACTCATCGTCGTCCTCGTCGCTATCCTCGTAGCCGTTGTAATCGGGGAAAACCGCCACCATCGATTCCTCATTCAACAGACACGCAGGAGTGCTGTACTCCTTCTCGGAATTGGGACAGGGCACCTCCACTTTCCCAAACGCTTCCCTGCTGCCGACGTCGAACGAATCGAACACCAGAGTCCTCTCCCCGCTCAATCTCCACCAGTACAGCTTCCCCATTCGGCACTGCGGGATGTTCCCGGAGCTCAGCGACGGGAAATCGTCCAGTTTCGTCCACGTATCGTTCCGCAGGCTGTAGATCTCGAGGAAATAGAGGGATCGGAAGCAGCAGGACTCGATGTAGAGCGGCCTGACGATTTTGTAGTCGCTCGATTCCGGATCGAAACCGAACCCGGTCGCGCCGGACGAACAATCGGACCGGCGCTCGAAAGGGGAAGGCGGGACGATCTTGGTCTCGGAGGTCGCCGGGTTCCAGACGATCGGATCGTCCTGCTTCCCGTCCCACTGGATTAGGCAGAGCAGGCCGTTGCAGCATCCGGCGAATCTCACGTCCGGGCGGCGCGGCTTGGCCGGATCGAAGGGCAGCTGGATCCGCTCCGGTGTGTCGGAGGGATGCCAGCTGTGAAACCGGACGGATCTGTTTTCGGTGCGCTCGATCCATTCGAAGAGGAATTGATGGTTTGGGGGAGAAGCAGAGGACGATAGGGTTTTCGCGATGAAGGAGGGATTGGAGAGGAAGTCGCACCATGATTTGCTGAGGCAGCGGAATCGGACGGTGCAGGGAGAGAGGGGAAGGCGGAACAGGATGTCGGTGATCAGGGCGTCGGGGATTTGGTGGCCGGGGGATTGAGAGGGCATGGCGGTCGCCGGCGGGAGTTCCATTTGGGGTTTTTGAGTTTAGGGTTTTTTGTTTTCTGTATAGGGATTAGGGAAATGGTAATTACGAGAAACGGGGCGATCGCATCAAAACCCTAGCCCTAATGTTGTTTTTTATATGGAAAAGGTCAGTAGGAATCATGGAGGAGTAACTTATTAGTGATTACTGATAATTATGATATAATAGTTGGCTAAAATGTTTTTTTTTTAATCTGTTTCGCTCGTTTGGGATTGTCTTTTGGGATGTGGGATACTACCGAATACAATATTGAATTTGTAGATTGGTAGTATAGAATATATGTATTATTTTATAAGATAGAGATTGAATTTAAAGTGTGATTTGGTATTAGAGATTACTGATTACTCATAATTATGATATAATAGTTGGCTAAAATGTTTTTTTGGTATCTATTTAGTTCGTTTGGGATTGTTTTTTGAGATGTGGGTTAATAACGAATACAATGTTGAATTTGTCGATTGGTAGTATAGAACACATGTATTATTTTATGAGATAGAGATTGAATTTAAAGTGTTATTTGGTATTAGAGATTACGATAGTGAGATAGGTATATACTGAAATATTATTTAGTGAATATTTTATCCGTCCCAACCAAGCTCCCTCCTCATTGAGACATTGACTGCTTCCAAACCCTCGGCCTTCAAAATGACCACTCAATTATACACAACTATTCTCTCACTTTGATACTTGCAGGTAGGACTACAAATGAGCCAAGCCGCTCGCGAGCAACTCGGTGTTCGAATCGGAAAAACCTAGATCGACACTCGGCTCATTATTTAACAAGCCGGCTCGCGAACCGACTCGTTCGAAAACGAGCCAAGCTTGATCTAGACCATGTTCAGCTTGATAAGTTCGTGAGCTAGATTGAATCGATGGCTTGTGAGCTAAGCTTGCGAGCTGGCTTGTTTAGAGCTTGTGGAAGAATTAATTACTCTTCTGAACATGAACATTATCTTGTTAATATGACTGTGTATGAAAGTTAGCTGTTATTTATAGCTTCTGGTGTTCTTTTTATCATTTAAACTCTTATGCGAACACATTTTTTAGAAAGAATGATTCCAAATTGAGCTCATCTTGAGCCGAGTTTGTAATCAGCTTGACAAGCTGTATTAATGAGCATTTACTGAGTTATAGCGAATCGAGCTCGAGCTGGATTATTTATAATCTAGTCGAGCTCAACCTCGAGCTGGATTATCAAAATTCAACTCGAACTGAAAATTTTATAAACGAGTCGAGCTCAAGCTAACACTACAAGAAAATTAGGTTTAGGAGACATAGATTATTTGAGTCCAAAGGTCACTTATTTGCTTCTATATGTCTTTGGACGCAAATACTTTATTTGAATCATTTGCCTCTGTCTCGGATTTCTTTTGGAGACAAATATAGATGCAAATACTATTTACCTCTAATAATGGATTTCGAAACAAATATTTTTGTTTTCGAGTCATCTGTTTTTGCTTCAAAATAACTCTAAAGAGATATAAATATTAGACTCCAATAGATATATTTAGAGATAAATAATTTTATATGAATTTCTACTTTTAAAGACAAATAATCTCCAATCATAATTATCTCCAAATAGTAAATACTTGGCACCCACTATTCATTATTCATATTGGTCATAAATAAGAGGCATACGAATATTTTAATTATATTAATCAAATGAATAAATTGATCACATTATTCGTAAAATGAATTATACATTGAAAGTTGAATACATTGAAGCAACATTTCCTTGAAAAAACACTAATGATAGGAAAAACCCTCTATATTTTTTTCTCACAGTCTTGGCGTAACGGATGGCAGTACATCTTCGCCATTATTATCTATACGGGGAGAATGCTTTCATCCGGGAACGCCAAATTGTGGATAATGTTTTAACTGTGCACAAGGTGATGCATTACTTAAAAAAGGTAAGAAAGGCTTTATGGTTTTGAAGGTTGATATGGAAAAGACCTATGGTAGAGTCGAGTGGTCGTTCTTACTGGATGTTTTGAAAAAATTGGGGTTTGCTTCTGAGTGGATAGACTGGATCCGGGAGTGTATTTCGACGACTTCTTTCTCAGTGATGATGAACGGTAAACCGTCGGGGTATTTTAGACCGTCATAGGGGTTAAGACAGGGGGACCCTTTATCTCCTTTGCTCTTTGCTCTCTGTACGGAGGGGTTTGTTGCTATCATTCAGAAGGAAATAACAGCTGCAAGGAATTAAGGTGGCTCCGCGATGCCCAGAGGTGTCACGTCTGTTTTTTTGCAGACGATTCTTATTTGTTCTTGCGTGGAACTTTGGGAGAATGTGATAATATACTTTGGGCCCTGAAGGAATATGAGTTGCTTAGTGGTCAATGTGTCAATCTAGATAAATCCGCGGTTTGTTTTAGTAAGAACTTAGATCAGGCGGATTGTTTGGCTATGGGTGAATGCCTCGGTATTGGTGCAATTAGGGTTAAGGACAAGTACCTGGGTTTGCCCACTCTCTTAGCTCGCTCTAAGATGGACACGTTATGCTTCCTGGAGGAAAAATTATAGGAAAAGTTAATGGGATGGAAACAACATCATCTTTCTTGGGCGGCTAAGGAAACATTGCTAAAGTCGGTAGCTTCGGCGCTCCCTGTGCATGTTATGGCTTGCTTCTCATTACCACGTTCATTATGTCAAAAACTTGATATGTACATGGCCAGGTTTTGGTGGGGTAATGGTGGAAGATGGGCATCATGGAGATCGCTCTGTAGGAGTAAGGATGATGGGGGTTTAGGCTTTCGCCGGTTTGAGAAGTTTAATCACACCCTCCTTGCCAAGGTTGGCTGGCGTATTTTGGAGGAGTCTGATTCGTTGTTAGCCCGGATATATAAAGGAAAATATTTTCCTCATGAGTCATTTTTGCATGCTAGGTTGTGATCGCGTTCATCGTAGGGTTGCTATAGGTTGCTTCATGGGAGATCAATGTTGGTTGCGGGGTTGGGTTGGCAGGTGGGGTATGGTGAGAGCATTGTGGCTTTGTCTGAGAGCTGGGTGCCTAAACTTCGTCCTAACCCACTACTCCTCGAGCGGATTCATTCCTTATTTGGGGGGGGGGGGGAGAATGGCTGATTTTATTGATCAGGATCGGAAGTGGAGTGGCGATTGCCTGGGGAGTAGCTTTTCTCCGGAGAGTGCTCAGGCTATTTTGGCTATACCATCGCCTCTATTGGGAATTCAGGATCGACGATTGTGGAGTGAGGATTTGACGGGTATGTATTCTGTCAAGATGGGATATCACCTGGCGATGAGGTTATACAGGGCAAGCTCGAAGTGTAAGGAGGAGGCTTCTATTCAAGATGCTAAATTGTGGAGAATGATTTGGAATTTCCAGATACCTCCTAAGTTAAAGTTTTTTGTGTGGCAACTCCTTCAGCGTATGCTACCTTTAACGAAGGTGTTAAGAGTTAAAGGTGTCAAATGCCTAGCTCGGTGTACTGTGTGTTGGGCTGAATCGGAAACTTTTGAGCATCTATTTTAAGAGTGTTCGGTTGCAGTGGCATTATGGGAGCACTCGGGTCTCCGACTGAGTACTGTAGGATTGGATAGGAGAACTCTTGGGATTCTCTTCCGGCGGTGGATGGAGCGTGATTCTTCTCCTGTACGTGTAATGCGGGTGGTCGCCTTGTTTTGGAGGATCTGGAAGTCAAGAAATTGGGTAGTTCATGAGGAGAAGCAGGTCATGATTGATCACTTTTGTCGTCAATATTCTGCTCAGGTTAATGAATGGTTAGTGTTGTCGGCGAGGGAGCTCCCTACTGTGGGTGTAAATGGTGGTACGGCAGGTAGGGGAGATCGGCGACATGGTGGGTTGGCGGATCGGCATCGGTGGGTATGTGTTGTGGATAAAGCGATTGCTGCTGGTTCCCATGCAGCGGTGGGATTGGTGTTATTTGATGCTGCAGGGAGAGTGGTGAGGACGACTGGGCATCATTATTCGGGAATCCATGAGCTTTTTTGGCTGAGCTGTTGGCGATACGGGATGCGTGTCACTGGTGTTTCCAGGTGGGCTTCTAGGATGTGTTGATTCAAGAAGATGCTAAAGTTGTGATTGAGAAGATACATGGTGCTGAAACAAGGGATCAGCGGGGTGGTGTTATACTTCAGGAAGTGGGGGAGTTGGCTAAGGCGCGTCCGGATCTGAAGTTTTGCTTTGTAGGTAGGGATCGCAATAGAGTAGCCCATTTGGTGGCTAAGAAGACTTCCATCTGGTTGATCTTGGTAATACCATGAGCTTATGACAAAAAAAAATATTTTTATAATAATAAAATTAAAATAGCCAATTGCAAATTAATTGCATTGATGTGAGTGTCATGAAAGTAATATGAATGGGATTGCAAAAGAAAAAATGAGGTGGATATAAAGAGCACAAATGCAATTGGATATACAGTTACATTGATGTGGATGTTCTTAGTTGTTAGAGCATTCACATTAGTCTTGCATTTTCAATTGTAAGATGACATGATATAGGTGTTTGAAATTTCAAAACCAACTTCATTAATGTTGCTACCAATTGCATATTTGCAAGCTTGCAACATATTCAATTTGAAAAATATTTGCAAGCTTGCAAGCGTTGATTGGGTGGCCAGAGAATCAGCGAGAGGGACTCTTCCTACTCAATGGATCCATATTCTTGATTTAATCTCACCTCTCTTCTGTAATAGGCTCAGCTTGTACCAACGTCGATTATGAATGAAATGCATCTTATTGTAAAAAAAAATTGCATATGAAAGTAAAAAAAAAAGCATAAAAAAGGAGAATTCTTTATTTTATATTATTCTATTTTCTCTTTTACTTACTTTTTATAATTTAAAAATAGTATTTAACTACATATACAATTGCCAGTGAATTGTATTGATGTACGTGAATAGACATTAATACGAGTTTGATTGTATAAGTATTGAAGTGGCAATAGAAATCTCATATGCAATTGAACTTCCATTTCATTAATGTTTATGCTCTTTTTTGGCTATACAAAATATGATTTAGTGCCCACGTGGTAGGGGTGTCGAGTTGTCGCTGACTTCTGCGGTAATTCTAACACCGTTTAAATTTTAAACGAAAATGACTAAATTTGTCAAGTATCATCTAAAACATTACTATTTTGTGTATTTATTAAAAATGGCTAATATTCTCATAAAGTCTATAGTTATGGTTATGAATTTTCGTTAAACACTTGCCGCCGGCGGGAAAGTATAATTACCGAGCAAGAAAAAAAAATGAACGAACTAAAAAAGAAACCAAATTTCCTTGTGGGAAGAGGAAATCAGTAGACATACCTTTTCCGATAAGTAAAAGGATTACTAACCTTAGTCGGCTAAGGATAATTCCTCCTCTCTTCTTCACACTGCTACTTATATATATACACACCTGACACCACCGCCAGTTAACTAAGCTCCACCCACAGTCTCCAAAGTTCCCGCATCCGAAAGCGAAAAGAAAAGCAAGGAAGGAAAGCAAGCAAGCAGCGGATCGAGATCACCATCGCCATGGGGAAGCGCAAGTCATCTTCGAGCAAGAAGCTGCTCGCGAAGAAGCCCAAGCACGCCCAGAAGCTGGAGAAAGTCTTCAACTGCCCTTTCTGCGGCTACGTCGACTGCGTGGACTGTCATCTCGACAACGAAATCTGGATAGCCACGCTGCGCTGCAATCGCTGCGGCGAGTCCTACACCACCAGGATGAATCGTCTCACCGAGCCCATCGACGTCTTCGCCGAGTGGATCGACGAGTGCCAGCTCGTCAACCCCGACGACCCAGCAGCAGTAACCGGCGCAAACAACCACCACCGCGGCGGCCGCGATTCGTCTGTCTATACTTCTCGGCCGACCAAGATTGCAACGCACCAGCCGCCGCGGCGCTCGTGCCAAGTAGTTTAGGCCTCTTCCTTATTGTCGTCTGTAAAAACTAAAAAGCCCTAATGAATGAAGAATGATTCAATTCTTGTTTGTTTCAAGCTCTCTCTCTCGTATTCGGTAATTAGTTAATCTAAAAGGGGAAGAATCAAAGAAACGAACATAGGAAGTTTTCCAGATGATCACGAGATTCAGTTTATTCATTCAAAGGGAAAGGTCATAGTTTGTAACACAGAATTCGAAATATAAGAAGCTATTTACTGCTGTTTGACAAGATGAATGGGGGATTGTACTTTTTACCACTGCAAAAACTTACAAAGCACCGATAGACAGAAGAGAACTAACGCAAAAATTATACGAGGGTAAGTTCTGAATGGAGAAGGGAATGTGTGCTCAGTTATGTACAAACTGCTATTCAGTTGTCTCCCTGCCTAAGCACGCGCAGGATGGTGAGGAACAGATTGAGGATGTCGAGGTAGAGAGCGACAGAGGCCAGGATGTACTGATCGTAAGTGTATCGCTTGATCAAGTTGTCGGTGTCGTAGACTATGTATCCCGAGAACACCAGAGCGCTGATCCCGCCGATGACTGCAGTCGAGGTCGAACCAAGTGGGCAGAACACCTGGCGGCAGAATCACACCAACATACAAAAATGGTAAGGCAGATGAAACCCGAGATCGAGATCAGAAATCAACAACGAGAGAGGACAACGACGGACCTGGATGAAGCTTGTGAGCACGAGGATCATGAGGCTGGTGAACAAAATGGGTCCCATGAAGCTGAAGTCCATGCCTCTCTTGGCGGCCCAGAAGGTGTATGCAGTCAGAGAGCAGACTACGGCCGAGGTCAGGATCAATGCTTCCAGCACGATTTTCCCTGTTTAAGAACAAACCCCAAAATGCAATCAGGCTCCATTTTAGAAGGGCTGAATCGCCACAGAGTCGATAGAAGAAGCTCACCATCTGTGTTAGCACAGCTTGCGCCAACCAGGAAACTCAGAGAAACGGTGAAGAGGCCGAGCACGATCAGGTTGACAGGGTGCTTCTGGTGGTATACGTGAAGAGGCCACAACACTGCAATGAGACAGCCATCATGTAAATTGAAGAACAATAGCTATGAGAACCTAGAATGGACGCAAATGTATTGATCGGAAACTCAAATTGACAAAGAACACAACATCTCCAGCAGCCATAGATCAGGGGACCAAATTGCTTATATTCTCAATAATCATCAGGAAAAAAAAATACAATTTCTACCAAAAATCGCGTTATGCAAATGCTATTTCAATTCCCAACAACTACCAGAAAAACCCTAATTGATCATTTTCTTTATCATATCATACGATTCATATCCACATCTGAAAGCAATCAATCCGTGTTTTTAACCTCAAATTGCAATCAGATTCGTAAAATTATACACCAATTATAACCTGAACCCTAAACATTGACGGATTCAGGGGGGAGAAAGGGGGCAGATGGAGAGAGAACGACGTACGGATGAAGGGGACGACGCAGAGGAACAAGAGGAGACCGGGACTTCCCCTGAGGAGCTCGTTGACAGGAGCATAGAGGACGGTGACGGAGGAGACGATTGTGGTGATGACGAGCTGAGCGGCGAGGATGCCGTAAACCTTCTGGATCAAACCCCATCGGAGCTGGTTCTCGCCGAGACCTAGCCCTGGATACAGAGTCTCGCCGTTGCCGGCCTCGAGATCGGGCTCTTTCCCTAGATCCTTGCTCGGAATCGTCGAGAATCCGTACATCTTCGATCTCTCCTTCTTAGGCTGTAACTCTCTGTTTCTCTCCGCAGATTTTGATAATTTTTCTCTCGTTTTCTGAGGAGACAAACAGGGGATTACAGATCCTGAAGCTGTGAAAGGAAAATTTATAGGTGGGCGGACGTTGACGAGCCGGGTCTATTTTGCCGCCACGGTTGGGGAAGCCCATGGGTCATATACTCATTTTTATTATTTGGATGGTGGGCCGGTTCTGTCAGGGTCATTATTTAATCGAAAATAAAAGATATATTCGATCAAGAAAATAAAAGATATACGTAGGGAAGAAATTCGTACGGTATTGGTATTGCAGTACCAATCTCGATTCCAAAATATTTTGATAAATTATCAGGGATTTTCGAATATCAAATCGATTATCTTCATAAATAAATGTATACATAAATAAATATATAATCAATCGAACACCTCTAATCACAAACATTTTTTATATAGTGTAGGCTTATAAATTTAATTCCATGATTGAAAATTTTGGCGATACATAAATAAATAATGGTTCGAACACCTTTAATCACAAACATTTTTATATGGTGTAGGCTTGTAAGTTTAGTTTCATGATTGAAAACTTTGGAGATGGCAAGTTGAGGTGTGAAACTCTAATAAAAACTAATCAAAGTCACCGGTGATGGATTCAATCAAAATCTCAATTGAATGGATTCATCACGGGTGTCCACTTGGGGTTACGAGACTGAGTAAAGAGTTTTAAATTTGCATAAATCTTAGACAGGGATAAAATGAAGGGATGAGATGGTGAAATCTCAACTTCATTCCGTTGATAATCTTTGATGTGATGGAGTGGACTTCGAGAAACGAATAATGAGAGTGTCTGTTTATTTGTGTTCTAAAAATAACATTAGATTGATCGAGAGATGAGAGTAACCTACGGAATATTGGAAACTAAGCTTGGATTGGATAGGATAGGGGATTGCAATTGTCAAAATGCGAGAAATTACTAGAAGTTGTGGTTATATTTTATTAATTATAAATCTTTGATATTTTTAGATATTTTTGTGTATATATTGATCTCAATCTCATATTCTTGAATATCTAATAACATCCTAAAATTAATCTCAATACCTAAAAAATAACCTGTATCTGATAATACTAAAAATAGTGATAAATTCGGTACAATATTCGTCATATTCTAAATACTGGTATAAAACTTCCAATTCAAGATACAAGGGTGGTTTGGTATTTGCGTTTGTGCAAATTTATGTATTTTACGGATGCATGCATTATAAATCTGTGTATTCTTTAAATTGGTGCAATTACAATGTTTATTGTTGTGACTGTAGTTTTGTAAATTAAAGAAATAGAGTAACATTTTTTTTAGAACATTCATATTTACTCATTTCTTGAGTGTGAGAGAGTTGCGAAAATGTAGAGTTTGAGGTACCACGAATTTTCTCGATTTCAAACCGTGATCACTAGGGATAGCAATAATGTGGGTTGAAGTTGTTTTTGCTAGATTCATAGTTATTTTCAATTCGTAAATCAATGCTTGTATAGGCAAAAGTTTTTCATCCTCATCCTCATTCTCACGATTCTCCGATATTCGTGGATAATTCACTCCCACATAATTCCAAACTATATCAGTTAAGTTGAAGACACGTTTTATGAGTATCAAGATGATGCGAAACACATATCTACTATTTTTTCGGACTGCTCTATACCATTTACCAGACCAATACTCAAATTCCTTTCATTAACTGGATCGAACGGATTGAATACCCACACGATTGTGGATACAATTACCATACCTAGTCAATCACTACAATTGTGTGGCTACTCCACTTATGGAGAGTCTTCCACAAGAATGAATTCAAAATCTTAATCTAATCTCAATGTACTTGTTTAAACTTCACTATTGTAGTCCAATAGTTGATCAATGAAAGAATGGATGGTCTTCCCTTTCAAACGAACTTCTTGTTATGGGTCATTGCCTTGTGGCAGGTGTCGCAAGATTCGATCCAGTCGTGGTACAAATGTCGATCTAGTCGCAGCAGTTGAATTATATTATGAATAACATATTCAAATTTTGTGAGACAATTATCAAACAAAAAACAGGGTATTTGTGACATGTCCCTGTGTGATTAGCGATTGTCGTAGGTTAACGTGGGAGCGCTCTCTCTCATCCCCCAAATCATATTCATATATATAGACTTGGGAACTGCAGCGGCGACAGTACGGTTCTGTTCAGTCGAGGAAGACGGAGGAACAGCGAGGTAGCAAATAGAGGCAGAGAAGCCGAAGAGCCACCCGTATTCTTCTGTTTCTCTTCCCTTCTCCGCCAACTCTCTGCGGCTGGAGATTGGCAAAGTTTCAATTGAATCCGCTCTCGCGTCAGAATCAATCTTTTCCCGCCAAAAAAAAAAAACTGCAAATTCTGCTATCGCAAGTTCGCAACTCGAAAGTTCGCATCTTTGAGTCCTCGATTGCATCTCTTCTCTTGGGCAATCGTCTTTCTGCTCTCTCGTCCTACGGATCATGGGTTTCGGTTCGAGTTCCAATCTCTTCACCAATGCGGCAAGGTACTTTCAATTCAGAACCACAAAACCTAACTTTCGATTGATGCACCACAATTGAACGGATTTGGGTATGCGATTCGATTGATGCACCACTCGTGCTTTTGGAGTTTTCTTATCCTGTTTGGGCGATTAGCTGAAGTTGCATGCTGGATTTCGTGAATGCAGCAAAGAGGGTGATCCTGATCCTGATCCTGATGGAGAATGGTTTGGTGGCAACGTGAATGTGAAACCTTACTCGGTAGGGAAAGTCGGCGTGATGAACAACACTGCTGTTGATGGAGATGGTGTAGGGTTTGAGCCCTATATAGGGTTAGAATTCGATTCACCAGACGATGCACGGGAGTTCTACAACAAGTATGCTATGCATGTCGGGTTTCGAACCAGAATAGGGCAGCTATATCGCTCGAGAACAGATGGCTCGGTTGCCTCTAGGAGGTATGTGTGCCAGAGGGAAGGGTTTCAGCTGAATTCAAGGACTGGTTGTCCAGCATTCATAAGGGTGCAGAAGCATGGTGATTCAGGGAAATGGGTGATCGACCAAATGGAGAAGAATCACAACCATGAATTCCTAGGTGGTGGGGATGAATCCTGCTCTCCGATCTTGCAAGGCAGGATCTCGGTTTCAGTGAAGCCATCATCTGTGTTGTCCCCGAGGCCTAAGAAACCCAAAGTGAAATTGCTGAAGGAGATTGATGGCGGAGGTATCAATGCGAAGCGCTTTAGAAGCGGGTCTTATGAGGGTGAACCGTATTCAGGGCTGGTGTTTAATTCAGCTGATGAAGCATATCACTTCTATCATGCCTATGCTGAGAAGGCCGGGTTTAGAGTCCGGATTGGCCAGCTGTTTCGGTCAAAGAACGATGGATCGATTACCTCCCGTAGATTTGTGTGCTCTAAGGAAGGGTTTCAGCATCCATCTAGACTCGGTTGTGGAGCATTTATGAGGATCAAGAGACAAGATTTTGGAACTTGGATAGTGGACCGTCTTGAAAAGAATCATAATCATGAAACTGGGCTAGAACCTGTTACTCCAAAGAGATCAATGGATGAGGTGGTTGATGAGTTTGTTTCCCCAGCTCCTGCAACGACTCTACACTGTGGGCAAGCCACAATAAAACGAGAAAATGAGATTGGAAGTGAGTGGTACTCTTTGCTTCTTGATTATTTCCAGACTAGGCAAGCACAAGATACCGGCTTCTTCTACAGCTTAGAAGTCGACAGTAACGGCAGTTGCAAGAGCATTTTCTGGGCCGACGGAAGGTCTCGATTCTCGTGCAGCCAATTTGGTGATGCAATCATCTTAGATACTTCATACAGGAAGAAGAAGAAGACCCGTTCTGTGGTGCCTTTCGCCATGTTTCTTGGAGTCAACCACCACAGGCAGCCTGTGATTCTTGGCTGTGCCCTGATTGCAGACGAGTCATCAAAGGAGACATTCACCTGGCTGTTCAACACATGGCTTAATGCCATGTTTGGCCGGTCTCCCAGATCTATCATTGCAGATCAAGACCCTGCAATCCAACAAGCAGTGGCCCAAGTCTTTCCCTCCACACGTCACCGCTTCTCCTTGTGGCAGCTCGAGGCAAGGGAGCAAGAAAAGTTAAGGTCGATGTCTGATGAGTTTAGATACGGATATGATGAGTGCATTTCCCAGAGCCAAACACCTGCTGAATTCACAACCATGTGGACTGCTCTCGTCAACTGCCATGGTTTGGGAGACAATGTCTGGCTTCAGGAAATGTATGAAAAGCGGGAATCTTGGGTTCCGTTGTACTTGCGTGGATCATTCTTCGCTGGCATTAGCCTGACATCTTCATTCTCTCTTTCAACTTCAATCACGGAAAGCGAAGTGGATGAGTTCATTTCAAGATACGAGCAAGTCGTTGAACATCAGAGAAAAGAGGAAATGAAGGAGGACTTCAAGTGCAGCAATCTGCAAGCTGTTCTTAAGACGAAAGATCCGGTGGAAGACCAGTGCAGGCAGCTGTACACTCTGGCAGTGTTCAAGATATTTCAGGAGGAGATGTTGCAGTGCTACAATTACTTTGCGATCAAGACGTTCGAGGAGAGGACAGTGAGCAGATTCTCACTGCAGAGATGTGGGGACGAGAGCGAGAAACACACCATTCGACTCGATAGGTTGAACCTGGACATTGACTGCAGCTGCAGGATGTTTGAGTTCGAAGGGGTGCTGTGTCGCCATGCCTTGCGAGTTTTTAACCTGCTGGGAATTAGGGAGCTTCCCTCTCGGTATATATTGCACCGTTGGACGAAGAATGCCGAGTATGGCACTCCTCGTGATGTGGAGTCCTTATCGGAGAAGGAAGAGCTCAAGGCATTAATGACTTGGAGTCTGAGAGAAGCAGCGAGTAGTTATGTGGAAGCTAGCTCTGGGTCTCTTGATCAGTACAGGGCTTCTTATGAGGTTATGCATGAGGCAGGTAGGAAGAAACTCCCTTAGCAGTTAGCAAATAGCAAGGGTAAGGGGTACTTGAGCTGGAAACCGAACCTCTTTTTTTGTGGTTTAGTTTTGTTTTTCTGGTCTGCAGATCGCTTGCAGTGTACGGAACATAAAGCAAGTTAGTAGTTTATGTGCATATGAATCAGCTTTCAACATCATCTCACTTAGGTTTGCTCCTCCTGAGCAGTGTCATTTTTTCTTTTGTTTTCTCCTTCCCAAATGCCGGATGGGGAGACAAAGTTGATACCAAAGTGCTATAGTTCATGTTAGTAGTTTGTGTAACATGTGGATATTGGTAGGTGTAGAAGCAATTCCGTTTAAATCCATATGCTTACGAATGAAGTCAAACGATGAATTGCTGTTAATAATGACGATAATCTGCAACGCCTACAGTTTATTCCTCTTGAATTGCAGACAGTGCTGCTGAGTTTTTCAACAACGCCTAACATTTGAAAAAAGCAGTTAAATCTGGTTTGAACTCTAGAGGACCATGACCCGTTTCAAACAACGTAAGTACCATTACACTCAATAAAATTGCCAACAAGTGGAAACGGGAATTGAAAGCCAAACAGGGCAGCTCTTTTCCCATCAGTTCTACAGGTGGCAATCAATAACGCAAGTACCATTCCAATCTGTATTTGATTCTTAACCAAGTTTCAACTTTTATTTTGTTTAACAAAAAGTGGATTGTTCTTCGGAAGTTTACACCACAAAGAAGGGTTTATAACTATACCTCTAAGGGAGTAACCTACCTTCACCATACAGTTCAACACAAGCAACGAATCATCTACTCTATCGTTCTGCAGCAAACATCGCACCACTCTCTCGAAGATACTCTGCTTCGGTTTCAGGTTGTTCTTCAGCATAACAAACAGCCATTCCATGGCTTTTGTCTCATACCCTTTTTCCTTGCACAACCCAGCTATGAAATGATGATAAGTCCAAGCGCTAGGTTGTAGTCCCTTGTTCTGCATCTCGTTCCACAAGATTATACCTTCTTGAACATCTCCAGATAGACATAGCTTCTCAATGACAGGACCATAGGTCGAAGCTGATGGATGCAGACCAAGTGCCAGCAGTTCTTCTATTAACTTCCTGCTCTCATCTGTCCTCCCTTCTTTGCAAAGACCGAGAATTAGAGTGTTGAACGAGATCAGATCTCGAACCATCCCCTTTTCCGGCATGCTCTTGAATAATTCGAGAGCTTCATCAATCTTTCCATTCCTGGACAACCCCGTAATCATGGTGTTATAAGCAACAGTGGTTTCTCCACAGTTTCTTCTATCAATCATCTCTTTGTACAACTCCTTAGCTCCTTCGACATTTCCTGACTTAAAATAGCCATGGATCAATGCATTATATGTGTAGTGATTTGGAACAATCCGCTTCCTGATCATTTCTAACCAAAGCTCCTTAGCATAACTAACATGTTTCGAATCGAAGAGACCGTGAATTATAGTTGTGTACATAACCCTATCGACTGCATACCCTCTATCTTTAAGATTGTTGAAAACCTTCAAGGCCTCAAGTGACATACCGTTCTTACAGAGCCCATTGATGACTTCCTGATAAGTATGAACATCCGGTCTCATTTTCCTTGCAATCATGGTGTGAAGAAGTTCAGAGACCACATCATTTTCCCCTCTCTTGGCAAACGCGGATATCAACTTAATGAAAGGTGCATTCTGCAAGGGTAAGCCATCTTTCAAGAGTTGTTTCAGGAGTTCATATCCTTTCCCCGCTTCCCCACCCTTGGCAAAAGCATCAATAAGACAAAAGACCGTGTCGGTATCAATGTCAGCAACAACACCTGTTTCTATCATAACTTGATACATTTTCCATAAAAGATCAGTCTTCCCAAGCTTCAAGCAACACTGTAAGACCGAATTCCACGTCTTGATGGATGGTGATAATTTCCCGGTCACTCTAAGCTTTGTGAGGACATCGATTGCTTCGTGAATCAATCCATGTTCACAAAGACAATGGATGTATTGCTGCAGTGAATCGAAATCAGGAGCGAAACCAGGGAGCTCAAGCAAGAAGTTTGCAGCCTTGACAGCATTTGCATCCAAAAGGGAATTCAGCAACGCGTTGCAGCAATCTTGATTAGGGATGAAATCGAGCTCCGAGCGCAGCCAGTGGAAGACCTTGAACAAAAGGAATGCATTGGTTTGGTGCTTGAGAAGCTCTTGAAAGAATTGGGAGTCCGCGAAATTGAATGAAGGGAAATCGGAGCGGAGAGTCTGTTCCCATCTGGGTTTCGTCCTAATAAGGTTAGAAACCTCCTTAGCTATTTCCCCCAAATCTGGGTTTCCACTATCCCGCCGAAAGTCCAGATTTTCATTACCAGCTGAATCATTGCTACTGGATTCACTCTCTTTGCATTCAACCGTCAACCCTGGGTTTCCACCATCCCGCCTAAAGTTCAGATTTTTATTACCAGCTGAAGAACCATTGCTACTGGATTCACTCTCGCTGCATTCTACTGTCAACCTTCTCGCCTGGGTTTGAGTCTCACCGCGAAACTGGCGGAGGAATGTTGCAATTGAAGCGGAAGCTCTCGCCATTATAAAGAATACAATCGCGAAGGTGCAGCTTGAAATAAGTTCAGTGGAGATTCACTAAACTAGCAGAGAGTATGGGAAAAGAGACCCGAAAATCAGACTTCCAGACAAATGAGAAACATACCAAAATGACCCTATGCAGTGGTAGCGAAAAGGCCTCCTCCTAGCTCCAGCCGACGGAAGGATTCTAATTCCTACTTTGGCGAAGGCGGAGAGGCAGATTTGCCGGCGCGAGAAGAAGAAAAGGGATGTCGGGAACTTTCTTCGATGGAGAAGATAGTCTCACGGTCAGGGAAAGTAGGGAAGGTGGGCTTAAAACGATTTGACGGAATTGAAGAGGGCTGGATAGGGATTTGGATTTTGGTACTCGCGGTTCCGCAGTCCGGCATGCGCTATCATGAATGAGCTTCGAGGGTCATGGCTTTGCCCTGTTTTTGGGCCGAAAGCCTGAAACAGAAAGCAGTTTTTGTAAGGAGTCGTTTGAAAGTTGCGATAGTTTTGTTGAGATTGTCATTATGCATGTATTGTTTATAATGCATCGTTTTTTTTTTGTTTTTTTAGCAGAAACAATACGTAGATTGTTTCTGTGATGTGACAGAAACTATCACTCATTTTGAGTAATTGTTATATCTCAACTTTTAGTTGTGATTGTTGAGATAGTTGAATTGAGATTGTTTTGTCTCAGCTTTTAGCTGATGCGACATACACAACCACACATACCAAACGCTGTATTCTACAATGCATCAAATTCGACAATACATGTATAATATTATACATGCATTCTCAACAATACATCTATTTAACAATCGCAACTTCCAAACGACCCCTAAGTATAAGTAGAGGTGATAAACGGTTATGCTGTTAACGATTTATCGCTAACCAACTGTTTCGTTTATCTATCAGTAAGCAAACACCGAAACGTTCGCAAGTTCAAGAGTAAAGTCAGAATCATTACATTGATATTATCTGATTTATTTTCACTTAAATCTATGCTCAGTCTGATTCCACATGTCCTATCTCCGTCAAATCATATAAAAGAATCAAATCATCGAGATCGAATTGTTTGTCCACCCTTATGTTCAGTCCATTCCAGGTCCTCGCTCCGCCAAACATCGGCTCAATCCAAAACATAGACCGGATTGTTGCACATCCTACAATCAGTCTGCTCCACAGATCGTCTCCCCACCGATTAGTTTCACAGTTCTTTTACCAATTCCCAAGGTCTTGAACTTGCAACCTGAAATTCTCTGCATCCATATTGTAGTTCCGCCTCTCAGAAAATTAATCAACATCCTTCAAAATCAATCGATATAGCGAGACACGGATTAATCAGTTACTGTTAAGCAATGGCTTCATAATGGTGTCTTCTGGGCCAATTGGTACTCTGATTAATCTGAATTCTTTAAGATAAGCTCTGATTTAAATGTTTCACCTAATTACAACTTGGAATGTAAAGTATTGTAAACTGGGCCTCATATGAGAAAGCGATCGGACAAAACAGCACCACTGGCAACACCAACGAGGAACAGTAACGAAATGAAATCAGCCATCCCCAGTGACGAGTCTGATAAGAAGTAGATCTTATGAGCATTGCTGTCTCCTCTGAAACCTCGCACAATCATCGCCTGTGTACAACACACGAGTCACGACAGTATGCTACATCAGTCACACAGCGAAGTCGATTGTCTGCACTACATTGAATGATCAACTTACTAACCTGAGATATCTGCTCTGCATGGCTGAAGATGTTCTTGAAGATGCGTCGAATGTAGGAAGCAAGAACTGCCATTACCCAAATTAAGATCAACACAAGGAAAACTGCATCCATTGTCAAAGCTTACACGAGGTTATCGAAGATTTACTTACTTTCGATTGTCTCCATGACAGTCAGTAGCTTCCAGTTGATCCTACGAGACACAATTCCTAGCGCTACATTTCTCACCTGGAAATCGGAACATGGTGTTTGATTCGTTATTCAGGACAATCTGAGTAACACCAAGGAGCTATGTCAGAGTGCTCATACTAACCTCGTCGAAGACAAGATTGATGAATCGCAGGGAGAGCATTAGGGTTAGTGTCATTTCAGCAACCGGAACACCCAAGTATCTCAACGGAAGCAGGAACCAACGCAAAGCTGACGCTAGTTGTTCTGGTGTTGTAGTTGCAAGGCAAAGGCTGGCACTTTGAAAGATCTTCACAAGGAGATGAAATGCACATATTAGCCGAACATCCGGTCTCTAAGTTCTTTGATGATTTCCCCATCACCTTCCCTTGAGATCATATAAGAGAGGAACCCAAAGCGAATTGGAAGAAAAAGGAACTTACAGTGAAGGTTAAGCATGCAGCTGTGCTCGCAACTGACAAGCCTTTCCTCGTAAACTGCAGAGGACCTAGCTTCAGAATCAAGTATGAGTAACCTTGCAAAGACTGTGGAAGGTTAGGCAACCCTGTTACAGAAGCCGGTGGAGTTCTCAACTGCACAAGTGGAGGTACTGAATCCGAACCAAACCCTAACATCAAGAACAGAATCCCGGACAGCAATGAAACCCTTCCCAATTGATCCTACACAAAGAACACAACCAACAGCTCATTCCTAAGATTATACGAAATTTCATCAGCTCACCATTGAAAGAAAAAACATAGCTAACTCTATCATAATTTACCATCCAGACATTGCGAGGGAGGACGATAATCGATAGAGCAGCCAAATAGGCGACCAATCCGAATCGCATTACTATGTGCGATCTTGCTGGCAGGACAACAAGAGCCAGCAGCCATATCTGCAAAATTCAGATCAACCCAGAAGCACAGATTAACCAAATGGGTAATGGAAACGACTCTTGACGTTGGCTAAGACAAAAAGGGTGAAGCTTCAAACTTTCTTTTTACCAGTTTGATTCTAGGGTCGACGGAATGGAGAAACGTGGTGGGTGAAGAAATGTACTGGGCGATGGGACTGGCGGTGGCGCCGGCAATGAGTCTGAATATCTTGTCGGCGGCGAGAGCACCATTAGGCAGCCGGCTCACCAATTTCTCAATCCGATTGGTCGTATTGTCTGCTGAAGCTCGAACTTTTGCGCTCCTCGGCCGAAGATTTCGGCTAGCCAAGCTGAGGGAGACGGGAGCTCCGCCGCTAAACCTAGTATTTGGGTAAAATTGAGAGGAAGCTAGAGGGACTCGGAATCTTGACTTAGGGTTTGGGCCGGACGAAGGGGAGGATAAGGTTGCCGCCGAGATATTACAGCCGGCGACGCTCATCGGCGAGTTTGTCGATGGTGAGAGTGGGGGAAATGGAATTGGGGAAAAATCAAACGGAGCAAACCCCACCTCCGGATTCTCAAACGGGTTCGCGGATTAGAAACGTAGTAAAAGAAAAAAATCTGTCTATCTGAGGTCGAAATGAGGTGGGACCCACGTACGCCGCCGCGGGATCTCCCTTCGACGAGCGGCCAAGCCGACGGTGACCGACGCGGCGGCTGTAATTGGCAGGGGTTTTATAAATCCGGTACATTTTCCAGCTTAAATCCACTTTTGTTAGTATATCTTTTGGTGATCTAAACCTGCATTGCAATATGCCAATTGGCAATAACATAGCCCAATGTGCCTAATAACGTAAAAGCTTTTACATCAGGAATCAAAGAACGCAAACTTGAGACACAAGAAAGAATGCTATTGAATTACAATTCTCACTACACAAGAAAAGAGGGTGGAGAAATTGAGAGAGCACTCATGAACACAATTGATGGCAATGGTGCGGGTAAACAAACGATATTCAAATTCCCGCTTTCTACTAGCCAAGGATCCTCCGTCGTGCCTCGGCCTCTTCAGCTCCGGCGTGGAGAGCTCCGGTGCACAGTAACTGGGTTGCACTCGCGACTATGGTCATTACTTCTAGAGTCCTCTGTTTCATCAATGAGAAGGGGGGGAATGTTGAACTAGAATAATAAGATTTCTTGTGTTGCAAGCTAGAAACGTGACTTTTTGAGGTTCATATGGTTTCCTACTTACCAAGTTAGCATCAGTCCACCCTATGTCAATCTCTTTACACGCCAACCTGAAATCAAAAGGACAAACCAAACTCACCACCTCTCTCCATTTTCAGATACAATGAAGAGCAAAAACAAGAAGTAGCATACCCCATGGCTAGAAGTGTGAGTGCCAACGAGGTCAGGGAAGACGAAGCTGCAGCATGGAGGTTCGCTGCATTCGATACCAGAACGTTCTGGATTCCTGTCAACGATGTGGCGATGCCCACAATTCCGGCCAGGAGGGAGATCACTACGAAGAATCCGGTAGCCATGTTCCCCATGGGGAAGAATATGGGGAAGATCCGAGCTGGGATGGATAGAACAGAAGCTGCATTTTGGTGCACATGCAAGAAGAAACATGGTTCAGTATAAAATCTATCCCACTATTTTCCCGAAACTAAATCTTCAAAGAATCGTGATTTTTTTTTTTACCTGCTTCATGTGAGCGGAGAATTGCATGGTTTATGGCCCATGAAGCAATGACAATGATGATGAAGTAGAGGAGAATGTTGACAATCAAGAGAAGCATGGATGCAGATCTAGATGCTCCAGAAGCCATGCTGGATTTTTGGCCTGGGAACCAAGAAAGAATGCTAAGAGGAATTCCAAGCCTGGCAATTTGGTTGTGGTTTAGATGAAGCACTATATATATCACAAGGAACAAGTTAAATCATTCTCTTCTGGGTTCTGTGAACCTTTCATTATAAAATTGGGTGGCCTTGGTATCAAAGGAATGACTCTAATGCCTTTCTTTCCCTCTTCGAAAGGAAAGGTATCAAATTTTCAGGACCTGAAAGTCCTAGTTTGGATGAGCCTTTCTTCTGCATGCAGGGGTAACAAAGGAATAAAGTTCCTTGCTACCTGCAAAATGATGCAATCCTTTTCTTTCTCCTCACCCTATCAGGATTACTTTTCTCTAACTGTTGCTATTTGCAGACCTTTCGCATAAAGAAAGGAGAATCTCCAGAAGATGAAAGGAAAAGAACAAAGCTAAACTTCTCAGAAAGCCAGAAATGAACTCAGGTCTATTCATTGTCCAACCATCAAGAATCAAAAGTTATTGGAAAGGGAGCAACAATTCATCAGTCGATTTACCTTCGACAGCAGCAACTCAGAAACATTTATTTACACTGATCTTTTCATGAAGAGCCAGGACAAAGAAAAAGCCGATGCTGCACTCAGGCTAACCCACTAAATTGAAAGAAATTGTGTTTCTCATCAGACCTTCAAAGCAAGCTTCTGAGCAGCAAGAGCTTCAGCCTCAAGGGTTGGTTGCCATAAGAGTGTAGTCTCCGCCAATAATGAAGTCACGATGTACGGGTCCATGTTTGAGGCCGGGCGACGGTCCTCCAAGTAACCTGGCAGCCACAAATACGCAAAGGTTAGGACGTAACTTTAACCATCATAGAGCTAAAGCTAAGAACATATACAGTAGCGGGAAAAAGTTGCACCTTTGCCTTTTTTCTCAGTGTCGCGTCCCACTCGAATTGAGGCACCGCGGTTAGCAACTCCCTACAAGTCGGGTTTCCCAAAAACAATCATTATCCATAATGCAAGAAACTTGACTTCAGATATTGAGTGGAGGAAACGAAAGAAATGCTCATTGCCATCCATACCCAAGAAAACTTGTCAATGCTGGCAGTCTCATGCTTTCCCGTCAGCCTTCTCTCGTTTCCTTCACCGTAAGCACTGATATGGTCCTTATGGCGAAGAGATAGATTCAATATGGCCTTCTTAATCACTTCAAAACCTCCATCTTCCCTCATGCTCTTTGTGCTGCAACCACATGCAACAGATTAACTTCTGTTATATAACTCCTCCCAGTTAACCTAGCCATTTGCTTTGAAAAAGTTATATAAATCCAATTACCTGTAGTTGGTATGGCATCCTGCACCATTCCAATCACCCTGTCCGCATCAATGGAAGCTTTGGTAAGTTCACTTGCATTAACAGAAGTTGGCCAGAAGAAAACATGAACATACATAGTACCTCAATTGGTTTTGGGTCAAGGGACAGCACAACTCCAGCTTGTTCCGTGATTCTCTGTCAGGACACCAACAAAAACTTTAAGTTGAGTACAAAGCTTCGATGTTGTTTATATGGTGAAAGGGCATCAAAATTCATAAATAAATACCTCAAGAATGTATCTGGAACACCAGATATGATCTGCTGCATCAATGCCAACACTAGGACCAACCTGATATTCCCACTGAAACAGAAATTTGATCGTAAGAAGGTAACAAAGGAGGATGTACCAAGTTTCTAAAATAAGTTGTTTCAGTTGTTACATAACAGGGGGGGATAAGGACATCAGACATGAGAGGCAAACCTGGCCAGGCATGACCTCTCCGTTGGTGCCACTAACGTTGATTCCGGCATACAGGCAGGCTTTATAGTGTGCGTCTGATATATCACGACCAAAGGACTTATCTGCCCCAGCACCACAGTAATAAGGACCCTGAAACAAAGCACATAGTAGGATCAGTTATCACTCATTCAGTCACATAACATGAATTCAATAACTTGGAAAGTAGCTGCTTGGTTTACCTGAGGACCAGGGTAGCCACCAACAGGCCACCCCAAAGGCCACTTCACATTTTGTTGAAGCAATGTGTACTCTTGCTCTATCCCATACCTACAGTTGAAAACTCTTGTCGGTCAATTACACAACAGAATGAATTCTTTGTAATGCACAGGAATAGGAATATTGGTCACTCAACTTCGAATTTTAATGAATTTTTTCATTAAAGTTTCGACTAACTAACATAACAGTACCATTAAGTTTTCTTCCCAAAATTTCGAAATCAATGTGTCAACTCACCCAAATTGATGATAGAGAACCCTCATATAGACCCTTTAATTAGCTGTAGGGTAAGGGAGCAATAGATTAAGGTGGTACCGGATGAGGTGGGTTGAAATTGAGCAGTCAAAAGTTTGGTTTTGATCAGATTTGGATAAAATGGGTCATCCATGTCAGCTAATACGGGCATATGTGGTCTTCTGTTAGAAATAGTGTGTGTGTGTGTGTGTGTGTTCGCATGCTGATTTGGACAAAAACTCTTACTGGGATGCACAAAGTGGCTACTACTTTAATTATTTTGATCTCCACTGACAAGTTTGTTAATGACCCTGACATTTAGTGACCATTTCATATAAAATATCAGAATGGCATACCATGGAACTTCAGCGATAACCTTTGGGTCACTGAAGATTTCAGCAGCCCGGTAACGCTTGTTGGTGGGGATTGGCTCACCAGCTGGAGTGTATGCATCACAAATGACCTTTATTGAAAAGAGACGAAAATCAGCTGATCAACAAGTACTGTCAAAGAGCTAGGCTGGATTACTTCCAATATGACGATTCAGTTTGATAAACAAGAACTCACCAAGATATTGTTACCTCCACGGAATGGGTCTTTGAAAATTGCTTGTGGGCTGAATCAAAGGGTTTAAAGTCAGTAACCTATATAAATAAGAAGTAAAAATGGAGAAAGACACTTAAGTGTGCTTGTTTAAGCACAAGATATCTTACTATATAATAACCTCACTGTCTTCTCCCGGTGCCTGCCCAGTACTTGATCCATCATAATTCCACTTGGGAAGCTCAGATGGATGCTCCACAGGCTTCTCAATTGTCTGTTGCAACAGAGACGTTGAAATAAGAAGAAGAAGAAGAAGAAGAAAAAAAGGAGCAGCCATTATTACACTTTGGAGAAAGAACAAGACTATGCCAAATTTCAGTCCTGGTTATAGAATGTACCCTCGCTTTGCTACGAAGATCAATGCCTGATCCTCCAATCCTGTGGCGCAACAAAAGAACGAATTAATGAATCAGAAGATACAATCATATTTCATGTGGAAGTTGGGAGCTGAGATGTGGCATGCATACCAAATGTACTCAGCAATAATCTTGTCAGTGAATGGGGTGATATCCAAGTTCAAGAGATTGTCTAGCCTATTGATAGTGCTGTTCTCGGCCTTGATTGCAAAGACGCGAAATTTGGAAGCACCTTTTGTAGTTCCCCTCTTCTTCATCACCAAGGAGCTCCACATCTTTCCAGCCATGGGGTTCACAGGTGCTGCCACCTTGTTTGACAATCTCATCTGGCATTGCGAAGATGGTGCCAAGATATGGGCCATTTTCGCCAAATCCACAACCCCTGGAACTCCCAGAACCAAGTAAATGAGCTCGTCAATTTGAGAAATCACAACACTATACAAACTAATGGAACGACACCAACCACAACTCAAAGGGCTTTCATCCTTTATGTCTACAAGCAGACTAACCAATACATCGAATTCAACTCTAGTTGTGTTCACTCATTGGTAGTTGAGTAGCCATAAGAAAGGAGGGACATACCAACAGCACAGTCCCCCTCTTTGCTAAACAAATCTAGTATCTGGAGACTTGGCTTATCCTTTGCATATTCATAAATTTGGCTTCTTTTCGGGGTTTAGTATATGCTGTAACAGGTTTTTCCTAGCAAGATTAAAGACAGCTGATCATCAAAACCCTCAGATAATGATTTGGGTGGCTGTTATCTGCTAACCTATCTGATAATGTGGACCAGGGCAAGCAATGGGGGACCAGGTCAACCTATGGTCTAAAATTCCTCATAAGAATGTTAATATCTATATACTTCCCTCCCCACCAATAAAGGTATCACCTTTTATCTGTTCTACACGCCATTGAAACATGTGAAAAGTCTTCAATGAAAGCATTTAGCAGCAATCCCAGAAAAGAAAATGATCTCAGATTCTCTCAGTAGCCTAAACCACATGCTAAAAGGAAATGGGCAGTGATTCAAGATGGGAATTGGCAAACATCTGAGTAATGGATCCCTAACAATGCACCCAAAACTATGCACTCCAAAGCATGTCAAAATCAAAATGCTTGTTGCAGAAACCCAAATGCCAGAAAGGTGAGATGCTTTACAGATGGCTTACCGGCTGGGGAAATGCCTGGGAATGGGTTGGAGAGCAGACCAAAGAATATGGGAAGTTGCAGAGAACTGAAGTGGAAGGAGAGAAGGAGGGTGGAGAAAGTGAGCTGAGGGTTTTGTGTTCAGAGGCTCCTATTAAAAGAGAGGCCCTTTTTCTTTCTGGGTTTTTCTCATCCCAACTAGAAAACAAAAGAGTGTGTTGGCTTTTCCTTTGCAGTTAGGGGTAAGGCACCATGTGTGGATGACAATTGGATTATGGTCTCTTTGGTTGCACCAAGCGATCCGTGGTCTACAAAAAATAACGCTTTAAAAAAAGATAAGGTTTCAATCTTCTCCATCCATCAGAGTTTATCAATGTATAATATTTGCCTCACCCCACATAATAATAGGTTAAAAGTCGTACGATTTGTGTTAGTTCGATCGAATTAGTATAGGATTGAGGTTTTGGATTCATCAGTCATCACCATTGGTCTTTAATTAATTAACCCTAAACATCTGCTGACTTGTTTTTGGAAACACTTACTGTCATTACTCAATAACCTGGTGAACTCTAATCCCTGCCAAGGAATCTAAATTTTCTGCCACATAATAACGGTAAGTATAATTCAAAATACAATTACAAAAAGAACACTCTGACTATGGTGCTCTCAATCATAGCACCAACTTTATGAGCACTATAACCTAATCCAAACACAAGGTTTCTTTTTGTTCCCGCAATCTCATTCATAATTTAAAATACTTTTTACTTAATTGAATAAATAAACTTCTACAAGATAAACAACGTCGTACAAAACTAAATATGATGAAGCTTATTGCTAAGCTATGTTGTCATATGCCTAACCTCGAAAAGAAACAAAGAGCTATAGATAACTAGATAACTTCACCATTCAATCAATTGCTTATAAGTTATTATGCTTAAGAGAAAGATCTACTTCATTTTTATTGGCACAAATTTACTAAAATTCAATACAGAGTTTCACATTCCTATTTGATGAAATTCGTTTATACACATTTTCCCCCTTTACATTAGAAACTACACCGCACGTCCACACCAACATGAAGTTGAACATATCGTTCATTTAAAGCTTTTGGTCTTGACCACACAACACAACACCACATCTATTCGTTCTCGAACCCAATTGCACAATTGCACCTGCTCCATGCCATGTAGAATATGCACCACACTAATAAAAAAATTTGCACAAATACTTCTTTTAACAAACAAGAACCATCACTCATGCTACTCGGATATATAGTACTTCTTAAAATATGGAATACTTCAACAAGGATCTTGGATGGTAACATAGTAAAAAATCCATTGATGTCCTTATAGTATCCCGATACATACTAAATTCGTTTAAAACTCCCATTCTCGCGCATCATAATAGAGTTGTTTAACTTAGAATAACTTGTAAAAATTTGTACATATTAATGTCGTAACATTCAAGCAAAAGTTTTTACTTACTGTGGTTACTGGTAGGTATGATTCCATTGCAAAAAAAGCGATAGAAAACCACTTATTGGCAGGTGGAAGAACGTGCATATCCCACTATACCAGATCCCACATGCTTTCTTTTATGCGCCTGCACATTAAGGAGATGCCAAAAAGTGGGTATTCATGGCCAAAATTTGAATTAGTCTTTGCATTTAGACAGCAAATCGAGGAGGGGGGGAGGGACAGGGCTGAGTAACTTAAATTGCATAATCAATACGATAAATTCTCTTGTTAATTGAGTTGCGAGTGATTTATGTATGGATGTTAATTTCTAAGTTGGAGGTCTGTATATGACAATTGTATCGTTAACTTCGAGTATCCAATCATTCGCTACTCAGTTAACAAAGAAAATTTGCATATTGATTATGCATGGACGGATATGAGGTTAATTGCATGGTTGGTTGTTGAGATTACAAAAAGCGTTTAAGTTTGGTCACTTGAAATATATAAATCCATTGGTGGTACTTCAGTTTACTGAAACCGTTCATGTTTGGTCACTCTCCGTCCAACTCCGTTAACTTTGGTTGATGTGGCAGTCAACCCTCAAAGTTGACCGTTAACTTAATGACGTAGCAATTAAAAAATAATAAATAAAATAAAATTTAATCTATTTTAATCTGCAACTTATTTTTATCCTAAAATAAAAAAAGCCCCCATTAATTATGCTTCAATCCCATATGGCTTCTCCTAATTCTTCCGCGACAAAATCTCATTCCCAACCTCTTTCTCTTTCGCCAGCAGTTCTCCACACTTACAAGTTACAACACCCCGCCGGCCGCTCACGGTAAGGCCTCAGGGCCCATAGCAGCTGGTCGAGTGACGGAGTGGATGCGAATATGGGAGGTCTTGAGGGATAGGATAGAGGCCAGATCAAGGAGCGGCTTTAGCTGACGTGTTCCACCGATATCTTGATTGAACTGGATGTACTTGACGGTGGAGAAGGCGAAGGAGAGACCATGGGAGAGCTGAACGTCGCGGACAACGGGGAGAGGGAGGTAGCGGTAGAGCAAGGACATGAGGCCGGTGGATCCCAGGATAAAGAGAGTGGCGGCGGTGGAGAGCCCGGCGGTGGCTATGTCAACCTCCGTCGAGAGGTTGTAGCTGAGCTCATCATCACGGGCTATGAATTTCCAACCGTCGTCCCTAGCATGCACGTTGCAGCACGCTAAGCGGGGCGTGGAGTTTAAGAGAAGGAAGACATGGCAGTGGTCGTCGTCGTCAGGGGAAGATGAGATGATGGCTTTGTGGATGTTGTGACGGTCGACGTTGAGGAGGTAGAAGCTGATCATCGTCGGAAAAGTGAGGAGGAGTCACCCGTCTTTTGACGCCACGTAGTGTTTGTTCTGGATGATGTCCCCTTCGAAACGGTCGATGTGAAGTGATGGAGCGCGACGGATGGGAGCCCTCTTCTTCTTCTTCTTCTTCTTCTTCCTTGGCCTTCGCTTTGTTGTTGATCATTACGATGGCTTAGCATGGTGAGCGGAAGGAATTCATGTGGGTGTGGCCTCCAGTGGCGAGATGAAGCTGACCGGAATCCTGAAGGATCGGTGGTTGCTGCTTTTGTGGTTAAGACGAGGAGGCAATTATAATATGGAAAACATCTCTTGTCACGTTAGGTGACAAAACACCTAATGTCAATTTATTCACGTATTTTTGTACTCATTCACGCCATTTTGTGTGTATTCACGTAATACTATGTTTATTCACGTAAGAGTGTAAGTTATTCACGTAAATGAAAATTCAGACTTTTCCCCCCTAATAATTTGTATTGGCTATATTTTATGGAATTAAATTTGGATTCTCAATTAGTCTGTCAAAATATGTAGCATTGATCATAATCTACACAATGACATCCATTTTGATATATTTTAACGTCTAAAATTTAATTTTACAATGGCGTGAATAAATAACAATATGCGTGAATCGATACCAGGTTGCGTGACTAAACAATATTGGTTGCGTGAATAAGCAACACTCTTACGTGAATGATGTCAATATGGCGTGAATAACGAAAATATGGCGTGAATAAATGACAAAAATGCGTGAATTAGGTGTTCTTGTCACCTAACATGACAAGAAACTTGATTCTTATAATATTTTTTCTTTGTTGAATCAGTTTCTTTATTCCCAAGAAAAGCCAATACAACGAAGTGAGAACATAAAATATTCCCATGTGTTTGTCCCTCTACCTTCTCCAATATATCAGCCACTTACAAACTCAGCAAAAACAAAACCTATAAGTAATGTAGTTTGGTAAGAGCATCACGCAATCCTCTATTTCCACATGCTAGGAACTGCAAATCTGTCTGGAGCTGATCAACTACTCTTCCTGGGTTTTGTCTAGTCGATCCATGGACCACTTTGCATCTCTCCTTCCAAACGAAGGCTACTATCAAACACCACACCAAAGCATCCATCTCCCAATTTTCACGTCCCTGTATATTTATGCATTTAAAGCTTGTACCATTGCATCCCAACTCTGATAGTGTAGAAACCTGAATCTCAACTGTGCAGCAAGCCTGAGGGAGAAGCTGCAGCTGAGAAACAAATGATCTCGATTCTCAACTCCCTTCTTGCACAAAGGACAGGATGCATCATTTATTTTACCCCATTTCAATAGTTTATCCCTGGTAACTATGACATTCCTCATAATCAACCAAGCAATCAGGCTATATCTCGGAGGGCAACAACTATCCCAAACAAGCTTATACCATGAGACTACAGGTGCTTTTCTTCTGAGAGTTTCCCATACCCTCCGAACAGAGTAGACTAGCATTTCCTGTGAATCCTAGTAGATGACATCCCCTTGTTGAGTGATCCATGGCAAAATGATTTCCCTTAATTTAAGCATCCTTCTCCAAGTCCAAGAGCTACTGTATTGCACCCTCAAACTCCAAAGATCCCCTTGCCTGCATTTATACTCATGCATCCATGCAACCCATAAAGTACCTGCTTTCATTAAGAATAACCAAAGCATCCGAATATAACAGGCTTGGTTCCAAGCCAGTAGATCTTTGACCCCGAGTCCACCCTCTTTCTTTGGTAAAGCCACAAATTCCCATGCTACTTTGGCCTTCCCATCATCAGCCCCATGCCAGAGGAACTGAGAGCATACCTGTTGTATCCTTTTCAGAGCTGTTTTAGGGAGTACAAATAATTGCATCCAGTATTGAACAACCCCCAGCAAGACTGAATTCACTAGCTGCAGCCTTCCATCATATGTCAGCTTCCTTGCCCTCCAAGATTTAATTCGTTTTGTGATCTTTTCCACTAGAATGTCCACCTCCTTTGATGACAGCTTTCCAGTCATCAATGGAAGCCCCAAATACCTAACAGGCAACAGACCCTCTTTGAAACCCGATAGGGAAAGAGCATTGTCCTTGTATTTAACAGATTCACCCCCAAAGTAGACTTCACATTTAGCAGGATTACAATTGAGTCCTGACAGCTTATAAAACTGCTGTAACACATCTTTTACCTGAAGAATTGCTTGAGTCGAGCCAGTGGTAAAAACAAGAACATCGTCAGCAAAACACATATGATTTAACCCAATCCTTCGACACTGAGGGTGGTAAGGGATCCTCCCTGATTGGCTTGCAGCTATTAACATGGAAGAGAGGCCCTCCATGGCAATAGTAAATAAGTACGGTGATAATGGATCACCTTGACGGACTCCCTTCCTAGCCCTAAAGAACCCACAGAGCCCTCAATTGATATTTATACTGTAATGAGCAGTTTGCAAGCAAGCCCTTATTTCATAAACTGGGCAAGAAATCCCATGGCAATCATCATATGAAACAGGTAGCTCCAACTAACTGAGTCAAATGCTTTCATAATGTCTATTTTTATTGCACACCTAGAGGACAATGCACTTCTGTTGTAACCACTAACCAACTCCTGAGCCATCCATATATTGTCCATGATGCTCCTCCCCTTAACAAAAGCTGATTGATTAGGACTAATAATCAGAGGCATAACCTCACTAATCCTCCTAGCCAAAATCTTAGTCATTATCTTGTATAAAAGATTTACACATGAGATAGGTCTAAATTTTATTTTTTTATTTTAGGAAAAAAATGAGTTGGATATTAAAATAGATTAAATTTCATTTTATTTATTATTTCTTAATTGCCACGTCATTAAGTTAACGGTCAACTTTGAGAGTTGACTGCCACATCAGCCAAAGTTAACGGAGTTGGACGGAGAGTGACCAAACGCGAACGGTTTCAGTAAACTAAAGCACCACCAATGGATTTAAATATTTCGAGTGACCAAACTTGAACGTTTTTTGTAATCTCAGTGACCAACCATGCAATTAACCCGACGGATATGAGTAAACCTACAAATTGCTCCCTACCTCCAACCAAAACAAATCCAAAGTGGTTAATCTCTTGACTCATGTGCAACTTTTGGCGGGTTGGATCCGGTCCTTAAGCCTCATTGTTTAAGGAGGTTCTTAAACCATTTTTATTGGCTGATACTATATTAGGTAGTTAATAGGGGTTAGTAGTTAATAGTTAATAGGAATAAATAAGATATTATGAAAATATAATTAATATTACTCATTAATGATTTTATTTCTCCCTCCCCCTTAATCTTCTCCATAACCCTCTCTCTCCACTACAATTAAAAGAAAATTCGAAATTAATTTAATTAAATATTATTATTTAATATTTAATAAATTCGCTCATTAATATTTTTATTTTTTAAAATGAAAATCGAAAATTAAAATATATGCTCTCTCACTTCGTGACAACTTGCAATACAGTATTAACATTTTGCAATGACATTATCAACATTTATGAAATGAATCGTTATTATTGTACCTCGTCATTATTAACGACTTCAATATACTTATCAATTCCTTACAATTACATTATTAACAATTTTGGATCAATTGTTACGGTTTTATAATTTCGTCATCAACGCCTATGAATGAATCATTAAAGTTATGTAACATGGTCATTAACAGTTTGAATAACAATATCATTGATTTTCAACATCTTTAGTACTAATGATTCCCATTTTCACATCATGTTTATAACTATCTAGTCATGCCTCTTCCAATGAATTCTAATGACTTTATTAACGTTTTATGATCAATTAATATTGCTTTACATTATCATTCTCAATGATCATAAAGCACAATACTGATTTTCAACATCTTGGGTACTTGTGACATAGTGCACCTGTGTGATTCAGTCAAACAAACATTGTCCAAAAAAATATTAGCTCAAGCAAACCAACATTCACACCTCAACACCAAACTTTTAATAACAATCCAATAAATCATTGATAACGAAAAGTATTTCATTGAAAATAAACACAAAACATCAATATAAAAATGTTAGACTTCAACATAATAAATGACGTCAAAATTTTAATAAAGATATTAAAAACTAATATTGATTGATCAAGTCACTGATAAGGAAATAGATTTTTGTAATAAAAAATATCAATAATATCCAGATGCAATGTTTAATGTCAAATAGCACTAAAAACGCATTAATAAGTAACACGTGTTTAATGGATAATGCATCCAAAAACTTTAATAATGATAGCAACTAATGATTTTTAAGTACCTTATTAGATATTATTAATATCTTATTTTTCAAACATTGATAATTCTTATACACACCTATTAATAATGACACCAACTACGTTACTAACTTAGACTGAAAGATTAATAACCATAGTTATCACATTAAACGTAAATTCACTTTTGATAATGTCATAAACAAACGAATACCTAACAAGTATGCTTCTTGATAATGACATTTGACGAAGTTACAAACATAAACGAAAACATATTAATAATTCAAATCACTTAACATAAGCAATCTTACAAATGAAATAAATTTTTGCTAATGGTTGTATTGTGCTTGGAAGAAAAACATTGATAATAGCACTTCAAATGATTATAAATCATTGCGAACCAAATTAATACGATGTAATAGTAAATAAACTTCAAGGTTCAACAAATTGAAACACACAATTTCACTTTTGCTAATGTTACAAACAAAACATAACATAAAAAGTTAATAATTTCATATAAAATTATTAAAAAACATGTCGAACAACATTAATAATAACACAAATGAATACCTAACAACGAAAAATCCCAAACCCATGCAACAAAAAGCCTTAATGATGATTCAATTTATAAATGCCATTACAAAATGTTAATACTTAATACTAATCAGAAGTTGCCAAGATGTGAAAGAGGCATATATTTTAAATTTCAGATTTCCATTTTAGAAAAAGAAAACTATTAAATTCGGATTTTATTAATATTAAATAAAATTAATTTCATATATTTTTTAATTATAATGTAGAAAGAGCAAAGAGGGTTATGGAGAAAATCATGGGAGGAGAGAGAAAGAGAATCATTAATTAATTATATTAATTATATTTGCATAACCCCATTTATCCTTAACTACCTATTAACTACTAACCATTATTAACTACCTAATCCACTATCAGCCAATAAGAAGACTTTAAGATTCTCCTTAACAAATGAGATTTAAAGACTTGAACTCACGCCAACTTTTGGTAAGTTGAGAAATAAAACTCACCAGGCGCCAACAGACTTCCACTCTCTCCTCTTGGGTCTCAATGTCTTGGGCTTGAAAGCCCAAACCCAATGACACATTGTAGGATCGGGATCTGGATCGGGATCCTTTATGGTTTGTCTTCTTTCTCGGCACACTTACACCCGTACGAGGCCCCAATCAACGGGAGCAGATCGGGTGAGTAACTAATGGGTGAGTAACCCATCAGTAACCCCTCTCTCCTCTTTCCACGTGTCAGTTACTTTTTTATTTAAATTAAATGTTAAAGGGCAGTAAGGTAAAATGCACTTATCCCCTATTTATTGCTGACGCGCTGACTTTTGACCGACTACATCAGGACCTCCTTCTCTCTCATCGAAAAACTTTTAATTTTCCTTCTCTTAATCTTTAACGGACGATTTCTCACTCGTTTTAAGTCGAAATTTAATTTTTTTTGCACAGTTAGATCAGATTAATTATGTTCTTCAAAATGATATCCACTTTGATATTTTTTTGACACAAATTTTTTTTCCAGTTATTACCAGTCTATACCATATGGTATAGTGTGGTAATATCAATATATATTTCGTTACCACCCAATACCATATGGTATAGTGTGATAATATCAATATATATTTCGTTACCACCCAATATCATATGGTATAGTGTGGTAATATCACACAATACCATATGGTATAGAGAGGTAATATCAATATATATTTCGTTACCACGCAATACCATACATTACCATAGGGTATAGTGTGGTAATATCAATATATATTTCGTTACTACCCAATACCATATGGTATAGTGTGGTAATATCAATATATATTTCGTTACCACACAATACCATATGGTACAGTATGGTAATATCACACAATACCATATGGTATAGAGTGGTAATACCAATATATATTTCGTTACCACGCAATACCATACATTACCATAGGGTATAGTGTGGTAATATCAATATATATTTCGTTACCACCCAATACCATATGGTATAGAGTCATAATATCAATATATATTATCTAAAAGGAAAAAAAAACAGAAGGAGGGAGAGAAAAAATCGTCTTCTGATGCCTCTCATTTCCTCTTCCTCAATCAAGAACACCAAAATGCCAAAAAAATGAGAAAGATCGGAATTGAGGCCAACGAGTTGATGAAGAGAAGAAATGCAAAGAAAGAGAGTGGCTACAATTTTTATTCGTCGATTGCTAGAGAAAAAAATGAAGAAGGAAGAGAGTTAGATCTAAATTTGAAAAGGAGATTGTGAAAGAAAAAGTAAGAGAGAAGGAATAGAGAAAGAGAAAGAAGGAAGAAAGTTGAGTTGCAGAGAAAATGCATTGTCTCTCTTTTATTGAAAAGTTAGCCATTGAAATGCGGAATGAATAAAAAAATTAAAAATACAAAAACGGACAAAAATGCCCCTCCCCACCCCACATCCAGCCCAACCACACGATTGCTCCATTCCCAATCCTACGGCTCCCGTGTCGTTACGGGCTAAGATCAGGTGACTAAGGGGGGGTCCCTTAGTCACATGACTAAGTCAATCTCCACCCTTCCACCTCATTAAAATCCAATGGCCTATATTAATCCAATTTAATGAAGGGCAGTATAGTAACTGCATGTTTATTTTTTAATTTTAATTATAAAATGAATAATAAAATTGAGTCTGCCTCCTCCCTTGCGCCGTCTCCGGCCAGGGTCCGCCCCGTCCCTTGCTCCTCCGTCCAATTTTTTTCCGCCGTCCAATTTTTTCCGGCCATTATTCTCATGCGGCCATTACCCAGAGACTCATGCGACCATTATTCTCATGCGGCCATTACCGAGAGAGAGAGAGAGAGAGAGAGAGAGAGAGAGAGAGAGAGAGAGAGAGAGAGAGAGAGATTTTGTACTGTTAGTATGCTTTGTATTGTTTGTCGGGTTATTTTGTAATGTTTGTACGCTTTGTTATTTTGTAATGTTTGTCGGTTTTTTTTTGTAATGTTTGTACGCTTTGTTATTTTGTAATGTTTGTCGTTTTTTTTTGTTATGTTTGTAAACTTTGTTATTTTGTGTATCGTGTTTATCACTTTTGTCAACCATGTTTGTAATGTTTTTTATGTCTAAAAAACACCCGGGTTGACTTTGGGAAGGAGCCCCTCTATATAGGGATGGAGCCTCCAAAGTCAACCCGAGTGTTTTTTCAGTTCGTATGGATTGTCGGTATAGTTTGTCATTTTTGTCCACCATGTTTGTAATGTTTGTATGTCTAAAAAACATCCGGGTTGACTTTGGGAAGGAGCCCCTCTATATAGGGATGGAGCCTCCAAAGTCAACCCGGGGTGTTTTTTCAGTTCGTATGGATTGTCGGTATAGTTTGTCATTTTTTGTCCACCATGTTCGTACTGTTTGTATGTCTAAAAAACACCCGGGTTGATTTTGGGAAGGAGCCCCTCTATATAGGGATGGAGCCTCCAAAGTCAACCCGGTGTTTTTTCAGTTCGTATGGATTGTCGGTATAGTTTGTCATTTTTGTCCACCATGTTCGTACTGTTTGTATGTCTAAAAAACACCGGGGTTGACTTTGGGAAGGAGCCCCTCTATATAGGGATGGAGCCTCCAAAGTCAACCCGGGTGTTTTTTCGTTTTGTATGGTTTGTATTGTTTGTCGGTCTAGTTTGTATTGTTTGTACAGTTCATACGTTTGTAATGTTTGTATGTTTTGTCGCTCTAGTTTGTACTGTTCGTATGTTTGTATGGTTTGTACTGATTGTAAATCCAGTTTGTATACTTTGTAATTTTCCATAATACCCAAACTACCTCTGTCATTAATTAAATAGCCCTTCCAACTTTTTAACCATTGGATTGAAGTGTCCAGATCTAATGGCTAGGAGGGGCTTAGTCAAGTGACTAAGGACCCCCACCCCCCCTTAGTCATTGGATCCTCTCTCGTGTGTGTGGTTATTGATGGGTCAGTAACCAGTGGTTACTGACTCTATCTAGGACCCCAATCAATTGGGTATAGAACCGAACAGAGTATGAGAGAGGAAGAGAGAGAGAGGTCTATTTGGTGGTGGAGTGGAAAAAAGAACAACAAATGGAAGCCAACTAGAACAACACCACCACCGTACAAGGGATGGAAGGAAGAGCAAGCTACAAACCAAAACACCATGCATTAAACAACTACCCCGCAAACTAAAATTAATATTCCTTCTTCTCCCTCCTGCGTCTTCTGTTCCATCTCTGTTTCCCCAATTTCCTCTCTTTCGTGGAACTACTCCTCTTAACCCCCAAAAAACTGCCTCTTCTCCTCCCTCCGTTCCTTCCTTCGGTTGCATCAACCTAAGTGACACCTCTGCTTCTTCATCCATCTGCGGGATTTCCTGCCTTCTCCAGTATTCTACTCTTTGTCAATAGTAGCAGGACTCAGGGGCTCAGAGGTTTCCAAAGAGAGTCAGAAAAAGGAATTCTTTTGCGAGGAAATATTAGATCCAAAAGTCTTCCGCTTTTTTGAATCTGCTCTTCATGGAGCAGCTCGTCAACTTTATCATACGCCCGCCCAGGTAAGGATTAAGACAGTTTCCTGTGGCGAATTTCATATCTTCGCTATTGTTCTCTGTATTGGGTCTCTTTCGGTAGTTCGCGCTGGATGATTTTTGGTCTGTGGGGGGAAAAAGACTGTGATTTTGACGTGGAAGTAGTGGTTTTGGAATCTGGGTTGGAGAGAAAGACTGGAACTTTGTACCTATAAATTAGGTTGGAAGTTTGGAATTGTGATTTGATGTTAGTTGGGGAAGAGAGCAAGGCAGTGTAAGATTCGTCATAGGCTTGATCTCAGAGTTTACTTTCTGGCCAAACAGCAAGTGATCTAGGTTTAGTTCTCGTTTCTTAGGATTTGGGTCGGAACAGGAGATCCTTGATTGTTTGTTGTAGGTTTTGTTGGACTATTGAACTCATGTTTAAGGTAAAAAGCTGATTCGTCTGTTCCCCTTGTGTTGTTGAGCTGGTTCTTGTCGTTACTGAAACACCATTCTGGTTTGTTATCTGCTAAGATCTCGGCTTCTTAAGAGGAATTGAAGTTGCTTGTTATGGATGGTGTGTCTGATGTTATCCTCCTTAGTTTGTTGCAACTATGAAATCCATGTAGCCTTTCAGTAACTAATGGTTTGAGTCCTTGGTGATAGTTTCGCGGTGGGGAACTCATCTAATGAACTTGCTTAATACTTTCTAAATTGACAACGGTGGGAGAAGCAACACAAATTAAGCTGAAAATATTTGTTTGTCTGCAGAGCTGAATACAATCCAAAACATGATTTGTTGGAGCAGGAGTTCATGCTGCGAGGGAAATTATACCAGAGAAAGGATGTTGAGGTGAGCCGTTGAAACCTTTTCTTTGAATGAAATGTTTTTATGCTTATGTCTTATGGTTCTAGTGGTTATGGTTACTAAGCATTGTTTCTTCAATATTATTCAGATTAAGAACAACAGAGGAGATGTTCTTCAGTGCACTCATTATGTCCCCATCGTGAGTCCTGAAGGAAAGCCATTGCCCTGCGTAATTTATTGCCACGGAAACAGGTAACTGAGGAATGATACCTTGTCGAATCAACTGCTTATAGCACTATTCTTGTTTAGGATAAAAAAGATGATACTGTTGCGGTGTCTAATTTAGAACAACTGCATCCTTTATTGTGGTGTATTAGTTGATTGTGAACTTTATTTATATGAAACATATCTTTATATTCATTGTGGAGTTCTTTTAAGAGGATCTCCATGTTCTGTTACTTTGGGCAGTGGGTGCAGGGCTGATGCAAGTGAAGCTGCTATCATACTCTTGCCTTCCAATATCACGGTTTTCACTCTTGATTTCTCTGGATCCGGTCTCTCTGGTGGAGATCATGTTACCTTAGGATGGTATGAAGTAAGTGACAAGATAATACCTGCTTTAGGAATCTTATGTTTGTTACATGAGAGGTTACTGTACCATTCTCTTGCTTCTTTGATGGTTTAACATTTTCTCTCACTGTTTTCCCAGAAAGATGACCTGAAATCAGTTGTTGATTATTTGAGACAAGATGGGAATGTCTCTTTGATTGGGTTGTGGGGCCGATCAATGGGTGCTGTCACCAGGTTCTCCACCCCCCCCCCCCCCCCCCCCCCCCCCCCCAACTTTCTTCATGTTCTTATTATCGGCATGTGCAGCAGTGTTCAATTGTGAACACGGAGACGTGATTTTCTTTCTTGCACTATTGATGAGGGGGTCTTTCCATTTTCCATCATTCGCTGGCACTGTCTAACTCCAAGTTCACGAAGAGTTACTAACAATGTAAATTTCTGCTGCAGCCTAATGTATGGGGCACACGACCCTTCAATTGCTGGAATGGTGCTGGACAGTCCCTTTTCTGATTTGGTTGATTTGATGATGGAACTCGTGGACACCTACAAATTCCGTTTACCAAGATTCACTGTAAGCAGTTTTGAATATTGGGCAGTTTGTCATGGTCTTCCAATTGCTTGAGGAAGACTACATCACTGCTCCAGGTTCAAGTCTTGGTTTTACTGTTTCCTTACACCCAATCTCTTGTGTTTCTTTCTCAGGTGAAATTTGCTATCCAGTACATGAGAAAAGCAATCCAGAAGAAGGCTAAATTTGACATAACGGATCTGAACACTATTAAGGTGACGTTTCCCTTTCTGCCCTTTAACACGTTAGTATATAGTTATAAATAGAGGAGCTACTCCAATGAATTTTCTGATATTGTGGGTGGGAAAACCTTGTTATGCATCTTCCTTATAGGTAGCCAAATCTTGCTTTGTTCCGGCTTTATTTGGGCATGGGATTGAGGATGATTTTATACAGCCTCATCATTCCGATCGGATATATGAAGCATACATGGTAAGTTCCCCTCCTCCTATAGTTAACAAGTCCTAATGTCTTGCAATTCTCCTCCTTGGATTTCATAATGTTTATGCATAAAATTTTTGCAGGGAGACAAGAATATCATCAAATTTGAAGGAGATCACAATTCTCCACGCCCACAGTTCTATTTTGATTCGATAAACATCTTTTTCCACAATGTGTTGCAACCTCCAGACGATGAGATTGCAGGGCCTTATTTGGACACAATGATGGATTACTTTGGTAAGGTAAATTGCACTCCGATCACTACCCTTCAATATGGTTAACTGATTTGACAATTCATCCATATTCCCATCGTCCACCAATTATGGATTTTTTTTTTGTTATACCTTCAGCATAGTTGGAACAGTGACTATGACATAAGTGATACCCCAGAATCTTCAGTTTCACCAAAAGGTATGAGCTTTACACCGATTAACCATACTTCTAAGTTTCTTTCTTTTTAGTTTTTGTTTTGCTGGCAGCATCTGACCAGGTTTCCTGTTTATGTTAGTGGCAGGACCGTCGACAAACAGCAGCACAGAAGATGCTATCAAGCAAGTCCGACTAAGAAGACCCATGAGTCGGATTGAGGTAAAACAGTTAATCTATTAGCAACTCAGCGGGAACTTTATATACTTGAAACTATACGTCTGTTTCGAAAAAGTATGTATTGAGGTATCAAGCTAAATTTGTCCAAGTCAATCAATAAGCATCCATCAAACGCATGAAGTGTGGTGCAGTCTCTTCTTTACACATTCAAACTGATTTCATGAGCACGGTCTTTATTTGAACTGTACAATGTATGAATCTCTTGTATTCTTTCTCGTGTCTGTTAACTGTGTTCTTCCGGTCCGGTTAGGTTCCCTCGGATATTCCATCAACAGAAGACCAATCCAAAAATGAGGGCGGAGAAACTGACGATAATGATCTAGTACCATCATCGTCTTCTCGAATGATTAGCTTCGAGCTGGCCTCCAATGGGAATCCATATGGTCCACATGTTCCGACAGCGCCAGATGATGATCAGTACGTAGAATACCAACTGGAGGACTTGTCAGCCGCCCCATCTAACGCAGAGGAGGAAGAAAGGGTGGGTTATATCGCTTTTGATTCATATATTATGCTGAAAAAGTGAGAAGAAATGCAGTTTTTATGTTATCCTAACCTCAACTCATTCTATCTGTTAGATGCTGATGGAAGCAATCATTGCATCCTTAAAGGACATGGATGTACCAGCAAACTCTACTGGTACAGAATTATCTCAAAGTGCAGCAGTAACAGCTGCATCAGATGTCCAGACTAGCGATTCAAAAGAGGAGCTGCTACAAGTGGTTTCAAAATCGGCAGAATCAACATCCTCTTCTTCGTCGAGCAATGATGAAGCTTCGAGTGCAGAACGCCCATCTTCCATAGTGGAATCAACGACGACAGCAACAAGTCGTGGTGACACTACATCAACAGGCAGCATTGTGGAGACTGACTTGTCTGGTAAGACAAAGGCGACACTGACAGTAGAACGGAACCCTACGAACCATAACATTATGGATGGTATAATGCGGCGTTGGGATTTCAGCCTGTTCAGAAACAACCGATGATGAAAAGACGAAGGGGGGTAAACGAGCTTATGAGGTTCCTGCTCCCCTGATTGAAGTTGGAGATTCGTTTGTTCTGTATTTAAAGATAGAATCAGGGTGGGTTTTCTTTTTCCTAGTAGATTTGTGTAAAGGTATTTTTGAGAAGAAAGCGGAAAAAGAAACAGAAGAAGAAAGATAGGTGATTTTCTACGATGTTCCAGTTTCCCCATTTGATGATGGTCATGGTTTCTGCTACTTCTATTGATTCCTCTGATGCAAAGAAAAAAGGAGGAAATTTGTAATGGTTTGCTCATTGTGTCTGTGTGGAGCTGTTTGATTGATTGATTTTGTGCTTTCATTATCCTCTTTCCGCTTTTTTCCTTTGGAACTAAGTCATGCTTTCATTCTTTTTACACCCACCATTTATTCTTTGTTCGAATTGAATTAAATGAATAAATCATTGTTATAAAACTCGATTGTAAAAAAATACAGGTATAGTTACATGTACTTGTAACAAATTGATCATTATTCCAGAGGGGAAAAGAATCTCCATGATTTGGCTGAGAATTCGTTCAATATCTATTTACAGAGTCTCCACCATCAACGTTTTATCGTGCCACGAGCAACTCCATCGCAGTTTCCACCAACGAGTGAATGCTTACGCTGTGACGGCTCATTCCTACCGTACCAGAGAATATGTTGAAGCTCTCGAGTTCCGAAGTAGTTTCCAATACACATTCCAAATCCTTCTCAAATCCAAGCTCTCTAAACACCTCAGCATTTCTCCTGTTTTCCCTCATCATCCAAATCGCCAGCTCAATGCAGAACCTCCTTATTCTGGGAACCTTTGTTGGTGGATCTTCGTACTTTCGCAACGTTGTTACGATTATCGTCGCCAATTGAACATTCGTCATTCCTGCTCTCTGAAACATCAAGGCCGATTCCTGAGGGGTCATGAACTTGAATGCTTCTGCTGCTAGTCCCACCATTACCTCCTGCAGTTTCTTGTCTTCTGATGTGATTGCTTTCAGCACCTGCACAAATAGAAATGACAAAATTGTCAACCCGAAAAATTGCTAAATCGACCCAATCCTGACTCGTAACTCGTATTAGCACGACTCGATTAACCGACAACTTGATCCTCCCTAATCTCGATATCCTGACTTGTATATGACGTTTACTCGCAAAATATTGAGACGCACTAATTCTTCAACGACGCAAGTTAACGAAAATTACTAACCGTGGGAGCACAAGCAGTGACATCCTTCAACTGATCAAAGCTATCCCCTCCGCTATAGATGCACAAGTTCCTCAGGATCCTGCCAGCATTCACTCTGAGCACAGGAACCTCGAGCGCCGCAACGAGTTCGCTGAGCACCTTCAGCTTCAGAATCCTGTGACAATTGCTCCTGCTCTCCAAAGCCAACATCGCCAGAGCTTCCCCTGCTGCAATCCTGACATGACTCTGAATCGACCCGGGCCCATCTCGCTCGAAGAAAATGTTGAACAGTTCCTTCAGGATGCCACCGGTCCCACCGATCCTCTCCGTCGCCTCCTCTTCCTGCGCCAAGCTAGTCAGGATTTCGATGCTCAACTTCTGCAGCATCGGATGCTTCCCGCCGTGCCGCAAGATGTCTCTAATGTTGCTGATCGTGAAAACCACCTCCGATATCTCCTTCCTCAGTTGTTTTCCTGTAGCGCCCGTTGTGCTCGCCAGCATCTTCATCACCTGAAGCGATCTCTTCACCGTCAGGATCTGCGAAAGCGCAGCGTTTTCATCCTTCAGCAGCTTTTCTCCGGCGTGGGTGAAATCGATGATCTTCGGCAACAATCCTCGAGTGTTCCCAATCTTACCACAGTTGTCATGATCCCTAGCAAGCTTCTTCAGAATCAAAAGCCCTAAATGGTTAAACGTCCAGAATCCGTACCCGAAATGATCGCAAACAATCTTCTTCTCCCCAACTTCATCGGCTGCTGGTCTGTTCGCCTCTCTGTTCGTCCGAAGCAATGACGAAATCGACTCCATCGCTCCTGGAATCCCCGCTACACGAAGCGAATTCTGCTTCTTCCCTGCCAGCTTCGACAGGACCTCCGCAGCTGATCGACGAATCTCTTCCTCCTGCAAATCCTTCCAATTCAGCATCTCCACGAGCCGTTCGATCACCGAGATGTTCACCCCGACCTTCTGCAGAGTATCGTCGGAGAATCGCTCGCTGATCGAAAACTGCCGGAGCACTCTGGCTCCAATCAATTGCTCGTCAGGGGAAGTGGAGGACAAAAGCTCCATGGCGAACGAGACGACGTCCATTTTCAATCCGTCGAAGATGGATCCGTTGACCGATCTCGAGTAAGCGTCGTAGAAGAATCTCTTGATCGAAACCATTCCAGAGGGTCCCAATTCGCACTCCTGATTCACCTGCTCGAGGATTTTGCAGTAGATCACTTTCCACTCCCAGTAGGCCTTTTCCAGGAGGAAGAGCAGAGCCTCTGCTAGAGCTAAGGAGTAGAAGATTGTTAGAGCTGCTTTTCTGTTTCGTTTATCGGTGTCTGTTTTCGAAACTTCGCCGTAGTTGTGCTGGATTAGCTTCATGAGAGACAGAGTAACGCAGGCCGTGGCGGATGCGAGCTGGAGCCAGTAGAAGACTTTGCTGACGTTCTTGGAGAGGAAGACCCATTTCCCGTAAGGCAGAATCGGAACGTCGGAGCTCGTCCACGTCCGGCTAATCGACTTTCTCCGTTGATGCCAGCTGGCTGAACTGGAACTCTGTGGATTTGACTCTGTTCCTCTGTTTTGTCGACGACTCTGTTTTTGAATTGGCCGGAAAATTGTCCTGACTATCCCGGCGAGGAAATGGGAGCTGGATCTTAGCGCACGGAAGCTGTTGACTCCGGCGTCGGAGATTGACCACGTGGCCTGATGCTGCCATTCGAGCTCGTGACTCCGGCTGAAAATCCGGGCGCCCTCGATCAGCAATATAACAGTGATCAGCCAGAAATCGGTCTTGTCCAGTATGATGGCGAAGCCTCCGAGGAGGACGACGGTGGCCCAGATGAACCCTAGAGTGCCCAAGCTGGTGGCGGCTTTCTCGAGGACGGCGAGGCGGAGGGCGAACAGAGTCAGCTTCTTCTCCGGCGCGGCGGCGGCCGGGTTCATGACCGTCGGGGAGACGGAATTGGCTGTGCTGCTGTCTCGCTTCTCCACTCCTCCTACGCCGCTCCCCTGCGGCTCGAAGATCGTGGCCGACGAGGAGCCGTAGATTTCGCTCAGGCGGCGGAGCTCCACCACTTGGAGATGAATGCTGTGGTTGCTTCCCTCTTCCTCTGCCGACTTCCCTGTCTCCATTTCCGAAAAATTGGAGCTAACCCAGTTCTGATTTTTTAGGGGAAAAGGTCGAAACTTTGGTGAGAAAAATGTGATGGATTGTTGACAAGATGAAACGTGGTGGGTTTTTATAGAGAGAGGAAGGATTGAGCTTAAGGAACAACGTTGATTGTGTGTGTGAGGGATGATGACGAGGTGGAAACTGGAAAAATGGGGGAGAGACGCTTCAGTTGTTGGTTGCTCTGTTTTTTTCCGCCGTGTTTTCGTGGTGGAAGCGAAAGGCTTTTCTCCCGCTGGGTTTCTTGGGCGGAAAGGCTCGCCCTGCTGCCACTAGGAGTTTGCTTTTGCGGATCATCTCAAGTCAAGACAATGGAAGCAGGAAAAAAGTTACCCGCCATTTTCTGGTAATGACCGAGGTCAGAATGATTGCCCTGCTTTAACCTTTTTAAACTTCCTCCCTGTAAATCTGGAAAAAAAGGGCATTACAGAAACAGAGGATGATACTTCCTTTACAAGGAATCGTGGGGTACATGTTTATGGTGCTGCTAAATCAATTTGGCTAAGATGCTGAAGGGCTCGGTCGTCAGCGTTTGTTGTCATCGTTGGATTCGACGTTTTATGTAAATTTTAGTTATTAGATGCCACAATAAGATATCGCTTACAAAATAGTGTCATGGTAAATGTATGATCCAACAACACTAGTGCCATGATCTAACAACGCTAGTGAGCGCCGCCTACGCTTAGACCTATCATTCTATCAACGTGTTAAATGGAGTTAAATTATTGTTTTTAATTCGCTTTTTTTTCCTCCCTCCCTTAAACGAGAGAACGACTCTTCCCATCACACCACATTAAACTGTACCAACATCAACACAAAGTTCAACTACTTTCTATAGAGAAGAACAAACCGCATCATTCCGAGTGAATTGAGTACACAATCTCTCACGTCACGATGATCACTACAAAGATAAGTCGACTACCATATCGGTACGGTGGGTTATTGTGTACTTTTCCGAGGTCGTGATTGGGGAGAATATGCTGCCGGGGAACAAAATCGACATGGAAGAAGCAACTGACATATATCCATAAATAATTTCAACTTAAGTATGATTATTATACATACTTAACGAGCAGACAACCTTGGAAGGAATTAATTATCAGGGAAGGTGCCCCAAAGTCAAACGATAACCGCCTGCTATTAGCCTTGATCCCGATAATGAAAAGTAATGGGCTACTATTCTGTCTCATTCTTGCGCCTAATGATGATCCGGGAATCTGAGTCGTGGACGAGTTCTTAAGCTAAGTGTCGAGTCGCCACGACCAACTCGGCTGATTTGCTTGCAGAAGTGGGAGACTCGGACGAACAGAGGAGTGGCGTGGTGTCAAGTTAAAACAAGGCTATTGGCCCTTCTGAAAACGGCCCATACCCTGTTTCAGTTTGTCTCTCTGGCTGGTCACTGCTTCGTCCCTTTCACGACACGAAATTCAAATCCTCAATTTCTCATTCGTCCAATAAGCTGATGTAAGATCATTACCATAAATTGTAATTTGATAATCTCTTCTAGCAGAACTCAAATCCAGACATCCTTTCCCTGAACGGTATTAATATTATTACGCCATTGTTATTATTGCCCCTGAAGTCTTCCTCCATATCCAAACATCCCTTCTTCTTCCATCCCTTGGCTTCCACTGGACATTCTGTTTTGCAAGTCAATTACGCTGCTCTTTGCGTGCGGTTCTTCCAGTCTCAAAAGAAAAACAAAATTTTCTGATTTTCCACCTGGCAGGTCATGAAGCTCTCTGATTTCCTATTTTGCAGGGATGACCAACCAGCTCATGATTAGGGATGACAGATCAGGAAAACTTGACAAATTCTCAGATTCCTCCAAATTTTTGCAGCAAGATTATCATATCTCTATTACAAGCTATAATCAAGTTCCAAGCAAAATCTTCTGCTGTTATTAAGTCAAGCAAAAGCATCATTAACAACATTCTCTCTGTACCTCCCACCACCAACCTCTGTACCACCTGGAAAAAGATCCGCATATCCATTGACTTTGCAGAAAAGAGGAGATGTTGTTATGTACAACTCCACAATTAACGTGTAACTTGGCAAGGAGGTTCCTTCGTAGGAGCGACGAAGGCAAATAGTATGGAGCGCTGTTGTGTAAGGGAAGACAGGTGTGTTTTGATGAGCCTTTCTTCTGCAGATGCCTTCCCAAATGAATGCTTGAGCGTGTTAGGATGTGTGAGAGTCGCAAATCAGTTGAAGAAGTTCATTCTGCTTGCTTTGTCAACTTGGTTGCAAGTTCTAGCTCTCTGTATATCATTCATGGAAGAAAAAAAGAAAAAAAGAACAGTTAGAGCAAGTCCCAAGATGCAAAGCTTCGGTAGAACACAGTTACATCCCAACAAGGAAGCTCATATCAAGTGTATACAAGTAATAACAAAGGGGATAAGAGGCAAATTGAAACCTTCACTAATGCAATAAATTTACCAAGAGCACATTCGTTCTCAATTCAGAAACTGATATTCATACAAAAAGCCAGAACATTTACAGCATTGGAGCAAGAATGGCGTGACAAATAAAAAGCTGAGCTATCGAAGGTTTGAATTCCCTTGTTACTTGTATTTTATTTTGTTTTAACCTGTCCAAGAAGTAGGTAAGAAATTCAACTCTCAAAGATATCAATGACTGCGCTAACTGCATCTTAATGTGAAGAGACAAAAGGAGAAAAGAAATGTCTGGTGGCACTTGGCCAGAGCTAAAGCCCTAGAACTCATGAACTAGAAAACAGATGAAAAAAACTTGCCCATTGTCCAGAAGCTTGAAAGAAGCCATAAGTCTAAGTCGTCAGGGACAAAGTAGAACACGTCACTGGAGTCATTATATCAAAGGGACAAAGTACAATAACCTTTTTCCACCCGAACGATAACTGGATCAATTGGCCAAACTACTCATCACTACCAAAAAATTTAGATTCTCGTTTTCGCTTCCAATTCCACAAGAATGGAATTTGCACAAGCACTGCCATAAACTAGAAGACAAGGAACCATGCCCACAAAAAGGATCAAGTTCTGAGCGTCAACCAGACAATCAACAACACAAAAGTGACAACCTTTAGTTTGTTTGCCGCAGCTAAATTGCAGCACACTTACGCCGAACTCTCGCCTTCTCAGCATCGATAATCGACTCGACCAACTTCACCGCCTCATCGAGCTTCCCATCGGCATTCACAACAACGTAATCGAAACTCTTCACATGCCTCACTTCCTCCCTAGCAGTAGCAATCCTCACAAGCAAGTCCTCTTTACTCTCCGTCTTCCTATCAATCAACCTCTCCACTAACTTCGCCTCACTCTCTGCCACCAAGAATATGAACACTGCAGAGTCCTTCAATTTCTTCCTCAACGTGTGAGCTCCCTGGATGTCAACCCTCAACACAATATCGCACCCTCTACCCATAAACTCCCTAATCTGCGATTTGGGGATCCCTTTGTAATCACCATAAACAAGCGCATACTCCAAGAGCTCATTCCTATCCTTCATATCCAGAAACTCTTCCTTGGATACAAAGTAATAGTCCTTACCGTGGACCTCGCCGGGCCTCATCGGCCTGCTGGTAGCAGTGACCACAAAGTGCAAATTTTCCCCCCTCGACTCCTTCAATTTCCCTATCACCGCATCTTTCCCGACGCCGCTCGGCCCGCTGATCACGATGATGAGAGGGTTCGGCGGCGGGGAAATTGGGTCGGTGGAGAACGACGAACCTAGAGCGGACTCCAGGGCGCGGAATAGCTCCGGCTTGGTGGCCTTCTCGATGACTGGGATTGTGGGTTTTGGTTTCCAGGTTTCGCCCATCTTGGGAGTGGGAGAAAAGCAGCGAACTTGGGTGGAATTGGAAGGGGAAGGTTTTGATTTACGGCGGATTGGGGGGCGGCGAAGGACGGCAGAGGGTTGGCGGTGGAGGAAGAGCGGAGAGGAAAGACTGGGGGCGCGGGAGAAGGAGAAGGAAAGACCGCGAAACATTGAGGAGGAAGACAGATGGCGCGATTGGAGGTTTTAGGTGAATTGGTGGAGGAGGAGAAACCGGAGGAGGGATTGGGGATCCTTCTAGGGTTTAAGACCAGCCGGGAGGTTTCATGCTCTGCTTTTGGATTGAATCCATTGATTAGACAAATTAATTATTAAAAGCTTAAATGGGAAGGCGAATTAAAATGGATGATGGTTATGGGTGTTGGGAAATAAAAGTTTTTTTCTTCTTAACTCTCTAAACTATTTTCATTTTTCAGCTTCTCAAACCCTAAAAAGTGCAATTTTTAATTTCCCATTTCTACTCCATTTATTTGCACTCTAATTTTATGCTTTATATTAAATTTTTATAGTTTGTTATTAATTTTGAAAACAAAATTTTTATGTAATTTATTTAAATTTCGAGACAAAAACATTTGAAAAATTAGTCATTAATTTGTTGTCGTTAACTTTGGGACCACTTCAAATATGATAGTTTTCTATAGTGTTTACTTCATGGCCTTTTCTGTCATTTTGTAGCATTTGGCTTTATAAATGATAGTTATTCATTTATCATCAACTCATCCGAAACTTAATTCTCCCAATTTCTAAAACAAACACATTCATCATGAGTATCACATATAGCTCATCATCTTGAGGAGATGAAGAAATCAAAGAATATGAAAGGTATCACAACCTGGGTTTGAGTTTAATCGATCAGAGGCTGGTTGAAGGTTTCATCATTTCGACGCTAAACTCACATTGATCGTGAAATGGTCGAATGTAATCGACGTCTTATGAATGATTACTTTCATCCAAATTCGTTATTCATAAGACATTCTTCTGTCAATAATCCATAACGGGATAATAATCAGCTCCTCCATTTTCGTCTCCATCTCACCATCAGTTGGATTAGAGTTGGGATCATCTTGATCGTACCCCAAAATGTCATTTTGTTTACTTCTCCAAAACCTATTCTTTTCTTGATGTTAGCCTTGATAAATCCTTCTCCATAATAGCTATATTTTGACGAAGTATTGCGGCTGCCCTTTGTTTCTTCTCAACAAGCCACTTTTATATTTCACACTCCCTCGCTTGCCTCTTGTACGCACATTCCTCTTTTTCATGCTCTAATCTCATCTATTGAACATTCATTCCTCTTCGTTCGTACTCTATTCTCGACTTTTGCCTCTCTTTTGTATCATTACCAAACTCTAGCAATTGAATAGTGTACATGTATGACGACTCAACAACTACCTTATATTTCTTCTTTGCTGCCTTTTATTTGTCGCATCCTTCATCTTATAAATCCTCAAGTCTTTCCACATGAGAGGATTGATGTAAACACATATGAGAGAAATTCAGGAACATTGCCCCATATGTGGAATGAGACCAACGACTATTTGAGAATCTCAATATTATTTTGGACAATTTCGAAGAATGACCTAACAATACTCATAAGCAAAAGTTTTGTTCACATTATCTTGTTTATATATCGATCTTATCACGCGTTCCTGATAAAATTATTAATACATGAGTAAGAAAAGTAAAATAACATTAAAAAAAAAAATTTGAGGTTCCAATAGAATACTACATCAAAACTCAAATTGGTTCGTGCCACTCAATTGATTCCTCTCTGCTCTTTGCACAACTCCCTTCCAAGCATTGCACTTGGAGTTGATAATCCTCATTCACAATTCCATTGACTACGATACGAGTTGTTGCAAGATCCCATCTTCGATGTTTTATTGCCACCCTTTTCCAAAACCTCATGGCTTGGCTGATGCCAACCGCTCCATCTTCCGATATTGACACCCAAGCTTTGCACAATATTTCATCTTCATTTTGTCGTCAATTAATTCCTCTCTTGCTTTCCATTTTCATGTGTTCCATAGACAATAAAAATATGATTTTGTGAGAATGTGATTTAAACTCTGACACTGAGTGAAGAGAAATCTGTAAAAGGGTGATTGAATATATAAGGAAAAATATGGTAGTTTTTATGGCCGTTACTTCGCGGTTTGACAGTTCGACCCAAAATATCACCCTACATGAAAAATTGAGGACATATCTCATGTCGTTTCAGACTGACTCTGATTTCTGGTTATTCCGGTCCAATCGACCGGTACGGACCTATATCGCCAAGACGCCAACCATGTATTAAAGTAAGCATAATATTAATCTATCTATCTATCTATCTATAATAATATTATGGCAATTCAAAATTAAATTTTTGCCACATAAGCACCTGGAGAGATCTCAAGTTGCCAAGGTGGATAATTTTTTTACAAAAAATAGTTATTGACCTATTTATGGAGTTGTCCCTCTCTCTTCATTTAATACTTAATTCTCTTTTATCCAATAATTATTTTGCTTTTGTTCTTGCATTATATCTATAAATAATACATGGAGAGTAAGGTTATCAAACCAGTTTAGCAAGTGGAATGGTTTTACCAGTAGTAAAACCGGTTTGTGTCGGTTCATGCCGATTAATAAAATATGGAAAAATATCAAAAATTCATATTGATATTTGAATAAAATATGATATTTCAAATAAAATTACATTTACTCATACTTAAATTCACTAAAACTACGTATTTTACTTAGAAATTCGTAAAACGATCATACCGGTCATACCGATGGTGTCATGTCGATTTCATGACCGGTACCGGTTGAATGGTTCAACCGGTGGCATCCGACTGACGTGACAATCATGATGGAGAGTGACATATATCACTTTTTTTTTGCATTTTATCGATGTACTCAACAGTATACTAATGTTCGTAGTGTGACATATATATCACACTTTTTAAACCAAAAAATATATGATTAAAGATTACTATGTAGATTTCTGCTCATTTTTACTAAAAATTAATAATAATTTACATTTTAATGAATAATTTAAACAAATACACAATAATAATAATATTTTATCGATAATGTCTGAAAGAAACTTGACCAAGAAATAATAGTTATTTATTAAAAAAGCTTCTTATTCATTCTCATCAAGTGAAAACATATGAATCGCATGTGCAGTATTTATAATGTATCCTAAGTTCACATTACTAATATTTTCTCTAGGTTATGTTGATTGAGCAAACTCTATTGAGGTCTTACATCATATGCTAAGAAATTTTCTTTTCAGACTTGGAGTTATTTATTGTTAAAGATTATAAATTGAATTTTCCAAAATGACTTAGAGTATAATAGTTGATGAACTTTGACTTCATATTCTAGGATGAGACACGAGATCCCTTGAAAAATGAAATGTGTGAAATTTAGAGAAATCTTTGTTAAGGTTGTATGTTAAACATCACATTTCATGCTAAGTAAAATCTAAATTCGACGATTGAGGTAATAATAAACATTAATGTTTTACTTCACATATATAACAAAAAACATTTTTAGTTACAATAGTATAAACCGAGCTATTGGGTCAAAAGAAGAATATTTAATAAATATGAGTTTAGTAAGAAAATTGTAACAAGTCTATATAGTTGTGAGCCTGTGATTTCATACCAAATTTTGGCAATAAAAAAAAATATCATATTTCACCCAAAGAGCTAAGTTCAAAGGTATTAATTAGTGTTGAAATAAAATAAACTATCTGTATATATATGTTTAAATATTAACAATAGATGTGTCTACAATACATCTAATAATTTAAATACATGTGAAAAGAAACAATGTTTGTATGAACTTTTAAATTTTTTGCTACAAAATATTTTGTTAAAAAATTATAAGTTAATTATTCAAGGAATACATAATTTTGAATGCACCTGAAATATTGTCTGTAGTATACACACTTTACCAATTATTAATATAAGTAATGAAATTTTTGTTCTATAACAAAAACCAAATATAAAGAAATTTTAGCGAATGGACATTCAAATAGTTGAAAATTTATACATTGAATTGAACATGTTAAGATGAGAAACTTCGATAGTGTATATGAATGCCTTGGATTCAGATTATAAAAAAACAAATAGACAAAAGGCATGGGTTGAAAGTTAGTCCAAACTTAAAATATTAGCAATTGATATATATTGTAAGATAATAATAATTTGTACCTTGATAGAAAAATTGTCATAAGTTGCTATACTAAGACTTCATGAACATCAACAATAAAAATGAGTGAGGTTTAGAGAATTTAATCATTATAAGGAATACGATGTGTGTCAAATTTCAATTGGGATAAACATAATTTATCCAGTAATCAAATATCTTTTTCCAATAATTTGAACTCTGATTAATTGGCTTAGAGTTTGTACAAACTCGAGAATCATGAATTGATATAAGTTGTATAAGATAATAAATTTGAGGGTCTTGGTGGAAAATTTTTTATATACGATCCTAAATGGGTCGTGATAAACCTTTACGACATGATTTGTAATCAGAGAATAAAAACATCACAAGCGAGTGTGCTAACTATTAAATATTAAGAATTTTCGATATAGGCTTACCACATATTCACTTATGAAGCAAGAGCGAAAAATGTATACAAGATTCAAAAAGTTCAAATATGTAGATAAGTTAACTAATATAAATAATAAAATGAACTTCTTCGGCCAACTGGCCAGGTAAAAAACTAGTATAGGTTAACAGAAAAAAAAAAGGAGAATGGGTTTACATTTTTAGTATTTTACAAACAAAACCAAACAGAACGATATAAATAAAAGACTTCGGGGTCGTTTGCTTCATGGATTTCAAAATGAGGGTTTTATAATTTAAAAACCCAAGGATTTATCAAGGATTTGAGGCATCATGGATTTGTAACAATCCTTTGTTTGTTGGGATGTTTTTATCATGGATTTAAAGGTGTGGGATTTACTACTTGAAGTCAAAAATTACATTACTGCCATTTTCTATATGTTTGACATTTTTATGATATGTACACAAAACAAGGACAAAACTTCAAAATTACCTTACTATCATTTTCTATATGTTTGACATGTTTATGATATGTACACAAAACAAGGACAATACATACTAATAAGCATAATGTTGCCACATGGACAATAATAATAAACGAGAAAATTCCATTTTAACTTTTAACATAACATAATCAATTACCAATTCTTTGTCCTCCTTTTCAAAAGTAACATATAACAACATATATTAGAATCGGGAGAACAAAGAATTACACGTTCCATGAAAATGTCAAAGAAAACTAGAACACAAGAAATGATATAAAAAATCTAACTCATGTTTGCACATTAATTGAACGTTTATATTATTCATTTATTGTTAATTATAATGTATAATAGTTAAATTTGAGGGCAACCTTGGAATAATAAAAGTGCATGAGGGTATATGGGTAAAATCTCATCAAGGATTTATGCCATATTCCAAATTCCACATCAACATGTGGGATTTATAAGTCTGTGGGTCCACGGATTTGGACCCTTAAAATCCGTGAGGCCCACGGATTTGGTCTCAAAAAAAGTGCAAGCAAACAACGGATTATACCTAAATCCTTGATAATTGGTTTTTTGTACCAAATTCATTTACCAAATCCTTGAAGCAAACCCCTTCGTTTCCATTATTAATGGCTTCCTTCTTCATTTTGATAATCTGTCACGTTTTTCATCTCGCCCACCAGTCACCAGATAAGTAAAGTCATCGCTTCCTCTCCCAACTTCTTCTTCCGATCACCTTCTTCCTCCGCCGGCGATTTCCGTCGGCAACCTAGATCTACCTCACAATCTTCTGTTTCCTATCCTACGTCTCCTCCAATAATCCATTATCCTCCTTTTCCCCCTTTCCAAAACCCTGATTTCGCCCCGCCGAGCGCCCGGGATTCCCCCGCGCTGAATCGCGACCGCCGGACAAATTTGTCGAATTCCCTCGACAATTCTCCCGGGAACAGCTGCTGGGCTAAATCGGATTCCCTCGAATTCCCGTTCCTCTTATCGGTTGATGGACGCAATTAGGGTTCGCGACAGTGATCTCGCGAACAAGCCGAGCTCGTCGACGTCGCAATCCCCGCTCTCGGTGACGACCTCCACCTCGAGGAACGAGACCATCAATGGCTCCCACGAGTTCGATATCAGTGGCTACTCGCTGTCGAAAGGGATGGGCGTCGGCAAGTACATAGCTTCCGAGACGTTCTTCGTCGGGGGCTACGCTTGGGCGATCTACTTTTATCCCGACGGGAAGAGCCCCGAGGATAACGGGAATTACGTGTCTTTGTTCATTGCGCTGGCCAGCGAGGGGACGGATGTCAGGGCGTTGTTCGAGCTGACGCTTATGGATCAGAGTGGGAAAGCGCGGCATAAGGTTCATAGCCATTTTGGGAGGAACCTGGAGACGGGTCCTTATACCCTTAAATACAGAGGGAGTATGTGGTGAGTGCTTATATCTGGCTGTGCAATTTGCTTTCTCCTTTCTCTCTGCACTTCGATTATGCTATCGTACAGTTTATTATGAGATGATTGTGCAATCCCTCGGTAAAGCTAATGTCTTTTTTGAAGGGGTAGTCAGTGAATGCGATCTCTTGCCTATTGCTCATGGTTAGGTTGGTTGTCAAATTGGTTACTTCATTTAGATTCGTGATGAGTTGGAGATCACTTCAGTACTTGGGCGTTTGCATCTTAAAGCAAGTTAAGTAGTTTATAGTAACATAATTACGGCTCATACTACTCTCTAAGTGTATGTTTAAGTCATATGAATGTGTTATCTTTGAATCGAGATCAGAGATACATCGCAGCAGTAGTGATTATCAATCAGGGACATGAATATGTAAAGTAAGGTATTTTGGGATGAGGTAAACGGATAAGATGACTTGTAGGCAGTTGCTAATATTAGGTTTGGTATATTCTTGAGTGTTTGTTTAGACTCATGATGAATTGGAGAAAACTTCTGTAGTTGGGAGTGAAGCATATATAAGCAGGGTTGGACGATTATCTGTGGTCACCTGAACTTTGGCATCTTTGCTTGATATGAGAAATCCATTTGATGTTGCCAAGATTGTCAATCTGGTAGAACCAGTGGCGCAGTACGTGATGTATCTCATGACGGCTATTTATTTAATTTTAAGCATTTACTGGACTTGAGTATTTCAATTGTATATTGAGGCGCATCATAGGTTGTGGTTGAGGACCTGAAGTTGTGTGGTTGTTGCAGGGGTTATAAGCGGTTTTTCAAACGAACTCAACTGGAGACTTCAGATTACCTAAAGGACGATAAACTTGTAATCCGTTGCTGTGTTGGTGTTGTTAAGTCGCAGACAGAGGGACCTAGGACTTATTCAATTCCTGTGCCACCTTCTGATATTGGTCTTCAGTTTGGAATGCTCTTGGAAAGTGGGAAGGGGTCTGATGTAAATTTTGAAGTTGATGGAGAAATTTTTTCTGCACACAAGCTGGTTCTTGCTGCACGCTCTCCAGTATTTAGGGCACAGCTGTTTGGTCCAATGAAGGACCAAAACACTACGTCCTTGAAAGTTGAAGATGTAGAACTCCCTGTTTTTAAGGTTCTTTCTCTCACTTCCTCTTTCTCTATACCAATTTGCTTATTTAAGCTGTCTTATTTTTAATAACTTCCGCACATTACTAACCAAGAGAAGAGCAGAAAGCACAGTATCTTCTGCTGCAAACTCTTCTGCTATTATCACAAACGTCATTCGTTTGTATAGTGGGATATCCTGCTTGCTAATGGCTTTCCTGGCTCTCCTTCAAGGTTAGCTTTGTTTAAGTGGTTGATCTGAATAGTTTGTGGTTTTTAGCGCTTAGCTCATTATATCAATGTTAGGAGTGCATAATCTACTCGTTTATTTAAATGCAACGAATGAAGATTTGTGAGGTAGCTTTTGTAGGTTGGTTACCTGTATTATTAGGTGAGTAATTATGGTGCCATACAGGATGATTGTGATGCCATACTCGAATATACTTGTGGCTTTCATCCGCTATGGTGCTCTCCTGTGCACAATTCTTACTCCAGCTAAGGTCTACTTTCTTCTTGCTTTCTCCTCGTGATTGATGCTGCTAAAGTTGGTACTTGTCCATAACTACTTAAGTTTGGCAGCATTATCAGTTGGTTGAGCAGTTATTGTGAAGAGCTTCACCTAGCTTGGGGCATTGGACGGAACTTTTCCTTGGTGCTGCCCCTTGGAGCTTCATTTTTTTCACCCCTGCTTTTTTGTGCATGTAATGGAGTGGCAGAGATATCTTGTGTCTTGGTCGGTTGTGAAACACTTTGAGCTTATGAGGAAATAGATCTGAAGCCAAGGATGCAGCAGCATCTTTTCAGAACTCAGATTCTACAGTGATGCGCTGCAGTTTCTTCTGGCTTGGCTGTCTGGAGAAATCTGTGCATTGCTTCTTTCTTTTTATCTCGCTCATGGATATTGGTTAACACAGAATTGCTTATTTACTTTTTTTTAACGGTTAGATCAAGATTAAACAGTTCTGAAATGTAATATCTTTTCTCACTTGTGTGCCGGAATGTCTGCAGGCTCTACTGCACTTCATCTACTGGGATGCCCTACCTGACCTGGAAGACCTTGTTGGTACAGTGAACCCCAAATGGGCTGCCACATTAATGGCACAGCATCTACTTGCAGCAGCTGACCGTTATGCACTAGAGAGACTCAGATTGCTCTGTGAAGCAAAACTATGTGAGGATGTTGCTATAAATACAGTTGCAACAACACTGGCCTTGGCCGAGCAGCATCAGTGTCTCCAATTAAAAGCTGTCTGCCTCAAATTCATTGCAATGCCGGAAAATCTGAAAGGTTAGCCTACTTTGCACCTCAATTTTGTGTTACTGAAATCTTTCTTTTCCAAAACTGCATATTGCACTCTGTTCAAACAATGCTAGCCCATTTGATGCCCAGATTCCTCTTTCCATGTTCATGTTCAGAGCATCTATATGTTTTATAAAGGGCTCATATAATTATTCTTGCCAAGGACTTCCTAGTTTTCAACTTTATGCGACTGAGACTCATGAGGAGTATGGGTGAATCTTATGCAGCTGTCATGCAAACTGATGGATTCGAGTACCTGAAGCAAAGTTGCCCTACTGTCATCACGGAACTGTTGCAGTATGTTGCCAGAGTTGGTGAGCATTCTTCAGCTGCTGCTTCTGTTCTTGGGATTGAAAGCTTAGACGGCGACATGAACGGTAGAAGGGTGAAGCAAAGGATCCACTGATTTGTAGCCGTAAGTGGGAAGAATGAAAATTGTGTGATGAAGATCTTGTTAGGGCTTTGCACAGTTTTGCAAACTGTACTGACCACTGTAGGTGTCGTTGCAAGGAGAGAGAAAATGGAAGGGAAAACTAGAGAGAGTGGTAGATGTGGGTTTCATTTGTTGTGTAGTGTATTCACTAACATTGGATAGTAACTTCAAATTTGTGAAGTTCTTAACATTTATGGTTGTGATGTGATATGTTCAGTAGCCTGCTATTGACACTTCAATTAGGTTGGAGCAGAAATCTGGGTGTATACATATTCGCCTGTTAATGTCTGTATTTCCTGTGGAGTACACGATTAATGGAAGGTTTTGACTGTCCTGAGTGGATAGCAATGCCAAATCTTATTGTGAGTGGTTATATGAAAGGGTACAGTTCCTTCATCCTTGCAAAGCAAATAGTAAATGATTGATGACGAGGTTTACTCGAGATTGTAAGTTATCGATAGGATATTTTGTACTGAAAGTCTGAAATTATAATTCAACCATTCTATTATTACTAAATGTTATCTACTAATTTAGTATTCGGTAGGAGATTTTTACAGTTAAACCGTCTGTATTTCACAAAACCATAAATCATAGATGCAATTTGCATGAAATAATAAGCGAGCACAAACAGTAACCAATAGGGATTCCTTCTATAGAAATAGAAGGATCCATGGCCCTGGAATATCACAATTCACAAGCACAAAAAGCAGGATCTTTATTTAACAAAGTTACATAGACAGAAGTGTACAAATAGTGAATACGAACAATTTGGGGTTAACATAACAAAAGGGTATAAAAACTTCCTATCTCGGAACGAACGAACAAGAGATGCAGAGAATCTGGTAAGCAACCAGCCAACTCTACCCGACTCTGATTTACGAACATCAGACTCCTTTCGTGTGGGCTGACTACTGAGCTTAAACCAGACATGCAATATCCGAGTATTCTCACGAACCAAGAACCTGTTTATTACAGCTTTTTTAACCTTTCAGTTAGATAAATAAATTACACAACCTGTTCCATTCTCTGCTTCACTTCGTCCTCTCAAGACAAGATAGTCCCTCCGACCAGTCTTTTGAACCACCCTTGGCACCAAAGTAGTCCATTGCATGACCGAGTACTCGAAGCAGGTGAGTCCAGTTCATAGCAGCTCCATTAGGGAAAATGGAGAAATTGAAGTGTTACAAACTCAGCCAACCAGGCTGTGTATAACCATCATCAATACCATTGACTTCCCGGTCCACCTTGAGCAGCAGCAACTTTCCTTGCCATGAACTGTGGTTTTGGCTGCAATCCATTGGACCCTTCAATTCCATCGTCTTCTCCCCTGTCGTTCTTGCAGCCTGGGTTTCTTCTCGGATACGAACCGTTCGAAGAGGTGTATTGAGATGTGGTAGAAGAGTTTCTAACCATTCTCCGTTGGTCGACAACAGGCTCTGCTGCTGTGGCACAGTTGTTGTATCGCAGTACAGAGCCAACAACTTTCCCGGGACGAGCAGGTCCCGCTGTAGAGATAAGTCAATTAAATTATTAATCACACACAAATATTATCATAATTGAAAGGATAAGGAATTCCAAGGCAAACCACCGAAATGCTAGGTGTTAAGAGTGCTTAGTAAATAACCAAACCACTTCCAGGGATAGGGTTTGAAGAAAGGAATATGTGGCACGGTTACCTTGAATACTTTGAGGGACTTGAATGGGAGGCCTTGTGATAGGGATACCACCACTCTTGTCCATGTGTGGCTTCTCGATATCTTTGATAGAACATTTAGAAAGATCATTTGCTACTTTTGCTGAGCTCAGCATAGGATTCTTATCTGAATATAATACACAGGCCCTGCATGCACCATTGTAGTGTATAAACACAGTGAATAAAATCCCAAGATAGCAGCATGTCAAACCAAACGAAAGAACACTTGCCACACCTTGGCAATGATGCATGAGTTCTTTCTGGCGGAGTAGCAGCAGGCCCACCATTTCCATAATGCTCCTCAAGATATGCAAATTGCTTCTTGAAATGGTCAACAGCACTTGGGTACATGAAGCCCGTTGGTTCTGAACCTTCTAAGAATTCTTTCAACATTTTTGGATGGTACTCCAGTGTTTCTCTGTAAATGAGCTCTCTTACATCTTCTTTTGTTATTCTTCGCCTCTCAAATTCAAATTCCATCTTGGTAACAGGTTGAGCAGAAGGCTCTCTCTCAACTTTGGCCAAACCTCTGAAATATGGATCTGCAAGGGCCTGGCAAAATGACAAAAAATATAAATCTCTCTTGGAGGGGAATGTACTCGTTCTGTAAGTCATAAGATGAGTAAATAGAGACACTCGCCTCTTCAGCAGTAGGCCGGTCTTTGGGTTCAAATGCTAGCATTTTTTCTAATAATCTAAGTGCAAGAGGATCTGCATGAGGGAATTTGTGAGTAAAAGGAATTGGCTTCTTCTTCCGCATGCTACTAAGGTATCTCCGAGCTTTCTCATTGCGAACCTGTTAATGATAGTGATGCTTTCATTTTAGCATAAGTACCCTCAGGAATTAATGAACATTATGGAATATATGATGATGAGAGGGACTGGGGGAGATACCCTTGCAATTGCTTCAGAAGATGGGGTTCCCAAAAGATCAGTCATCAGATCCAACTGATGGACTACATTTTTCCCGGGGAAAAGAGGTTTCCCGGTCAAAAGTTCAGAAAAGATGCATCCAATGCTCCATATGTCTATTGCTGGTGTGTACTGCATATATAACAGAATAGCAAACTGAGTATGAATACTCACAAGAGGTTTGTATCTGAGTATGTGCAAACAGTTCTACCGATTCTATGCGAGAAGAGAAGCACTAATGACTAAACATACAGTTTAGTGAGGCTAAAGGGGCAGGAGGAAGCAGCATTTAGCGTGACAATGTGTGAACTGGAATAGAAAGTTAAGACCAAAGAAAAGCTTTATAGCACTAATCACGCACCTTGGAGAAAAACGACCCACACAATTCTGGAGCTCTATACCATCTCGTAGCAACATAATCCTGGGAAAGAGCAACAACAGAAACAATTAGCTTTGCCGAGATGCAAAATTGTTAATAGTCTAGTTTATTCCCCAAAGTTCCTCTGCATGTAAATTCATTAAAGAAAGGAACTTACTGTCCAGAAAATAGCCGTGGGAGTGTCATTGAAGGCAACTCTTGCTAGGCCGAAGTCACAAATCTTTAATTTACAGTCAGCATTGGCTAAGATATTTTTAGGTTTTAGATCCCTGTGAAACACATTGGCTGGTAGAAAGAAGAAGAATCAATACAGGCATGAATCACAAGTACTCACAAGAAAGGGTATAATGAAGTTCACAGCTTTTACTGACGTCAAAGTAGTTCGTCAATCCCCTCACCAGTGTGTATGTACTTCAGGCCTCGGAGAAGCTGATAAAGAAAGAACTGATAGTGCTCGGGTGTTAGATCATCATTTGCTTTGATAACTTGGTGTAGATCAGATTCCATCAACTCAAAAACTACATAGATGTCCTTAAACTCCCTTCTGGAAGGGGGCAACAAGATGTGCTTGATCTCCACAATATCCGGATGACGGAGAAGCCTGAGAAGTTTAATTTCTCGAAGGATGCGTGTGGCATCAGAGACATGTTCAAAGATGTCATTGATTTTCTTAATTGCAACTTTCTCTCCTGTGTGTGTGTCAAATGCAGAGCAAACAACACCATAACTTCCTTTGCCAATAACTTCCTCTATTTTATACCTGCTCCCCTCACCATACTCGGTGAAAAAGTCAACTTCGACAGACTGCAGCAAAATTGCAGCAATGTATTAAGACATAGGAGAAGAGCAACACAGTTAGATGGAACATAATAAACTGCTGAATGGACCAGCAGTGTTCAACTAATATTTGAACAAAACCAGAATTTGGCCAACACATATGCGAACACCTAACAAAGAAAAGGCACTTGGCCTACATTTTATCTAAGAAAATCTCTCATACTAAAATTGCCGGTCTAAACATGATTGGTTTCTGTTCTCATGTCAGATGGCCTTTAAGTTAAGTTCCAATAACATGGATTAGCTTTATCACAGAAACTACCAAATGGCTACTGCCGTAGGCAAGCTGAAGCAGTCACAGATACTTGACCCAGATTTCAGTTCTACATGGAACCCGCAAAACTTAGTAAGCTACGAACTTACCTCTGACTATCATAGCAATGGATTAACTTATCATTTTATCAATTGGTTGTTTCACATATCAAATCATCCAGAACATAGGCAGTTGATAAGCAAACTCATTATTATATAGATATGAGATAGTGGGACCAGCCATAACTCGGCAATAGGGAGACAAAACCATGTAAACATGACGAAATGCTGTTGGTTCAAAATCCAGATGTGCAGTCAACAACATCCAAGTTAATAATTAACATCCGAAAATCTACTGTAAAGTTACACAAGAAGATTACAAGTCCAAATTCTTAGTTTATGTCCAACACCAGCTTTTGCAATTTGATTCAACCAAGTAGTTGACACCACATCATGAACAATAAGCATCACAGCACATTTTTACCTTCTTTCGCTGATCAGGCTGCATCTCAACACCAACAAAGCATTAATCTTTCTCCAAAATTCTTTATCAAGCGGGAGTCTGCCTCCACCCACAAACCGCAGTGTCTTACAGTACTGAAAGCTCTCTCGAGTGTCAATTTGAAAGAACCCAGATAGCCAAAACTTCAAAGGATTAAACTTCACCCCAGATCAGCAAAAACCCAGTAAAATCTGAAATGGAATCCCACCAAAACAAAACCTAGAACTTCCTTAGAAGCCAAATCGAATCCAACTAGCAAAGCAAAGATCGGGGCAATCAATTCGGCACCGAAAGGAATTGAGCAAATCCCAACAAGTTCCCGAATCGGGGAAAGGGCAACTCACCCACTGTCTGGCACCGAAACAACAGAAGAAACAAGACAGAAGAGACGAAAGAGGGTAAGTAGACAAAGGGCACAAGAGCTTGCGGCCAATTGAAGAAGAAAACAAATGGAGACTAGAATGAAAGAACCCAATAGATTAACGGATCAAGTTGGAAGTGGGTATACAAAGAGAAGCAGCGGCAAATACTAAAAAGCTTTTTTTGTGGGAAACGGAACCAGCGATGATCGCTACTACCTATGCCAGTGTAAGAATCAAGAAGGAAGTGGGAAGGATACAAAAGCAGAGAGCTTTTAGATCTCGGAGGAGGAGGAAGAAAGGAAGAATAGGAGGAAGGTGTGAGATGGGGGCAAAATAATATCAAGCCAGTAGTGATGATGAACAACACGATGTGTTAAAGCTTAGAGTCGAAGTTGAAGAAAGGGGAAGGCTTTCTTTGTGGCGGAGAGGAAAGAGGGAGGAAAATAATCAGGTTGAGAAAATTATATTATTTATTGTTTATTTGTTTCTGTTTGGATATTTTTCCCAGTTTTTGGGTGGAAGGGAAAACAAATAATTCATTAGCAGGTTGGAAATGACAGTTTTGGCCACTGCACCAGATTCGCAATTTCAATATGGATTTTCCTGTTCAGTGAGTATAGATTGGTTTGAACTTTGGATTTGGAGTATGGATTTCACAAATGAGGTAATTTAATGTAGCTGTCTCAAATAATATACATAAATATACACGTATATATGAAATTCGGTGTATTGTAGTTTACATTATTTGGTTATTGTGATAATTATTGTGTTATTTAAATAAGTTATATTACTTTTTTGGTGAAGTGTCACTTTTACTCTTTGTTTTTAGGGGTCGTTTGTTTGTTGGATTTGAAAAATGAGGGTTTTGGCTCAAAAAAACCTTTGGATTTATGAGAAATTTGTACTATCATAGATTTGAAGAGTCTATTGTTTGCATGATAGATTTGATGATATAATTATGATGAATTTGCTATAGATATAACTAGCAATCAAGGATTTACAAATCCCATCCCAATATGTGGGATTTACAAGTCCGTGGGGTCCACGGATTTGGATCCAAAAAAGGGAACAAATCCGTGGACCCCACGGATTTAACACTTGACAACAAACAATGGACTTGACTAAAGTCCATCATGCTTGGGATTTGAGTCCCAAATCCATGACCCAAATCCATCAAGCAAACGACCCCTTAATATAAAAAAGCAACACACATAAAAAGGTAGAGGCATAGTTGGAAGAAAATAAAGCACAACAATCTCACCAAAAACTTGAATTTTAACTATCACTCATTTTGAGTAATAGTTTGAGTCAAATCAAGCAAACAATGCATGTATTGTTTGTGCAGAAAATAAAAAAAAGAGGCATTTGTGGACAATGCATGGATTGTAACTATTACAACCAAACAGTCACCAAAACCAAACGACCCCAAAATTATTTCTATCATTCTGAACTACTTGTGATTTTCCTATCAACTTAAATTGATGCAAAACGAAATAGTTCAAATTGACTCATTCCAGTTGATGCATTCCTATTTTGTGGCCAAATTCCTTCATCCACCTAGCTGAAAAGCGAATAGGGTGTTAACACCCGTAAGTGTTAGCATCATGCTAACATGCTAACACTTACTATGTAAACAACCCTATAACAAGTTCGTCCCCTCCTCCCACCTCTAATGAACTTTATGTTGATGCATTCCTATTTTGTGGCCAAATTACTTCTTCCAATTAGCTGGAGAGTTGACAGGGTGTAGGGATGGCAACAAAACTCGAACCCACGGGTATCCACCCGATCCAACCTGGTCAACGCGGGTAAAATCCGTGTTGACGGGTTTTGGGCCGGGTTCGGGTTTAAACCCGCTACACTATTCACCGGGTCGGGTTGGGTTTGGGTTTAGGTAAACCCGACCCATGGGTACCCGCCCACACACATATAATTATTTTTCCGGTATATTTAATATTCTAAATAATATATCTTCCTTAAACAATTAATATTCTTTATGTTTGTGGAGACATGTATAATTTGTTCTTTCTAATTGTTTATAATGAAGTTGATATTATGAAGTGGAGAGTGAAGAAACTTAGTTAACGAGGAAGAAGTTTTCAATTAATCTTTTGTTTATAGACGTTTATCTTTAATTTTGAACAATTTGTATTGATCATTTGCGGTTTGCTTGTATGCTCTAGATTGGTGTTTTTTTGTATGATTAATTTGTATGAGAAAATTGATGTTAAACTTTTATTTTGAAAGAAACTTGTTATTGTAAATTTTTTACTACAAAAACTCACGGGTACCCATGAACCCGCGGATACCTAGTGGGTTGGGTTTGAGTTTTTCAAACCCAACGGGTTTTACCCCGGTTTTTTTTGGCTAATAAACCCATGGGTTTGGGTTTGGTTTTGACAAAACCCGCCCCAACCCGACCCATTACCATCCCTAATAGGGTGATAGTACTTTTGAGTGTTAACATCATACTAACACTTACAATAGGAATATTATAGTAAACTAACCACATAACAAGCTCGCACCATCCTCCTACCTCCACTCTAACAAAAAATATATATATATATATATATATATATATAATATATTAGCATACTACCCCTTCTCTTCGAATCAGGGTGGTAATACAATTGTTCTTAAACTTGGAGGTTCGAATTTCAAATTACTTAGATAGCACCTAATTTAACAATAAAGTTCTATATCACTTTTATAAAAAAAAATTTTGCCTCATCTATTTTACCATAATGCAATGCAATAATCAATGTCGAAGGATGCAATAAAAGTTGCGGACTTGGATCGATCAAGACTATTGCTTAGCAGTTAGCAATTAGCATCTAAGTAGGATGCAATTAGTTTTATCCGTAAAAAAAATCAATAAGAGCTATCTCTCAAACTAATTCGAGATCGAGGCCATGTAATTTTTTTTAAACCTTAATTTCCCCTTCTATATCATAGTTGCAAACGAGTCGAGTTTTCGTTAGACTCGAACCCTTTTTCTTTTCTAAATTGCTTGACTCGAATTTGAACCAAAATAATCTAACTAGAGCTCGACTCAACTTAAATGAAAATTATTGAGGTTAAACTCGACTTCATAAATGTTCAATAACAAAGCCTATCATATCAAGCTGAACACAAGCTTGTTTGTCCCAATAATCTCTACAACCGACTCAAAATTAATGTTTATAAAACCGTCAAGAACTAAACTAACCCAATTGGCTCAACACCAATTTCATAACAACCTTCAAACCGATAAACTGCTAGTCCAAACAAATCTCAAGCATTTTACAGATGATTTGTCCTACTAAAGAGAGGATTATAATGGGAAAGAGGCTCCCAAAAATCCTCATCATCTTCTTACATGTGCCCTTCACATGGCTTCTCTTCTTTTGTTTTTTGGTGTGATTTTGGGGGGAATCTTTCATCTCTTCTATTGTGGACTGGAACTTGATTGATTATCCATTTTAATGCAGGAGGACTAGGACATGATTGATTACTTTGATTCTGAGTTATTTATTAGTGCCTTTATTATCCAGTTTAGTTTATTAATTCGACTTGGTTATTTGGACTGATATTTTCTGGAAAAAAGGGGATAATTTTTAGGTGTGTAAAAGTTGGTATCTTTTGCTTGAGAAAGGGAAAGGGTAGTGGGAAGAACAAGAAAGTGAAGTTCTCTATAATTGCAGTGAAAGAAGATAGATACAATTTTGTTCATAAATGGTAAGTGCACTAGCTAGTGGTCACTATCTGTTTGTTTTCATGATTAGCATAGTTTATATTTAATTTAATCTTCACTTCTATGACTTTCCTTTTTTTGGTTTGGATAATAAGTGACTCATTGAGATTGTTTTTTTTTAAGAAGAAAAATGAATAGAAAGGTTAACCTACCCAGATTGTTTAGATTTCGCACATTACAACTATGATACGAGAGCTTATAAGTGGAGAGCAACCTCTATTAGTAAGGTAGTTAGGTGCAGTTTGGTTCCGTACTCTAAGAACGCGAGATATAATTAAAATTCCGTATTCAGTTTTAGATTGATATGAAAGATATGGCTGCTTGTAGTTGTAGCCCGCAGCTCATTTTCTCGAGTGTCTGTGAGGTTGGATACAGTTTTGTTTGATAAGTCATTGCAACGAAAAGTCTAACACATCAATAGTCCTCAATTTGTTGCTTTGATTTCCATTTTAGTGATTTTAGTTTTGACAAATTGTACACATTGTACACATTAGTTGCTGCAATTTCAAATACAAGGTGGTATCGAAAATTATGTCAAGCAGAATCAAGGGTTTTATGCCTGATCTTGTATCGGAGATGCAAGCAGCTTTCACTGGAGGGAGGTTGATTCAGGATAACATCATTATTGTTCATGAGGTTCTTCACCATTTTAAAAATCGTCGGAAAGGAAGAAAACATGACATGATGTTGAAGATGGATATGAGGAAAGCATACGATCTGGTGGACTGGGACTGTTTGAGTGCACTTCTTGAGGCGTATGGCTTCAATCGAATGTGGTGTGATTGGGTGAAAGAATGCATCAGTACTGTTCGATTCGCTGTGCTGGTTAATGGAGGACCTACTGAGTTCTTTTCTCCCTCTCGTGGCATCCGTCAGGGAGACCCTCTTTCCCCTTTCCTTTTCATTTTAATGTCCAATGCTCTTTCTTTCTTGTTGGATAAAGGAATTGCGGAGGGAAGCATTCAGGGTCTCAAGATTAAGCCTAACTGCCCTTGTCTTTCTCATTGTTTGTTTGCAGATGATACTGTTGTTTTTGGTAAAGCAACACTGGATGAAGCGGAGGCGGTAATGCATATCATTGATAAGTACAAATCAATTACGGGCCAAGAGGTCAATATGGATAAGTCCTCAGTCTTCTTCAGCAAGAACACCCCAGGAGAAGTGAAAGCATCTATTACGTCTTTCCTTGGCTTTCCAGATGCTATCTGTCATGACAAGTATCTTGGGGTTCCTACCGAGTGGGGAAGATCGAAAAAGGAAACGTTTGCTTTCCTTGTTGAGAGGATGGAAAAGAAAGGGGAATCATGGAAGAGCCTCACCCTCTCACATGGGGGAAAAGAGACTTTGATCAAGGCGGTTCTTCAGGCTATCCCAACTTTTATTATGAGTGTTTTCCTTCTTCCTACCTCATTGACCAAGAAGATGGACTCACTCATACATCGGTTTTTCTGGTCGGGTTCGATGAAGAAACGATCCATTCATTGGCGGAAAGGAGATGTTCTTAACGATCCTAAAGGGGAAGGTGGGCTGGGTTTTCGGAACTTTCAGCTGTTCAATATGGCGTTGGTGGCAAAACAGGGATGGCGCCTAATCACAGAACCAAATTCTCTATGGGCTAGATTGATGAAAGGGCTTTATTACCCGAATGGAGACTTTTTGACGGCCAGGAAAGGGAGCACATCATCGTGGATCTGGTCGAGCCTGTGGGAGTCGAGAAAAGCTTTGGATTTGGGAACGATTCGGGTGATTGGGTCTGGGGAGGATACGTGGTTTCACAAGGACCCATGGGTACATCCTATTCAAGGGCATAACATCTCTTCACATTTGGATCCCCCCTCCCGCGTTCGTGATTGGATGTGTCAAGATGGCAAAAGATGGAACATGAACCTCATCCTTCGGCACTGCTCCCCGGAAGAGGCGGAGGCGATTTCTCGGATCCAGATTGGCCCGGACGGAGCACCCGACAAATGGGCGTGGAAATATAACTCAACAGGGAGATTTTCGGTGCGAACGGCGTATCATGGTTTTCGGAATCATCTTAAAGAGGTTAACCAGCCTATGCCGAGTGATCTGAATCTACCGGCCGATGATGATAAATGGAAATGGTTGTGGTCGTTGAACCTCCCGCCGAAAATTAGATTCTTTATGTGGAGGTGCATTCGCAATGCTCTGGCAACTAAGCTCAATTTATTCCGGCGGAAGTGCTCTCCCAATACGACATGCCAACTGTGTAACGGTGAAGAGGAATCGCCAATCCATTGCCTTTTCTTGTGTTCTCATGCGGAAGCTACTTGGAGGATGTTGTTCCCGTCCAATGTCGTTCCTCAGAATATTTCCCAATGGATCTTCTCCTTGCGTGAAGAAGGAAGTGGGGATGTTTGTCGACAGAAGATTTTCTGCCTGTGGAATATTTGGAAGGCCCGCAATGAATTTGTTTTCAAAGGAGTTGTTCCGTCCCCGACGAGGACCTCGATATATGCTTTTCGAGAAGCAGCGGAGCCTCATCTTACCCCTTCTTCTACTTCAACCTTCAACCAGCCTAGGGAAATTCCATCTCACTCATGTCCACCGCCATTTCATCCTCAACAGAGGATTTACTGTGATGGCTCCTTTGATGTTGCTACGCAGGAGGCGGCTTTTGGAGTAGTTATTACTAACTCTGAAGGACAGATTTGGGATGGAAAGGCTGGAAGGATTATTTGTTCATCTCCTATTGAAGCTGAGGCACGAGCGATTTTAGAAGCGTGCCAGTGGGCTTTTGAAAAGAGATCGCCAACGATGATTTTCTCCGATTGCAAAGTTCTTGTGGATGCTATCAATGGATGTCCGTCATCATGGCCATGGAGATGTTATGCATCTTTGATAGCTATAACAAGAATATTGCAGCAAGCAGAAAGACTTAGAATCTCTTTCATTAGTCGTCGTAACAACAAATCTGCTGATTGGGTGGCGAGAAATTGTCGTCATGGCTCTCTCCATCATAATTGGCTTGAGGTTCTTAATGTTATATCTGATAGGTTGTAGCTTGTATTCGTGGCCCTTCAATTGGAAATGAATGAATGAATGTGTTATTCAAAAGATTGAAGGCCTCCATATAACTTTTATTGCTTCGAAAACCGTTAATCTCTTGGCAAAAATCAAGCCATCAACACCGACGGACAACCAGTCTATTGAGAAACACATGGAGCCAGCAAGGGGGTTGAACTACTATAATTGGGGGGAACAAGAAAGAAAGAACCCTTTTATTTTGTTTTATAAAAACAAGAAAAGAATTTTTCTTTGACTATTTAAAAAAAAACAGAAAGAATGGTTGACATATGATATAAGAAAATAGAGATAAATATATATTATTTTTTTATGAATGATATATAAAATTTGATTAGTATAAGAAAGGAAAGGAGATATACACTTTTATGGTTAAAACTTAAAAGATATTGAAATCAAGGACCGTACCGGCAATTCAATCAGAAAATACCAACGACAAAATAAATTAGCAATATTCAAAGATACAAACCATGATTTTAGCATAAGAAATTAAAATCGACGCGCTGACGCGCTTATGGCCGTGTGTGGATGCAAGCAGAGCAGAGCAAGTGATGGAGGAGAAGTGCACTTCTTCTAATCAAAATGACAGCTTCAGATTTGCTGTTCCCATCGGTGACACGTGGCTGGCTAACCGTGTTCCCTACTTTGCCGACCTTTCTTCGTCCTCACATGAACCGACGGTGACGGGAACAGAAAACGAAAGGAAGATGGTTTGGGCTCTTCCCAAAACTGGATCCCACGGTCTTCTTTCTTCCGGCCCAAGTAACACAGGCTCATTTCGGCCCAACAGCATGGACGAGGTAGAAACGAAGAAGCAGAAATCTGAGAGAAACGCCTTTTACTCTTCAGACTTTCAATGACAGCCTTTGCATCTTCAAATCCCTTAATTATCCTGTTTATGAAATCATTGACTCCCCATAAGACCCTAATCACCGGTTAAAGCTTCCAGAAACCACAAGTGATTTGGATACGGAACAACATGAAGAACTAGAAGCAAAGGCGAATTACTACACCAATTGAACACCTAACTGTCAACTATATAATGAAATCAGCAGGTTTTCGGCCAGAAGATGCTAGCAATTTGAGGAGGAAGATACCTTAAGATTGGAGCTTCGTATCCTGCAATCAGAAGAAGAAAATAGGGATGACAAAAACGGAAAATCGAAGAGAGAAAGATCAAAGTAAACAATGAATCGGGGAGCCAAAAGCCAAAAGGGAATGTACCAAAGACGTCGGAGAGTAAGAATGACGGCAGAGTGGGAGGTGGGGGAGCCGGTGACATAGGAGTCCAGGTGGCCGACTTTCTCTACAAGGCCAACTCCGCTACCTTGGTTCAGCGTCGGAGGGTTTTCGCAGCACTGTGGTCCTGACTCCTGACATCGCTCTCTTCTCTCCGTTCTTTCTTTCGCCGGGAAATTCCGAAATGCTGGTGGGCTGGCTGGAAGCTCCGCGTAAGTAGGGCTGCAAATGAGTCAAGCCGTTCGCGAGCAACTCGGCGTTTGAATCGGAAAAAATTCGTTCGACACTCGACTCGTTGTTTAACAAGCCGGCTCGCGTTAGTAAATGAGTCAAGCTTGAGTTAGACCATGGTCGGCTTGATAAGCTCGTGAGCTAGCTTGACTCGGTGGCTTGTTGAGCTAAGCTCGCGAGCTGACTTGTTTAAAGCTTGTGGAAGGATTAATTACTCTTCTGAACATGAAAATTATCGTGTTAATAAGGATGTGTATGGAAGTTAAATGTTATTTTTAGTTTCTAGTGTTCTTTTTATCATTTTTAATTTCTAATTTTCTTATTTGTACACATCTTTCAAGCAAGAATGGTTTCAAATCGAGCTTATCTTGAGCCAAGCTTGTACTCACCTTGACAAGCTGTGTTAATGAGCATTTACCGAGCTCTATCAAGCCGAGCTCGAGCTGGATTATTTTTAATCGAGTCGAGCTCGAGCGGGATGATCAAAATTCGAGTTCGAGCTAAAAAATTTATAAACGAGCCGAGCTCAAGTTAAACAAAAACTCAACTCGACTCGACTCGTTTGCCGCAGTACCCGCAAGTACCTTACTGCGTCTGGTGTCTTCGAGCGGCCTCTGGATTGGTTTATGACGGAGAAGAATGCCACGTTTATTTGTTTGCTACGCGAAAATGAGAAAATGCCAAAAACGGGAGGGAATTGGGCTCACATTTTAAGAGGCGGCCCATGGCTCGTGGGCTGTAGCCCTTTTGGCATTGGATCGTTTGCCTCCGGACATGCTAGGCTTGTGTTGCACACTTCCAATCTGATTATGCAGTATTAGGGTGTGTTTTGATAGATGTATGGTAAGTATATGTACTTCAAATTTATTGTGTGCGCGTGATTTTCATGCAAGGAAGATAGGAGAACGAGATGCAATGAGGTTGAGACTGCAAAACGATTTTCTGCATCAACTACGAAGTTGGTTTTAGATAAAAATCAGCGAAGTAAAGAGGAGGGGGAACAATCTTGTTTCTTTTGGTTGCTTGTTTAACAGATTTTAGCCAATATGATCAGTGGAATTAAATGAAAATTAAGTTACGGGTAAGAAAATTTAAATAGAAATGGTAAATAAATAACCCGACTAAAAGCGTACGATATAGTCATCTTACGCAAATAACATTATTATAATCTTCGGTAAAGGCATGACACTCGGTCAAGAGTACTCTAATCTTTCGTGAGCTTAAGCATATCCAGAAAAGAAATCCCATTCAGTCCCTGCTTGTAAGACTGGGCAACGAAATCTTGAATCGTAGTCTTCTTGTATTTGGGAGGATTCTCTTCGGACAACAACTCTTCAATCGGTCCGTAGATTCTCGAACCCAGCGTGAATCCAACACCGAAAAACGCGATAATCGACACCCTCGGCCCAACATTTTTCACCAGCACTCTGTGCTTCACGCTCGTAAAGTTATCGTTGGACATCACCTGAAGATGGTACAAGATCAAAACAACACACATATATATATATATCAGACTCAACTCAACACAACATAAATATCAAGTCACCAAATTTTTAAGAATCGAAACAAACTTATGAGAATTCATTTAACCTGAAGCAGATTCGCGATGTTGATCACCAAACCATCCGCCATGGGAGGCACATCAACCCAATGATCCTTGTGAAGAACTTGAAGGCCTCCAACATCGTCCTGTACAAGAACAGAAATGAATCCGATGTCGGCATGTTGAGTAGTTCCCAAAGTAAGCTCAGGCTGAGGGCAAGCTGGGTAGTAATTGTACACCACGTTCACTCCCTCCACACAACCCATTTCTTTCAAGTAATTCGACTTCAGACCTAGAGCCTCGGAGAGCAACTCGAAGAGCGAGTCTCCGATTTTCAGCATCTCCGACGAGTACTCTGTCACGACGGCCCTGCAGGAAGTCGGCAGCTCCTCCGGCGCCGGCGGGTTTGGTGCCATCTGGAACATGACGGCGTCCCTCCAGTTGACGGATGGTGTAGTGTATAGATCCAAGTTGCTGTGGTAGACGACTTTTTTCCTCATGTCGCGGCCATAGTATTGCTTCTTTTCCTCCACATCCAGGCCGAAGAATCTATTGCAAATGAATGACGAAATCATAACTAAAATCAAAAGGGCGATGAAATGAGGTATTTTATTTTACGAAAGTGGGATAAGATTTATTACTCAATTCTCTTCCAACAACTAGAATTATTGGGATCAACTGACTATGACAGGATATTCGAACTAGTTTGGTCATGTGGTCGTATGTTTTGAATCTCCGGAATCCTCAATATAAACATTTTGTTACCGCATACAAAGTATGGTGGGATTGTGCAAACTTCAAAACCGTGAGGTGGCGTGTTAATAGAAAGTGGTATAAGATCCATAATCAACCTTCTCCAATGACTATAGTTATTGGGTTCAACTTAGAGGTTCTGTTATGAGTTTGAATCCATAACTACGCTCAATTAGTGTGAGTGAGCCAGTGAGGCAGTCAAGATCAATGAAAAACGACATTATTTGCAAACTCAATCTTCTTTTTTAATATTTTCAATAGTTTGAAAACTTTGAAAGCTATTCAACTATGATTCTATATATTTGTGAGTTATTTTGCTTGTGGTCAAATATTAGATAAGCTATTAATAATTTAAACTTGAGTGTGAAATGCTATAAACTAAAACTGTTATTTCATCAAGCATCTAATTTTTGTTTGTAACCGGATGCCTTTGGGCTTCCTCTCGTTGGAACCAGATTGTTGGTTCGTTCTTTCTTTGTAACTGATCAATTTGAAGTGCAATAAAATCCCTCTTTGTCAAAAAAAAAAAAAAAAAAAAAACTAATTGAGAGAAAAGTAAAAAAAAAGAAGAGAAAAGTACCTGTGAGCTCCGGCTTTCATCTCCTCCACCACCCTCGCCGGGACGCCGTGGTTCACAACCTGGAAGAACCCCCAACTCGCCGACGCGTCCCTGATCTCGGCGACGACCTTCTTCCTCTTCTCGGGATCTTCCCACGCGCCTCCCAGGTCGATGATTGGGAAGACGAAGTTTGGATCCTCAGCTGCTGCTGTAGGGTAGGCGTCGAGGATATGGGGCGGCGCGTGGAAGATACGCGGCAGCTCAGCGACTCCGGCGTCCACCAGGCCTTTCACTCCGGCTTTCGTTTCGTCGAACGCCTTCAGCTCCGCAAGTCGGTCGTAAGCGGCGGCGGCGGCGGAGGCCATGTTTGGTTGAATGAAAGTCGTCGGGAGGGATGGGTTCTGATGTAAGTCTCTTATTAATGCTGCTGCCTGCTGGCGTTGGGTTTTTATAATCGTGGGTACAAATATACTATTACCCTCGTAATCAATCGAGTAAAACAATTAAATTACTTTTTAATGCTTCCCGCCCGCCTACCTAGACCAATATTGAAACCCCAATTGCACTGCTTCCTACTCAGGATTATACAAAAATAAAGCAGTCTATTTTAGACAATGAAATGGATTAGTAATCACTAATCACTCATTTTTTTCAAACTATTCTAATTAAGAAGACATTTCCGGGAGCCAATTCCTTGAATATTCAAAGACTTACCTACTCATCTGTTAGAAAATTAAATTACATGAAAATGACAAATGCTGACGTGGACCGGCCTAGTGGTCATCAGCGTTAGGGTTGGAGCCGGTTCGGTTCGGTTATAACCGATAACCGATTAACCGATAACCCATGTCTCCCCCTACCGAACACCGACCGACAGCAAACTTCGGTTAACCGCGATTATCAACCGATCGGTTACGGTTAACATTTCGGTTAATTGACTAACCGAATAATTTAATATTATAATAATAATTTAATTAATTGAAAATTGAAAAAAAAAGAGATAGGGATCGGGGCGCCGCTCCACATCTCTCCTCCGCATTTCTTCATCTCTTCATCATCTCTACATCTCACCACCCAATCCCACCGCCACTCCAACCAATCCCGCCGTCGCGAAGCCTGGGCTCGCCTGTCTGGACGAAAGGAAGGTGAACGAAGGCGCGGATTAAGGCGGTCTGGGACGGAGGAAGGCGTCGGAGGAGACGACGTGGTTGTCTACTGCTTGAATGGAGGAAGACGCAGAGGAAGGGGTCGCGCGGAGGATCGGCTGGGGTCGACAGGTGTCGCCGAGGATCGGCGGGGGTCGGCAGGGATCGTCGGGTTGTGGAGGGTGTCCGGGGTTTGGGGGTGAACGAAGGGGGAGGCGGCGGCTGCTGTTTGGAGTTGGAGGAGGAGAACGAAAATGGAAGGAACAATTAGGGTTGGGGGTAATTATTCATGACATAAAGCGACGTCGTTTTGGGTAAGTCTGTTATTTTTACGAGTTGAGTAATTGTTGTTGGGTCTCTTATCTATCGTTATATGCTTCTTTAATAAAGTTTGACGGTACACATTATTGTACTTGTGTTGGATTGAGTTGTTTATGTATGGATATATATCTATGTCAAATTATATTTTATTTAATGATAACAACTTAAGAAAAGAACACATGCGTATGTATGAAAAATTATATAGAAAATTTCTTGAAAAATGATATATTTTGTTCGTTAGATTATTGATCATTTATTTTGGTATAATCACGCCGAATCACTTGGTTAACGGTTATCCTGTTAACCGACAAAATAACCGAAAACCGACTATATAGCTATGGTTAACCGACTAATTTAAACGGTCCAGTTAACGGTAAGCATAACGTACTTAATGGTTAACCAGAACTGACTAAACGGTTTCGGTTTCTCGGGGAATTGCAGTATTGTAACCTTCATTTGACTATGGGCCTCATTGTTGAGCTTAATAAGACTTTTAATTGTCCATTAATTGTCCGGCCAAGGTCGCCGGCGAAAATTTCTCTCTTTCGCTGGGGAATGCGGAATGCTGCGACTGTCAAGTTTCCAGCGGACTCTGTCTTGGACCTCTTGGTTGATTACTTGATTTATGATGGACGAGATAGAGTGTTACTCCTAAGGGTTATTAGATTGACAATCAAGGTTAATTTGGGTATGAAAAAATATATTAGTTACCTTTTTTTATTAATTTTATTGAGAATTAAAAACCCATATTAAATATATTTTTTTTAATTTAAATCCTATACATTAATATTTCTATCTATCTCTCTTTTCCTTTCTCCAGCGGCCACTCCGCATCGACGGACAGACTTTCTCTCCGGCAGACTCCCTCCGGCAACCTGAAAAAATGTACCAATGCGTTAAAAAGTGTACCAATCCATGGGATGAGATACGGTGACAACCCCATTAGGGGTTGTGAGATTGACAACCCATTTTATAACCATAGGATCCATTCTCTCTCTTGTCTCTTTCTTCTTTTTTCAAATCAATGGTACAGATTGGATTAAGGTATTTTTGGACGAAAAAAATTGACCACACTAGATTATTACCCCTATTAATATCTAAAACCCTACACTCTCTCTTTCCTCTCTCTCTCTCACGCCATCTTTCTTCTTCCTATTCTTCTTCTTCTTCCTCCCATCTCTTCCCTCTCTCTCTATCGGCTGCCACCACCGTCGTCGCAGCCGACCCGCCACGCCCTTCGCCTCTCATCACTGCTGCAGCCCTCCCGTCGTCGCGCCCTCCGCCTCCCAGCACTGTCACGTCCCTCGCCCCGCAGCCATCGCGACCTCCTCCTCCCACCACCGCCGCGATGGCCTCCCACCACCACCGTCGTTGCAACCCTCCCGCCGCCCTTTGTCTCCCACCACCACCGTCGCCACGAGGTCACCGCCTCTCCCCTGCCTCCCCCTTTCGTCATCCCTATTTTTTTTCCAGATCTGTGATTTTTCATATTCCAGATCTGATTTTTTTTGTGCTAGTCTCTAGTGGTACGCTACCAGTGGCAATGGTACCGCTACCAGTGGTACTGGTACTGGTACTGCTACCAGTGGTACTGGTACTGCTAATGGTACCGCTACAAGTGGTAATGGTACCGTACCACTAGCACTGGTAGCGTACCACTAGTATTGGTAGCATACCACTAGCACTGGTAGCGTACCACTAGCATTGGTACATTTTTTAACGCACTGGTAGCGTACCACTAGCATTGGTATATTAATTACCAATAGACTAATAGATTGGTACACTTTTTAACGCACTGGTACATTTTTTCAGGTTGCCGGAGGGAGTCTGCCAGAGAGAATTCGCCAGAGAAAAAGTCTGTCCATCGAAGCGGAGTGACCGCAGGAGAAAGGAAGAGAGAGATAGAGATATTAATGTATAGGATTTAAATTTCAAAAAAATTGTATTTAATATGGGTTTTTAATTCCCAATCTGATTAATACAAAAAAGGTAATTAATATATTCCTTTTTTTCATACCCAAAATACCCTTGGTTGTCAATCTGACAACCCCTAGGGGGGTTGTCACCGTATCCCGTCCCCCAATCCATTAGTCTACTGGTAATTAATATACCAGTGCTAGTGGTACGCTACCAGTGCGTTAAAAAATGTACTAGTGCTACAGCGCTACCACTACCATATTGTATCTTACCACTCGCACTAGTGATACTCTACCAATGCTAATGATAGGGTACCACTAGCACTGGTAGCGTACCAGTAGAGAATAACACAAAAAACAGATGGTAGTGGTACGCTACCACTACCAGCTACCTGATGGTAGTGGTAGATACCACTATCACTAGTACGCTACCAGAAGAAAAATGGTACCACTAAAAAATCAGATCTAGAAAAGGGGAGTCGGTGACGGGAGAGAGAGGTAGGGGAAGAGGGTGACCTCGCAACGGCGGCAGTGGTGGGAGATGAAGGGCGGCGAGAGGGCTCCGACGGGGAGAGGATGATTGCGCCGCGGTGGTCGGAGGGGACGTTGTGATGACATGGAGTGGAGGAAAATTGAGGATTGCGGAGACGACGACGATAGAGGGCTGTTGCGGGAGACATGGGTGGCAGCGCCGGCGGTGGAGGGCTGCTGCGATGGAGGACGCGGCACCGGTGGAGGACTGCTGCGATGGAGGATGAATGCGTGAGAGAGGGAGGAGGGGGAGAGGGGGTGGGAGGAGTTAGGGTTTTGTTTTTAATTTATATGGGAGGGTAAATGATTGTGTGTGGTAAATCGTTTCCATTCTAAAAATACCCTTTGTTTTATATTAACCATTAATTTAAAAGAAAAAAAAAGAGACAGAAGAGAGAGCGTATCCAATGGTAAGAAGATGAGTTGTCAAACTCACAACGCCTAAGGGGTTGTCACCGTATCTCATCCCGATTTATGACTAGCGAATAATGCCACGTCAATTTGTTTGCGACGCGGAAAGGAGAATATTCTAAAACACGGGACGGAATTGGGCTCGTCTTTTCAATTTAGCAGACGCGGCCCAAGGCTTATGGCCATGATCTAGCATTGGACTGTTTAACGGTAGGCCAGGTCTGTGAGCCCATTCATGTTTCTTTTGGTTGCTTGTGTAACAAATTTTCGCCAATATGATTACTTGGCTGGGATAAATTTACCTAATTTATTAGTATCCCAGCCAATACGTTGCCTTTGATTTTCTATATTTAAGGGATCACAATTTAAGATTGCTTTTAGATGGAGGGGTATGCTGGTCATTTTGGAAAATTAACTAACCGATTTAACGTTCTTGATTCTCCTGTTCACAACTCTTCTCTGTTTATAGCTGCCGCGTTCCTAACCCATTTTTGTGTTAGAGATCCGAGGGATGGTCAATTAGGAGCGAAGCGACAACGGTGGTGGAGATCACACCAGCGATTGACGAGGAGCGCTGGTATGCGTTGGTTGTTGAAACCACACAAGATATTGTTTTCTTTCTATATTTCAATATTCAGTGGAATTGTAGCGGCAACGACATTGGATATTGCAGAGGCGACAATGAGCATCAACGATGACGGTGTTGGAGATTGCTTGTTTCATATTGATGTAAAGTTGACCACAACTTTACTGAAGTATACCAGAAAATGCATAAAGCTGACCTAAGTATCATGAAGCGGACTAGAAAACTCAGATCATATCAGAAACACGGCAAATCTAAAAAGCTCATATAATAGATCAGAAACCACATAAAACCTATCAAAAAATGGAAAAAGCACACCAGAAAATAGTACAAAGCTCACAACCATAAAACTTATCAAGTAGACCATAAACCTAATTAAGTTGATTATAAGTTTCCTAAAGTCAACAAAAAAACACTTGGTCCAGACCAAAAACCTAATGAAGCAGACGAAAAATATTAAAACCACACTATAATTCTCATGAAGCATACCACAGAGAGATGTAATTTAGCCCGTAGTTGCTTACTTAATTACATGAAAACTTGAGCTTGTTCAAACATGATCTCCCAGACAGTGGAAGGATCTAAACTATAATTAACTTGTTTTACTTAGTTAATTGTGTTTGTTTTGCTTAAGTATAATTTAGGGATGACAATTTTGACCTGATCCGTTTTACCTGATCTGTTTGGCCTGTTTTGGAGCGGGGCGGGCATAGATACTCTCATCGACCTGACCTGCCCTGACCCGCCCTATTCCCGACCCGTTCTTTCCGAAATTACATGTAATCTTAGTCAAATTACCTCGGAATTTTCTTTATTACATCATAATTTAGGTATAATAAAATTGTAAAGTAGTGAAAACCTCAATTTCTCTAATAATTTAACTACATTTATCATAATATTGTTTGTTCTCTTGGTCTTATAATAAAATAACGAATATTTCTAATGTTTTTCATATAAATTGCATACCCATTGGGTTGACCAGCCCCGACCTGCGACCCGTGATAAATTACCCTACCTGGACCCGACCTGTCACGGGGCGGATCTGGGTACCAAGAAATCTGCCCGAACCTGCCCATTTCCATTCCTAGACTATAATCCCTGTGATCGATTGGTTTAAAACATAGCTTTCTAATGAATGCAATGACATGCTGACCAAAGACAATCTATAAATGCATGTATAGCTTAAGACATGAGATCATGTTAAACCCTAGCTAGGTTGACACACCTACACTTTGGGGCAGGGTGGCTCGTCGATCGATCGATCGGGTACCTAGAAGACTTGTGTCTTTCTTGCATATGGGATTTTGGGACACACCAACTTGAACATAAGTCACTTTCAAAATCTCGTTTGACACCACAAGAACGACAGAAAGAAAGTGATTAGGGCATCGTTGTGATCATCGAAGAGATGGGAACCTCAAACGTAAATTGAAAATGCTTGTCGTCTCTAGATCAACCACTTGAGCCATGATTGCCCGACCGGCGACGGCCAAAGTACTGGATAAGTCGTTACTGACAAATCATGCCCGACAGCCAAAATGTGACACCCATATACCGACGGAAGTGGACATTGATCGGCTATATTATCCGGCCGGCGACATCGACGGGATTATTAGTTGTTACCATTACGTAGTATATATGAGACTTTACCTTGTATCATAATACATTAATCCCACATTCGACTTCACACCTCTAGTATTTCCCCAAAATTGATCTCTTTTAAGTCTTTTAGTAACAACTTTCCTCAAGTGTTTTAACGAGAATTTCGTGACTCGCAATTCAACACAAGAACGTACATAATTCATTAATCTGGGTGATCAATGTAATGGAGTATTCATTTATTATGGGAATAACGAATAGAGTAATGAGAAACTCATATCTTTCGTCTTTCCAAAGACAAAAACATAGCGTTTAAAAAATCGAGTTTCCCAAAATTTTTGGTTTTCCTATAATCCCCTTCTTGCTTAGTTTGACTTTGTGAATAAGTTATTGAATTAGGAGCAAAAGATATGATTTTACATAAAATATACTTCCTGCAATATGAAATTCGACCTTTTTAACCATAAATATCCTAGATCTTTATTACAAATTAAGGATTATAATATTACTTTTTTTTGTGGAGAAAATTTGAAATATGTTATTGCGTTAAACCTGTCCTTAAAAAAAAAACAAACTGGAGGACATTGAAATACTCGAAGGACCAATCAGCAGCCCCACCTGGATAATTAAGATTAACCAAATCCAACAACACCCCGCAATTAAGGATCTAAGCACGTTTAGCATCAATCTCAGGACAACTTGTGACTAATTTGCTAGCTCACACTTGAGAACGGCTACGGTGCTAATTGTACAATAGTTAGCACCGTCCTAACCAAGGGAAAAACTATTACTAGTTTGAATTAGTAGTGATTTAGTTTAGATGTTATATTGATTTTATAATAATCCGTAGTGATTTCGTTATTTTTAGTAGCATTTTTTGCTAATTATCACGGTGCTAACCCCTATAAGAGTTAGCACCTAATCTCATCCCCACCAAGACACCTACATACCGACGGAAGTGGACATTGACCGGCTATATCCAATGATTAGGTGCTAACCCCTATAAGAGTTAGCACCTAATCTCATCCCCACCAAGACACCTACATACCGACGGAAGTGGACATTGACCGGCTATATCCTGCCGGCGACGTCGACGGGAATGTTAGTTGTCACCATTACGTATAGTATATCCGACGACTTTACCTCGTCACTATAAATCCACTCGTAGCTCACTTGCTACATCTCCCAACTCAATCATCAACATCCCCGAACCCAAAAAAAAAAAGAAAAAAACATCAATGGGTTCCACAACCTACGACCGGCTCGCCGAGCTGACAGCATTCGACGAAACAAAAGCCGGCGTCAAAGGCCTGGCAGACGCCGGCATCACGGAGCTCCCCCGCATCTTCCACGCGCCGCCGCACTTCCTCCACGACACCACCAAAACGGCGCCGTTCTCGCCCTCCGACCCCGACTTCATTTTCCCCGTCATCGACCTGAAAGGCGCTGCGGCGGACCATCGGAAGCTGATCGTGGAGAAGGTCGGGGAGGCGGCGGAGAAGTGGGGGTTCTTCGAGGTGGTGAACCACGGGATCCCCGAGCGCGTGCTGGAGGAGATGAAAGCCGGCGTGAGAAGGTTTCACGAGCAGGATTTGGAGGCGAAGAAGGAGTTCTTCGGCCGCGATCCGACGAAGAGGGTTGTGTATAACAGCAACTACGACTTGTACAGTGCGCCGGTTACCAACTGGAGGGATACCGTCTTGTTTCACACCGCTCCTGACGTTCCTAGGCCTGAAGAACTGCCCGCTTGCTGCAGGTAATAATTGTTAGTAAACGATATATGATTTGAACCTCTCCTAACAATTCGAGTTATTGGAACTAACTGTTTTTGATATAAGGAAAATTCATTAGTAAATCGTATAAAATCAATATTAACTGAACATCTAGCTACTACCATGTCGCGCGAGTTATTTGAGACACCAATTGTGTCTTTAACATAACATTATAGCCTTTTGTAACTTAAAGATCTTATTATCTTCAAAATTATGATGACTCATTTGTTAAGTACATAAAATTCGGACTTGTATGCAAATTTCAACCTCGAATGAGTTGACTTTTATGTGAGAGTGGTGTAAGATCCAGCATAACCTTCTCTCAACAACTCGAGTTATTGGAATTCATTGGTTTATAACAGAGAGGCCGTGTTAGTAAAGGTATAAGATCCATAATTGAATATCTCTCAACAACTCGAGTTATTGGCACCGACTTGTTTTTGACGTAATATAAGAGTTTTGTGACAAAAATATCTTCTATAAAAAATCTCGACGACTTTTATTTGTTAAGCACATGATATTCGTACCTGTGCAAACTTCAAAACTCGTATGAGTTCGCTGACGTGTGAAGTATGACGTGTCAGTAAATAATATAAGATCTATATAATTAAACATCCATAACAACTCGAGTTACTGATACCAACTTATTTTTGAAATACATTGTTTCATCGTTTTATTGTTCAACTGATCAAATTTACAATGCCCATGCAGTGAAATCGTGATAGAGTACACTAAGGAATTGCTCAAATTGACCGATCTTCTCTTTGAACTTCTATCCGAAGCTCTTGGTCTTTCCTCCAATTACTTGAAAGAATTGGATTGTGCAAAGGGACTCTACATGGCGTGCAATTACCATCCACCTTGTCCTCAACCAGAGCTCACCGTGGGAGCAAGCAAGCACACCGACTTCGACTTCATCACAGTTCTGCTGCAGGATCACATCGGAGGCCTTCAGGTTCTTCATCAGGATCACTGGGTCGACGTGCCTCCGTTGCCAGGGAGTCTCGTTGTTAATGTTGGTGATTTACTCCAGGTATATATGTCCTTAAATTACTAATCAAATTAGTTCTTAATAAGATCAAGTCTAGTTCATGATTAATTATGAGGTGATTAATTATCTGGAATTTTTTTTTTGTGACATTAATTAAGCTGATATCGAATGACAAGTTTATAAGCGTGGAGCATAGAGTCCAGGCGAAGACTGTCGGACCGAGAGTGTCGGTAGCATCCTTCTTCAGCACTGGATTCTCGCCGAATGCGAGAATGTATGGACCTATAAAGGAGTTGTTGTCGGTAGATAATCCTCCGAAATACAAGGAAACCACGATTCCGGATTTCACCGTCAAATCCTACAAGAAGGGTTTGGATGGGACATCTTCGCTGGTGCAGTTCATGCTCTGATGAGAACTGTAACTTTGAGCAATACCTAAATAATTAAGGGTTTGGTTTGTTGATTATGTACTTTACGTACCTTTAAGATTGTTATTGTTATCAAGAGTCCCTGCTGTTCTGGGATTCAGATTGTTTTACGTTAGGCAACAATGTTTTGCCTGTGCTGTCAGTTTGGGTTCTCTATTTAACTAAGTATTGGCTAATCGTTAGGTGCCACGTGTTTGTTCTATTTAAAATGTTTGTTTTAAACTTTTAAGTTAGCAGCCGTTGGCGAGCTAGCTGGACCATTGCAAGCTAGCTTTGAAGTGTTGAATAAAAAAGGTTTATGCATTTTTCAGCGTTCCATATTGCTTTCTGCTTCTTCTTTTCTTCGTGTTCTGTTAGTGCCCTGATGCTTATATTCAACATGGTATCGGATAGTGAAAGGAGCTAGCTAGGTTGAAGTCATTAGAAGCTATAGTATAGCGCCCTAAAATTTGAAATGTAGAAAATTATATGCAAAATCTAGGGATGGCAACAAAATCCAAACCCACGGGTACCCATCCGTGTTGACGGGTTTTGGGTTGGGTTTGAATTTAAACCCGTTCACTATTTATCGGGTTGGGTTGGGTTTGAGTTTAGGTAAATTTGACCCATGGGTACCCGTCCACACTCATATAATTAATTTTCTAGGTATATTTACTATTCGAAACAACTAATCTTATTTATGTTTGTGGAGACATGTCTAATTTTTTCTTTCTAATTGTGTAGAATGAAGTTGATGTTATCGAGTGGAGAGTGAAGAAACTTAATTGAAAGGAAGAAGCTTTCAATTAATCATGTTATTTATGGATAATTTGTGATTTGCTTCAATTTTCTTGAGTTTTCTAGATTGGTGTTGAACAATTTGTATAGTTAATTTGTGATTTGCTTGAATTTTCTAGAATGGTGTTTTATACATGGATAATTTGTATTGAGATTGATATTTTACTTTAAAATTGATAGGAACTTGTTATTGTAAATTTTTTTACGATAAAAACCCGTGGGTACCCATGAACCCGTGGATACCCAGCGGGTTGGGTTTAAGTTTTTCAAACCCATTGGGTTTTACCCCGGGTTTTTTTACGGATAAATCCATGGGTTTGGGTTTTGGTTTGGCAAAACCCAAACCCAACCCGACCCGTTGCCATCCCTAGTAAAATCGTAATAAATTTAGAAAATAGAGTAGTCGATAAATCCTTAGCCCCTTCCCCAATTATCATAGTTGAAGTCAGCCTCCCTCATTCAGATTCTTGGGGTTCCAACTTCCGTGGCACCTCTTGTCTTGAGAAATAAATCGGGGACAATACTAACATTTTCCCTCCCATTTATCGATGTCGGGTCGTCTAAATCTCGGTTCAACCGTGGTTGACGATTTTTTAATGGAAATTTTAACAGAATGACATGTTTGATAATTTTTTCCAAAGTGCAAGGGCATGTTTGATGTAAAAAGTAGAAGGGCATGCATGTTTGATAAAACGACATAATAGAGAGACATATTATACATATAACCCTTTTGTAAAAAGATATGTCTAGGAATTTAACAAAAAAATTCAAAATTTTAGTTTTCATAAATGATGTCGAACGTCGAACGATGTAGGGTTGGAGTAGAAAAATGGATTATGAAGCTAAAATGGTTATTAGAAAGGAGTGACGAGGGTTGGAGTTGGTCTAACAATTTTATTGCATGCATTGGTGGTCACTAACATTACATTTTATTTTCCATTGGTAAGTTTTCATCCAATTCTATTAACTTTGTCCAATGTGGCACTCAACTCCCATGTTTGACCATTAAAGGAGTGAAATTTCAATTTAAAATAATAAAAAGCATAACCTAATTATATTTATTTTTCCACATCACACCTACCACAATTAAAAATAATAAAAAAATAAAATTTTAGGAGAAGAACATGCGTGTGGCCCTGATCACAAGTATCGTGAAGCATACTAGAAAACACTGAATAAAAACACACCAAACCACGTCACAAATAACATAAAGTTAGACCAAAAAAAAACTTATAAATCCGAGCATAACATAACCATACCAAAATATTCATAACGCGATCAGCAGCCCCAACTGGATAATTAAAAGAATTTAAGATTTAACCAAATCGCAGAAACCAACAACACCCCGCAATTAAGGATCTAAGCACGCTTAGCGTTAATCTTAGGAAAAGATAAATGCACAACTTGCCCAGTTGCCACTAATTTCCGTGCCGCCGGACCAACACACTATCGGTATAAGTTCAGCCCTCTTTTTCTTCAGAAAAATCAACCTCCACTAATTCAAACCGATAAAAAAAAAAAAAAAACAAAAGCTATGGCGGCGACGGAAGAACCAGCCTACGATCGCCTCGCCGATCTCATAGCATTCGACGAGACGAAAGCCGGAGTGAAAGGCCTCGTAGACGCCGGAGTCACGGAGCTCCCTCGGATCTTCCGCACTCCGCCCCACCTCGTCGACGACAGGCCGTCCGCTCCGGCCGCCGGCGGCGACCCTGTCTTCGTTTTCCCGATCATCGACCTCCAAGGCGCAGCGATAGATCCCGTAAAGCGAAGGGAGATCGTCGAGCAAGTCAGAGATGCGTCGGCGAATTGGGGGTTCTTCGAAGTGGTCAACCACGGGATCCCGATTGGCGTGGTGGAGGAGATGAAGGCCGGAGTCCATAGGTTTCACGAGATGGAAGCGGAGCAGAGGAAGCAATTCTTCGGGCGGGGATCCGACAAGAAGTTCGTCTATAATAGTAATTTTGACCTATTCAGCGGGGCGCCGGTGACGAATTGGAGGGATTCCACCATTTATCAGGCGGCGCCGGACCCACCGGAGGAGCACGAGTTGCCGGACTGCTACAGGTATGAACCCTTAACGCTATTAGTAAAGTCCTCTGTTTTTTACATACCCAACAAGAAACAGAGTATTAAAGGTCAGAGGTTTGCTAAGAAAATCTAATTCATGCATTTTTTCTTCTTCTTTATTTATGTAAATTTTAGCTTATTCACACTATATTAATGTTGTTCAGGGAAGAGTGTTGATTATTCACGCAATTAATACTATTTAGTCATGCAACCTAGTGTTTGCGTATTATAATTTATTCATGTCATTGTAAAATCAAATTTTAAACTTTAAAGTATTATCAAAATGGATGTCATTGTGTATATTATGATCAATGCAACATATTTTTACGGATTAATTGAGAATCCGATTTTAATTCCATAAACTATAGTCAATGCAAATTATTAGGGAAAGAAGTCCGAATTTCCATTTACGTGAATAACTTACACTCTTATATGAATAAACATAGTATTATACGACTCAAAAGTACTGGATTTTCTTTCGGATAGGCCATAGTATTACGTGAATAAACACCAAATGACATAAATAAACACACCAAAATGCGTGAATTAGGTCTCTATAGGCATTTAGTCTCCTCTAAAGACAAGCTAACTTTTCAAAAATCAAAAAACAAGAGTTTGAAAGTGCTGAAATGATCGGTCCGCATCAATAATCAAAATCAAACCAAAATTTCCTCTAATTATGATTGTCGGCCCACTACAGGGGAATTCTGGGTGAGTATTCAGGGGAAGTGATGAAGCTAGGCCTCCTGCTCTTTCAGCTGCTGTCGGAAGCTCTGGGTTTGGGCTCCAATCATCTGACCGAGATGGATTGTGGCAAAGGATTAGTTGTTGCTGGACATTACTTTCCACCTTATGCTCAGCCGGAGCTCGCTATCGGAATAAGCAACCACACCGATTTTGACTTCATCACCGTGGTGCTACAGGACCACGTCGGAGGGCTCCAGGTCCTCCGTCGGAACCAATGGGTTGACGTGCCGCCGTTGCCGGAGGGTCTGGTGGTCAACATCGGAGATATGCTCCAGGCAAGTTTTTTTAAACCACCATTATTCACTTCTTTGCTCTAACTAGATTTTTTTTTTTGTGTGTGTGGAGATTTGATGGGATGATCGTCGGCTTTCGTAATTTGTGCAGTTGATGTCTAATGACAAGTTCAAAAGCGTGGAGCATAGGGTGTTGATAAACGGTTCTGAGACCAGAGTGTCAGTGGCGGCTTTCTTTTTCGGCACGGCGTTGAAGCATCAACGTCTGTATGGACCTATAAAAGAGTTGGTATCGGAGGAGAACCCGCCGAAGTACAGAGAGACGACGTGTAAGGAGTTCAGCGCTGTGTCCTACGAGAAAGGTCTTGATGGAAACTCGAGGTTGGATTATTTCAAGCTCTGATCATGGAGTAGGGCTTTTTAACTTGAGAGATGGGAGAGTACATGGTGTTTTAGTAAAATTATCAGAAAAACAACGTTGAATCGCGTCGGTTTGGTGAGTCCTTCAGTTAAATCCAGACATTGTACCAAATGTGAACATTGTACAATCTAGGTCGAGGATCGGGTCCATCCTGTGTGATCAGGCATTATTTTTGTCAAAATACTCTTAATAAGTAACGGATCTTAAATGGTAGCAACTGCGTCAATTAAAAAAAATGATGACATAAAAAGACAACGTAATTTGAAACATTTTCACATAACATGAACGTAATATCAGGTAGAAATCATAATATGAATGTAAACTTCCACTTAACGGTAAGTAAGGTAGGCCTTTGCGATTTGAGCAACCATTCGATACTTCGTAACTCGAACATAACATAGCTTGGGTGTGGCTTCCAGCCTTCCACCTAATGGGAAGTAAAGTAGTCGCACATTGCTAGGAAAACGAACATGTAAGTGATTCAAATATCCTTCTATCTCTCTTACACAAACAAGTAGTCCTTCCTTTAGCTAGGAAATATAAAAGATTTGAGGGGTTTTATTCAATGACTATTTTTTTTCCAGTGATTTTGGTTTGATTTTGATTGCGTCAGTCGAGAGTTTGCTTCTTCGTTGTAACTATGTCATACTATCGTTTCCTTAGTTTGTTAAAGTAGTGAAGCAAATAAAATCCAGTGTTGTCGTGTTGGTGTTAGGAAGTTGTGTGTTCATTTGCTTAGTTTGTTAGGATGGAAATCCGAGAAACTAGTGGATCCCACCAACAAAGTCATCAAGACTTCTACTATCTTGATTTATGGGCACCCCCACACATTGGAATACATGAGGTTCTTTACTAAGAAGAGAGAGATCATAATGTCACGAGTAACTTGATTTGCTTCTCAATATTTCATTTTACAAAGCTTAATGAACAAGAAGGATGCACTAAAAAAGATGGTGGTGGATAGGAAATGTGATATCTTGAAAGATGAGCACACAAAGAATGATAAGGAAGCAACAAGGGTGAAAATTATTGTTGGTCACTAAACTTGTTCTATTAATTCATGTTTACCACTAAACTCGTTTTTAATTTAACTAAACCACTGAACTTAATATAAAAAATTGCCATCCATCACTTTCGTTCAAATCTCACGGATGTCATCTTAACGGCGCTGACAAAGCCCTAACGGGGATGACATGGAGACACCTAATCTCTATTATTCCACGTAAGCAATTTCATTGCTTAATAAAAATCTACCCAAAGAAAGAAAAAATCCCTAACCCTTAATTTCCCCGTCAATTGACCTCCAAACCTCTCGGCTGTTCATCTTCCCCAAAAGCTTCCAAGTCGGACAAAATAACCATTGATCATCCTTGACCTCTGCATTGCAATGCCGCCGGACAAACCAACTAAAAGAAGCATAAGAGGTAAGCTTGATTATGGTAATAGATGGAGTTATATATTCTGTTATATATTCTTAGGGTTTTGGTACCGACAGTAAGAGCCTAAGAGGAGTGTGGACGAGGCCGGTGCGGCGCAATCCGTAACTGTGGGTACTGGGCAGGCTTATATGGATTTATGCATATGTGAGATTGAAATTGAAGGAAGGGGTATGCTCTTAGTCTTTGCTGTCTTTAGGGAGACACGTAGCAGTAGAGAATGGGATTTGCAGAATGCATATGGACCACTTTTAATCTTCTCTATGCCTTGCCTTGCCTTGCCTTTTTTGTTGTATTTTTTCACATTTTTGTCTCTAGTAACAAGAGAAGGAAAAGCTAAAGAGAGATGGGTGGGTATGGGATTGAAACATGAGGCACGTAGGCGGGTGGGGTTTGTCACAGATCACTTTTAATCTTTTTTATATGTTCTTTTGTCTTCTTGTATACTTTTGTTTCTAGTAACAACAAGCTAATTATTGTTTTATGCAGGTGTTAACGACAATAATACTGAAAGTGGGAATATGACAAGAAACTCAAAGAAGCATACATTCAGAAATTTGGCAAATAATTTTGCAGAAGATGCATTATCTGAAAGCAGTGATGTGAGTTCTGATTTTGAGGTACATTTTGAGGACAGTGATTATGATTTGATGGATAAGGAAGATGATTTGATATATGATAATTATGTCGATGGAGAAGTGGAAGCTGGAAATGGATTTGATTTTCAATTGGAAGGTGCATCAAATCCGCAATCACCTGTTGCTTATGATGATGATATTGCTTATGATGGTGACGGGGAGCTTACTCATGTGGTTGAGGATGGAAGTGAGATGATGGATTTCCTGAGTTCAATGCAGAAGCGAATATGAATGATCCAGTATTTTTTGAAGGTCTCAAGTTTAAATCCTTTGATGAATTCAAGGAGGCAGCAAAGCATTATGCAATAAGACATAAAAGGAACATTCGGTTTAAGCATAATGACAAGTTGAGGGTCCATGCTGTTTGCCAAGATGGTTGTCCATGGGAAATATGGGTCTCCTACATGTCTAGTGAGAAGACACCTCAAATCAAGACATGTCGTATAAATCATAGTGAGCATTGCAAAAAAGTGTACAATACCAGATTCCTCACAGCCAAGTGGATAGCACAAAAGTACCTAGAGAGGTTTAGAGTTGATCCTGCATGGTCTTGTCCCCTTCTAATCCAAACTGTCAAGGAAGATTTGATGCTAACCATGAGCATGCCTAAAGCTCAAAGGTGTAGACGTGAGGCTTGGGTACTATTAGGTGGGCAAGAGAAAGATCAATACGAAAAATTATATGATTATGCAGGTGAGATTCGAAGGACAAACCCAGGATCCACAGTGATCATTGAGCAGATTGGAGGTATTTTTGAGAGGATGTACATGTGCTTGCAAGGATGCAAAGAAGGATTCAAGGCAGGATGTAGAAGGTTCATATCCATCGATGGTTGTTTTATCAAAACCGATATTGGGGGACAATTACTAACAGCTATTGGTGTTGATCCTAATGATTGCATTTTCCCCATTGCATTTGCCTTGGTGAAGAAAGAAAACAGAGATAATTGGCAATGGTTTATTAGAAACTTGGTTGAAGATCTTGAAGTAGAAAATAGTCCCAGATGGTGCTTTATGTCTGATCGTCAAAAGGTAATTAAGATTAATTATTATTAATAACTTAGATGTTATCCTTCTGGTTTGATGTATTATGTTCTTTCTAATATTTGAATTTACAATCACTTGTAGGGGCTAATTGCAGCCTTAAATGATGAGTTATTCGACGTGGAGCATCGATTTTGTGTACGCCACATGTACACAAATTTTCGGAAAGATGTTTCCAGTGACTTGTTACTGAAAGACTTGATCTGGAAGGTAGCACGAGCTACTACTACAAGTGAATTCAAGAGGTGGATGCAAGAGATTGGGAGGCAAAGTGAGAAGGCAAAGAATTGGTTGCATGAGAGACCTTTTAGAGAGTGGTCAAGAAGCCATTTTCAAGTTCTATGTGGGTGTGACATGCTTCTCAACAATCTATGTGAGTCTTTCAATCGTTGCCTACTAGATGCAAGGTGTCAACCCATTATCTCCATGTTTGAGGCCATTAGATGCATACTAATGAGACGTATGCATGTGAAAAACAAAGTTGGTGGTAAAATGACTGGTCGAATTTGTCCCAAAATACAAACAAAATTGGAAAAGCTGAAAGATGAAGCAGCGAAAGGTTGTACAGCTACGTATGATGGAGAGAATCAGTACCAAGTTAGGTCCTTTGATGGACAAGTAGTGGTGAATCTTGCTGAAAAGACTTGTGCATGTAGAAAATGGCAGCTTTCTGATATTCCTTGTAAGCATGCTATATGTGCAATTTGGGAGGCAGACAAACATCCAGAAGATTATGTGGGTAGTTGGTATACTGTTGATACCTATAAAGAAGTTTATAACCATTTTGTCCATCCTACCAATAGCAGTGATATGTGGGAAGATAGTGGTAGGGATCCCATTCAGCCACCTCCTATAACTAAGGAAAGAAAGATGAAGAAGGGAAGAAAGCCTAAACAAAGGAGGAAGGAGAGTGCTGAGTTGGAAAACACAAGTAAGAATGGAAAGCATAGACTGAGCAGGAAGGGAGTGAAGCTAAAATGCTCTGTATGTCGTGAGCATGGGCATCGGAAAGACTTCCACAAAAACAATCCATTACCACAACAAGAAGGTGAGCAAGGAAACTCCACTACACAGGCTACTACTTCTGGAAGAATGAACAAATTACTAGTAAGTTAAAAAATTTGTTCCATATTTGAAAATACATCATTATTTTGTACTAAGATATTTGAATGTTAATGTTTCATATATTATTGTAGATTCAACGTAAAATAATCGGAGTACAACAAGGTATGACCCAATCTTGCTTTCAAGCATCACAGGTGTGTATCACAATCCCAATGCCTTTTGTCTAGATGATGTATGTTTAGAGAATGTTCTTTAAATGATGTTTGTTTGTTTTTTGTGATAGGAGAGTGACATTTTATTTCAGAGCTAGGAGGCTTTTTGGACAGATTTCAACGCTTGGATATGGTCTCGATTGAATTTTGAGTTGAAGTCACGACTTCTATTTCAAGTGATGCCCCAGATTCTGCATGTTTTAGTACCCCAAGTTCTACTGCAAATTTTTTTAGACTTGATGTGTGTGATTTCATATTGGAAAATTGAAGCGGCATATTTGACTTATAATTTCATGAACGAGTGACTGCATAATATTATATGGTTCCTTTTATTTATTTTTTCCCCTCTGATTGATTAAAGAAAATAAGAATTGTGCTCCACTAAACAGGTCCCTATCAAATTAGAAAATCATAATACGGTGGGAAAAAATCTTTCTATACCAGGTAAAACCAGAATAAAATTTTAAATTTAAACAAATGTTGTCAAAGATGTTGTAGCTCAATTGGTTAAATTGTTAGCCTCCTTTCGGCTGGCTGGTTGTCACACAATGGTCTCAGGTTTGAGGCCAGCTCCCAGCAATAATTTTTCCTTTTTATCTTAGGTTAAACTTGGGAGTGACATGGCAGATTAATGAGCTGTCCTCCAGCTTGGAGGTGCCATGTCAGCAACGTTAACGCTTTGTCAGTACCGTTAACATGACATCCATGAGGTTGGAAAGAAAGTGATGGATGGTGAGTTTTTATATAAAGTTTAGTGGTTTAGTTAAATTAAAAACGAGTTCAGTGGTAAACTTGAATTAATATAGCAAGTACAGTGATCAGTGATACTTTTCACCCGAAGCAACAACAATGATGTTGAATTACAACCGTTGGAAAATAAAGTGTGAACATTTGCTTGATGGTAATTTAGCTATTGGTAAGAGTTCTTCGTTTGGTTGGTGGTGATGTGAAACCATCTATTGGTTTCGTAAATGAAACGGTTGTGAAGGAAAAGAGGGAGTTCGGCGAAAAGACATTTGTTAATGTGGAGATTTGCCACCATCTTCTTATATGAATTATTTTTAAATTCTTATTATATACATGACAATTCTTCTTCTAAAAAAATGTGGAAGTAGTATTGAACCGAAAATACAAAATAATAAGGTTTTATTTTGTCTATTTTGTCATCCAAAGGAAAATGTTAATCTTTTTTCCTTTTTAAATCGAACTTTAAAGAAAGTATCTTATCAAGCATATCTTAACAATTATTTTAATTTTACATAAATCCCACTTAAAATAATATGTGTCGGTCCAATGGTATGGATTCTCAAATCTCAACCCAATCGCTGGCACAAATAATTGATTTCCAGGTTCGGCAAAAAGAGATCAGAAGAAATACGACAACCCAAAACAACTAAACAAGAAAACAAATAACAATGGCTTCTGCCGCAACTACCAATCCAGGTTACGATCGGCTAGCGGAGCTGAAGGCGTTCGACGACACAAAAGCCGGAGTGAAAGGGCTAGTGGACGCCGGAATCAAAGAGCTCCCTCGGATCTTCCATACCCCGCCGGATTCCCTCAATTGCAGACCCTTAGCTTCACCGGAGGATCCCGATTTCATCCTCCCGGTAATTGACCTTGAAGGTACGACGAACCCAGAAAGGCGCAAACACATCGTCGAAAAGATTAAAGACGCCGCAGCAAATTGGGGGTTCTTCCAAATCGTCAACCATGGAGTCCCTGTAAGCACCCTGAATGAGATGAAAGCCGGAGTTCGCCGGTTTTTCGATCAGGACGTGGAAGTGAAGAAGGAATTCTACGGCAGCGACCTGACCGGGAAAGTCGTCTACTCCAGCAGCTACGATCTGTACACTTCGCCGGCGGCGACCTGGAGAGATTCCATCCTCTATCATATGGTACCGGACCCGCCGGAAACAGAGCAAATGCCGGCCTGCTGCAGGGGAATTGTGACGGAGTACTCAGGGGAGATGGTGAAATTGGGGGATTTGCTTTTCCAATTGTTGTCGGAGGCGCTGGGTCTGGGGACAAATCGCTTGAAGGAAATGGGCTGCGCCGACGGAATGGCGACCCTGTGCCATTACTATCCGGCTTGTCCTCAGCCGGAGCTCACAATGGGAATCCATCACCATGCCGATCTGGGTTTCATCACGATTCTTTTGCAGGATGCCGTCGGAGGGCTTCAGGTTCTTCGCCGGGACTGTTGGGTTGATGTGCCTCCTGTGCCGGAAGGTCTCGTTGTCAACATCGGGGATATGTTTCAGGTTAGCGTACGCGCGTTCATGTCTGATTCGAAACTCATCATGCATTTGGTTGGATACGATATCTGGTCGGAATTTCAGCTCGTTGTGGGTTAAAATAACTTGCAGCTGATATCCAACGGGAGGTTTCCGAGCGTGGTGCACAGGGCGGTGGTAAAGAGCGTCGGACCTAGAGTATCCGTCGGCGCCTTCTTCCGTAATGAAGCGTCGTCCGGTTCGAAAGTGTATGGACCTATAGCGGAGCTGATAACGGAAATGAACCCTTCAAAATATCGAGAAGTCACGGTTGGGGATTTCTACAAGCATAACGCAGGTGGCACGTACCTGCAGCAGCTTGAGTTATGAGACAATGCTTTCGATACCGAATAAGATAATATTGTGTAATAACGGTCTCGATTTTGGGATTTCAAAGTGTGGTAGTGTTGTAAAATGGTACGATCAGTGTTGTTAATCAACTCGATAATTTCATCGAGTAAATGTACGAATGTGAATCACATTATGTGACAAATAAATTGACAATGGAGTATGGGTTCGCCAAAAATTCTCATTCCTTTCTAATGTTACCATCATTACAAAAGAGAAACAAAATCTGCCGGTTTTGATCTTCTAGGGTAGCTAAGCAATAAGCATCAAAGCATAAAGATTGCCGGCCAAATTCTGAGAAAGTTGTCCAGCAGATGGGCTACAGTGTTTGGGTGATGGGCTGAAGTGTTATGGGCCGGATAATTTTTGTGACCAACTACCTGTCTTGACATAGGCTCCATTAAGACTAGAGCTCAATTGAAATACTGGGGGTTAATGTTGGGACTTTTTAGGGACGAGGGTACACGTACGATAGTCCGAGACCGGGTGACTAGGATTATGATAGGGTTGTGAACAACGTTCATTTTCCGTAAAGAATATTTCCACCCTCAACAAGTCTAGGGTTACAGGAAATTTCTTCGTAGGATAAAACTATCACCACTTTAGGTTTCAGGCTTAAGTACCTAAAGCATACTTAGAACTTTTAGTAGGAAGAAGAATGAATATTTTGATGTGTCATTGTGTATACTTTTCACATGCATCACCTCTTATTTATAGAGGCCGAACCAATATGTTGCTTCAATCCGAAGCAGTACATTGTTTCAAAGGAAAAGTTGCAACCGATGGACATAACCATGGATAATGGTCATTCACTTAACTGTCCTTATCCATGTCTTCCACCAGAAACCATTATTTCCAAAACGTGCCAAAGCAAAGCAACCCACCATTTCATTTAAATGAAACGTTGCACGAGATAACTGCCATCCCATTTCAATTTGAATGAAACATTGCTTCTCTATAAAATGCATCCATGCATGTTTTGGGAGGAGTCACGTTGGTTCGCTTTGGTTGGTTTGGTTAGTCATTCCAAATTTCCAACAGTTAATCGATTCTGATCTGTGTTTGCTTTAGGGGTGTTCAAATGGTTACCACGGTTATAATCAAACCAAATAAGGCTAAATTCCATTAACCATGGGATACAATATCATAACCAAACCGTCCAAACTACTACAACAATCAAATTAACCAAACTAAAGTTTAATCAGTTTGGTTAATTGGTTAACCAGATTAACCAATATAAAATCACATTATCATTGACGATGAAAATTTTCTGGTTAATGCAACAATTCACAATTTATATAATGAATAAAACATAACAATCAACACGTAGTTATAGTTGACCCTTAACAAAAATACATGCAACTAAGACAATTATCTTACGAATAGTATAGAAGTATTCACCTAACAAAAAATTATGACAATGATATGGGTTAATGAATTGTTGTGTTTGTGTAAAATGACTTAGTCTCTTAGCAATTATCATAGGCTGGAAATGACCTTCCTTTCAAGTTTTCATTCATCATAATGTATGAAATTTATCTAAATTAGGCGTCCATATGTTGTGGTCTAGACTTTACATATACAAATATACACTACATGAGCAATATTGAGCTTTATATTTTATGAGTCTAAAAGGGATGAACGTTAACTCTTGAGTGGTTATGCAAAGTATTATGTGTATATAATATATGTTAGATATATGACTAATTACTTAACTGGTTAATTTGGTTTGACTGGTTAGGAGTGTCTGAAACCAAACCAAACCACCTAAACCAAACAAGCTAAAAACTTTAACCAAACCAAACCAATTATCCAAATTAACCAAACCAAATTATCCAAATAGTATCGGTTAAAACGGTTACCACGGTAACCAAACCGTTTGAACACCCCTAGTTTGCTTTGTCAGACTGTGGCATAGACTCGAAGCCATTTTTTCTGTGATTTTCCATATGCTCGTCCAATTTTACTTGATATGCTATCGGATATTACATGGCCTATGCAGTGGGAGGAAATTGTTCCGGAGATTATTCCATCAGGATAATAGGCTGATTGGAGTGTTGTGGAGTTGGTATGTGCAGCGACGGATCCAGGACAGAGTAGAGCATTGGGTCACATTTGTCAAAAAGGCAAAGAGGGCTAGCTCCCCAATGTACTCTCAGTTCCTATTGATAAGGAAATGATATTTAGTATAAGCTGTATTATTTTTAGGTAGGAGCCTGTATACGATTTCAGTGTTCACTGTAGGTTGCTTTGCAGCAAACTTAACTGCTCTGCAGTTGTTTTTATAGAGAAGCTTGCAGTTGGTCAAGCTTGAGCTTAATAATAATAGAGGCAACAACGATTACCGAAAAAGAAAGTCACTCACAACAAAGTTTTTTTAACAGCTTGTGTCTGTCATATCAAAGTCCAGTCTGATGTGAATATGTGATACATTACTTTGTCTTGAAATCTAGATATTTTTCACACGTATTTTGTCACGAAAACTTGATATTGTGATATAGTATTTATTAGGATAATTCAATTTTGTCAACACAGAATGGTAGACAAATCTGTCATAACTTGTACATAACAATCATTACAAAGTAAGATAACTAACATTCATTATGTTCCAAAGAAGTGCACAGAGGGGAAAAAAGGTCTTGTCATTTTATTCTTTCTTAAAAGGAAATTAAGGGGTCGTTTGTTCAAATCCTTCACCAAATCCATCAAGCAAACAACCCCTAAAGTTCCGTGACAAATGCGTGTTACGGCGTCATCCTTCAACATAAAAAACTTTGGATCTTTCTTTATCTCTGTCTCACACAGAGGACTTATCTCTCTAGCTTTTCTCTCTGTCCTTCCCCAGCCCTTCCCCTACTGCAGCGCTCCCAGACGCCTTCTGGATGACTAACTCCTCCTTTTGTTAGAGATGATATTCACCCTCACTATGAGATGATTAGATCCGTCCTCCATGATCTAACTAATGGCGAGGTTCAAATCAACCAACTCTTTCACTCTATATCCCATCTACTTATTAAAAAGCTTCTACATCCCTTCGAAGAACAGAGAAGACAGTCATCAGCAACCATTAATGCCCTCAGCAATTGAAGACATCCAACTACCAAATCTGAGGAAGAATACTAAGAAGGATTTGGCAGATACAAGTCGCTTCAAACCGCCATTACTAAGGGACAACATATTTCTTGAGCAGCAAAAAGATTCACAAGTTGTGAAAGTTGTTGATGTAACCAGAGCATTAAATCCCCAACGCTCATATTCAGCAAAGAAGAGAAGAGCAACCAAGTATGATTATAAATTGATAAGAGCATACCTTACCTTGCTACTTCCCAACAAGAGAGCAAAGATCCTTTTCCCTCCTTGTTCTTTGATCCTTCTCTATTCTGCTACCCCCTTTCCCCTGAAACTGAACAATATGGATGTTAACGAGCTGATCAATCAAGTTGAAGAATGGGATCTGGAAATGCTATCAAATGAAAGCAGGGTGGCACACAGGAACACTCTTATCGGGAAGATCTCAGAAAGGCCAATCAGCAAGCGCTCCATGATTGGGATGATCCACTCAGCCTGAGTCAACTGCCACATCCCTTCAAAGAACAAAGAAGACAGTCATCAGCAACCATTAATGCCCTCAGCAATTGAAGACATCCAACTACCAAATCTGAGGAAGAATACTAAGAAGGATTTGGCAGATACAAGTCGCTTCAAACCGCCATTACTAAGGGACAACAGATTTCTTGAGCCTCAAAAAGATTCACAGGTTGTGAAAGCTGTTGATGTAACCAGAGCATTAAATCCCCAACGCTCATATTCAGCAAAGAAGAGAAGAGCAACCAAGTATGATTATAAATTGATAAGAGCATACCTTACCTTGCTACTTCCCAACAAGAGAGCAAAGACCCTTTTCCCTCCTTGTTCTTTGATCCTTCTCTATTCTGCTACCCCCTTTCCCCTGAAACTGAACAAGATGGATGTTAACGAAGCTGAAGAATGGGATCTGGAAATGCTACCAGATGAAAGCAGGGTGGCACACAAGAACACTCTTATCGGGAAGATCTTCTCAGAAAGGCCAATCAGCAAGCGCTCCATGATTGGGATGATCTGCTCAGCCTGGGTCAACTGCCACAAACCCAAAATATAGGAGATGCCCATTATCAACGATGCCGGATTCAACACTTTCATTTTCGACTTTGAAACTCGCGAAGAAATGAAAGCCATCTGGAAAGATCGTCCTTGCCCAGTTGCAGACACCCTCATTCACCTGAAATGATGGACTGGACTTGACAATCCAAAAGGAAACCTCTTCAATAGTGCTAAGTTCTGGGTCCAAATTCACAATCTTCCAGAAGCTTATCGAACTGAAGGTAACATTTCCATGGTTCAAAACATGTTTAATCACCTAATTGAAGTGGTCAGGAACGCTTTGGAAGCCCATCTATACAAGAAATTCTTCAAGGTCTTTATTGAGGTGAACACAGACAAGCCTCTTCCTGATGGTGTCTACCTACGCCATCAACAAAGAAGAATACGATATGAGTTCAAATACGAGAGACTGATGACGCTTTGCTACTTCTGTGGCAAAACCACACACACCAAACAAGATTGCAAAACCAGAAGAATGATCGGCGGGGTGATTCCTCCCTTACAGGATGTCCAATGATGGGGTCCGTGGATGAGAGCGAGCTCGAGCATTTTCTCTCCGATATCTACCCAGCAACAGGAAGCGGAAGAAATTAGGAAGAGAGATGCAGCCTCTTCCTCGAACTCGTCCGCGGGCCGTTCTTTTTCGTCTTCACCGGCAACCACCAACAAGGCGACGACGACCGTAACAGAAAGGACTCACACTTTTCCTGCCTTGGGATTCTCACCTGGCACTGCTCATTCCCCCATGTCTGTCTTCTCCCAAAACTTCCCGTTGCCAACAGACCACTCTTCCCCCACTGTCTTCCTCTCACCTCAGCAAATCTCACCTTCTCCATTTTTTCAAAATCTGATCCCCACACCACATCAACTCCAATCCTCCAGTGTCTCTCAAAATCTGTTCGGAGAACAACCCATCGTCAACCACTCTACCCTTATCCCTTCCAGCCACCAACCACCTATCACCTTGTTGGGCCCAGAGAACCCTAGCCCATGCCCCTTTCAAACACAGACAAACTTCTTTGTGAACCAAAATTATTTTAATGCTGGGCCTAGTGGATCTCCAAGGAACTTCAAATCCCCAGCCCGTAATCACCAAGTTAGGAAACATTCCATTAGCCCAAACATACCAAAAAAGAAAAGAAAGGTTGTTGCTCCCTATGAACTCGAGCGGGAGGAAACAAGGGAACTCACTGCTCTGTTCCGTCTTCCAGAAGCACCTGCTGGGATTACTCTTGCCATCTGCAATGAAGGCAACATGCTGGAAGAAGACTTCATTCCAGAGAATGAGACGAACTTTACTGAGGAAATGGTTGCCGATTCCAAGCCACCAGAGGTGCCATGAGTCTAATTGCTTGTAACTGCAGGGGCTTCGGACAGGCTCCTACAGTTCGTCAGCTTCGAAAGATGGTTAACCGTTTCCAATCATCAACCGTATTTCTGTCAGAAACTAAAAAGAAAGATTCTTACATGGAGAAGAAGCGTAGGAGGTTACGTTTTGCCAACCATCATTATGCCTCACCGGTGGGACGCGTCGGTGGCCTCGCCCTTTGCTGGGTTAGAGATTTAGATATTCAAGTTCTAGATTGTAATAGGTTGTTTATTGATGTTTTTGTTCAGATGGATGGAGGCTTCTTTATCACTTTTGTCCATGCCCCATCCAATCCCACTGATCGTAGGGATTTTTGGAACCTCATAGCCAATCTTAGAGAAAATGCGGATGATAAGTGGCTAATTGTGGGCTATATGAATGCCATCTTGTAATTGGAGGGAAAAAAAGGAGGAGGCCCTCTCCGCAATGACTCGGCGGTCCCATTTCGTGAATTCATTGAAGGGAATTCTCTACTGGACATTGGCTTTAAGGGTCACCCCTTCACTTGGATTAACAATCAGGAAAACCAAGGCAGAATTGAAGAAAGACTTGACAGAGTACTCTGTTCCCACTCTTGGAGAACACTTTTCAGTGATGCTACTCTCGTCCACGAGCTTCCTCTGGAGTCTGATCATAGTCCTTTGAGGCTTGAATTTTCTGGCTAAAGAGAAAGAAAGAAGTGCCCTTTCAGATTTGATGCTTGATGGCTTAATCGAGAGGAATGCCTTGAAATTGTCAACAGAAACTGGGGAAATGGCTCGTCTTGTGATGAAAAATTCACTAATTGCCAGAGAGAGTTGGAATGTTGGTCCAAACAAGTTTTCAAAGAACAGAATCACAGGGCGATTATAATCCAAAAGAGACTAGCAAAAATTCTTGTCCTCAACAGAGACCATTCTATTATCCAGGAAGAAAAGGACTTGATGAGTGAACTTGCTGCTATTTGGAAAGATGAAGAACTCTTTTGGAGCCAAAGGTCTAGAGTCAACTGGTTACAGAAAAGAGACCAAAACACTAATTTTTTCCATACCTCTACTATCCAACGGAAACAGAGGAACAAAATCGTCTTCCTTAAAGATGAATAGGGTGAATGAATTCTTACACCCCAAGGAGATTTCGAACCAAGCTATTGGCTATTTCAGAAACATGTTCACCAGAGGTACTACTAACCCTGACTTGTCTGTCCTTCTTGACTTTCCTAAACTGGTTACTGACCAAATGAATGAGGAACTTTGCATAATTTTGGAGCAGGAAGAAATTCAAAAAGCTGTCTTTGACCTTGGACAAAACAAATCGCCAGGACCAGATGGTTTTGCTGGTTTGTGCTTTCGCAGGTTTTGGTCCAGGATAAAGGAGGATTTCTGCAAGGAGGTTAAAGAATTCTTTGTCTCTTCGATCATGCCCCATGGATGGAACAATACACATATTGCTCTCATCTCGAAAGTTCAATCGCCGGACATGATGAAGCAGTTTAAGCATATCAGCTGCTGTAACTATAGATAGAAAGGTGCTATAAAAAATCATGACTAGCCGACTGAAAAAGTTTATGCCCCTTCTCGTATCGGAAGCTCAAGCAGTGTTTACTGGAGGAAGAATGATACAAGACAACATCATCCTTGTTCATGAAGTGTTGCACCATTTTAAAAGGAGAGGAAGAGGAGGTAATTGGGACATGATGTTAAAACTTGACATGAGAAAGGCCTTTGATCTTGTGTACTGGAATTGTATTGAGGCTATTCTAGTTGCCTACGGTTTTAGTCCTATTTGGATTGGATGGATTAACCAGTGCATCAGAACAGTTTCCTTCTCGGTCTTGCTTAACGGATGTCCTTCTAAGACTTTCCAGCCTTCCCGGGGTATTCGTCAAGGAGATCTGTTGTCCCCTTTCCTTTTCATCTTGTTATCCAATGCGCTCTCATTCCTGATTCAGAAAGGGGTTGACAAAGGGGACATTCAAGGCATCAAGCTCAACATTAACTGCCCGACTCTCTCCCACTGCCTTTTCGCTGATGATACTGTGATATTTGGTAAAGCAAGTATGAGAGAAGCATCCCATATCCTTGATACTCTTAAGAGCTATGGCAGTATCACAGGACAAGAAATCAATGACACTAAGTCATCCATCTTCTTCAGCAAAATACCCCAACTGCTTTGCAGAATCTCATCACTTCCCATTGTGGCTTCTCACCTTCAGTTTGCCATGATAAGTATTTGGGAGTTCCTTCGGAATGGGGGAGGTCTAAAAAAGAGACTTTCACTTTCCTTTTGGAAAGATTGGAGAAAAAAGCCGAATCCTGGAAAAGCTTGCTCCTCTCTTCGGGTGGTAAGGAGACCCTTCTTAAAGAGGTCCTCCAAGCCCTTCCAACTTTTGTGATGATTGTCTTTCTTCTCCCACTCTCGTTTACTAATAAAATGGATGCTATCCTCCGTAGTTTTTTTGGGCAGGGTCGATGAAAAAAAATTCATCCACTGGTGTGACGCTCGAACTCTCGAGAACCCTAAACAGGTAGGTGGAATTGGTTTTCGTAATTTCCATCTGTTTAACTTGGCTCTTCTTTGTAAACAAGTGTGGAGAATCCTGAAGATCTTTGGGTTAAAGTTCTTCAAGGAATTTACTTCCCAGATGGAGATTTCTTGTCGGCCAAGAAAGGAAGGAGCGGATCTTGGATCTGGAATGGCTTGTGTGACACGAAAGAGAAGCTGAACATGGGACTGGTTCGCGTGGTTCTATTAGGAGAGGAAACTTGGTTCCAAGGAGATCCTTGGATCCCCTCCATTCCATCCCATGCTATACCTGTCACCGACCTACCCTATTCTAGAGTTTGTGACTGGATTCTTAAAGAGGAGCGAGCATGGGATGTTGAAGCCATTCGCAATGTCTGCTCAGAAGATATTAATAACGCTATCTGTCAAATCCCGATTGGTCTGGCAGGTGCTAGTGACTGTTGGGCCTGGAAATTCACAAAATCAGGATTCTATTCTGTTCGCTCGGCGTACCACTCACTCCGAGAGCAGCGTGACCTTCTCGTCCCTAACCACCATGGTGGGACCAATCTTTTGGGCGATCTGGAATGGTCTTGGCTTTGTTCACTTGCCCTCCCCAGGAATCTCAGATTCTTCCTTTGGAAATGCTCTAAGCGAGCTGTTGCTACTAGGGAAAGACTCCATACAAGACAATATGCCCCCAACCCGAGATGTCCGATCTGTGATGCTCCGGTTGAATCTATTATGCACTGCCTCTTCTACTGTTGGCACGCATATGAAACGTGGAACCTTTCTAGTCTGTTCAATGATCTCCCAACACAGGGCTCATCTTTTGCGCATTGGTTTTTTGGTCTGAAGGATGACTTTAGAGACACTCGCATTCGTCCGATTGTGTGTTGTCTATGGAATATTTGGATTTCTAGGAACTCCTTTATCTTTGACAACAAGGCTCCTTCCCCAGCCTCCACGATAATTGTTGCAGGTCGTGATTTTCTGGAAATTGATGAAGCTCGAAGCACTGGAGCTTCCCACCGACCTGCTCTTTTATCTTCTCAGCCAAGGGGTTCCTGTCACAACATTGAACCACCGCCTACTTCCCGAGTGATCCACTGGCGACGACTCGTTTGTCTCAGAATCCCTCCCGGCGGCATATGGGATTACTATTGCTAATCCTTAGGGTCAAGTGTATGATGACAAGGCTGATTCTTTCTTTTGTTCTCAATGCTATCTTGCTTGCAGCGCAAGATCCAGTTCCTACTTGCATTTGTTCAGATTGTCAAGTGCTGACTCTTGCATTGCATCAGGATCCGGCCTCCTGGCCTTGGCTTTGTCAAGCTTCCCTTGCACGTATGACTTCCATCTTGTCCTCTTCACCTTGGATTCGCATCGTGTTCGTCCCAAGGCGGTTGAACATGTTGGCGGATTGGGTTGCTTGTCAAGCTAGATTGGAATCGGTGCATGTGGATTAGATTATAGTTTCTAATATTATTGCTCCACTGTTGTAATGAACTCTTTTCTTTGCTTGCTCGGATGGAATGAAAGTTACCATTGTTCAAAAAAAAGTCATCCTTCAACATGCGATGGCAATCTTCAACGTCTGCAAAACACAAGAGCTAACGTCACCAATCTGCAAAGCACAGATATTGTTGATGGCAATGGGACGGGGCCGGACGGGTACCTCAATACTCATGCCTACCACATGTTACTGTGGGAAAACATATTAAATGAAAAGTAGTGAAAAAAATACACACAAGTTTATGAAAAAAATACACACAAATTTTACCTTTTTACGATAAAACGAACGGGAAAACATATTATGAATGAAAAGTAGTGATAATAGAATGGGTAATTGAGTCTATCAAGTTGAACGATCGACTCTAACTAGTTGAAGAAAAGTTAAAGTAGGAGAAATATGTATAGATACGACAAGAAATTGAGATAGAATGAGCCAAGAACAGGTTGAGGCGGGATAGAGCGGGTCGGAAGTAGATACTCATGCCCTGCCCCATGCGACTGCGGGTCGGGTAATACCCGCCCATCACGAGTCAGGTAGGGTAGTACCCGCAGGGTGGGTTCAAATTACCATCACTAACTAATTAATATTTGAAAAAACTTTCGACTTAAGCAAATTAAACCAAAGTTGAAGTGAAATAGGACTTTATGCAATGGCAATACAACTTGGGCAAGTTACAATTTCGAATCTCTTAAGAAGCATCTAATTAAAAACCAAACCTCCTATATATATCACCCTTATAAAAAAAAATATTTCAACCAAATCCGAACTGAACTTAAAATCCCGAGATGTAATACTAATGATATTACCATTTGACAAACCTCTTGTTCGTCTATAATCATGACACTAAGATCGGGGGACCTTAGTGACCTAATCCGGTCTCCTACAGCATGCTTGGCCACAGCCGCAATATTAACATAATCTGAACCTTTTGTTTTGTAAACTTGATTGGGATGATCGAAAATAGAGGGATGCTAGCTGTCTCAGTAACCCTAAGAGCTTGAAAATGGTTTGTTGTTTGTGCATGGACCGATTGGATGGAGTAGTAGCACATTGAAAAGATTGGTTGGACCACCACGATCCCTAAGAGATTGAAAAGGGCTGTTGTTCATTGATGACCGATTGGAAGGATGGAGCACATGGAAAAGACCTCAGTTTTATAATATCTATTATTGAAAGATAGATCATTTGTCGTCGATTGAAAGTCACCAGATCTCGTTATCTAGAACATGTACTATTTATACATTTTCAATCGTTGTAATATGTATCTCCCTCAAATATAATGAAATATAGTGAAACTGATCTTTGCTATTCATGGCCTAACTAACATACATTACATTAGTGAACCATATAAAAATGTGTTTTTTTTTTTTTACTTTCTTACATTGTCTATTTTCCGATCCATTCTAACAAACCTTAAGAAAAGAAAGAAAAACTGATTCCCAGAAGATTGAAGAAATCAACACGTTCTTCCTAACTAATGGCCACTGTCCCTCCCTCACGCAGCTACCACAAAAACCTCATCATTCATCAAGCTTGATACCAACAAGACAAAAGAGAATGAATGAATAAAAAAAAGCCAAACAATGCACCACGATCTCCCACCCAATTGTCAACACTTGCCAAATTGTAGAGTGTAGACCAAACTTTCTTGTCCTCATATGGCCGTATCCTTCCCATCCCATTAGTCATTTGTCCATGGACCATACGCCCATACCTAGCTAAAGCCATATCTATGTCATAATTGAAATTTTCAAGAAGCATCGAGTAAAGTAGGACATCCTTGATATAGATAGAGCTTGAGTGTGTTTCATGTCTCATCTCCTTTAGCTGCAAATCAATGGAGGAGTTGATCTCAGAGAATTATCTTTCTCCAAACTATCAACTCACAAGAAATGTAGTATGCAAAATTTGTGCATACTATTTTTTCTTCTTCTAGTAGACATTTCATATTACTACGAGAAAGAAAGATGTAAAAGAGTCGAACCCTACCAAACTAGAAAAGAGTGTTTTCTGGTCACGAAATGAGTTTGAGAAGTTTGAGATCTCGACGTGGCTAGGGCTACAAAAGTTCTCTTGAGAGAACAAGTTTGAGATCTCGACGTGGCTGAGACCACAATATTGTCCGACTCATTCTCATGGAACCACAAGCCTTGATGGTTTTCACCGTAGCTTTGAACCATGAACCACCCACGAGCCACTGCGATTCTACGACGATATTGCTACGACCACACTGTGGTGTTGCTTCTCTGACTATGATTGCGAAGTTGTTTTTATGGAATAACGTCGTGGCTTTGCACCACGATGTTGTCAAACTCGCGATGTCGGATTCGCTAAGGTGTTATCCACCACGATGTTGTTAAGGTTGCAACATGATCATTATTAACCTAGCGACGCCGTTGATCTAGGATGTTGTGGAGCACCGTGGCGACCTCGTGACTGCGACCAAGTTTGTCAAATAGCTCCTACAATTGATGACCAGCTTTCACCAACCACTTCATATTTAAACATCTTTGTTGTTTGAAAAAATCTGTAATTACGACAGCTTGGACCTGGTTATTATACTATAAAACCGAGTCATCTGATACATTGCATTTGCATGCTTCGTTAAATTCAGACACTAAAGAATAAAGATGCTGTCTCATTAACCTTCGAAAACGGAAAGATGCTCTCCACTCTTCAATAACGCGTAGATTTCATAATTTAGATAGGCGGTTAGGTATAAGAATGTAACGGATCGGGTAGAGTGGCGGCAAGTGCATATTTGTTTATGGGGCTTGCTATTTGCCGTCAACCAAATTGCTATTTGCCGTCAATCAAAAAAAAAAAAAAAGTATATATATACATCTTTGGGTAAGGAGTTTCACAATCTACAACATATCAAACTTTCAGAGAATGAATTGAATCAGAAAAATTCAACGCTCGCCGGAAAAGTCACCGGAAAATCATCGGGAAAGCCTATCCTCGACATATACTGCGTACTCGCATCAATGAATCATCACTAAGCAGGTGCGTAATTTTTTTGTAGTTTCGAACAATTTTTCCGACGATTTGAAACGAACAGACGGTGGGCCGAAAAATTCCGGCGGCCGGAACCAGGCTAAGCTGCAAGATATTTTCGGCCCGGCCAGGTTCCAGCCACCGGAAATTTTCGGCCCGGCCAGGTTCCGGCCGCCGGAAATTTTCGGCCCGGCCAGGTTCCGGCCACCGGAAATTTTCGGCCCACAGTCTGTTTTTGCAATTTTTCGGAAAATTCGATTTTAGGAGTTGAATTTAGAGTTTAGGAGTTGAATTTAGCGTGTAAGAATTGAATTTAGAGTTTAGGAGTTGAATTTAGCGGTTAAGAATTGAAATTAGCGTTTAGGTTCACAGGAATATTGATATATTATATTGTAATTGTAGGGAAAATGTCAGAGTTGTTACCGGCCGATCATGATTACACACAGGAATTTGAGAATGGGATCCATTATGCAAGTGTGGAGTTAGCTGAGTTAGCTGCAAGAACAATCGCTCAGCAGTGTGGGTTCTTTATTGTTAGAGGAGCATGGAAACCGAATACTGCTGGACAGAATCCTGTTACTGCCCTCTGTATGTATTGCGACAGAAGTAGTAGGATCGTTAAGTCTTATAAACCAGACCCTACGAAGGAGACGCGTGGGAATATTAGTTCGAAGGGTACTGGTTGCCAGTTTCAGATATGTATAAAGGAAGTATGGCAAAAGGATGGTCCAAACACATGGGTCATGGTGGGAGTGACAAGTCGTGAAACCGGAGCTAATAGAGGGTTTCACAACCATGAAAAGGTGTTGTATCCAGAACATCACTGACACAACAAACAGTTTAGTGAGGCTGAAAAAGAGAGGTTAAGATTAATGAGGAAGGCGGGGGTGAGACCAAATCAGCAGAAGACGACACTCAATACTGAAGGGGGTGTGCATCATGATATCAAACAGATGTACAACATAAATTCCAAGACAAGATTGGATGAGATGGGTGAAATGGATGCGATACAGTTTGCGCTTCACGGAGCTGAACATCGTGGGTACCATATCTGTTTGCAAAAGGACTCTAATAATGTGCTCACTAATCTGTTTTTTGCGCACCCGACGTCCATTCAGATGTTGCATGCATGGCCGTACGTCATACTCATTGACTCGAGAAGTACGAGAACTTGTATAATGGTGGTCCACTAGCTCACATTGACCGCATCAATTGGCTAGAGGCGGGTTCCGCACCACCGGGGCGATGGATGGATTCTGAGGAGTCAACTAGTCGATCTTCATCTCCATCATCCCGTAGGACTCTACAATGAGAGTGCGCCACGAACCAGTCAAGATAGTCTCTCGTAGTCTCATATGGATACGTCGTCCACGGCTGAGAGTACATGTCTATATGAACCATGTGGGATAGTAGAGCATCCCATGCAGCATCAAAACTCTCAGGAATCCGAATGACATATCCACCAGGTGCCTCTGGTCGGTCTGCTCGCTGAGGACGCGAAGGGGCAGGCGGTACCATCTGAACATATCCAAACTGTCGGAGGCAACGGGCTGGATCATAGAACTCGCCTATGTCAGCGAACCGGATGACTCCAGTGTACAAAGAGCGACGCACTGCCTGATGAGGCCTCTGATGGAAAGGTGTCCAAAACACATCAGAAGGGGTCAAGCTGTCAAGAGCTCGACGGTAGAACGCCAACCTCACACTGGGATCAGCCACAGAACCAGGTGCCGGCTGCCCAATCCATCGTGAAGCCCAAGCATCATCAGTTCCAACGGCGGCAGGCTCGAAGTGAGATGGCCTGAAACCCGGAAAGTACTCGTAGATCCAACACTGCAGAAGTGTGAGACAACCAGCCACCCCTCTGGCACCAGCACGAGACGCCTGACCAAGGTATCTGTACAACCAAGCAAGTGTACCTGACGCCCAACTATACTGATCTAACTCCTCCAACTCGTCCAAAAATAGGTTCACCACCGACCGAACCCTGTCTCTACTCTTGTCCACAAACAAAGTGGACCCCAACAACAACAACAAGTACGACTGCGCCTCTGTCACATGTGTCCCGTGGCTCTGCAAGTATCTGGACGCCATCTCTGCAAGAAAACCACCCTTCTCGTACCACTTACCTCTATTATTATATCCAGGGACCTCCGCACGACCACTCAACTGCTCCGAGTTCATCCCAAGAAGCGCACACAAACCAGCCTCCGGATGGTCAAGCTGCGCAGAACTCCTACTCATCAGACGTCCCTCAACAGGAATCTGCAGTAAGTACTGAACATCGTGGAGGAGGATCGTCATCTCTCCAAAAGGCAAGTGGAAGGTGTTCGTGTCTGGCTGCCACCTCTCCACAAAAGCTGAGATCAAAGCCTCGTCAATCGCTATCTTGCGGAACATAGAGTACATCAGGTGCTGGAGACCTGACTGCTGAACCAGATCCTCCGCCTCAACATGACTAAACACGTAGCTACTACAATAAGCAACCGCCGATGTACGGCTGTAGCAACTGATGACCCCTCGATCTCCAGCCCCCGTCCAAAGCGCATAGGCAACGTGGCCACGAAAGCTCCTAATGAGGCTAGGATCCGTAGGTCCACCAGGACACTCACCAACAAGCTCCCACGGTGGAGGACCACTCGAACGTCCTCCCCTACTCCGTCCAGTCCCCGAGCTCTCTGTCTCCTGACGAGCAGGTGGTACAAATCGCCCAGCTCGGTCCCTATACATAGCAGGACGTGATGTTGCCGTACAAGACGGCCCTCGTCCATGTCCACGCGTAGGTGGAGGGACCTCGATATCCTTATCATTATCGTCCTCATCAAACTCAGCCGAGACCACTCTCGATGCAGCACCCTGGTTCCTCCCATGGAAACCAGACGCCCGTGATGCCGAACGAGCAACTACAGTAGGAGCCTCCCCTAAATTTGCCTGTGACTGATATCCAATATCTCGAGAGCGCTTATTCTCCTTATTCTTCATTCGTGCTGATGCATCAACAATCCTACCATTGAATCTATACAACTCATCCCCACCCGCATCACCCGCATCATCCATATCTAATTATCTACAAATTTACAAAATATCATACTTAGATGCGCACTAATTAATTAATTTTCTATTAACTAATGTAATATTAACATAAATTGTTAATTAATCACAAATTAATTAAATTTCTATTAACTAATGTAATATTAACATTAATTGTTAATTAGTCACAAATTAATTAAATTTCTATTAACTAATATACTATTAAAATTAATTGTTAATTAATCACAAATTAATTAATTTTCTATTAACTAATGTACTGAATATTAACATTAATTGTTAAATCAATTCTTAATTAATTAAAATTCCATTAACTAATCTAAGTAATTAAACATTCAAACCCCTATTACAAAAAAAAACATTTATACACCAACTTAAATAAATATTAACACTAATTGCTAATTTCTACTAACTAATTAAGTATTTATTTATTTATTTATTTATTAATTATCGTATTAAATTAAATTAAATACAAAAACTGGCCGGGCCGAAAGAATTTTGCGGCCGGTGAGCCGCCGGGCCGAAAACAGTTTGCGGCCGGTGCGTCGGCCGGCCGAAAAAAATTTGCGGCCGGTGCGTCGTCGGGCCGAAAAACTTTTTCGGCCGGTGCGACGGCCGGCCGAAAATTTCTTTCGGCCCGGCGACGCCACGGCCGCAAATTTTTTTCGACCGGCCGACGAACACGCCGCCGGAAATTTTTTGGGCGGCGAGGTCGGCGACCGGCCGAAAAAAATTTGCGGCCGCGGCGACCCGAAAGAATTTTTCGGCCGGCCGTCGCACTGGCCGAAAATTTTTTTCGGCTCGGCGGCGTTTAGGCCCCAGTTTTTTTTCGCCCCGCCCTGTTTTTCGCCGGAAAACTGGAAAACTTGCCGGGAAACTGGAAAACTTGCCGGAAACTGGAAAACTGGCCGGAAAAAATAAACTGAATTGTTTTCCGACGATTGAGGGCGACGGGAGGTTAGCCGACGACGGAAGAACGGTGCCGGCGACGGAGGCACTGGGCTCGTCAACAGAAGTTTTTGTTGGAATGAGTCAAATGTTCATGGGTATCCGAATTTATAGAATGAAAGGAAGGGAAGGGAGGGAAAATTCAAAATTTGAATTCAAAATTTTTTTTTGTTTGGTTGGCGGCAAATAGCCGTTCACTTGTTTATTTATTCAAATTAATTTGAATTTTATCCACACATACTCGTATCCATATAAGAATCTGATAAAAAAAATTAAAATCATATTCATGGTAGATTGAGGTTCGGATATTCATAGTTATTCATGAGTAGTAATTTTTCTTCAGAACTTCAACAAACATATTAACAATGACACGTATATTGACATTAAATAAGTGAAAAATACAACAATGAGTTACTAGAACGAAGAAAATTGGTGGTAGAGAAAACCATTTCATGAAAATATTATATATGTATAGAAAACATCAAATTTGATGAGAAAAATAAAGATAATTTCTAAATTAAACACATACACATATGTATAATTAATGCGCCGGGTTGGGATTTGATAGTGAGAAAATCATATCATCCTTATAGCCATGTAAGGAGACGAAAATCACCCCACAAAACCACTATCATAAACCCTTTTTTTTTTTGACAACAAATATCATTCATTTCATTCCAAACCCAAACAAAGGGGAGCACAACGATTACAATAATGGAGCGACAAGGTTGGCAATGACAATCCATTCTGGAGGAAGGAGATCAAGACGAGAGTTCCTAGCGATCCAATCAGCTAACTTATTGAATTGCCGAGGAACAAACTCGACGTAGATCCAAGGAGAGGCACAAAGAATGGAGACCACCCGAGCAAGGGAAGCCCGGCACTGCCAGGGCCAGAGGCTCGGATCCTGTCTCAACGCATTCGTCAAACGTTGACAATCAGAACGGACACACGTTGGGACAGGATCCTGGGCCGCCCAGATAACTGCATTAAGAATCGCAAACGCTTCCGCTTGTAACGGAGAAGAACAAAAGAATCTCTCAGCCTTCCCGTCGATAACCTGACCGTGGGAGTTTGCAATAGCAATCCCATAAGCCGCCATCTGTGCATCAGAAACAAAGGAACCATCACAATGCACAACCTTACTGAAAGGACCAGGCGGTGAAAAGGTCGACGACCGAGAACTCCCAGGCTGAGAAGGCAAACCGGCTGGACTTGAGGAAGGATGAGCTGAGGATCCAATCCTAGCTTCTTGGATATTTAGAACATCACGTTCAGCTAATATTGCCACAGAGGGCGGAGAGAACGCCCGACCCTCGAATACCCACCCATTTCGAGCAATCCAAATATTCCAAAGGGAACACACAATTTTGGTAATATGGGCAACGGGGACCCTGTCTTTAAGCCCAAAGAACCAATCCACAAAGCAAGAGTCATCCAAGGGGCTCTCATTCACCAAACCAAGTCGGGACCAAGTCTCACCCGCCTTGGAACAGTGGAAGAAGCAGTGTATAATCGTTTCCTCTTGGCTCTCACAGAGAGGACACAGCGGGTTAGGAGCACACTTGCGAGCAAACAGCCTCACTCGGGTTGCGATTGCATTTTTACAACACTTCCAGATGAACAAACGAAGCTTGGGAGGAAGCTTGAGGTCCCACAACCATTTCCAATCATCTTTGTTAGGTCGAGCAGAAGCAGTCAAATCATTTATCGGAATGGAATCTCGATTTTCACGGAACATCCGATAGGCAGACTTAACACTGTACCCACCCGATTCTGTAAGACGCCAAACCCAGCTGTCCTTAGTAGCCAAGGGACCGACCGGAACTCTGGCAATAGCATGCGCAATCTCATCAGGCACCAGATTTCGAATAGCATCCATATTCCAGCATCGGGAGTCACGGTCAATCCACTCACTAACTTTGGATGGCTCCAATCCCAAGTGAGAAAGGTTGAAACCTGGAATGGACGGAAGCCAAGGGTCACAATGGAACCAAGAATCCTCCCCAGACATAATCCCTCGTACCAAACCACTCTTCATATGTTCTTTTGCCTCCCACAGGCCATTCCAAATCCAGGAGCTCTTTCGTCCCTTCATTGCCGAGAACAACTCATCATTTGGAAAGTAAAGCCCCTTCAGGAGCTTAGCCCACAAGGAATCAGGGTTGTCAAACAGTCTCCAAACCTGTTTTCCAATAAGCGCAAGGTTGAAGAGGTGGAAGTTCTTGAAGCCCAATCCTCCTTCTTCTTTAGGTTTTTCCAGCTCCCTCGCATTACACCAATGGATGCCCTTTCTCCTCATGGACCCCGACCAGAAGAACCGTTTCAGGATCGAGTCCATTTTGTTCGTTAGGCTCAAAGGAAGCAAGAAAACACTCATGATATAGGTTGGTAAAGCTTGGATAACTGCCTTCAGCAGAACTTCTTTCCCTCCAAGAGACAGTAAAAGGCTCTTCCAGGATTCACCTTTCTTTTCCATTCGCTCCAGCAAGAACCTGAAGGTTTCTTTTTTAGATCTACCCCACTCGGTTGGAACCCCCAAGTATTTATCGTGACAAATAGTTGATGGAAACCCAAATTTACTGCTCACCAGAAGACGGATAGCCGGAGGGGTGTTCTTGCTAAAAAAGATTGAAGACTTGGACGCATTGATTTCCTGCCCAGTGGTGCTACCATAAATTTTAATGATCTCCAGAATCCTATCCGCTTCCATAACACTTGCTTTCCCAAAGATGACAGTGTCGTCCGCAAACAAACAGTGAGAAATTCTCGAGCAATTTTGGTTGAGCTTGATTCCACGAAGATCACCTTTCTCAATACCCTTTTCAATTAGGAGAGACAGAGCATTGGACATAAGAATAAACAAGAAAGGAGAAATGGGGTCTCCTTGTCGGATGCCTCTAGATGGCAAAAACGGCTCAGTAGGATTACCATTCAGGAGGATAGAGAACTTGACTGTCCTGATACATGCACGAATCCAACCTCTCCATTTATCCGAAAACCCATAAGCAAGCAGGATCGAATCAAGGCCATCCCAATCCACTAAGTCGTAGGCTTTTCTCATATCCAGTTTCACCATCATATCCCAGTCACCAGATCTACGATTTTTGAAGTTATGCAGCATCTCATGGACAATAATGACATTGTCCTGGATTAGTCTCTCCCCTGTGAAAGCTGCCTGCATCTCAGAAACCAAACTCGGCAGCCACTTCTTCATTCGACTCGCCAGAATCTTAGAAATGATCTTGTATCTGAAATTGCAGCAACTAATAGGACGAAACTGTGAGATCGTCTCCGGAGCAAGAACCTTAGGGATAAGGGCAATATGAGTATCATTCCACCCCTGTGGCATATTAGCAGATCTGAAGAAATCAATCACTTCACTACAGAAGTCTGGTCCAATTTTGCTCCAAAACTTACAGTAAAATGACCCAGCAAACCCATCAGGCCCTGGTGATTTCGTAGGGCCAAGGTCAAACACCGCAGCTCGAATCTCCTCAACAGATGGATCTTTGTCTAAATCCATATTCATTTCATTAGAAACCAGCCTTGGGAAATCTTGAAGGGCATCATCATTAAGGCCTTCTTTCTTAGTGAACAACTCTTGATAGAAACCCAAAACATGATTCGAGAGATCTTCAGGTTGGGTAATCGAGTTCCCGTTATCATCCTTGAGAGCAGAAATTTTGTTTCGAAGCTTCCGGAGAGAAGTGGAAGCGTGAAAAAATTTGTTGTTCTGGTCTCCCACACTGAGCCAATCAACCCGGGACCGTTGGCTCCACAACAATTCATCATCCTTCCAGATTGCAGCAAGCTCCTCCATGAGGCCTCTTTCCTCGTCAATAACTTCTACTGATCGATCAAGTAGAAGAATATCCCCCAACCTCACCTGGATTTCCTCAGCCCTTTTATTCTGATCTTTAAACATCTGATGAGCCCATCGAGTCAATTCCTTCTCGCATTTGTGCAGTCTTTCATGGCAAAAGCCCCCACCTTCCCAATTCCGGTTAATAATATCAACGCACTCCTCCTTTTGAAGCCATCTAGTATCAAAGCGGAATGGAGCCTTAGACTTACTTCGATTCCCTTCAAATTCCAATCTCAACGGACAATGGTCAGACTCAATTGGCAACTCATGAAAGATCATAGCATTATTGAATATCGAGAACCACGAAGTAGAGCAAAGTCCTCGATCGAGCCTCTCCTCAATACGACGCAGCCCTTCCTGGTTATTTTTCCACGTAAAGGGATAGCCCTTAAACCCCAAATCGATTAAACCGTTCTCAGCAACAAAAGATTTAAAGGGCATAGTAGAAACATTTCGAGGCTCATTCCCACCCTTCTTCTCCTCAGCAAACAACACCGCATTCATATCCCCAATAACCACCCATTTATCATCAACATTAGACCTCAGGTTACTAATTTGATCCCAAAAATCCCTCCTTCGAGCCGGATCAGACGGGGCGCGATTTCCGTCTTCCTGAATTGGGAGAGCAAGAACAAGTCTCTCTGCTTAGAACAAGAAGCGGAACTACGGGGATGAAATGAAAAGTGTTTCTTACGATAACGCCCAACAGCCCACTTGAGCATGAACAAACGTGATAAAAAACCCCCCATTAACATCAACAAAAACATCGATAAAAAAACAACTACTATCAAGGATTGTGATAGGTAAGCCCGACACCCACCAAAGAGCTAAACCACCAGCAATCCCGATCGGGTTGACATGAAATTCATCAGCAAACCTCAAACTTCTTCTTTTAGACTGCATATAGGATTCTTCCTTCTTAGTCTCGGACAGAAAAAGGATAGTCGGATGGTGTTTCTTTACCAACTTCCTTAGTTGACGAACTGTGGGGGTCTGCCCGAAACCCCTACAGTTCCATACAATAGCATTCATGGGACCCCCGGTGGCTTGGAATCGGCCACCAAAACCACAGCAAGATTGGGTTTGAATCCTGGCGGGAAAGCAGAGTCGTCATTGGCATTATTTTCCCCAGTTTCAAAATGAACAGCAGCAGTCTGTTCAGTCCCCTGGTCAGTAAAATGGCGACCAGAAGTCTTCCTCTTCTTCTTCTGGGCCCGTGGGCTGATGTTGGCGGTCTGCCTGCCTTGCCTAATTGGGTTAAAGTTACCAGCAGTTTGGGCTTGACTTGGGCTGGGGAAGTAGTTGTGGTTGAATGTAAACATGTTCTGGGCCTGGGTTGGTAATGGGCTTAGGTTAGTGAACCCAAAGCCCCGGGGAGGAAAAAGGCAGCTAGGGTTGAAGTTGAGATTTTGTGGAGGGGGTGGAGATTGGGTGAAACCGAACAGATTTCTTGCCACACCCATTCCTTGGGACGAGGAGGGGAAATTCCCAAGATTCTGGGTAAATGTTGGGAAGCTTTGGGGAGAGGGTGAAAGGTTGCCAGAGTTGTGGAAGAAGTTTGTTGATGGGGAAAGCGAGAAATTCTGAGCAAAGCTCGAGTGAGGCGACAGGTCAGTGACAGGGGGGTTTACCACAGGACGTGGGACCATCGGAGCGGCTGAAAGGTTACCTCCGGTCGTGGTAATCGGCGGCGACTGCAGGTGGCCTCCGCAAGGGGAAACAGGCGTCGACGCCGCGTCGCGAATCACCACAACTTCACCTTCCTGCTGCTGGTACGATCGTGGCGAGACAAGCGGAGAGCTAGCCCTCAACCACGGGCCCCATCTCTAGATCGTTGGTGGCTGAATCCCATTCTCTTCATCGATCCTCCTCTGATCGCACTCCAATCTGGTATGTTCGATCCCACCACAGTAGTAGCAAAGTGAGAATAACTTCTCAAACTTGAATTCGACCCAGGTCCTCTTTTGTTGGTGGCGGATGTAGAACCCATCTGGTAGTGGCTTCGAGGTATCAACCTGGACAAAAACCCTCACATATTTCCTATAAATCTGCGATTGAAGAGCTGCTCGGTCGATATCAATAATCTGGTGGAACATTCTGCTAACCATGGCAATGTTACTTTCAGATCTGTACGCTTCAGGGAGATGGTGGATTTGAACCCAGAAATCAACCATCTTGAAGCTGATTTCCCTAGCCGTCTCCAGCCCAGACAGCTTCCTCACTTGCATCAGCGGGCCAGATATAGGGCAGGGTCTCTCCAGCCAAATCGACTCCATCTCTTCCCTCTTCTCGAAATCCAGAGGAAGATATTCTCATAGACAGGTTGGATGTTTGGCATCTCCTGGACTTTTGGCTTGGGATTATCCACCCAGGCAGATCTTATCATGCCTCTCAAAGCCCTAAGGCTCACACTTCTCTCAGAAAAAACTTTAACAACCAAGGAGAATCGATTGGTGAGTCTCTCAACATCCGGAATCATTTCAATATCCCATTCCCCTGCTTGATTGATCAAATCGTTCACACTCATGTTTTTTGTGTTCCCCTTCCCACTCTCTGTTTTCTCTGGGTAGATTGGAGTAGTTGTTTGCTTATGGTTGAGTAGAAGTTCTAGGCTGATGATGTTTGTGTTTGGATCAAGTCTTCCCCTTCTTTTAAAGCCTTTTGCTTCTCTGCACTCTCTCACAGCTGCATTTAATCCGGTTTTTGGTCTGATTAGACCAGGTATTATGACTGCCCCCAATCCCTTGGCTTTCTTAGCTGTTTCTGTAGAATTGAGTGGCTCGAAATCCTTCTTCCCCATCATTAATGGAGGCTTGAAGAGACTGATATCTGCATTTGTTCTTTTTATACCTTTGAATACAGGGATCCCATAACTTCCCACCACCAAACGTGCAAAGAACCAGTAGCTTAAACCTATTAGTTGTACAGAGCAGCAGGTCCGCCATAACTCCATTTGCTGAAGTCCCTGTACCCGAACTCTGCACACCCAGCTGGCTTGGGTTAAGCACACCACCTCAGCATCAACCTCAGTCAGACGAAGAGATCTTCTCGCAGGGGAAGCAAAAGTATACATCTTCAATGTCACCGCAGTAACCATCAAAGGGGCTCAAATCATCTCACTGGGGGAGGATCATCAACATCCAGACCAAGGCTGGGAAGCAGTAACGGCTAGAAAGGTTGTTCAAACAGGAGAGAGGGCAGAGCTCTTTTTTTTTTTACGGAAGGCAGGAAGTCGTAGTAGTAGTGGTTTAAGAATTCATAATCCACTATCATAAACCCTAACTATTCATAAATAACACAACAACGTTAAAGTAAACCTATATCACGTTAAAAAAAAAAAGTAAGCGTTTATCTTCTAAATAACCAAAGTGAATCTGTCACTACACATTATGTATCAATCCAAAATCTTAAAGTTTACTTATATTATATCACCCCTTATAAAGAAGGAAAAAAGTAAATGTATCCAAAATAATCTTTAATTTTATTTTTGCTTTTAAGGGTTTGCTCGTTAACAAATCATTGAAGCTAGTTTGGTCAGATGGAGTTGTTGGACCATCACCATCTCTAACAGCTTGAAAAGGGGTTGTTTTACAACGCATTTATATATAAGAAATAAAAACTGAATCCAGAAAATTGAAGAAATCAATCAACACCTTCTTCCTAACTGGATCTCCCTCTCTCGCCTCTACCACTAAAACCTTATCACATTCAGTAAAGCACATACATACATGCAAAACATGACAAAGAGAATGAATGAACGAAAAAGAGCCAAGCCAAGCAGTACACTTCTACTCCCCAGTCCCCACCACTTGCTTGCTAAGTTGATATGCTTAGCTAAATGTTTTTTTTTTTTATGGATACATTAAACTTGATATGTTTTGAAGAAAAAGAATTAAGACATATATTACTAGTCCATAACATAACATTAAAAATTATATAATACATAAGAGTATATCATAGTGAATGAAACTGTAATATGGTGGTATGTGAATGCATCATCCTGTATAATGATTATATCACAATAAAATTGTTCTTTCTGTGCAAAATTTTACGAAAATTCAGTTAAAAAGTAACGTGGCATAGAGTAACTGTGTGGTAATGAGTGGTATGAAAAGAAAATCTCGAAATATATAGAAAATTGATATTATTCTGTATATCAATAAATTCGTTTTATCTGTGATTTTTTTTAATTTCAATTAAAATAAGGTTTAATAGCATATTTTTCTCCTCTACTATGTCATTTTCTTAAACATGCCCCACTATTATGATTCCCATAAAATTTGTCCGCCTGCCATGGTAAATTCTCAAACGTCCCCTTCAATAAATAAATAAATAAAATATCTTAATGACATCCCTTACATCGTCCACGGTCAAAATCAGTGGATTAGATTTTATTATGCAGCCAGCTGCCTAGACTCCTTGTATTATAAAACCGAGCACTCTCTTGCATTGCATGCTTCGTTAAACTCAGAAACTAAACTTCTAGAGACTACTTTTTCTCATCATTAAGCTAAATAATCAAATTCCTCCACCCAATGGCCCTTAGTACCGCCGATTATGATCGACTACCGGAGCTGAAGGCGTTCGACGAAACGAAAGCCGGCGTCAAAGGCCTGGCGGACGCCGGGATCAAAGAGCTCCCACGAATCTTCCACGCGCCGCCGCATCTTATCAACGGCAGCCCAGCCGCTCCAGCCGACGACCCGAACTTCACTTTCCCAATCATCGACCTGGAAGGCGCGTGGGGGGAAGATCCCGTCAAGCGAGCTCAGATTGTCGGCAAGATCAGGGACGCGTCGGCAAACTGGGGATTCTTCCAGGTCGTCAACCACGGCGTCCCCGCGCGTGTCGTCGACGAAATGAAAGCCGGTGCCCACAGGTTTTTATATATATATAATTATTTAGTTTCATTTACGTCTATTTTATCTTTTTTGTCGAAATATGGGACGCTAAAAGCCTAAAAGGACGTCTTATGTTTAACGAAGTTTGAAACAACATGTTTCACCAATTAAGTACGTGAAGAACACATGTAAATGTAAAATGAGTAGTGATGCTATGAATGAATGTTCAATATAGAAATATTACGGTCACACTCTTTTACCATTTGGATAGATATACACTTGAAATGTTTTAGAATGTAACGACAAATCGTATTATAAAAATTAGAACTTTTTTTTTAACGTCGGACCCAACTTATTAACTTAGCAAGATTCCGGTTACGCCACTCGACATAATTATATGATTTCGTCGTTGATTGGCTTTATTAGGTTTTTTGAGTTGGATGTCGAGCAGAAGAAGGAATTCTTCGGCCGTGACATGACCAAAAAAGTCGTCTACAACACCAACTTCGATCTGTACAGTTCGCCTGCGGCAAACTGGCGTGACACCATCCTGTTTCACATGGCACCGGATCCGCCGGAGCCGGAGCAGCTGCCGACCTGCTGCAGGGAGATCGTGACGGAGTTCTCTGAGGAGATTCTACGTTTTGCAGATTTGCTTTTCGGGTTACTGTCTGAGGCTCTGGGTTTGAGTTCGAATCACTTGAAAGAATTGGGATGTGCAGAGGGAGTAGACGTGGCCTACAATTACTATCCGCCGTGTCCGCAGCCAGAGCTCACTCTGGGAGCAACACAACATACAGACACCGCTTTCATTGCGATGCTCGTGCAGGATCACATTGGAGGGCTTCAGGTTCTTCATCGGAATCATTGGGTCGATGTACCTCCTATGTCACAAGGTTTTGTGGTCAACATCGGAAACCTTCTTCAGGCAAGGGTTTTTAATTTGTCCCATTAGATTTTTCTTATGGTTAAACTTTGAATGAGGAAGCTTATGTAACAAGTTATGTTTGTGGTGCTTCGATATTTCATAATTTCAGGTAATGTCTAATGATAAGTTTACAAGCGTGGAGCATAGAGTGCTGTTAAAAGGGGCTGGACCGAGAGTGACTGCTATTGCATTTTTTGGTATTGGATACACATCCAATTCAAGATTATATGGACCTATAGAAGAGTTGTTATCCGAGAACGACCCTCCAAAATATAAGAAGACCACGATTCAAGATTTTGTTGCCGGGGCATATAAACAAGGTCTTGATGGGACCTCTTTTGTACAACTTCTTAAGCTTACGGATTGAACTCATGGGATGTCATGCCGTAGTATTGGACTCACTACAAAATAAAACACATATAGCAGGGGTTTTTTTTTTTACTTTTAGCGACGAAAATAACCGTCGCTAACAACCCCGGAAGCGGTTATTATAACCCCTGCACAACCGACGCAAAATCTACCGCCGCTCAGAAATGGCAGGGGTCAGCCCAACCGCAGTAAATGGGCTTGCGACGGTTTTTTGCAGCAGTTTTTTTGGTCGCAAGTGGTCTACTTTTGTGCCATCAGATGCGAATCTTTGCAGCGACCCCAGAAGCTTTCGCGACGGTTTTGGAGCCCTGCTACAGACCACTCTTAAACCACTGGGTAACTTTTAGCGACGAGTTTTTTGCGACGAGTTTCAGACAATATTTTAGTGACGCTTATCGACCATTACTCCAACCTGCTAAAGCATTTCAATTTTTTCATAAATTTCTAGAACCCCTGCAAAGTACCTTCAAATCTACATTCCCCATTATCCATGTCACACAATGATAACTTCCAAAGTACACATTACTACTACATATTACTTCCAAAGTACACTTCAACAAAGATAAAATTCCAACTAAATTCATAATATTGAACTTTGGCTTTCTTCTACATCACCAACAAGGCAACAACTCATCATTATCCTGTTACAAAGCCAACCAAAACATATAGAAATCATCTTTCCCACTCCATGTACAGCTCAAAATCAAATTATAGAATCTATATTATTATATGATATGATATACTCACTTGGTGCATCGGTTTGTAGTTAGAGGGGACTTTCTGTCTCTTTTCTAGAGCTGGAAAAATAACAAGAAAACAATCTCAAAGGGTTTAACACCCAACTAGTTAGTGGGCAGATTGATGATTATGGTTCAAGGAAAATATTATTATAAAAAAAAAGTAGAGCAAGTTGAGGAGATCCAGATGAAAGCAACACCCAACCTGCTTGACTGAGAATTGCACTAAATTGGACTGGAATGTCAAAGGGAATAGGAATATTGTCACATTCTCAACCTGTTTACTTACCTTTTGCCAGCCACGTGTAGCACTTTGGCTTGATGAAGATGGTGCACGAAACGAACCCTCCATTGACCCTTCTCCATACGAAGATGTTGCAAGAACAATGTCTTCAGTGTGTCTACTTCCATTTACAGCTGATCCATCCCACTTCTCAGTTCAACTACCTCACTTTCCGCTTCCACCAGTTCATTTCTCAGTTCAATCACTTCACTTCTTAGAGCGACTACCTCACTTTCTGTGTAATCTAGTACTGTGGTAGACAACTAAACAGTTAAAAGAAGAAAACAGCTCAAATTATTAATTAAGCTAAAGCATAATTGTTTCTTAACTCAAGCAGAGAAGGTTAAACAGCAAAAGCCAACTAATATCATCTCATTGAATTCAAAATTAATCAAATTGATGGAGACAACTAAACAGCTAAAGACAACTAAACCGGCTAAGTGGAGACATAAAAGACTTGAACTTGAATCCACAATGAAAACCAACCAGCAGCAGAGCACCAGGACAATAGAAGGATCTCCAATCCCCATCATTGTTTAATCCTTCTTGCTGGTTTATTGCTTGCATTGGAAATGGAATTGTAAATAATTGAGCTCCAACCACACACAGGTACGGCAGTAAGGTGTTCTTGTGTGTGTATGTCCTTCTTCAGCTCTAGGAGGATTTACTATTCAGTAATGGTGCCCCCACGGATGCACTCATTGCAACCGTCTACCCTGGCCAGTGGCCAGCCACCAATGTCTTAAATGCCCTCCACATGCCCAACCACCTCTCTACCTTCTTTCCTCTTCGAATCACCTCAGAAGAAACAGAAGAGTTCATTAACTTTGCATTGCCAACTAGTTCATGCAATGTTCCATTGATAAATCAGAAATGTTTGTTGCTATCTGTCATTACTGGTGAAACTCGGTAGTAGGTGTTCTGTTACGTCAACCTAAGGGGGCTGTGTCTTATGAAATGGGATCTTACCTTTTCTTGCAAAACTTAATATTGAAATAACCCATAAGGCAAAAGCATAGAATTGAAATAAGAATAGCCCTAGCAATATTCATTATAGACAAGATGGATCCATGAACAGATTAGCAGTGGCACTAAGTAACTTCATTAGCAAAAACCTATATGTGTATTCTCTCTTAAAGTTTGAACAGAAGTCCAAACAAACTTGTTTTCTAGCCTGGTAGTAAGTTTCGCGAGCACTGTGGCGCTAAGTAACCCAACACTATACACCTGAAAAATCCCAAGTCTGAAGTTGAGCTTGCAATCCACTACTACAATACGGCTAACCAGACCTCCTATGAACTCTAAACTAAGAAACCATAAACAAAAGCAAAAGCAGATTTCAAGGAATTAAAAGCCTGAGAATCGGAACCATAAACTAAGGGAGGTAAATACGAACCTCAGGGAGACAAAAGTGAGTACTGTGAGGTGCTTTCTGCAAAAGGAGCAAGGATATCAGTGATGAGAACTCATTGAAACTTTCACTGTAGTGACAGAGTTACAATTGAGACCATAACAGAGTTATAATTGCACCAGAAAGGAACTGTAGCAGCAGGGAAATAAAATCCAATTGCTTTGACAACCAAGAAAGTAAGCAGCTATAATTGTGAAATCAGACATTGTCCATAAAGAAATCACGAAATGATAATCGGCTTTAACATATTGAATTCTTAGACTTTATGTGATTATTCGTGGTATGTTTTAGTCAATTGGTGCTATTTTAGGGCTCGCTAACCCGAGAATGGTTGAAAAACCATTACTGTCTAGTGCCATGAGTTTGATGTATTACAGGGGAAGAGAACACGAAAAAGAAGTTGCACCGACAAACAATTCTCGAAGCTGGGCTCAAGGCCCAGCTGGATGGGGATTAATGAAATGGGCCAAAGCCCATTCGACTGAGGCTCCTTATGCTGGGCCGGATTTGCTGGGCCAAAGGTCTTTTGGTCTCAAGGAGTGGGGCGGCTGGGATTGGATTGAAAAACAAAAAGGAAAAGGCAAAGCTTCTGGTGGACGGACGAGGGGAAATAATTAGAAGGAGGGAACAAAGGAATTTTGGGGGACGAGGGGAAATAATTAGAAGGAGGGAACAAAGGAATTTTGGGGGACAGAGGCAAATAAAAGGAGCGGGGGAATTCTTTGGCCAGGAGACTTTTAATTGAGTGCGGGGCGAATTTCTTGTGGAGAAAGAAAGGAAGCGGCGCAGCAGGGCAGCAGGCAATCAGTCGATTTCCATCGGCGATTGAGTTTTTTTCAAGGCTAGAGCTGAGTTCAACGAGAGCGATTAGTTGGTTTGATTTTCTAAACTGAACTAGTTGTGTATTGTTGATTTAGAACATGATGAACAAAACCCTATCGATTTATCTTAATTTCGTCATGAACTAAACCCCAATTTCTGGGGGAAACACCATAGGATGTAGCTATTTCTTGATTTGATGGATTGATTTATGATTCTTTTCTTCCAATCTCTATTGCATGAAATTGCTTAATGCTTTGTGTTGACTGGCCACCAATACAATGAATCGTAGTTGATTAGGTTATTAGCGACAGTGAAACCCTATTAACTGAACATATTTCATGTGACATAGTAACTTATCGAAGCGACAGTGGATTAAATAAGGTGCTATGCGGTCTTAAATAGGATATCGATCTTCAGACTATATAGTTAATTCATTGAGCTACGACAGTAGGATTTGAATTGATTGTTTAGTACGTAGTAATTCCCGACAGGGATAGCTAGCACATTCGTGATATCCTGGCTGTAGAGGTATGGATTAAATTGATTGGCATCTGTGAATTAATCTGGATAGGATAGGTAGTGAATCCCGGTGTTTCTCCCAGAGCTTTCTCCCATTGATTTAAACCCGACACTTTAATTTGCTTGTTTAGTTAATTTTGCTAGTAGTTAATAATCTCATAAAATCATTTTCACCTATAGTTTGCTCTATTAAATCGGTAAATCTTAAGGTTGTACCAGTCCCTGAGAGACGATACCCGGACTTTCCGGTTTACTACGAGATAGGATTAAGGCATTGCGCTTTTGCCCTATCACGAAACCATTGTAATTGTCATTTCAAAATGTAGCAAACGGAAGCCTGCTGCAAAATAATTACAGACAGCACAGCATAGAAAGCAATTTAAATGAACAGGAAACACGGATCCAAGAACTAACCAATTACTCTCTGGCTCTGTAATCTGCAGAGTGTTTGCTCCGAACTCGGCCGGGATCAGAGGAGATGAGACATCGAAAACACGTAGAGGCGGAGGAAAAATCAGGGCTCATCAACAACTCACTGGAGAAAAGTGAACCTAAAACACAAAGAAACAGATAGAAGAACACAAAGAGAGAACTTGACGACATAATAGCATCAGGGATCTTGCAGATTTCCATAGTCCCTGTTTTTTTACCACCAATCCAAATCTCCGGGTCCAAACAAAATCCCAAGTCTAAAGTTGAGCTTGAAGTCCCCTACTACAATACGGCTAACCAGACCTCCTATGAACTAATAAATCAGTCAAATACCCTCCTAACTAAAGAGATAGAGCTCGATTCTCTGGATGGAAAAGAATCACATATGCTTCCATGCTTTGAACCTATCTATTATTAGTGAGAGGAGAGAATTACTAAAAGAGGAAGAGGAATGGACTCACGCAAGGCGACAAAATCACAGACGGACGACTGCTGTTGATTTCAGGATGGATTGCCAGAGATTCGCGAAGTGAATCGATTGAAGGAAAGGAGAACGAAATATAAATCTCGCCGCTATCCACTTCACCCTAATTCAGAATCTAAAGTTGCAGCAATCCATATGCACAATCAAATCTCGGAATTAATAACTGAATGAGATCCAAAATTAGGTCAGAGAGATTACCAGAAGAAGCTCGAGAGAATGTGGTAGCGATGTAGGTTAAGAGCAGCAATAAAAGCTTCACGGTTCACGGAGAAGACATACGACCGCCGGAATTCAAGAGCGACGGGGAAGATGTAGGACCGTCAGAGTGGAAGACAGACGACTGAAGGCGAAATCTCTGGCCAGGAGGAGAGCTCTTCCTCGTTCAATTTTTTTTTCCCCAATGATAAAAAGCTCCCGATATCGTCCGAATAAAAGGAACTTATTTGGAAACACTTAGTTGGAATTAAGCTGGGGTTATAAAAACCGCTGTACGGTTTTGCTGCCAAAAGTTTCAAACCCAAAGCCCTGAAGCGGTTAAGGAAACCGCTGAAAAGAAACCCCTGGGCTTGGCCCATTTTGTTGTAGTGACTATCGATTCCATACAAGAAGAATCTATATATGGGAAATTGAATGTTGGATGATTAATAATAATTCTCTTATAGCACAAGAATTATGCTCTCTTGTAAGTTTGTCACATCCACTTTGAACTTTTGATGATTAATCATATAATAATCACAATTTCAGCCGTGGGTCTCAACCAAAGGAGTCTCCCTTTCAACTAAATGCAATAGCCCCCAGATTTTCAAACCTGTCTCTTTGCAGTCACATGATTAACTTTCTTCTCCTGCAACACTACACTTGGGCCTTGCCATTGTTGGGTTCTTCATAATGATACTCTTTCAGAATTGAAGTGTGTCATGTAAGCTGATAATCGATATAAATGCACAAACTATGTGGATCAGCCAAGAAAGAAAAGAAACAGAGGCAGATTCAGGAAGAAGAACCAGCGACAGAGCACAATGGTCAAATAAATACCAACTCAAATCTCACCGCAAACACACTTACACACATGCAGGCAACAATCTACTCTCCATAATATTGTATCTAAAGTTAGGGTTGATTTCCACTACAACTTTGGCCAACGTTTGCATGAATCATTTATAAAATGAGTCGTTTGTTCAAATGTAGCCATTTGGGAATGTAGACATTGTAAATGTATTGTTTGTTTAAAAAAATTTAGATGAGACATTTTTGAATGAGTCATTTGCATAGTGTTACCATTGTGCACCTTATATTTAATATGTACTATTATCTTGTTTCCTATTCTAATAAAATCAACCACGTAAACAAAATCATTTACAACCAACAAAACATATTATTTGGTGTTTTCCTTGTAAAATGCTACTTTATAATTTTATATTATAATTATATGTTAACTTTCTTTATAACTGATAACGCGTCTATAAGTCTCAAATTTTAAGCTAATTTCAAATGGTGGTGTTTATGAACGAAAAAGGATGCGCAGCTTGTGAAATTTGTGGGAAAGCAAAAAAAATTCCGAGAGGAGACGAAGCAATGACATAAAAAAAATAAATCTTATAAAGAGAAGGATGGAAGTGGGTTACATAAAATATATAATGACATAGTTGAAAATTTTAGACTAAATAATGAGTCATTGGGAAATGATTCGATAGAGTCATTTGAGATTTTAGTATGGACAAAATGACTCATGCATTTTTTTCTTTAGCAAATGGTTCATTTAACATCAAATGACTCAAACGAAAAGACATTAGAGAAAAATCCATAAAACCCAAAGGCTATCCACTATTACGAACCGGATTAAAAATAACTCTCACCCCCAATTAATTAAAAGATTGAAATCAAGCTAAATAGTACTATAAATCCCTCCATACCCTAATCCTAATGATTGGGCAAGGAATTGCTATAAGTTGTAGTGGAATTGGGCAAGGACCCTAATCCTTAGAATTCAAAATTTAGAATTGAAAATGAATTATTTTCAATACCAAACACAAAATATTTCATTTCAAAATGAATTCCTCCAAACTTATGGAATTCATTTATACCAAACGGTATGTTAAAGAAGTAGAAGGGCTGAAATAAAATATAGGACACAGAGAGTGGAGCTCACCTTCATGGTAAAAATAGAAAAGCCTCCGTCCACTCACTGATCACTCAATAGCCATGTGTTGACAAAACATTAGCAGGTGAGCAAAGTTAGATGAAAGTAGTGTAGGTTAGAGGAACTCTTATGCAACAGTAAAGTACTTATATCTTTAATTATATTTAGGATGTACGTGTAATTTTGTAACATATTCCCAATTCAAATTTTTTAAAAGTAATTTTTTTAATCCTACTAGTTCAGATTTCTGACTCCGCCGCTGATAGCAGCATCAAGTAAAATCTCATATCGGGTTCACTGACGGCGCCGCTGACAAGTATCGTGGGTAATAAATTTGGGAAATTGGAGGAGGTGGACGTACAAGACAATGACGATTGATGAGTGAAGAGGCTCTTCAGCTATGTTCGAGCACGACCATTCACTGAAGAAGTCTCACTTTTCAGTGGTTTTGAACCGCAATGGTGCGGTTTCTGTTCTAATTAAACCGTAATTCATGAACTGCTTTGAACAGAGGTCTCATGCTTCGCGATGCGGTTTGACCCGATCGCAATTGTAGTTTGGCGTGAATTGGTGCGGTTCAACTGCACCGATGCCACCTCTAATTCTGAGCCTTCTCTCCCCCTTAGGAGTGGAAACCAAATCTCAAGAGACTTTGATACATCTATTGACACGTGGAAAAAATAGTGTTTAACATATTTTTTAGCCACATTTCTATTGTTGGATGCATGCTTAGTCAGTCACGTCCTATTTGTTCCTTTGAGCTATTTATAGCCTCTATGTGTATCCATATATGATTTCCATGTCCATCGACATTAGAGGAAGGATGGATGGTTGAATCAAGGTCAGTAGAAACAGTGAAGCAAAGAGAAACTAGACAACAAATCCACATTGGTGCTTCATGCAGGCCCAAGTGGGTTTTGTGGCAGGTCAAGCCCGCCATGAACTCCAGACCAGCCGAGAAGCCATATTTCAGATCTCACCCAAATCATGGGAACCCAACTTGATCATGATGCTCAGAGGCAAGGAATTGACGAAGACTCCATCTTCAAGGTAAAGAATGTCATAAACCATGTCAAGTCAGGCCGCTCAATTAGTACGATATTGTTCGCTTTGGCCAAGCCCGCACGGTTTTACTCTTGGGTATCCTCCCCAAAAGGCCTCGTACTAATTGGGCTAGGTGGACACTAATATACAAGGATTCATTCCCTTGTATTACCGATGTGGTACTTGGATTGTCCCATAATAAACCAGTTGGTCCCAATAACTCGAGTTGTTGGGAGAAGGTTATGCTGGATCTTATATCACACTCTAATACGCCTCCTCAAACGAAAGCCAATCAATGGGATTGAAGTTTGCACAGGCCCACCATACCTTGTGCTTTAATAAACAGTTAATATTGAGGATCGAGGAGATTCGAACACACGGCCACTTGGTCAAACCAGCTCTGATATCATGTCATAAACCAGTTGGTCCCAATAACTCGAGTTGTTGGGAGAGGTTCAATCGTGGATCATGGGTAATTAGTATAAATGGTCACAAACCTTTGCACTTAGTACAAAACAATCACAAACCTTTAATTTGTAACTATTTGATAACAAAACTTTTTACTTAGAACAAAACAGTCACAAATTAAACAGTGTGACCATTTCATACCAGTTCGAACTTTTGTTACCGTGTCGTTGCAAATTAGACTTTTGGTGACCGTTTTGTACAAATTAAGTTCAAAAGTTTGAACGATCAATCACCATTACAATTCGCTCTAGTTGTATGGTGGTTTTGTTAATGTATGTGAATGATATGATCGTCATAAAGGATGACAATGAAAGAACTCAATGGCTCACAAACGGGTTCCAGACTGCATTTTAGTTGAAAAAACTCTGTCTACTTTCTTACTTTCTTGGTATCGAAATTGAAAGGTCAACTGAGGGCATTCTTATTCGGCAAAGCAAATATGTCGATGAACACATGACCTGACATCTTATATTTCGTTCAAGTGGTTAGTGTCATATACTTAACGAACAAACTACCTACCTCAAAACATGACAAACATTTAATTTGTAACGATTCAGTAACAAACCTTTGCACTTAAAACAAAACGGTCACAAATTAAATAGCGGTGACCATTTTATATAATTTCAAAGTTTTGTTACCGTATTGTTACAAATTAAAGGTTTGTGACCGTTTTGTACTAAGTGCAAAGGTTTGTTACCATTTATGCTAATTACCCCGTGGATCATATACCACAACACTAACAAAGAACGCACCGTCAAGAAAAGAAGAAAAAAAGAAGGTCAAGAAAGCGATTTGTCATAAACTTATTCTTCTTTAGCTTAGTTACTTCCAGGTAACCGAATGAAGATCAACATGCTTTGATACCAGTCGTTACGTGATTAACATGCAACGAGATTAACTATTCTACTTTCTACTATCACTAAGAGAAAACTAGTTGTCTTCCATAATATTACGCAGGAATCAAACTGAATAACACAATGTATTGCAAACTGACACTTTATTAATAATGATAGTGTAGATCTTAAATACTTAGCATCTGAGCCACAACGTTCGGCCTCCAAGCTCCCAACTACTAACAGCAAGCCCTACTAATAAGCTTGCATTACCTACACAACCATTGGAATCTCTCAACAAACTAAACAACCTATTTTGACTCAATTGACTAAACTTAAAACAACAGGGACCAAACAAACACTTAGCCAAAAACACGACTTAATTGGCCTTTAATAGACAGACTCTCCACTTGAAACGACGCCGCATCAGCTAAAACGATTACTGTCTTCAAGCAATCATAATCCGCAGAGGAAAAGGACTCCAGCTTCAGTTCAAAACCTTCAACACAAACAATATATTTATACAAATCGACTTCACTAATCCTGCTTTATAAACTCTTTCGTAATTTTACTAAGTAGCATTAATAGCTAAATGCCTAAATCTACCGACTAAGCTAATAAACATATAGATAGTTCTACCGCACCTTAGATAAAATGAAAGGTATGACATACTATGAGTACGAAAATGATATTTAGATCTTGAATTGACTGGAGTTTGACACATGTTACTATATACTAATCCTTAAAGATTAAAATCCACTTCTTAATTCTATAAATATCATACACTAAGATCAATTTAATTACAAACAATCATCTACGGTCATGATTCATCGAAATACATGCAACAATTTATATGCACCGTCTTAGTGTTTATAGTCTATGATTAAGATCTAGATTTCACTCATCAAGGATTATGGATAATATCATGCACCAAAGTACGATTAATTTGAGTTTTAAATACAGTTTTCTTACTAGGGAATGCAGTACCCTAGATTTACCCTGAATCGAATAGATGACACTATATTTAATAAAACAATCATTTATGAAATTAATCCAAAAATAATAACGTGATCATGCCGCTTCATTATTCTTCGAAAATTGGAAGATGCCGCCTCCTGATGAACCTTCAGAAACAAGAAGATGCCCCTCCAATAACGTCAAGCAGATCTGTCGTGATCTAGATAGGCCATTTTATTTAATGAGTCACGAAAACAACAAGACAACCACTGTTCGTACCTTCGATCAATCTATTGCATAATTAAATTGCGCATAATGTAGAATGATTTAGATCGGCGATTAAATTAACAGTGTGATCAAGTAGTCGAATGTTTGTGTCTTACCATTTCGCGTGTGAACGCCTTCCTCTTTGATTCTTTTGGCATGTAGCATTTGCTTTTTTTTCTTTTCTTCAAAACTTGTACATTTATGGATTTAGAAATCCCACATAAATAGGTGACATTATTCACCAGAGACCAAATCTTTGATGTTAGGTGGGTTTTTGATGTTAGGTGGGTTATCTATCTTTTATTCCAAATTTGTCCTCTTTTACCTTTTCTCCTTCTTCCTTTATTTTAACTTTAATAATGATAATAAACAAGGTTGTTATACCGTTGTACTGGTTAGCAAGCAGAATGGTTCGACCCGTGGCACAACCGGTTTGAGCCGGTTCATACCGATTAACAAAATATATAGAAATATGAAAAATTATTAATTCAAATTGATATTTAAATAAAATGCTATATTCCAAATAAAAATACAAACACTCGTATTTAAATACAACATTTTAACGTCAATACCGAAACGTTTGTACTTAAATTCAACAAATAACATCAACATTTAACTTTTAAACTCATAAATATATGATAAACTAATATTTTATTAATTAAATTCACTGAAACGACATCATTTCACTTAGAGATCATAAATCGATCATGCCGATAGTACCAGCGGTGTTCGTTTTGGTTTTATGACCGACACCGGTTCAACCAGTGGCATGCCGGGCGACGTGATAATTTCACTAGACTCAGCTTTGCTATCGCTAAGAGATTGGGATCCCAGATTGTATCTAGGCTGCCACTAATTTCCTGTAGAATTTATTTCATCTTACTGATATTGGTAAACTAATATATTCATTATAAGGTAATCTGGAATGTGAATTCATAACCTAATTCATCATCAAATTTAACAACAAATTTTTATCTCAAAATAACCCAATTCCACCACAAATTCTGCAATGTTTCCAATCCGTCAATTCTCAAATTTTAATTTCTGAAATCCAACATGCAAAAAAAACCCTTTATTCATAATGATTTTCTCTCAGGGCATGAACATAATATATCATATATAGAAATTATTGAAAGCAAATTCCATGTAAAGTTTGAAGACAATTAATTAAGCAGTTTGAAGTAGAACTATGAAAATCCATCCCTCCATCAACCATGTATATTAAAAATTAAATTAAATCACATATCCCAATAGTTTATTTCAATGTATCTACTTCTTCAACAAACCCTTTAATTTGTGACAAAGCATTTCCCTAGTCTAGTCTGGAGTAGTTACTGTTGAGAAATGTGAATAGATTGTAAAAAAACTAAAGGAAAGTCCTTGAAAAATGTAAGTGAAGTTAATTCGGATTAATTCTCCGTATTAAAGGAAACGTTTCTTCAATCAGAATTAATTTACCGAATTAACGGAAATTTCAATCAATTGGATTGATTTTCCATATTGAAGGTATCTTTCATGATCAGATCAATTGCCCATACTAACGGAAAGTTTCAATCAATCGGATTGATTTCTGGTATTAAATGAAACTTTTATCAATTGGGTTAATTGTCTGCATTAAAGAAAGGTCTAATCATGAGTTATTACTCTTGATTTCCTTCCTTAAGAAGATTCTCAAATCCTCCACCAAGAGGGGAAGGCTGAAGGTCTCATCCAATATAAATAGATGAGTTGCCTAACCCTAAAAGCAAGAATAAGGAGCATAAACACAATAGAGAGAGTGTTCAGAGAACTCGGGTTTTCGCAAAAAACCGCGAGTATTGAGATGAGTTGTTTTATCCTGGAGACGACCGGTTTATAGCCTGCCGTGCGCATCGAAGGCAGTGCCCCGAATGTCTTAAAGAGAGCGACCTAGTCCGCGACTCAGCTCCAGATTCGGTAACCTTGTTCTTGTTGTTGTTCCGTTACTAACAGCTACCGTTAGCCCAAGAAGAAAGGCCTTATTTCCATTGGTCAACATGCATGCATGAGATCTAGTCACGAGATTAAGACGTAACTCTTTGTTAATTACCTCATTAGAGCTAGTCACTGTATTATAAAAACCATGCAGCTAGCATAGCAACAGCTTCGAAACCAAAACCAGAGATTTAATTTTCACATCAGCACTATAATTAAGCAAATCAAGAAATGGCCGCCGCTTATGATCGACTGGCGGAGCTGAAGGCGTTCGACGAAACGAAAGCCGGAGTGAAAGGGCTGGCGGACGCCGGGATCACAGAGCTCCCTCGATTCTTCCACGCGCCGCCGCATCTTCTGATCAACGGCAGCCCTGCAGCTCCGGCTGACGATCCGAGCTTCGTTTTTCCAATCATCGACCTGGAAGGCGCGTGGGAAGATCCCGACAAGCGGTCTCAGATTGTCGGCGAGATCAGGGAGGCATCGGCAAACTGGGGATTCTTCCACGTCGTCAACCACGGCGTCCCTGCAACTGTGGTAGAGGAAATGAAAGCCGGAGCCCACAGGTACGCAACTCGTTGGTATTTTTGCTCATGCAGGCAAAGCAAGAAATCTGAACGAGAGAGGTTAAAATTTTTACTATTGAGGAATTTTAAATATGGACATTGTGAAGGAGACTGAAACCATAGCAACTAGTCTATCTTCCTGTTTTGTTATAAATTTTACATGTAAATTTACCTATATTTGAAAGTTGAGAGGGCATGTAGTGTCTTCTGGATACAACGTGACTCCATCACTGTCCGTTAGTATTGCTTTCGGACATGCACCTACGAAATGGATTATGTTATGGCTCAAAGATAAATTGTCTGTCGTCCGATTGGAAGTCACGGAGGGAAGCATCCCCAATCCACTGTGTATGAGCTTATACACGTTTGTTTTACTATTTTGGATTTGGTTGGTAACCCTTTTCTTATTTTTTCTAGTTTGAATTAGGTTAGCCCGTTTGGAGAAATGTACTATATATATATACCTTTTCAATCTCTGTAATCCGTATCTTCTTAAGTATATTGAAACTACTTATCTATCTTCCCTATCTAACACATATCTTGTTAGTGAACCAAATAAATCTACGTACGTGTTCTTTTTTCTTTTTTTGCATGGTGGATTTCTCGATTCTTTCTAACATATAGTTTCTTTGTTGATCGGCTTTATTAGGTTTTTTGAGCTGGATATTGAGCAGAAGAAGGAATTCTTCGGCCGTGACATGACCAAAAAAGTGGTCTACAACACCAACTTCGATCTCTACAGCTCACCGGCGGCTAACTGGCGGGACACCATCCTCTTCCACATGGCACCGAACCCGCCGGAGCCGGAGCAGCTGCCGATCTGCTGCAGGGAGATCGTGATGGACTTCTCCCGTGAGATGCTGAATCTCGGAGATTTGCTTTTCCAGTTATTATCCGAGGCTCTGGGTCTGCGGTCGAACCACTTGAAAGTAATCGGTTGCCTGGAGGGAATGGACACGGCTTACAATTACTACCCGGTTTGCCCCGAGCCAGAACTCACTCTGGGAGCAACACAGCATACAGATACCGGATTTATTACGGTGCTCGCGCAGGATGACATTGGAGGCCTTCAAGTTCTTCATCGAAATTGTTGGGTCGACGTGCCTCCTATGTCCCAAGGTTTGGTGGTTAACCTCGGAAATCTTCTTCAGGCAAGACATTTTAATTCTTAATCAAATAATTGCTTCGACATAATAAATTATATAATAGAGTTTAAATAAGGATTTTGTCGAGATGATATCATTGGTCTAACTTGGTTACTTTGATCAATGCAAACCTCATTTTGTTCAGGTAATGTCTAACGATAAGTTCACCAGCGTGGAGCATAGAGTGGTATTAAAAGGCGTGGAGCCAAGAATTTCTGCCATATCCTTTTTCGGGATTGGATACACGTTGAACACGAGGTTATATGGACCTATAGAAGAATTGTTATCTGAAGACAATCCTCCGAAATATAAGAAGACCACGATCAAAGATCTGGTTGCCCATGCATACAAGCAAGGTCTTGATGGGACCTCTTTTCTGCAACATCTTAGGCTTACGGATTAAGTTCATCGTATTATGGCATTAGAACTCAGAAGTACCATACAAGAATCGTCTCTATTTGTAAGCAGGGGAATATGTATGTCTCGAATATATATGCATATCAAGCTGCTCTTTCCTTTCTCAATTTCTTTGTGTTTTTTGTGCTCTTTCCGATCGTCAAAAAAAAAATAATCGCATGTTTGATTGTAATAATTTAATTTAGTATACTGTACTAAATGTATTTTGTCACTATACTAAAGCTCCCGTAATTTTATTTGATTGTAATAATTTGATATAGAACACAATAAGTAAAATCCTCGATCAAAATAATTTAGATTCTGGAAAAAAAAAGATTTTATAATTTTATTTTTCTTCAGCTTGTAGTCGAGACATAGAGCGTTCAATATATATAAACGAACATCACACTAATCCTACAATATAATTATCATACGCCAATCACTGTGATGAACCGTAACTCACGGTTCCAGAGTTCAGCTTGTAACTCACAAGCGAGAGTACGCCCTAAAGTGTAAAAAAACTTGTTCTTTGTTATTATTTTTTATTAATTGAACTATGTTGTAATTACAATATATATAGGCGATTAAACTTAATACGTAACCCTAACTTAGCTCGAATCCTACTACTACTCTAGGCAACTCGGCCGCACAAAGAACACGAGTCTCATAATCGGCTACAAAACTAATTTGCCCATGCAGGGAACAGATCAGGTCAGTAATCTTATGGTGAGTAACCATGAGTAACCTGTCCACATCAGCATGACATCAACATCCCTCTATCTTCTGAAAAGTCTTTAATTTTTCCCCTCCTTAATCTTTGACAGACGATTTCTCACTCGTGTTAAGTCGAAATTTAATTTTCTTTGCATAGTTAGATCAGATTAATTGTGCTCTTCAAATTATATCCACTTTGATATATTTTTCGAACAAAAAAAATTGAGCCATTTTTTATCAGTCTATACCATATGGTATTGACTGGTATTGAAATAAGAGCATACCTATGGTTTGAAAAGCATACCATGGTGGTATGAACAAACCAAGACTGTAGGATGGTTGAATACATGATAGTAGAAGTATATTAACTGTCATTTACGACTTTTAACATTGTGTACCACTAGATATACCACCCCGTACCAGGGTGGTATTGTGTGGTATTTCTTGGTTCTGTAATTTGTTCACCCAGAAATTTGTAGATCCAATGGATCATGATGAAATCGTTCCTTCTGTGCAAACGTTTTCAAAAATGAATTAAAAATGAAGAAGATACCATATGGTATGCAATTGGTATTGAGAGGCAAGAAAATTTTTTTCTCAAAAAATATTGAAAATGGATCTCATTTTGTAGAGCACAACGAACTCGTTTCATCTGTGCAAAAAAAAAAACCCGAGTTAAAACGAAGAAGATATGAGTCGATTAAGAAAAATAGGGAAAAGTAAAAATGGTCTTTAATTTTCCATTCTTAGATCTGGATTTTTTAAGGGATTTTTCCACAAGTAGCACTGATTAAAAAAGAATTCCAAAAATAGCACCCTTTCCCAAAAACGGCCACTCGTACCAGCGATTTAGACGAAAACCGCCACCCGGGGGTGCGTTTTTCGATGAAAACCACACTGGTAGGGGTCGGTTTTGCAAACCACATGGGGTCGTGGCGGTTTGATTGCAAACCGCACCCCCACCATGCGGTTTGTTTGCAGACCACACCTTCACCAGACGTACACTTCCCTCTTTCTCTCATTTTCTGTTACTTAGTTCCACACTTACAACCACTCTGTTCTGACTTCTCAGTAGGAATAGGAACTACTTGTAACAGCATAACATATAGCTGCTATATATGTACATGTATTGTATAGTGGAAAAATAAAAATCTTGCATTCCATTACACAAGGTACATTGTTTTTCAAACACTTACAATTTCTTCAAACATTTAGTACTTGGGTGCGTCTTGTTCCAATGATGCTCTGATCTAAGTAAGTTGTAAGAAAACACAGGAAATTCATTAGGGATCTTGTCCCAAATGTCATGGACCTCCTTGAAACAAACCATCATTGCTTTGGGGACGGGCTAAGATCAGGTGATTAGGGGGTCTCTTAGTCACATGACTAAGCGATTCTCAGCCCTTGGAACTCATTAAAATCCAATGGCTGTATTTAACTTGATTTAATGAAGGACAATAAAGTAATTGTAGACTTTTTTAATTTTCAATTATTAATTAATTAAAAAATCCTCAATATCTGGCGCGTCTCTTCACGGTTGGGATTTTCGTCACCGTTCCGTGTCCCGTCTCTTCCCGCCGGCCAGCAATCCGGCGTCCCATTCTCCTCCACAGGTTGCGGCCATTTTTATGGGGAATTTTCCCCTCCCAATTTTCCATGATCAAGGTCCAGAGAGAGGTCCAGAGAGAGAGTTGCGGCCATTTTTATGGGGAATTTTCCCCCTCCCAATTTTCCATGATTAAGGTAGAGAGAGATAGAGATAGATAGAGAGAGACTTTTCCGGCGACCAGCAACGGCGGAGAAGGATTTCCCGGCGACAGTGTTGGATTTGTGATGTTTATCATTTTTAGTGCCATTTTGTACGGTTAGTATGCTTTGTACTATTTGTCGGTTTATTTTGTAATGTTTGTACGCTTTGTTATTTTGTAATGTTTGTCGGTTTTTTGTAATGTTTGTAAACTTTGTTATTTTTGTGCACCATGTTTATCATTTTTGTCAACCATGTTTGTAATGTTTTTTATGTCTAAAAAACAACCTAGTTGACTTTTGGATGAAACTCCTCTATTTAGGGATGGAGCCTCCAAAGTCAACCCGGGTGTTTTTTCCAGTTCGTATGGATTGTCGGTCTAGTTTGTCATTTTTGTCCACCATGTTCGTACTGTTTGTATGTCTAAAAAACAACCGGGTTGACTTTGAGACGGAGCCCTCTATATAGGGATGAAGCCTCCAAAGTCAACCCGGGTGTTTTTCCAGTTTGTATGAATTTTTGGTCTAGTTTGTCATTTTTGTCCACCATGTTTGTATGTCTAAAAAACACTCGGGTTGACTTTGGGAAGGAGCCCCTCTATATAGGGATGGAGCCTCCAAAGTCAACCTGATTGTTTTTTCTTTTTGTATGGTTTGTATTGTTTGTCGGTCTAGTTTGTATTTTTGTACAGTTCATATGTTTGTAATGTTTGTAAATCTGTTTGTATGTTTTGTCGCTCTAGTTTGTATTGTTCGTATGTTTGTATGGTTTGTACTGATTGTAATTCCGGTTTGTATACTTCGTAATTTTTCATAATACCCAAACTACCCCTGTCAATAATTAAATAGCTCTTCCTACTTTTTAACCATCAGATTGCTATATCCAGATCTAAGGGCTGGGAGGGACTTAGTCAAGTGACTATCGATCCTCTCTCCTTGGGGACTGCGAATTGGCAGCTGGTTCAAGATCCTCCCTCTGCAAATGGTGTCGCAATATTCTCCAGCTCTGGGCAGGAGGAATGGTTACTCTCGATCGTTAGCAACATATCCCAAGGAGCTTCGACACGCAAATGGGCAAGTTATTTTAGCCTAGTCCTCTGGCTGATTTGGAAACATCGTTGCGACTTTACTTTTCTCAGCAAGAAGTTGGCGACTCTTCCATCCATAACTACATCATTGTGAAATCCAAATTAAATGTTGGCATAGTAAAACACACCAGTAATCTCGTAAAACACACCATTAGTGTCATAAACAACACCATAGTTCTCCTCGGTACTTAATATAAATGGTCACAAACTTTTAATTTGTAACGATAACAAATCTTTGTAATTAGAACAAAATGGTCACAACTTAAACAGATAAACATTTCATACAGTTCAAATTTTTGTTACCGTGTCGTTACAAATAAAATTAGACTTTCGGTGACCGTTTTTATAAAGTTCAAAAGTTTGAACGATCAATCACTGTTACAATCGCTCTAGTTGAGGTATGGTTGTTTTGTTAATTAATTTATGTGAATGATATTATCATAGTAAAGGATGACAGTGAGAAAATTCAATGCCTCACAAACGGGGTCGGTTAGCATGCTAACCCCCTTGAGGGGTTGGAAAATGACACCCCCTGGAGTATTAAATATAATTATAGAATTTAGTACACATATTAAATACACATTAGGAATTAAATGCACAATATTAATTATTTGTTTTTTCAAATTAAAACTTACACTAAATACATTCTCTCTCCCTATATCTGATTTTTCCTTTTTCAGCAGCCTCCGACCACCAGGCTTCCTCCGACCGCCAATGTAGTCAAAATCGAGATTTTAAGTAAAATCGAAAACTGAAGTATAATCGGAATCGTAGATTAAAATCGTAAAATCGTAAGATTTTAAGGTTCATATTAAAATACACACTTAAAACACCAAATTGTAATAAAAATGCATATCTTGAATAACAATCAATCACATAAAACATAATTACTTCCCAAGATAAGTTTGTTTTCTAAATAGACACAATTAGATGTATATATTTATTCTTGTACATAATATAAACACACAAATAAGCAACCTAAAACCTAATAGAAATCACTTAATTAATAGTAAAGAGTAGAAAATCACATAAGATCATTAGGATCAACATTAACATCACTTACACATCATCGTCATCATCCTCACCTTCACCATCACTCTCATCCTTGTCTATTTGCTTGAGGACTACATTACTCTTAGGATTACTTGAAGTACTTTCACCATTAACCATATTTCCCTTATCACCATCATCTGGCAATGATAACTCTTTGATTGATGCATTCCCTTCTTAATTGTTAAAAGGTCGGGGTTATTGGTACTGAAAGATTGGGAGATGAACGAAAGCTTGCAATGGAATGGAAATTTGGATTATTGTGAGGGTAATGGGAACAAACTACAAGCTAATTGGTAGGGTGGAAGATATCGTTGATGGAAGGAGTTGGGTGTCGACGTGTGAAAAAAGAAGATTCAAGGAAGAAAATGAAAATAAATTGAGGGTTGTATATTGGGTTAGGGTTGTGGTGTTGATTATGTTGGGTCGGGGGAAGTAAACTTGACTCGGTGCATAGGAAGAACCCGACTTGACCAGCCTAATTTTGATCCAATTGATATGAACCTTGAAATCGTACAAAATCATAGAAATCGTAGATTTTAAGGATTTTAGAGTTTTAAATCGGGATTTTATGGGATTTTAAGGTTCAAAGATTTTACCATAAAATCAGGATCGGAACTCATAGGTAAGATCGTAAAATCGTAAGATTTTAAGATTAAAATCGGGATTTTGACTACATTGCCGACCACCACACTTCTCCGGTGAAAATCCCATCGGTAGACTCCCTCCGACCACCTGCAAAAAATATATCACTGCACTGGTAGTTATACCACTGCACTGGTAGCGATATCAGTGCACTGGTACCAATGTCATATCTGACTATCAGTGCAGTGGTACAACATATCAACACAGTGGTATATTTTCGCAGGTGACCGGAGAGAGTCTGTCGGCGAGATTTTACCGGCGAAGTGTGGTGGTCGGAGGCTGCTAGGAAAGGAAGAATCAGAGATGGGAGCGAGAAAGATCAAAGATGAGAGAGAAAATTGTATTTTGTATATGTTTAGATTTTTTTTAAAAAACAAGTAATTAATGTGGTATATTTAATGCTTACTTGTATTTAATAACAGAACATTTATTATGTCAATGATTAATGATTGTCAATGATTAATGAAAAAATTGACCAATTGAGAGAGGGGTGTCAAAAAACCAACCCCTTTAAGGGTAGGCATAGTATCCTACCCCCTCACAAACAGGTTCCATACTGCTTTTTGTTTGAAAAAACTCGGTCTACTTTCTTACTTTCTTGGTATCGAAATTGAAAGGCCAACAAAGTGCTTTCTTATTCGGCAAAGCAAGTATGTCGATGAACACATAACCTGACATCTTACATGTCATTCAAGTGGTTAGGGTCGTATACTTAACGCACACACAACCCGACCTCAAAATATGTACAAATATTTAATTTGTAACGATTTGGTAACAAACCTTTGCACTTAGGATAAAATGGTCACAAATTAAATAGAGGTAACCATTTTATACATTTTCAAAGTTTTATTACCGTAACGTTACAAATCAAAGGTTTGTAACCATTTTATACTAAGTGCAAAGGTTTTTTATGCTAATTATCCCAAATCTCCTGAAACACACCGGTAATCTCATAAAACACACCATTAGTGTCATAAATAAAACAACAAATATTTTTGAAGCACACCAGAAACATCCTAATCCATACCACAAATCTCCTGAAATATACCAAAAAAATCACAAAGCAAACCACAAATATTTCTAACACACTAGAAATCTCCTAACGCAAACCACAAATATCATGAAATAAACCAGAAAACAACACAAAGCATACCATAAATACTTCCACATGAGAAACCTCCTAATGCATACCACAAAACTTCTAAAATAGACCAGAATCACCACAAAGTAGACCACAAGTATTTCTAAAACACACTTGAAACCTCTTAATGCATAACAGAACCACGATAAAACAAACCACAAAAAGTAGACCATAAACAAGAGAAAGAAAACCACAAATATCTTAATGCAAACCACATATTTCGGTGAGCATATTCCGACCACGGTGACCGGATTCCGACAATGATGAGCATATTCTGACGGCTTAGAGTATATACCTATAACATATATTCTGGCGACAGTAAGCATATTCTCACCATGGTGGATGGAATCCAACACTGATGAGCATGTTCTGCCAACCGATGACCGGATTCCGACAATTAATATTTTGTTCAAATTTATGAATATATATATATTATTTTCTATTTCAATGTTATTATTTTTGTCACCACAACAACACGATGTTGTGATCATATCCGATCTCCTCAGCCACAAAATGTAAAAGCCCAAAGCCCATATATATGGCGGGAAGGCTAGCTAGGGCTTAATCGATGGGTTTGATAACATTCAATAAGATTCCTTAACTTAACTTAATGGGTTAATATATTTGTATGAGATAGAACTTTTACATAATAAATATTTTGGTCAGATCTATAATATTATGGCCTGAATTATACATTAAAGTAACGAAATTGGCCAAACCCAAAAATTGACCCTTATTTTGGACGGTCAAACGTGTTGACTAACGGTTAACGAGCCACATCATTGCCAAGTCAGCACCTTTCACTTAAAAAAATGATATTTTCCACCTATTACTATGTATTTTTCCCATTTAGAATTTTAAAAAAATTAAATTTGGAAATTTTGTTTTTAAAATTTTATTTAATTATTTTTTCATACAATGTGGAATCCATGTCATCAATATTGGGTGACTGGTCAATGACGTGGCGCGTTGACCGTTAGTCAACACGTTTGACCGTCTAAGATAACGGTTAATTTTCGAGTTTGTCCAATTTTGTTACTTTGATGTATAGTTTAGGTCATGATGTTATTTTTTTTATAACTGGCCTAGAATTTTATTAAGTCAAAGAGTGGTTATTACAATCAACCCTGAGTTGGTTCAACAAGAAGACCGGGGATCGGTCTAACCAAATCTCAGACTCCTCCCAACCACATCCCACCTTGGCAGGTGGGCTGCTTCATTTCCTTTCCTTCCCAAAAAACGAACCCCAACTCCTCTTCTTCCTCCAAAGCATTTCTAATCTCCCTGCACACAGTCTCGATCTCCATATCCGTTCGGTTTTCTTCCATTACCTTCCGGATCACCGACAAGCAGTCCAATTCAATTAGCAAAGGCCGATAATGGTGATTGATGCTCATATTCAAAGCCCACAAAATCGCCTTCGCTTCGGCCACTTCGGGCATCCGTGAGGTTCTAGTCCGGTGGACTGCTGCCAGTCGAAAGACCCCTGCTCCGTCTCTCACCACCAAGTCGAAGCATGTACCGTCTTCCTTCAGAATTGTCGCATCAACATTCACTTTGAAGCTTCCCGTCCTGGGTTTCTCCCATCTGTACTCCCTCTTCATCACCAGGTTTGTGTTCTATATCTGGGCTGCTTTGTAGTTTTCCATGTATTGTTCCGATCTTGCAATTATCTCCTACTCTTCCAACTTTGAATTGTTGAATAGGTGATTATTTCTTTCCTTCCATAAAAACCATAGTGGAGTGACGAAAGATCACAATTCCTCATCTGTCGAATTCTCCATCACTTCACAAATTCACTCCTCGCTCGATTTCCCCTCACCCAAACTGAATAACTTGCTCAAAAAACTAGGTCACCACACTCTACCTGCCCAGTCACAATCGCGAGTAATGTGTTCTTGCGTTTCGAGTAATCCGCAAAAAGGACACCCATCATACGCATCTTGAATTCTTTTTGCCAGATTTGAGCCGGTCGGTAGAATATTGCTACCCCATACAAATATTGGTCAGAATGTTTATTATGCGAAAAGTTCAGGCCATACAAATATATTAACCCTAACTTAAGTAATCGATGATCAAACTACAACTTTACCTTTTCAGATTTGCTCTCCCTTCTCTCTAAAAAGTCTCATTTTTCCAGCCGTTCATGGCTGCCGCCGACTCCTTCAGGTGACCGGCGGCAGCCCAAGTCTCTTTTTTCGCTTTTCTTGCTTGCCTTACTGTTGATCTTCATGCCTTTGTTTCTAGGCGTTTCACCTTCAAGTTTTCAGTCTCTCCAGCCTTTTCGGCATTCCGGATCTAGGATTTTGCAGGTTCAAGCAGTGGCGTAGCCAGGATTTCACTTAAGGTGGGTCCGACATAAAAATAAAATTATATAAAATGAATGAAATGACCTATAACACGTTTCATAGTATGTCGACATATTTTCGTTGGAAGGTGGATAATTCGATACTAAATTAGATATTAGTAAATTTATAATACATAATTAGGGATATAGTTTTATATAAAGTCAAGAGTTATTTATATAATATGCAAGGTTCATGTGTACCACAAAGTTTTCTACAATTTATTTGTAGATAAGTAAAACAAGTAAACATGAGGTAATAGGTTCCAGAGTTATTAATTGTGTACAAATATTGTTATCCGTGTAATAATTTAGCAAGGATTGTAAATCCGTAGCAGTGGTTGTACTAAAAAAGTCAATAGTATGATATTTATGTTGAAACCATGGTTTAATCGTGATTCAACCATTTCATACTACTAAAAAACCTTCTATGATTTAAAATCGAATAGAAGGTTTTCATGATCGAACCACCTATACAATACGATTTTACAAACACTATAATCTTGAGCCAAGGTGGGTCCCGGGACCCAGCTTGTTATGAGCTGGCTCCGCCACTAGGTTCAAGGCTTGCTCGTTTGAGGATTTGGAGGTTGCAGCTTGGGAAGCTTGATCTTTCCAGGTTGGTTGTTTCATCTTCAAGGTGAAGTCATTCTCATTCCCCACCCCCCCCCCCCCCCCCCCCCCCCCCGCCGCTTCCCCAAGGTGATGTTGTTGCTTGGATGGTTGTCGGATCGTGGAGAGGTGAGTCATCTCCGGTTGCTGCGGTGGAAGTCGGTTCTTTTGTGGCGGTCTGTGGATATCCTTGGAAGCTTGCTCCCCTTCGAACCGATCCTCTCTACCTTGGCCCCCTCTGCCTTCACAGTTTGGAGCAATCTGTTTCACAGCCTCTTCCACCGTCATGCAATCTCTTTTGAGATTCTCTGTGATGGATGACTTTGAGCACTCCCCAGGAGATGGCGTATGAGTCCAATGCCATGGGTCTCGCTGTGATCAGACAAGTTGTTCTGATCTTCTTGCTCTTTGTTTGGTTGGAAGAAAGAGGGATTATAAATGCTCTGTCTTTGTCTCAAGAACTTGGTTGTTTTTTTGAGTGATGTCAATATGTGTTGTGCTTCCCCTGGTTGTATTTTCCCAAACAAGGTTTGATGTCATCCTGTGTTCCATTGTCTCCTTGATGTTGTGTTGAAGTCAGGTTTTTATTTTCTCTATATAACCAATTATTCAAAGTGCAATAAAGATCCCTTTGTTATAAAAAAAAAAAAAAAACTTAATCGATGATCTCTTCTCTGACCTTCCATATAAAACCCCACGTCTGGGTTAAAAACCGAGCTAGGGCATAAGAATCCCAACTCAAAAACCGCCGCCGCCGATATGAAGGAAGCAATCCCGGAGGACATAGCGATCGCGATCCTGTGGAGGCTTCCCGTCGGTGCATGCATAGCCAGATTCTGCTGCGTCCAAAAAACATGGTATCACCTCCTCTCGGATCCCTCTTTCATTACCCAAAAGCTATCATCATCTGGCAGTGAGCATCAGATCATGATCAAACGCTACACCAGCCAGAACTCCAAGTCACCACCGATCTACACTCTGCACTCTCCCGACACGCTCGAGCCCCTCACTCCCTCCGCCGGCCTCCCGCTCCCCTTCTTCGACCCAGCAAAGCCGCGCCATCCTAAGCAGCAGCAGTATTTCGAAATCGAAGGATACTGCCACGGCCTGTTTTGCATATTCGATCATGCAGCGGAGCGCCTGATTCTCTGGAACCCGGCCACCTCCGAGACCAAGATTCCCCCACCTTCCTCCATCTACAATCCTTATGACTACACATTCCACGCTGCCTGGTTCGGTTTCGATTCACAAACAAACGACTACAAGGTCATGCAGCTACTCATCTTTCACCACGATGGTGTTGGATGCTATTCCGGCTTGGTGGTGTACAGTTTGAGACACGACTCGTGGAGGAAATTCGATGGCGATCATTTCCCGGTAAAATCTTCACGCCAGATCCCCCAGTTTCGTAAGGGGAAGCTCTACTGGTGGAGCTGGGGCGTGGGTTTGCGGTTTGATTCGCTGGACATGACCAGTGAGGTTTTCCAGCACGTGCATGTGACACGTGTTGGAATTAATCGAGATATGTAATTCCCCGGATTACATCTTGTCAGATTATCAAAGGCGAATAGATCTAAATACCTGGATTCATGATGGTAGATCGTCGTGAGCTTGATGCGGAATCTGTAGAACGATCTTGAACCGGACGATACCTCAGAAGCACGATCCGGAAAGTTTAGTGGCATTCCTCAACCAAGCCTCCGTAGTCCACTCACGGGAAACCTCACGTATTCCTGATGGGGAGAATATGTGTGTATTTTTTGGTCTTGGTATCTTGGGGACCACAACCTCTAGGTTCTTTATATACTATGTTTAGCTAGGGTTCCCATAAAACCCTAATTAGGTTTAGTATCTGGTTTCCACTCATTGGGCCCATATCAGGTATAGAGTAGTCTTGGGCTCCATAATTTGACCACTTATAATTAGCCCACTTTAACAAATAACCAATACAATTATCCATAAACCACAGCCCACATCACGTGGAACATATATTTCCAACAATCTCCCACTTGGGCTGCATGGTTTATGCAAATAATTATAGCACAAAGTTCCTTAGGCGCGCGTCCGAATGTTATTTGTACAATGACTATTCCTTAACAATCTTGTCCATCTCATGTATAGCAGTGGAACCAACGCGGCTTCAATCATGATATGATAATGATTAAACCACCATGATCACCACATTTACACACTCAATGACAAAGATCAAATATGGATGAGTGGCATGAAAATTACATGTAATGTGATCTTGAACATGCCTATTTTCAACTGGTCCAACTTTAGTGAGGTCAAAAAAACACTTCATGCAAGAAAATTGCATAATAAATAAACACCTTAAGGTTCAAAACAGAAACTGAAGAAAAACAAAAAATCACTTTATTCTCCAGAGTCACAAATCAATGTCTATAGAACAAATCGAAATGACTCCCACTAAACCAAGGTATCATCCAGAATAACGCCCATATGAGCAGTGTGCTCATAAAATGCAGTAGGCGGTAATCCTTTGGTTAATGGGTCAGCTAGCATAGACTCAGTCCTAATATGTTCTATAGAAATCTGTCTATTTTGAACCCTCTCCTTAACAACCAGGTACTTGATATCGATAAACTTTGATTTTGTCGAACTCCTGTTGTTATTAGAGTACAACACTGCTGCATTATTGTCACAATAAATCTTCAATGGCCTCTCAATGTTGTTTACCACACGCAGCCCCGTGACAAAATTTCGCAGCCATAATCCATGATCAGATGCCTCATAACAAGCTATAAACTCTGCTGCCATGGTGGAAGGAGCTATAAGACGCTGCTTAGCAGACCTCCAAGAAATAGCCCCTCCAGCCAACATGAAGATATAGCCAAATGTAGAGCGCATGCTATCTTGGCATCCAGCAAAATCAGAGTCAGAATACCCAATGACCTCCAGACTATCTGATCTCTGATAAGTAAGCATGTAATCCCTTGTTCTCTTTAGATAGCGCATCACACGCTTGACTGCCTTCCAATGATCCATACCTGGATCCTTTGAGTATCTGCCCAGTACTCCCACTATGAAAGTTATATCGGGACGAGTACAAACTTGAGCATACATAAGACTCCCTATTGCAGATGAATAAGGAATCTTCTGCATTTCCGCTCTTTCTAGATTGTTTGTAGGGCATTGAGCGAGACTGAACTTGTCTCCTTTGGCTACTGGTGTATTTGCTGGGTTACAATCTTTCATGTTGAATCTACTCAAAACATTATCGATATAGCTCTTTTGTGATAATTTGAGAATACCTCGAGAGCGATCTCTCAGTATCTCAATACCCAATACAAAAGAGGCGTCACCAAGATCTTTCATTTCAAAATTCTTTGTTAGAAATTTCTTGGTTTCGTGCAGTAAGCCTATATCACTACTGGCGAGTAGAATGTCATCAACATATAACACCAGGAAAATAAATTTACTCCCACTGAACTTGTGATATACACAATCATCAACAAGATTAGTCTCAAAACCATATAAGCTAATAACTTTGTGAAATTTGTGATACCATTGACGGGAAGCTTGTTTGAGACCATAGATGGACTTCTTAAGTTTACAGACCATTTTCTTTGGATCTCCCACAACAAAGTTTTGTGGCTGAACCATATAAATCGTCTCATCAATGTCTCCATTGAGAAACGCAGTCTTCACGTCCATCTGATGGAGCTCCAAATCAAAATGAGCCACTAGTGCCATTATTGTCCTAAAAGAGTCTTTCGCAGACACTGGAGAGAAAGTCTCTTTGTAGTCAATGCCTTCCTTTTGAGTAAAGCCCTGAGCGACTAGACGTGATCTAAATCTCTCAATCTTACCCTTAGAGTCCCTTTTGGTTTTAAATATCCATTTATTACCAACCGGAACTACTCCTTCAGGGCATTCAACGACATCCCAAACGTCATTGTCATACATGGACTTCATCTCTTCTTTCATGGCACTATTCCACTGTTCAGAGTTAGAACTGCGCATGGCTTGAGCGAGGTTGATAGGATCATCCTCCATTAATCCTATGCCATCCTCATGTTCTTGAAGAAAGACGACATAATCATCCGGAATCGCACTTCTTCTTTCTCTAGTGGATCTCCTAAGTGGCACTTCTTGAGGATGTTGATTTTGTTCCACTAGTGGTTCAGGAGGAGGAATTTCATTGTTTTCTTGTTCCATAACTATGTCAGGACTAATGATAGGTATGATAACCTGATCACTATCAATGACTTGTTCTTCCTCAAAGACAACATTCCTTATGTTTCCTTCCCCCCAAAATTCAATATCCTCAAGGAATCTCGCATTTCCCGTTTCAAAGAATGATCGTGAGGTGGGATTGTAAAATTTGTAGCCTCGAGAGTACTGCGGATAACCAACAAAGTAGCAACTTACAGTCTTTGAGTCTAGCTTTCCTTCATGTGGCTTATAAGGCCTTGCCTCAGCTGGACAACCCCAAATGTGCAAGTGTCTAATGCTAGGCCTTTTGCCTGTCCATAGCTCATAAGGGGTTTTAGTTACTACTTTGCTTGGTACCCTATTAAGGATGTATAGAGCAGTCTTTAGAGCTTCCCCCCAAAGTGACTCCGGTAAGGAAGAATGACTAAGCATACTTCTTACCATGTCTTTAAGAGTACGATTGCGCCTTTCTGCAACGCCATTCATGCTAGGTGTTCCTGGCATGGTGTATTGAGGCACAATCCCACAATCTTTGAGGTAAAGCGCGAAGGGTCCTGGACGTTGTTCTCCGGATCCATCATATCCACCATAGTATTCTCCACCACGGTCCGATCTGACAGCCTTAATTTTCTTTCCAAGTTGAAGTTCAACTTCAGCCTTAAAAGACTTGAAAACATCCAAGGATTGCGACTTCTCATTTATAAGAAAGAGGTAACCATATCTAGAGTAATCGTCTATGAACGTGATAAAATATTTGTGACCGTTCCAAGATGCTGTAGGGAATGGACCACATATATCAGTATGAATGAGTTCTAAGACGTCTTGAGCTCTATTGGCACCCAATTTCTTAATGTTTGTTCTCTTACCCTTAATGCACTCAATGCAGACTTCAAAATCTGCTAAATCTAAGGGTTCAAGAATTCCATCAGACACAAGCCTCTGAATTCTCTATTTGGAGATATGTCCTAAGCGCTTGTGCCATAAAGCAGCGGAATTCTCATTAAATTTTCCCTTTGTACCTCGTGAACTTGTTTGGAGGATTTCATTATGGGAACTAATCACATCAAGCATGTATAGATTATCAATCAATAGACCGGTACCAATCAAGACTGAATTTTGTGAGAGACTAAATTTATTATCTCCAAATGAACAAGAATAACCTGATTTGTCCAAACATGGAACCGAAATTAAATTCCGTCGAAATGACGGCACCACAAAAGTCTCAAACAAATCCAAATGGCATCCAGTCTTTAATTGTAATCTAAAAGTTCCGATAGCCTCCACTGCAACTTTATTGCCGTCCCCCACATAGATGAACTTTTCGTTCTTACTTGGTGGCCGGCTCCACAGGCAGCCCTGCAAAGATACACTTATGTGAGTGGTAGCACCAGAATCCACCCACCAAGTATCCATAGGCACAAAAGCTAAATTAACTTCAGAACAAACTAAAGTAAGAAGCTCACCCTTCTTTTCACGCCAAACGGCATACTTGGGACACTCCTTCTTCATGTGCCCAGTCTTCTTACAGAAGTAGCAAGGAAACCCCTCAGTTTGCATCTTTGGTTTCTTTTGCTGAGAAGACTTTTCTGCAACATCCCTAGCTCTCTTCTTGATTTTGTTTTGAGAACTTGATGCTAAGTGAGCACTCTCAGTCCTATCCCGCGCTTGCCTCTCTTCCTCTTGCACATAGTGAGATATAAGCTCATTGAGAGACCACTTGTCTTTCTGAGTGTTATAGCTCACTTTGAATTGCCCAAAGTGTACAGGGAGAGAGATCAAAACCAAGTGTACGAGCAAATCTTCAGACAGCTATAACTTTAGTGACTTGAGTTTTGATGCGAGATTAGACATCTCCATAATGTACTCCCTTATGTTCCCCTTGCCTTTATACTTCATGGAAACGAGCTTAGACAAAAGGTTACTTGCCTCTGATTTTTCATTCTTGGCAAAGTATTGCTCAATTTCCTCAAGGAACCCCTTAGCGCTCTCATTCTCAGTCGTAGAGCCCCGAAACGCTTCTGGAATAGAGCGCTTCATGATCATCATACACATACGATTAGAGCGATCCCACTTTTCTATTTTAACCTCATTAAGGTTATCCGGAGTAGAAACAGGACGCTCCAACCGCAGTGCAAGATCCAAATCCATACAACCGAGAACAATTTCTACGGTTTCTTTCCAGATCTTAAAGTTTGTCCCATTCAATAGTGGAATATTGCTAATTTGAGCAGAAACATTGGAAGCAGAAGCTAAAGACACTGTAAAGCAAACAAGAAAAACACGCACTCATGTCAAACAAAATACATGAGAAGAAAATTCAGACATTTAAGTTTTATTTCTGAAACCCATCTTAAGATACCAAATGCAACATTAACACTTAGTCTTTGGACAGAGAAATTAACTGCGAGCGGTACTCTTACTAAAATGATCAAATACTGATAATGAGTTCTGTCAAATAATAGTTTATCTTTGGACCAACTATCATTCACATGAAAATAAGCTTTACAATCATCACGTATTTATCATTAAGGTGCATCATCATTTAGCCAAATAGTATCTACCTTTGGGCCGAACACTATCCGCATAAACAACCACACACTATACATCCAAGTAATTTAATTTGATCAATTTTCACACTAGAGGTTACTTTGGCAACATAACGTAAAGAATCAAATCAATTTAAAAGTACTGGACCAATTGAATGATAACGTAAACCATGTGCGTTCAAAAACAATATATATACATTCCCAAAATACGCACACAGTAAATAAATCAACCAATTATAAAATAACTCAAACTGAAGCAATTAAATCCCGATGGAGAGGGAATAAGAAAGAGCGTAATAATTTCCATAGAGCCGTAACCGGCACCAAACTTTAATTCCAACCTTACGCTGCCAAATATATTATTATTCCACTGAATTCCCCATCTTTATTACCGTAACTGCATTTTGTAATAACCGATCAAACGCAGCACTACTGTAATAATTGCCTTTTCTTTTTGTAATTAATTAGAGCAGCCGACCAATCTGTAATAACTGATCAAACCCCAGCAGCCGGTTAATTTCAGGATATCGCCGGCCGGCCCTCTTCTCGGGAAAAAAAACTCCCGGCCAAACCTTAATGCCCTAACGCAAGACCCCCAGATCGTGAAATAAACATGCAATAGTGCATAATTTCTATGGAATTAACGAAAGACAAAAAGATGGCCAATGCCATTGCCACTCGAGGAAGTAAAAAAAAAACACCAAAAGAATGGACTCTTTCAATTTTCCATTCACAAGAAATATGAGCACGCATGGCTTTAAACAACAATACCACGAATGGAACGAACATAGAATCATGCAAGGACTCAGTATTGAAACTTGGCACAGTAGCATGCAGGGTACTAGATCGCATAAAAATTGAGCATCATCAGGGGACTATACCGAAACCCCAATAATCTAACAAAGATGAGTAGCTCTGATATCACTTGTTGGAATTAATCGAGATATGTAATTCCCCGGATTACATCTTGTCAGATTATCAAAGGCGAATAGATCTAAATACCTGGATTCATGATGGTAGATCGTCGTGAGCTTGATGCGGAATCTGTAGAACGATCTTGAACCGGACGATACCTCAGAAGCACGATCCGGGAAGTTTAGTGGCCTTCCTCAACCAAGCCTCCTTAGTCCACTCACGGGAAACCTCACGTATTCCTGATGGGGAGAATATGTGTGTATTTTTTGGTCTTGGTATCTTGGGGACCACAACCTCTAGGTTCTTTATATACTATGTTTAGCTAGGGTTCCCATAAAACCCTAATTAGGTTTAGTATCTGGTTTCCACTCATTGGGCCCATATCAGGTATTGAGTAGTCTTGGGCTCCATAATTTGACCACTTATAATTAGCCCACTTTAACAAATAACTAATACAATTATCCATAAACCACAGCCCACATCACGTGGAACATATATTTCCAACACCACGTCCGGCTGACAACTTGGGTGCGGTTTTGGACTGTTGGATGAACGAGGATTCGATGTTGGCTCTTTTCCCGGTTTACGACGATGGCAGTCCTCTGAGATCGGATAGATTCAAAAGTGCTGTGTATTGCGAGATATGGGTGCTCTTGAAGTACTGGGTTCCGGAGTCGTGGACGAGGCTGTTGGTTATTACGAGTCCTCCCGAGATGAAGATTGGTCATAGATTTCATAGTCAGTTATCAAGGAATTTGAAGTGTTTTTTCGTAGACGAAGCGAACAACACGATTACAGTCAGAGATGAATGCGTTGTTGTCTATAGTCCCGAGACGAGACAATTTAGTGAACTTGGGAACATGGGTGACAGGATACTGCGTCAGATCGTAACGAGTTATGTACCCTCTCAGATTGCCTTGCGGGATTATTATTGCATGTCGGAGTAGGGAGATACATTGTTTATCTCTCGGATATCGCCACCGGCCCCGTCATTTTGGATGTTGTACTGTAGCATTCGCTCTTAGCTTGGGGATAATGTTCCATCACCCGAGCATAATTGAGAGGGTACTGTAGAAGGTCTTCAGTTGGCCTGGGACATGGATTATCGTCGTGTTCGTTTGGAACTCGACTTGAGATGCGGAGTCTTGCTTCTCTAGAGTATTGATATGATTGATCATCATCACGCCACCATAACAGACAGAGTTAATCGTCAGAGATTGGGAGGTGTCTATCTCCCATATTTATCGTGAAGGCAATAAGTGTGCAGATTTACTAGCTAGTTGGGGTCATTCTCTTCCCTCGGGTTTACGTACGGTTTCAGTTTCTTATCCTGCCCTTTGTTCATTTCTCTTGTATGACTGTCAAGGCCTTTCCGAGCCTCATCTTATCGTGAATACAAGCTAAGATTTGTTGCATCCATTTACCACAAAAAAAAAAGTTACTACTTACTGTTTGGATTTGAATTAAACCATCGGCGGCTTGTTTGGAAGTTGAGATTTCAGATGATTTAATTAGAAGACTACTTCAATTTTTGTCTTAAAATGAAACACAATACTTGTATTTGAGGAGAAGATGAGACCACAACAATCATCATTATGGATGATTGTCGATAACTCATTTTTTTAGAAACTACCAAAATCATACAACATCGAACCCGTTTTTTACATATATATATCTCCTTATTTAATTTGAGACCCTATTATATGTGAACGGCTATTTGCCGCCAACCAAATTGCTATTTGCCGCCAACCAAAAAAAAAATTGAATTCAAATTTTGAATTTTCCCTCCCTTCCCTTCCTTTCATTCTATAAATTCGGATATCAAGAACATTTGACTCATTCCAACAAATCTGTTGACGAGCCCAGTGCCTCCGTTGCCGGCACCGTTTTTCCGTCGTCGGCTAACCTCCCGTCGCCCTCAATCGTCGGAAAACAAGTAGGTTTTCCAGTTTTCCGGCGAAAAACACGGTGGGCCAAAAAAAAATTGCGGCCGGAGGGACGTCGGGCCGAAAAAATTTGCGGCCGGTACGACGGCCGGCCGAAAAATTCTTTCGGTCCGGCGACGCCTCGGCCGCAAATTTTTTCGGCCGGTCGCCGAACAAGCCGGCCAAAAATTTTCCGGCGGCGTGTTCGTCGGCTGGCCGAAAAAAATTTGCGGCAGGTGCGTCGCCGGGCCGAAAGAATTTTTCGGCAAATTTTTTTCTGCCGGTCGCCGAATACGCCGGCCAAAAATTTTCCGGCGACGTGTTCGTCGGCCGACCGAAAAAAATTTGCGGCCGGAACGTCGCCGGGCCGAAGGAATTTTTCAGCCGGACGGCGCAACGGCCGCAAATTTTTTTCGGCACGACATCGCTCCGGCCGCAAAATTTTTTCGGCCCGACGTCGCACCGGCCGCAAATTTTTTTCGACCCGGCCAGTTTTTGTATTTAATTTAAATTAATATGATAATTAATTAGCAATTAGTGTTAATATTTATTTAAGTTGGTGTATAAATGTTTTTTTGTAATAGGCGTTTGAAAGTTTAATTACTTAGATTAGTTAATGGAATTTTAATTAATTAAGAATTGATTTAATAATTAATGTTAATATTTAGTACATTAGTTAATAGAAAATTAATTAATTTTTGATTAATTAACAATTAATGTTTATAGTACATTAGTTAATAGAAATTTAATTAATTTGTGATTAATTAACAATTAATATTAATAGTACATTAGTTAATAAAAAATTAATTAGTGCGCATCTAAGTGTGATATTGTTTAAATTTGTAGATAATTAGATATGGATGATGCGGGTGGGAATGAGTTGAATAGATTCAATGGTAGGGTTGTTGATGTATCAGCACGAAGGAAGAATAAGGAGAAGAATAAGCGCTCTCGAGATATTGGACATCAGTCACAGGCAAATTTAGGGGAGGATGAGTTAGAGGCTCCTACTGTAGTTGCTCGTTCGGCATCACGGGCGTCTGGTTCCCATGGGAGGAACCAGGGTGCTGTATCGAGAGTGGTCTCGGCTGATTTTGATGAGGACGATAATGATGAGGATATCGAGGTCCCTCCACCTACGCGTGGACATGGACGAGGGCCGTCTTGTATGGCAACATCACGTCCTGCTATGTATAGGGACCGAGCTGGGCGATTCGTACCACCTGCTCGTTAGGAGACAGAGAGCTCGGGGACTGGACGGAGTAGGGGAGGACGTTCGAGTGGTCCTCCACCGTGGGAGCTTGTTGGTGAGTGTCCTGGTGGACCTACGGATCCTAGCCTCATTAGGAGCTTTCGTGGCCTAGTTGCCTATGCGCTTTGTACGGGGGCTGGAGATCGAGGGGTCATTAGTTGCTACAGCCGTACATCGGCGGTTTCTTATCTGAGTAGCTACGTGTTTAGTCATGTTGAGGCGGAGGATCTGGTGGCGCAGTCAGGTCTCCAGCACCTGATCTACTCTATGTTCCGCAAGATAGCGATTGACGAGGATTTGATCTCAGCTTTTGTGGAGAAGTGGCAGCCAGACACGAACACCTTCCACTTGCCTTTTGGAGAGATGACGATCCTCCTCCACGATGTTCAGTACTTACTGCAGATTCCTGTTGAGGGACGACTGATGAGTAGGAGTTCTGCGCAGCTTGACCATCCGGAGGCGGGTTTGTGTGCGCTTCTTGGGATGAACTCGGAGCAGTTGAGTGGTCGTTCGGAGGTCCCTGGATATAATAATAGGGGTAAGTGGTACGAGAAGGGTGGTTTTCTTGAAGAGATGGCGTCCAGATACTTGCAGAGCCACGGGACACATGTGACAGAGGCGCAGTCGTACTTGTTGTTGCTGTTGGGGTCCACTTTGTTTGTGGACAAGAGTAGAGACAGGGTTCGGTCGGTGGTGAACCTATTTTTGGACGAGTTGGAGGAGTTAGATCAGTATAGTTGGGCGTCAGGTACACTTGCTTGGTTGTACAGATACCTTGGTCAGGCGTCTCGTGCTGGTGCCAGGGGGATGGCTGGTTGTCTCACACTTCTGCAGTGCTGGATCTACGAGTACTTTCCGGGTTTCAGGCCATCTCACTTCGAGCCTGCCGCTGTTGGAACTGATGATGCTTGGGCTTCACGATGGGTTGGGCAGCCGACACCTGGTTCTGTGGCTGATGCCAGTGGGAGGTTGGCGTTCTACCGTCGAGCTCTTGACAGCTTGACCCCTTCTGATGTGTTTTGGACACCTTTCCATCAAAGGCCTCATCAGGCAGTGCGTCGCTCTTTGTACATTGGAGTCATCCGGTTCGCTGACATAGGCGAGTTCTATGATCCAGCCCGTTGCCTCCGACAGATGGTACCGCCTGCCCCTTCGCGTCCTCAGCGAGCAGACCGACCAGAGGCACCTGGTGGATATGTCATTCGGATTCCTGAGAGTTTTGATGCTGCATGGGATGCTCTGCTATCCCACATGGTTCATATAGACATGTACTCTCAGCCGTGGACGACGTATCCATATGAGACTATGAGAGACTATCTTGACTGGTTCGTGGCGCACTCTCATTGTAGAGTCCTACGGGATGATGGAGAGGCAGATCGACTAGTTGACTCCGCAGCGGTAAGATTTGACCACTAAATCGTTACTCTATTATAAATATACTTAGCATGAAACTAAAAATTGTTCTTGCTTTTTTTTCATGCAGCGTGGTCGCGACCTTTTGTACACGTTTGCACCTGCGGTTCGAGCAGCAGCAGGGACCGAGGAGGAGTTTGTTGAGCATTCTCGACGAGCCTACAGGGCACTGCACGGAGTGCAGGACGTGTGGACTGAGTACTGGGCTTCTCAGGGACTCCCCCCTCCAGGGGATTTTTAGTTGTTTTGATGTTTCCATATTTGTGTTTAGATCGGATGTTTGACTACTTATGTATGTTTGGATCGGATGTTTATGTTCAGACTGCATGTTTCCATATTTGTGTTTAGATCTGATGTTTGACTACTTATGTATGTTTGGATCGGATGTTTATGTTAAGACTGCATGTTTCCATATTTGTGTTTACACTGCATGTTTCTGACAAGCTAAAACACAACACCTAACAATGAAAAAGTGCAACCACACGGCCAGGGTGCAACTTCACACGGCCGTGTAGCTCACCCAGCCTGGCCGTGTGAAGCCTCGCACATTTCCACACGGCCAGAGTGCAACACCACACGGCCGTGTAGCTTACCTAGCCTGGCCGTGTGAAGCCTCGCACATTTCCACACGGCCAGAGTGCAACTTCACACGGCCGTGTAGCTCACCCAGCCTGGCCGTGTGAAGCCTCACACATTTCCACATGGCCAGAGTGCAACACCACACGGCCGTGTAGCTCACCCAGCCTGGCCGTGTGAAGCCTCGTACATTTCCACACGGCCATAGTGCAACACCACACGGCCGTGTAGCTCACCCAGCCTGGCCGTGTGAAGCCTCGCACATTTCCACACGGCCAGAGTGAAACTTCACACGGCCGTGTAGCTCACCCAGCCTGGCCGTGTGAGTTGTGTGTGTGACCGTGTGGCTTTCTTTTTGACTTGCCTCGCGCCCGATCTTCGTCCAATCGACCCCGAACTCGCTCGAAATCCATAATGAAATCCATAAGTTCATAATGACACTAGGGTCATTAAAAATACAACTAGAAAAACAACAACATATAAATAGATTATTGCAACACTATGCATTGCTCCTACCCCTACCCCTTCCCCTAGCTCTTCGGGGGTCTCTCTGCCTGGCTCGCTGCCGACCACCAAGACTCGCAAACAAATTTTGTCCAACCTCGAGAATAGCTCCCCACTCCGCCACATTAGGATTTGCTAGCCCATGCCAAAGTGGATGCAGAGGGGGTATAGGAAACTGATCCTGGTTAAAGTACAATCGAATGTAGTGGTTGTTCACATAGTGTAGTGATAAGAACATGGTTGGTGGCAAAGTACCTGGTTCCGCATCAATAGGCAATACAGTATAGGCATCATCGTAGCGGTTGGGTAGTGGACGGTTTCCATTATTGACATCAAACACCTGGTATGTGAAGACCATGACTGCGATGTTGTAGATGGTGGCAAACACAAACAAGTCCTCAGAATCCATCCATCGCCCCGGTGGTGCGGAACCCGCCTCTAGCCAATTGATGCGGTTAATGTGAGCTAGTGGACCACCACTATACAAGTTCTCGTACTTCCAAAAATGTTGTTGGATTTCTTGGACAATCGTCGATCTCATGAGCAGATAGTGACTATCATCCCCATAAATACAATGAGAAAGTGCCCTAAAACCACAATGGCCGTCCGGACTAGGGTTGAAATCGCCTACCAGCAAAGGTCGAACAAACTCTGGAAAAAGCTCATCGATGTAAGGGTAGAATATTGCCCTGGGGGGCTCTGGGATGAGTAATCTACAAAAATATACCAAACGGTCAAAATTACATGGAAAAAATTTACAAACATAAACCAATTACTACTAGATATTAAACCAATTACTCACCTGTATCATGCTCGTTGGATTCACCTCCACTCGATCGGGATCTGCCTCTACTAGATCGGGATCTGCCTCCACTCGATCGGGATCTGCCTCCACTCGATCGCCCCCTACCTCCACTCGAACCAGGCCCAGTACTCCTCGAGCGAGACCGCTCATAATATGAACGAATGCGACTGGTGCTTGTTCGAGGCCGTCCTCTCGGATTCTCATTCACTTCTGGTTCCCTCACATTGTCCTCTGCTGGGTGAAGCCCATAGAATAGGGCATCTCTTGCTGGTCTCACTGCTTCAGGACCTCTTTCTTCCACCTCTACAGTAAGACGCCTAAAGTGTTCTCGTTGAAGCTCAATTTCATCACTGACTTGTTGTGGACGTGGGGGGTTTTTATAATCCAAAGTCCGCCAAAATACATGCAACTCTTGAGCATAGAATTGACGTCCTTCTTCCTTAGCTTGAACAATCTGGCAAGCACACTTGAGCCCATGTGTCATCTGAAAATGACATGCACAACTGTCCTTCAACTCCGCCGCCCCATCTAACATCAGTTTGATTGCCTCAGAACTAACGACCCTCCTCAAAAACGTGCCCGGAGGCTCAATTGCCCTACTCAAATTGCGGTTCAGTGACTTGTGCAGTTCATTCACCACTTCCAGAAACTGATGTTCCGTGTAGTTGTGGTTCTTCGCAAAACAAGTGTCGATCGCTCCTCTACCAGACACAAGGAAAGTCTTGAATGAAGAGTGAGATGACTCAACTCTATTCGAGCTCGTGTTACCAAGATGAAACACATGGTTCGTGTAGCACTTTGCCCACATTGTCTGATGAGGCAACCACTCATCTCGCACGTAGTCGACCATTTTTTTGTTCTTCACTGTCCAGACCCTCTCAAACTCATTAATCTTTTGAATAAAACCCTCCTGAGTCCAACTCCATGCAGCTTTGTCGAAATATTTCTTCCATACCGCTTGTGCTACCTCTCCTTTTGCAATTCCACCAAGTAACACTTCAAACTTTTGCTTCACACAGTTGTTGACGTGCCATAAACATAGTAGGTGGACAGTATGTGGGAGAGGGAAGACCACAGGAATAGAAGCAAGCAAACCACCTTCTTTGTCTGTCACAATGACATTCGAAACCGTATCACCGAGCAACCCTTTAATATATCGCAACAGCCACTCATATGTTTCCTTTGTTTCCTGCTTAATAATTGCACATGCAATGTTGAAATTCTTCTTCACTGGAGTAACCCCAATAATCTCAACCCATGGCCAGCCGTACCTGTTGGTCTTGTAGGTCGAGTCAATGAGGATGACGTATGACCATGCATGCAACATCTGAATGGACGTCGGGTGCGCAAAAAACAGATTAGTGAGCACATTATTAGAGTCCTTTTGCAAACAGATATGGTACCCACGATGTTCAGCTCCGTGAAGCGCAAACTATATCGCATCCATTTCACCCATCTCATCCAATCTTGTCTTGGAATTTATGTTGTACATCTATTTGATATCATGATGCACACCCCCTTCAGTATTGAGTGTCGTCTTCTGCTGATTTGGTCTCACCCCCGCCTTCCTCATTAATTTTAACCTCTCTTTTTCAGCCTCACTAAACTGTTTGTTGTGTCGGTGATGTTCTGGATACAACACCTTTTCATGGTTGTGAAACCCTCTATTAGCTCCGGTTTCACGACTTGTCACTCCCACTATGACCCATGTGTTTGGACCATCCTTTTGCCATACTTCCTTTATACATATCTGAAACTGGCAACCAGTACCCTTCGAACTAATATTCCCACGCGTCTCCTTCGTAGGGTCTGGTTTATAAGACTTAACGATCCTACTACTTCTGTCGCAATACATACAGAGGGCAGTAACAGGATGTAGTCCAACAGTATTCGGTTTCCATGATCCTCTAATAATAAATAACCCACGCTGCTGAGCGATTGTTTTTGCAGCTAACTCCACACTTGCATAATGGATCCCATTCTCAAATTCCTGTGTGTAATCATGATCGGCCGGTAACAACTCTGACATTTTTCCTACAATTACAATATAAAACATCAATATTCCCGTGAACCTAAACGCTAATTTCAAGTCTTAACCGCTAAATTCAACTCCTAAACTCTAAATTCAATTCTTACACGCTAAATTCAACTCTTAAACGCTAAATTCAACTCCTAAACTCTAAATTCAACTCCTAAAATCTAAATTCAATTCTTACACGCTAAATTCAACTCTTAAACGCTAAATTCAACTCCTAAGATCTAAATTCAACTCCTAAAATCGAATTTTTCCGAAAAATTGCCAAAACAGACGGTGGGCCGAAAATTTCCGGTGGCCGGAACCTGGCCGGGCCGAAAAATTCCGGTGGCTGGAACCTGGCCGGGCCGAAAAATTCCGGCGGCCGGAGCCAGGCTGAGCCGAAAATATCTTGCGGCTCAGCCTGGTTCCGGCCGCCGGAATTTTTCGGCCCGACCAGGTTCCGGCCACCGGAAATTTTCGGCCCGGCCAGGTTCCGGCCGCCGGAAATTTTCGGCCCACCGTCTGTTCGTTTCAAATCGTCGGAAAAATTGTTCGAAACTACAAAAAAATTACGCACCTGCTTAGTGATGATTCATTGATGCGTGTACGCAGTATATGTCGAGGATAGGCTTTCCCGATGATTTTCCGGCGACTTTTCCGGCGAGTGTTGAATTTTTCTGATTCAATACGTTCTCTGAAAGTTGGATATGTTGTAGATTGTGAAACTCCTTACCCAAAGATGTATATATATACTCTTTTTTTTTTTTTGGTTGGCGGCAAATAGCAAGCCCCTATTATATTCACCTTTGGACTTTTATTGAATCGAGAAATGAGTTTGATTGTCAATTTTTTTAGATAATCTATATCCTGTAAACAGTATTTTTTCAAAGCTATATATTAAAACAATCCATCTAATTAGAATAATTTTTTGGTTAAATGGATACGTTTAGAAAATCTAACTTCCAACATAGCCAAAGCTACCTCCCTCTCCCTCCCGGGGACTAGATACTATAACAACACCCCTTGTTGTTGTTATTGTAACAACACTAGCCTCCAACCAATAGGAAGCTAGGATTGTGATGACTTTTTATTAGATGAGTTGACCTAGTGTAAAATCAAAGCAGGGGTATAATTGTCATTATGAAAAATCTGTTTAAATAATAAAAAAAGTAATAAAAAAATATTTTTATTTTCTGCCCAAAAATTTGGTCGTCGGAATTCTGCCACCGGTCGCCGGTCACCGGAATATGCTTACCGGCGTCGGAATATGCTTACCGGCATCGGAATCTAGTCATCGGGGCCGGAATATGCTTATCGGCGCCGGAATCCGGTCACTGACGGTCACCGGAATTCGGTCAACGAACTTCGTTGACCGGTCAACGGCTAACCACCACCGGATGTTATGGTCTGCATTGTGAGATTTATGGTTTGGTTTCTCATATTTTTGTACGCCTTTTGTGGTTTGCTTTATCGTGTTTGTGGTTTGCATTGAGAAGTTTCTGGTTTGCTTTCAAAAACTTTGTGGTTTGCATTGTGAGGTTTCTGGTTTGTTTTCAAAAAATTTGTGGGTTACATTGAGGGGTTTCTGGTTTGTTTTAATATATTTGTGGTCTGCATTAGAACGTTTATGGTTTGATTTATTGTGTTTGTGGTTTGCATTAGGAGGTTTCTGGTGTGCTGTCGTAAATATTGTGGTTTGCTTTGTGAGGTTTGTGGTTTGTTTTAGGAGATTTGTGGTATGCATTAGGAGGTTTCTGGTTTGCATTAAGAAATTTCTGGTGTGCTTTCGAAAATTTTGTGGTTTGATTTGCTAGGTTTCTCGTTTGTTTTAATATATTTGTTGTCTGCATTAGGATGTTTTTGGTTTGCTTTACCGTGTTTGTGGTTTGCATTAGGGGGTTTCTGGTGTGCTTTGCAAAATATTTATGGTTTGCTTTGTGGGTTTTTTTTTATATATTTTAGCAAATTTGTGGTTTGCATTAGGAGGTTTCTGGTATGTTTTTTGTGGGTTGTTTTATTGCGTTTGTGGTTTGAACTAGGGGGTTTTTTATGTTAGAAATATTTGTGATTTTGTTTATTCTGTTTTTGGTTGGTTTTAGTGACTTGTGCTCTGCATTAGGAAAATTATAAATTGACTTGTACTCACTAATTGCAATTACAAATGAACTAAATTGGTGTTTTGCAATGAAAATTAAAGTGAGTCTAATTACAGTGATGCTTGTAAATCCCACGGAGGAAGTGATACTTGTACAGCAGAGGTTTAATATCTCCGCCACTGGTGGCGAAATCCATGGCGGCGCGGTGGAGGCCGTCGAGCTCCAACCGGATAGCTTTGTGGAAGAAGAGGAATATGAGTATGGGGGACTTGAGCTCCACCGTCCTCCGTTCCGACAACGACGACGAAACCAATCACAACAACAAGAACATCAGCAGCAGCCCAACGAATTCCTCCAGCGTCACCAGCACGCCTCGGAACTCCAACAGCAGCGGAACTCCCAGCAGCGACCACGCCTCTTCCTCTCCGCGAACCACCGGCTCGCCGTATGCCGGCGGCCAATTGTTCTCCCCCTGGAACGTCAACAGCAGCCACCACCCGTTGTCTCCGTACATGAAATCCCCCTGGATTGTCCCTTTCCCTGCGCTCTTCCCCAACGACGGCACCGGCAGCGGGGACAGCCTCATCGGATCCATCGTCCGCCAGGAGGGACACGTCTACTCCCTCGCCGCGTCGGGGGATGTGCTCTACACCGGATCTGAGAGCAAGAACATACGCGTGTGGAAGAACCGGTCTGCATCTGGCGAGCTCGGGCTCCGATGTCCACGGTCTTTCGCCGCGTCGGGTGGCGCCGCGCCGTCGAGAAGAGCCGGGGACCTGAGATCGAGGCGGAATCGTTGTAAACTGCGCGGAGATCTGAAATCGATGAGATAATCAACCACTCCGATCTGGCGGCGGAGGCGATCTGGCGAGTGGAGGAGAAGAAGATGCTTGTGCAGGAGGAAGAGGAGCCGGCAGCGGACGTAATTTTCGTGGAGCGGAGGAGCTGCAATCTCAGTCGGAGGAGGACGGAGCGAGAGGCCATCGTGCGACGGCGGCGGCGGAGATTTTGATTTTAGTGCAAAGAAAATGCGTAGGATTAATTTTTATTGTTAATTTACTCTTTTACCCTTAATGAATCCTATTGTTATTATAACAACAAAAAGAGTGTTGTTATACTATCGGACCCTCCCTCCCGTACTACAGGTTGCAATCAACTGGATCAAGGGCCACTGCAGGTCTTAGCTCAACTGAGACTCCGCCACGAAAAGTAAAAGCCCAAAGCCCATATATGGCGGGAAGGTTCCCAATACTATATTCCAAAAGTTTCCGAAAATCATCACCGAATTTGTCGGTTACCCGGTATACCAGGGTTTTTGAAGGGGTTCTCCTTCCCATTCGTCGTCTCCCTTCCTATCTTCTTCTCCGTACGAAGACCAGAGTCTCTCACAACCACCATTGACAAAAAGGTCGGCGAGACTAAAACCCCAAATATGGGTTCTCTGGATAACGTGGCAGACAAAGCAATGGACAGAGAAAAACAAGCTGCAGAAGAACAGGACGAGCCCATTCTGAAAGAACAGAACCAGAGGTTTTGCATGTTCCCCATTAGGTACAAGCAACTCTGGGAGATGTACAAGAAGGCTGTGGCTAGCTTTTGGACTGGTAAGTTCTCAATTCCTCGAACTGATTAACTCTCTGTCCCTTCGCCTTTCCATACATGTGGACATTGATGAGATAACAATTCTCTGAAGATGTCGTTGAAAGTTTTTGTGCCCTTTTCAATTGTTTGCCATGGGATTGGCAGAAACAGGCATGAACTTGGAATCTTTACATCCTCTGTCCTGGAATTAGGGATAATCCTGTGGGTTACTTTACTGGGTTTCCTTGGTACAAGTTTTCAAGATACTCCAAATGTATATAGTGCATGATGTAAAGCAACTACCTTAATTGAGAAATACATTTTGGTTGTTCAATTTCCACACTAATGATTATCCTTCACCGTGTGTTGTTGATGAGGGTTTACAAACGCGAGCTATAGGCTATGATTTTGGTTCATGGTAGGTACAACTATGAGGGTGCATAAAATACCCATCTTGTTCTAGGTAAGGCATTCGTACTGTTTAGACACACCTATCGTGACAGATTTGGTAATTGGGTGATGGTTTTGGCTTGGTAATTTGGTAATTATCTGCTCCTTTTTCGCCCTGTTTGCAGTGGCTTGATGGGGAATTTTGTTAGTAACTGCTTGGGTCTAAACTTTATTCTCATTTCCACCCTTTTTTCTTATCAATTTGGTTCATACATGTTTGTAACTGACTTGCAGCTGAGGAGGTTGATCTCTCCCAGGACATGCGGGATTGGGAAACATTGTCTAGTTCGGAGAAGCACTTTATCAGTCATGTGCTAGCCTTTTTTGCTGCTTCTGATGGTATTGTGTTGGAGAACTTGGGTGCAAGATTCCTTAATGATGTTCAAGTTCCAGAGGTGAAAAAGCTTGGACAATGTTCCTTAATTTGTTAAAGGGCTATACTGTTTTCCTTTGCCTTGTGCTTGTATTTTGTTAAAAAATCCAATACTGGGTTCTACTTTCATCCCACCAATCACTTTGTCCAAATTTAGATGTTCTAGTTTTCCAGCTTTCTATTTGCCTAATATAATTGTCAGATGCTTGGGTTTATGGCAAATTAGGCTCCCATTTAAAGTGGTCTTTTGCTCTATGGCGCAAGGCTATGTTACACTGGACTTCACTTTCCTTTTTCACTATATTATCTGATAAGCATGCTTCACAAATTTTCCAGGCTAGAGCATTCTATGGATTTCAGATTGCAATGGAGAACATCCATTCTGGTGAAGCTCTCTCTAAACACTTAGTTGATTTGAATATTGTCATGGACTACTAGGAACTGAACGTGGAACTTCTTGTGTCATTTAATCAGAAATGTACAGTTTGCTTCTGGAGACGTACATCAAGGACCCAAGTGAAAAGCATAGATTGTTTAATGCAATAGAAAACATTCCTTGTGTGGCCAAGAAGGCTAACTGGGCGTTGGATTGGATCAACAGGTACGCTGCTCTCCATTTTGGGTTTGATTAATGGCACCTAATAATTGTAGAGTAATAGTAAAATGATCGAGTAGGAATTAAATGGTCCCTTTTTCCGCTTCTTTTTATTGTACTACGGAAAAACCTATGTTTTAATATGTCTTTGTTCTTGTTTAATCTGCAGTTCCAATTCATTTGCAGAGAGACTACTTGCTTTTGCTTGTGTTGAAGGAATCTTCTTCTCTGGGAGGTACATGTCTCTCCTTTGTGCCATGACATATTCTGCTTAAAACAACCACTCTTGCATCATAGTTTGAATCCGAGGTTGTTGATTTTTTTCTCTATCCAGCTTTTGTTCCATTTTCTGGCTTAAAAAGAGGGGCCTGATGCCAGGTTTGGCATTCTCAAATGAACTGATATCCAGAGATGAGGGTCTGCACTGTGACTTTGCTTGCCTTTTGTATAGGTACCATATTTCTGTCTGTCAGTCTCCATTTGAAAATATGGAAACAACAAATTCCTCTAAGAAGTGCATGGTCCTTTATCTTTTAGTTTGTTACAGAAGCAACTTCATTGGCAAAAGGTTCATCTCATCATTGATGCTGCAGTGGAAATTGAGACAGAGTTTGTGTGTGATGCCCTCCCTTGTGCATTGATTGGCATGAACTCTGATCTAATGAGTCAGTACATCAAGTTTGTTGCTGACCGGCTTTTGGTATGTCTCTAATTTTGACGGTTAAGCAATTCCTTCTGAATTGCACATAAAAAAGTCAGTTGTTTCCTCTTTTATTTTTCAGGTTGCTCTAGGTTACGAGAAGAAGTACAAAGTGGAAAATCCTTTTGACTGGATGGAATTTATATCTTTGCAGTGAGTTTCAATCTTATTTCATTGAAAGTACTTGCATTTGACCAGAGATCTTATGTGATTATTTAGTCTTTACTCCTTTAGTAGAGGTTATGTTCATTTTATACTTACTAAGCATGTATTTCATTCTGTCGCTTCCTTGAGAACAAGCTTCTTCCCGTGCCAGTAATCTTGTTCGTCTTTTCAGTATATCCTGAACAACTGCAAACTAGAGAGTTCTTCAATTGCTATCTTTTGTTATTTTTGCAGTTTAATGCATCTTAGATCCAAAACTTCTTTAGTTCAACATGTTTGCCACTTGTGTGTTAGTCGTTGACTAATTCTAACATGTGGGCTTTAACAACTTCCATATTAAAATGCATGCTATGGTGGGATAAGGTGGTAACATGACATGAGGTTCTTCTTATCTGAGTTCAAGGACTTCTTGGAATCCGACCTGTCCTCCTTTCTTGACGTTTGACTTTGCGCACCAATTTCCTTTCCCTTGGCATGATGTCTTCCATCTTATCAATTGAGTCACTTTTGGCATGTTAGGTGCAGTACTTTGAAAGAATTGCACTTCTTCCCTCACCTTGTTTTACTTTATTCCTTTTCAACCTTGCAGAGGGAAAACAAACTTCTTTGAGAAAAGAGTAGGGGAGTACCAGAAGGCATCTGTCATGTCAGGTCTTCAAGATGCCGGGAAGAATTTCGTCTTTAACACGGATGTGGAGTTCTAATCTAAACAAAATCACAGTTTTATCTCAAAGTGTGGTGACAGCAGAATATGCATGCCATCAAAGCGTATAGCTCCCAGTTTATGGTTACAGCTTCTATCTATACCCTAACTATATTTGCACTCTCTTCCAAACTGGCAACTTGATGTTAGGCCATCTATTAGTTCGTCCTTGCATTAGTCTTTGCAGTCCCCTCATGCCCTTAAGTCGCCACTCCACCATGATTGTGTGTAATGTGCATGATAATGCTAATTATTTGCACTAAGCGGCTGAGCTTTTGACCTTTGAGAATCTGTGGTTATTGGGAATTGAATGAAGAAACATATATATATATTAGTTATTTGTCCAGGTGTCGGTCTCTCTTCTTTCCCTACTGGTTTCTACATGAATGGCTAGTTGCATTTTGATGTGTACAAGTTAGAATATTGAATGTGTCTTTCCCCACTTGATTTGGTTGAAACTTGAAAAGAAAAGGATGGATTGGGTTAATTTATTGATAAGGGTTAAGTTGCTGTAGATTCATAGAAGCAAGGAAACCCAAGACTTGGCCAACATCATTTTCCTTGCCATTTGCTTCTGGCCAATGAGAGTGGACTTTTTTTTTTGGTTCTGTTAGGTAGGGCATTGAAAGCCTTTCTCAAGCTGTATTAGAAGTCAAATTGGCCAAACTCCAAGAGGGGAATGTAGCTTTCATTATCTAGAAAGGCTAATGTAATGATTTACACTTCATCTATTGTTAACCATTAAACTAGAGGTGGGGTTTTGGGTTTGGTAGTGTCAACAAATCACATGACATGATGAAATTAACTAATCTTCTATTAGTCTATGCTGGTTTAATTAATCATTTATCTTTTCATAATTGTTAAGTTTTCATCATTATCCTGTCCTTCCAAGTTCCCTATCATGCCACACTGAACCATCATTAATGTCTCAATTGTCAATTGTCACCCTTTTGGCATTACTGCATTAGCTAATATGGATCAACGATCAATCCAGCTAGCAGTGCTTCATAGCGGCAAGAGTCGGCACATGCTGATACCGATGGATTGCGATCTCAACCATTAGATCAATGTCAGTTGAACTCATGACTTCAAATTATGAGCATGAGAGAAGTGTTTGAGCCATGTGGGTTGATGTCTGTCTTGTTTCTCATCCTGTATTTTTAAGTTGTGAGTTGATTACCAGCTCTGAGAATGAGACAAAGTCAGAAAAACATGGTTTTTTTTTTTGTTTCATTTCTCGTTTGTTTAAGATTTCTTGGAGACAAGCATATGGTGTTACATGAAACACCCACAGAAATTCATGTTGGCTTGTCTTTGCCACTACATATAGTTGGTGAAAGCATCTCTTTAAACAAACAATAACCTGCAGCTGCAGGTAGGTCAGGTGAGATATAATTTTTTTTTAAAGTTTACCTGGTATTTTTATCTTTAATCCATCACTTTCCAATCTTTAAACCAAAGAGAGTGGAAGGTGGGAACTAGGAATCAGGATTCAGGAAAGTAGTGCAGTATAACAGGAACTCCATTTCCAATTTAACTTACTACAGTTAGCATGATCTGAGCTGATTTAAAATCAAATTGCATTACAACTTACAATAGAACTGGGTTGAGGATTATAATCGCGGATTAGAAGTGCATTTTTTTTTCACTGAATTAAAAGTGCATTTGACTTTATCTCATTCAATTTGATTTGGATTCAAACAACAAATTTATTTATTAGATTTTATCTCATCCAATTCGATTTGATATTCACCAAACTGACCCCTATCAGGCTCTCTCTTAAATCTTAATCATATCCCACCAACTTAAGATCTCCCCATAGAACTACACTTTATAACTATTGCTGTTATGCAGCTGATTAAGCCGTTCTAACCACTTGACTTTACTGATAACTAAGTTTTTGAATTGGTGCTCCTCTGGAAAATATGTTGTGGAAAAAGCCTTTGTATTATAACAATGCGTGTATCTGAAAATAAGAGTGCTATAATTTTATTTGGGATAAAAGATAATCTTAGGGGTTCGTTTGTTTGTAGGAGTTTGACGAGGGAATTTGCCCCAAAATCTCATATATGTTGGATTAATGACCAAATCCATGTTTGTGTTGAAGTTGGACTAAATTCGTGGGGCCCATAAATGTGGAATTTTTTGGCTCAAAATCCGTGGACCCCACGGATTATAAAATCCCACCCCATTAGCTAATTGAGAGTTGCCAAAATCCGTTGACCTCGCTAACTATGAATGACTAAAGTATCCTTAACAAAAAAAAAACTTTATAATGATAGGAAAATGGACAAGAAGGTAAACTCATAATTTAACCCATAAATCCAAGATAGTAAAGTCCATTTTGAAATCCAACAAGCAAACATTCAATTTTTAAAATCCAACATAATCCTTCAATCCCAAAATCCAAGGTTTTACCAAAATCCTTCATTTTTTAAAATCTCACAAGCAAACGACCTCTTATATCGATTAAATAAGAGATCGAACAAATTACAGCCTGGTATACAACCAGGAAAGGAAATCAAAAAAGCGACACGTAGTCGGATACAAAAAAAAGGCGACAACTAGCTGCTTATAATTAAGTATTTATCTTTTGAATCAAAGAGAATCCGTTACGGCAGCTATAGTGATCCAAATTCATTTTAAAATTAATTCTTGTATTAGCGTACCCTCGATGATATCAACATTTTCCTCTCTAAACCTCAATTGTGTATTTAGACTTAAACCACAATCACCATTACAAATGAAAAATAAATAAATAAAAAGTAGGTGGATCTTATGGAGAGGGATGGAAGGTAGACTGAGCAGCCACTAGTTTGGTTAGATTGAGTTGGTTGGACCACTACCACCACCACCACCATCCCTAAGAGGTTGAAAAGGGTTGTTGTTTCATGTTCATGGACCCATAACCCATTGGATGGAATAGTAGCACAATAGAAAAGACCTCAATTTTACACATAAAAAAAAAAACTGAATCCCAGAAGATTGAACAAATCAACACCTTCTTCTCAACTAGTGGCCTCTCTCTGTCTCTCACCTACCACAAAAACCTCATCATTCAGCAAGCACAAGCACAAGCACAATGACAACAGGACAAAAGAGAATGAATGAACAAAAAGAGCCTAACAATCCAGAACTTGGGTTCTCCACCCAATTGGCAATACTGGCCAATATGTGGAGCCAGCAAAAATATATGAAAACAAACATAACAACTTGTGTAAAAATATCCCAACTTTCTTATGCCCCTCATCCCATCCCATTAGGAATTTGTCCATGGTGCATGGACCATGATACAATTGCTGCCAGATAAGATGGCCAGTTACAGAGTTGCCCCTCCCGGTAGCTATGGTATAGTTAGAAATTTTCAAGAAGAATCGAGTAGATGAAGTACATCCCTCAATATGGATAAAGGTTGAGCGTGTTCCATGTCTCATCTCGATTAATTACTAATTAATCAAGGAGTTGATCGAAGAGAGTTGATTTTTCTCAAATTCAACTCACTAATCATAATACCACATGCAAAATTCGTGCATATTAAGTTTATCACTTGAAAATCACGACTTCTTGACGCTCCCCTTAGCCCTCAAGGCTGAAAGTCAATTGATGCATATGACCTCCCCAGACCTCTAAGCCTCTACCCTTCCTCTGTTTTTTTACTATGCCCTCTTAACAAAAGGGTAAAATCACCAACCTCTTCCTCCACTTAGTTTGTATCTTTCTCCTGTGGCCAATACTTCTTGATGGATCGGTTATTTGCGACACAACTACATTCTTTGTACCAACTAGTTATATAGCTTGAAGTAGGGTTGGCTATTTGGTCCAGACTTTTTGGTTTTACCCGAAATCGGACCGTATAATCCGGACCGAGATTGAACTGGAATCGGATAGCAAACAATCCAATTCAATTTTCAGACTTAGATTCGAGGTAAAAAAATTGTTTGGGACCGGACCGAAAACTGGATAAAGACCGGATAAGAGAGCCTAACACCCAAAATCTAACCTCCTCACTCTTTCAGGCCTTAGGCCACTCAAGTCCCCCCTCAAGCCACTCAAATCCGCACATACTCAATCTAAGATCAAGACTGAATTTGGACAGGACCGGTTCAAGACCGGACTGGATCAAGACCAGACTATATCCATTCCAGTCTATGGTTCTTATATTATCGAAAAGACTAGACCGAGACAAAATTAATTCGGGTCAATTTAACCGGACCGTATAGCCACCCTTAGCTTGAAGGGATTTTTCCATAAATAGCACTGTTTAAAAAAAATAAAAATAGCACCTAACCCGGAAAAATTCCAAAAATAGCACCATTTCCCAAAAACCACCACTCGGGGCGCGTTTTTTGATGAAAACCGCACGGATAGGGTGCGGTTTTGCAAACCTCATGGGGTCGAGGCGGGTTGGTTGCAAACCGCACCCCACCATGCGGTTTGCAATATATATTTATTTTTTTCAAAATAAGTATCACAAGTGGTCTTGGCACAACTGGTATAGTTGTTTATTGTGTGCAAGAAGTCCTGAGTTCGAATCCCCCACCATGCAGTTTACTAAATTTAGTACAACATCTACACCACCCAACTACAACTCTTCCCTTGAAACAATAATATATTGACAAAGTGTAACTCCTTGAAAGCTAAAAATCCTCAATAACTTTAAACAATCATAACTATGTGCTCCAAAATCCGAACGTCATATTTTTTTTTCGTTTCACATAACTTTTTAAGGACTACAATTGTTACTAGGAATGAATTTTAAAAATAGGAAATATTTTTGGATATACAGGATTTTGGGAATAGCTTACCTTCCCTTTTCAGCAATCCACGTACATTTCGAAATTATGTCTATGATAAAAGTTATAGTCCTCAAAAAGTTATGCGAAATGAAAAAAATTCATGTCGTTTGGATTTTGGAGCACAAAGTTATGGTTGTCCAAAGTTTGACGAAATCGGAAAAAAGCTCGTCGGGGTAGCAAACGACATTTTTTCGGTACGAAGGCGAGACCAAACCGCCTTCGCCGATTTGGGGCTTGCAAGATCTCAAAAAGTTATGCGGAATAAAAAAAAATCGCGACGATCGGATACCCGAACACAAAGATACGTTCGTTTGAAGTTTCCACCTAGGTTAGGATTTTTCAAAAAAAAAAAAAAAGAGACCAAAACCGCATGGTGGGGTGCGGTTTGCAACCAAACAGCCACGGCCCCATGCGGTTTTCATTGAAAAACGCGCCCCGGGTGACGGTTTTCGCCTAAACCGCTGGTTTGGGTGGCGGCTTTTGGGAAAGAGTGCTATTTTTGGAATTTTTTCGGGTTGTGTACTATTTTTGGATTTTTTTTTAAACAGTGCTATTTCTGAAAAAATCCCTAGCTTGAAATGTTTCTTTGTACAATCACAAGTTTTTTATATCATATCATTCATCACCATATCACTATGATTTTTTCACACGCTTATAATGAGACATTTAACTGTTTATTTCTTCAGTTTGACAACAGCTAAAAATACATTTATAATTCAGTCTGAAAAATCTAACAAACCAATCCACTTTCTTGTGATCACATTGTTATTATCAATACAGTCAAAATCGAGATTTTGATCGTAAAATCGTAGGATTTTAGAATTTTACTTAGTGATTTCGATCCTGATTTTACTATAAAATCGACGGATCTTAAAATCGGGATTAAAATCGTAAAATCGTACCAAAATTGGGATTTTGATCGTATGAGAACAAAATAGGTGGTTTGAGCCAATTTAAAAGAAGCATAACTGTTTCGGTGGAAAGGGCAATGATTGGAATCTTCTCAGATATTTTTTCTGTTAGAAAACTATTTAAAATAATAAAAATAATCAAATTACGGCTTGGTTAATCCCTTTCCCTTCACCTCATTTAACTTATTGGTAAAAAAATTGTCCTAATATTGGAAGTATGTAAGAATTAACATCATCATTAACTAATTAATTTATTAATGAATATATTTGTACCAAGCCACTTGCATTACTTATTTTAGTAGAGTTAAATTATTTTTAGTTTTAAATCATACCTAGTAGACGATGTCGGAATATTACTTTGAGTTAAACTATCTAGACACAACATGAAAACAAGAGCCAAACCTCATAAGCTCTATCCCTTCATCACGAATTATTTTGAGTTACACATTAAATTATAATTAAAATAGTGACTTTGGACCATTAATCTTGAGAATTATCTCCTATAAAAAAATCTTGAGAATTAACATTTTAAATGTTATGTGTCTTTGTGTTATTAATGATTTATATGATTAATATTATTATATGTTATGTTATATATGGTACTTAAAATCCTACGATTTTATGATTCAATTTTACGATTTCAATTTTATCACAATTTTCACTTTAGGTAATATTCCAATTTTGATTGCTTTGGTTATTATCACTAGGTTTGTTGATGTTGCCTTGCCACCATCTCTCATCATCTACACCTACCCTTACCCACCATATCATACTGAACTTTTTATAATTCTCACAAGACACAAATTGCCTCTTGGAAACACAAACATAGGAAAAGCAAAAACATTTCACAAAGGATAATCCCCATAAATAGAGATGGCAATGGGTCGGGTTGGGGATGGATAGTATATCCGTTACCCTACTCAAAATAGTTCGGGTTTTACCCATACCTATATCCATATGTAAAATAGGTAAAAAATAAAAATCATGCCCATACGGCCATACCCGTTCGGGTTTCGGGTGTCCACGGTTATCCATGGATAATAATTCTCTTCATAACTCTGACAAATATGTTAACATTCACACGTATTCTCATATTACGTAAGAGGAAAAGTACGACAATAATTCACTAAAATTAAGAAAATTAATTAAAAAACAAAATTTCATGAAAATATTATATTTATATGCTAAACTAAATATAAAATATGTTAGAGAAAAATAATGATTATTTCTAGACAAAATACATGTGCATGTGTATACTCGGACGGGTTTGGGTTGAATAGTGAGAAACCCATGCCCACCCATTACACACAATTTTTGGGTTCGGGTTTAATCCGTACCCACTAAATATCATTCGGGTTTGAGTTTTACCCTACCCGATTAAACCGGATTCAAGCGGACATCCACAATTACGGATATTTTTGTCATCCTACCCATAAGTAGGATTTTTTATTAGTTAGATTTTTTATTTATTTTGAGCTCCCTATTTAATGGTGGTCCACTCCCAATATAGAACCTTTGGTAGACATGGTTCAGGATCAGGTCAGGGCCAATCCATTGGAATTTACCACTTTACCCCTCAAATCCCAACCAAATTCTTTGGCGGTTTGTTGCCCTAGAAAGGCTTAGATAACCCATAAGTAAGGGCTAAGCATGCTATTAGATCCAATGGAAATGGATCTAATTAATGGGGTCTCTCACTATTTTCCTGCGCCATTTAATTAACGGGTAATTTGCTTCATGGATTTGAAAAATGAGGGTTTTGGTAAAACTTGGGTTTTGGAAAACCATGGATATATGATGGATTTGGTGGCATTATGGATTTGAACAAGTCTATTGTTTGCTTGATGGATTTGATTATGGATTTTGTTTGATTAGATTTGTGGATATTAAATACAAATTACCTAGTTACCCTTATTTAATTGTATTTCTATATTATAATCCAAATATTTCATTTAAAACTAATCCAAAACATAGAAAAAAATTTTAAACTCTTTACCACTTTGTGGATTAATAATTCAACTACAAATATAGAAATGTATTACAATTTGGCACTAATTAACAAGTCATCTAATAATGTACGCAATATTATGTATCAATTGCAGCCAATTGCTCGCTTTATTGCTACAACTCATCATCTTCTTGCTAACTCACCGATGTGGAATCCGACAATCATAGTTAGTAAATACTCCGTTTAATACACGTATATGTACCCGTACGTACTTTATTCGTTTAAACTTCCGTATCCATATTTTTGTTAAGCCATTTCATTTTTGTCCGTTCATTTGGTGGCTCTCGTACTAAACACGTATAAAATCCGTATAACACGTTTTATATCCGTATTTAATAAAATAAATTGTTAACTTTACTATTATTTATATATTTATTTATTTTAAAAAATAATTTATTATATATATTTATGACTATTAACGTACTATTAAACGTAACATTAGCTTAGAAATGATGTAAAATACCCGTACGTATTATATTCGTAACTTTCCCGTACCGTATTTTACTAACTTTCTAGGTGAATCTAACAAATCACATATACATTCATATTTAAATAAAATACGATATTACAAAATGAAATGATAAATACTCATATTTATAAAATACGAAATTATAAAAGTTTACAGTTGCATGACCATTGAATTAAAGTAGGACAAATTTGCAATTAAAGAAATAATTAAGGGTAGAAAGGTAATTTACCATCATGGATTTTAATCCATCACCCAAATTCCACCTCAAGAGGTGGAACTTCCAAGTCCGTGGGGTCCACGGATTTGGAACCCCAAAATAGGTGGGCCCCACAAATTCCATATCCCTAATTCCCTAAGGCAAACGATGGATTTCGGTTCAAGTCCATGATGAATATATTTCCATGACCAAATCCATCGCCAAAACCATCAAGCAAACGAACCGTAAATACCTATAAAGCTTCGGTCTTTGACTTCCATCATCCGTTTGAGAAAACCTCCCCAGCGCCTATTGTCAGCCCTCAGAGCTCGGGTGAAAACAGCTCGTTTCATAGTCAATAGGGGAGAAACCCAGAAGAAAGATTTGTTGCTCTGCTTTCCAAACACAAGAGACCAGAGGAAAAAGTTGCGAACTTTTCCTATCTGATTAAAGAAGAAAAGAGAAAGATTGTTGGACTCTCGTTGGCCGGGGAATGAATGGCTGCTCCGTTGACCATGTGGGACGGCGTTCTGGAGATAACCCAGATGGCGCAAGCCAAGGTCGGCGATCCTCTGCTATGGGCTCTGCAAATATCTTCCAATTTGAGCTCCTGTGGCATCTCCTTGCCTTCCCCTGAGCTCGCCAATGTGTTGGTTTCTTACATTTGTTGGGACAACAACGTTCCCATTATGTGGAAGTTCCTCGAGAAGGCTTTGGTTCTCAAGATTGTTCCTCCATACTTGATTCTTGCTCTGCTCTCGGATAGGTTCGAGTTTTCCCATCTTCCTATGCTCTGTTCTTATAAGCTCCCTCCCTTTTACCTTGTAGAGTGTATACTTTTCGTCTGTTTTTGAGGTTGTGGGAATTGATAAGTGTACACTTCGTCCAAAATTTGGCTGAAAGTAGCAACTTTCGGGGCCATATTTGGATTAATTCACGACGATAAATGCAACAGCTTTATGCCTGATTTGTACATAGTGCTCTGTTACGTAGCTATCTCTGGGTTCTCTACTTCTCTATGATCAATTTGCTTCCCTGAACATGTCTCCAGTGTTAAATTCTGTTTGTCTTGTCAATTTAACTTGTTGAAAATTTCCTTCCCCGGGGTTAACACAAAACTGCAGTTGAAGTAGTTGAGATGGGTTTATGGTTAGAAAATGGGCTTACTATTCTTATTTCAAGGGTTATCCCCCAAGATGGTAGGTTAAATGTTTGAGGAAATGCATACTTGTTTGTTTCTATGTATGCATAATGCAATGCTTATGAAATGAGAACAATTTTTGTGGTGTTTTTTTATCGCTCCAACAGAGTTATTCCATGCCGACGCTCAAAGCCGGTGGCGTATAGACTATACATGGAGCTCCTGAGAAGGCATTCTTTTGAGCTGAAGGGTCAAATAAATGGCCCAAATCATGAGAAGTAAGTTCGACAGGATTTTCCTTGTACGGCTTTTCTACCTCTTATAAGCAATGCTGCATTCTAGAGTTTATGGAATTTCCTTCTTCTTTCTTCTCCCAAGTGCCTAATGAATCATGTTATATGTAATGGTGGGGACTAGTTTTTTACTGTTAGTTTGGAGTTTTCATTCAAAATCATTGTGCCTCCATACAGGGTCATGAAATCGATAGATGGAGTTCTTCACCTTTCCGAGATTTTTGGTCTAGAAGCAAGTGATCCGGGGATCCTTGTGGTTGAGTTCCTCTATGCAACTGTGTGGCAGTTGCTAGATGCGTCTTTGGATGATGAAGGATTGCTTGAACTTACATCAGATAAAAAGTCCATGTGGCCAATAAAGCCTCAAGATATGGAAATAGATGGTCATGAAATTTTTGATGAGATAAGAATGGCACACAATGAGAAGTTGCATAACTTGAATACAGTCATGGCAGTTGAGTTGATCGGAAGATTTCTTCAGGACAAAAAGACTTCCAAGATTCTTTACCTGGCACGTCACAACTTGTATGTATATATCTGGTTTGTGTTTAGAAAAATGTTCAACCCTCTTGATAAGTGTTGTCTTATGCATATTGATACTTTGTAGGCCCGCTCATTGGCCAAGATTTATTGAGAGATTGCAGCTACTTGGAGCAAATGCATCCGCTCTAAAGAGTTCGAAAGTTTTAACTTCAGAGGATCTTTTGCGTCTGGCTTCAGATAAGTGCACGGTTCTCACTCATGAACCAAAACAGAACTTGCTGCAGAATTTCCATGCTGTTACTGGTTTAATGTCTCCGCTAGTGACATCCTCTGCTGTTCTGAGCGATGGAGGCAGCAGTATTTCTTCTCTTTGGCTTCCTCTTGATCTTGCACTGGAAGATGCCATGGATGGTTATCAAGTCAATGCTACAAGTTCTATTGAGATTGTAACAGGTAAGCCAGGTTTCCCTTCTAGTGAGCAATTTGATTTATCTCTCTCACTACGGAATTATTGGCAATTGGATGGTCAAGGTTGATTTCTCATCTTTTAGGTTTGGTGAAATCGCTTCAAGCTATGAATGGCACCACATGGCATGATACCTTTGTAGGACTTTGGATTGCTGCTCTCCGCCTTGTTCAGAGGGTTAGAACTCCAAGAAAACTTCATTCCTTTATATTGGTTTATTTAGAGGCAAAGTTTCACTTTGCTGAACAATTACGAGTGATGATTATCCATCGAGTTTCTTCATGTTTCTCTCAGATACTCAACACTAAATGATTCTTAATTTGTCAGGAAAGGGATCCAATTGAAGGTCCCGTTCCTCGCTTGGATACACGTTTGTGCATGCTTCTATCCATTATACCTCTTGTGGTTGCTGAGCTCATTGAGGAAGAGAAAAGTGTGGATATCAATGAACTGAAAAATGATTCCTCAAAGGTTCCAGGAAGCCGTCGCAATGATGTGGTCTCCAGCATAAAGTTATTGGGTGACTACCACAGTTTGCTGAGTCCACCTCATTCAGTTTTGTCACTGGCCAATCAGGCTGCTGCGAAGGCTATGTTACTCGTTTCAGGCATCAGTGTTGGGAGTGCATACCTTGATTGTCTCAGCATGAATGAGATGCCTGTCAAGTGTTGTAAGTTGTTTGTACTCTTGTACCGTTTCAAGTCGAGTTCTCTGGCCTATTTTCAGGTTCTCAGTCTAATTTAGGTTATAGGAAGCTCATAAAACTTGTTTCCATTTGCCTTTCAGCTGGAAACATGCGCCATCTGCTTGTTGAGGCTTGTATAGCAAGAAATCTGTTGGATACATCAGCATATTTTTGGCCTGGGTATGTGAATGGTCACATTAACCATATACCTAATGCCCCACCTCAGATGCCTGGTTGGTCTGCATTCTTGAAGGGTGCCCCTCTTACTCCAATCATGATCAATGCTATGGTTTCAACACCAGCTTCAAGGTATAATAACATCCCTCCTGAATTGTTTGCTATAAGTGTCTGCTCTCAAGATGCTCTCATAAAAAATTCTCAAGCCTTATTGATATGACATCTCTCGCATAGGAGCCCAATTTCATAGAATCTCATTGTGTAAATCTCTGTAAGAAACCCTAGTTGTCCTTAAAAGTTTAGTGGTGCTAGCCTGGTCGTCAGTTATTCCTTTTGCTTTCCTGAAGCCAGGTATATCAGACGATCTTTCTGTTAATTTTTACAAAGGGTAAAGCAACTGAATTTAAGCTCATGGATTTTATGGAAGTTTAGCAGAGCTGGAGAAAGTATTTGAGCTAGCAGTTAAAGGATCAGACGATGAGAAGATTTCAGCTGCTACTATTCTCTGTGGTGCTTCTCTTCTTCGTGGTTGGAACATACAGGTACTTTATGCATCCTCTTTTTTGTTTGCAAGACTTCTTCTGGCTGATTATCTCTTGTCCAAGTTTTGTGCCCCTTTTTCTCTTGCTTGTCCTTATTTTCGATCACAATTTGGAAGGTGAACGAGTTTCATTACGTACGCTGCTGTCTCTGAATTTGATGCAGGAATACACTGCTCAGTTCATTACCAGATTACTCTCTCCCCCTATGCCTGCAGATTATTCAGGGGATGAAAGCCATTTGATAAGCATTGCTCTTATCTTGAATGTACTAATTGTTGGCATAGCACCAGTTGATTGTGTTCAGGTTTTCTCGCTACATGGCTTGGTAAGATTCTGTGCATTAAACACTTTGTCCTGCCTTTTAGTAAACCTTCTCTATTTTGCGTGCTTTACTGAGTCTGTTGATACTGATATGTGTTTCTTTGTCAAAATTCCTCTTTTCTCCCTTCCCTATCACTTACCTTGGTTTCCAGCAGTTGGTGACCGTTTATTGTGCAAAGCTCATGCGAGCTCTAACGTAAATTGAGTCACCAAAAGACCCACACTTTATGAAAGAATTGCTGAAATTTGGATGGAATGGCATGTTTGATAACTTTCCATAGTATAAAGGCCTGGAGACTGGAAATACCAAATTTTAGAAATAATGCATGTTTGATTTCTTTTCACAGCACAGGAGCGTAAAGTGTCATTAACCCAAAAATACTTTCTACAATTTTCACCATTAAAGATTGAATAGGGTATAGGAACAACGTGGACATCTCAGTGTCAAATCGTTTCTGTAAAAAAACTGGATAAAGATGCAATGCCATTTCTTAGTAAAGCAACTCAACTGAGTTTGTCTTTCCTTTGACTTGTCAGATTCCACAGCTCGCTTGCTCATTGATGCCAATCTGCGAGGTTTTCGGATCATGTGTTCCGGATGTGTCATGGAAGCTCCCCACTGGAGATGAAATCTCTGCCCATGCTGTGTTCTCAAATGCATTTGCTGTTCTTTTGAAGCTATGGAGATTCAACCATCCCCCTCTCGAACATGGCGTTGGAGATGTCCCAACAGTCGGATCTCAGCTAACTCCTGAATATCTTCTGCTGGTAAGAAACTCCTACCTTCCCTCCTCTGGAATAGTCCTCAACGATCAAACCAAACGGAGACTTTCAGAGGTGGCGACTTCATCTTCTCCACACCCAGTGTTTTTGGATTCATTTCCAAAACTCAAGTGCTGGTATAGGCAACACCAGAAGTGCATAGCTTCAGCCCTCTCTGGTCTTGTTGAGGGAACTCCAGTTCACCAGACTGTGAATCTCCTTCTTACCATGATGTTCAGAAAAATGAATAGAGGTAGCCAGTCGGTCACTACTATTAACTCCGGAAGTAGTAGCTCATCTGGACCAGGAAATGATGATTCTTCTCTTAGACCTAACTTGCCTGCCTGGGAAATCTTAGAAGCCGTCCCTTTTGCGGTTGATGCTGCTTTAACAGCTTGTGCTCATGGAAGACTTTATCCTCGTGAACTCGCCACAGGTCAGTGTAACTGAAGCATAGTTGGAAAGCTGTGAATATGAAAAGCTCTAATTTTTTTTTATCTTTTTTGCATCTGGACGGGTGATCAACTGAAATGCTTTTTGAACTCTCAGGGCTGAAAAACTTAGCAGATTTTCTCCCTGCATGTTTGGCAACCATTGTTAGTTACTTCTCAGCTGAAGTAAGTCGAGGTGTTTGGAAACCGGCATTCATGAATGGCACAGATTGGCCAAGTCCTGCAGCAAGTTTGTCCAATGTTGAAGACAAGATCAAGAAAATCTTAGCAGCTACTGGCGTCGATATTCCTAGCCTTGCAGCAGGTTTGTTTCTTGCTCCCTCGAGATTGCATTCAATTTATCAAATATATCGTTCTTTTGACACTTTTGATGTATGTTACATTCAAAACTGTGCACGCAATTTCAAATACACTAAATCGATATAATCCTCAAATACTTGAGGTGTAAGAAGTATTCACAAATGCACTTCAGAAAAGTCAGTTCCACGTCTTTTTTCCTCTTTTCTGAGGCATTGAATCGAACAATATTTCTTCGGTAAATAAAAAAATCGTACAATGTTTTTTGCTTGTACACCTAACATACTAAGATGCAAGATGAACATGTAGCTGGGATAAATACATAGTTTACAACCATACCAACCAAAAATATCCCGTAATCAGAAGACACATTGCCAACTTGAACTGAAGTTTTGATAATCCACAGGGGAAAGCTCACCCGCAGCAACTCTTCCACTGCCTCTAGCAGCTTTTGCCAGCCTCACCATCACTTACAAAATCGACAAAACCTCAGAAAGATTCCTCAATTTGGCTGGTCCAGCACTAGAATCTCTGGCAGCAGGGTGCCCCTGGCCATGCATGCCAATCGTGGCTTCCTTATGGACCCAGAAGGCCAAACGATGGTTTGATTTTCTTGTATTCTCAGCATCACGAACGGTGTTCCTCCATAGCAATGATGCAGTTTTCCAGCTCCTCAAAAGCTGCTTTGCTGCTACGCTCAGCGGTGCATCCATCTCAAGCAATGGTGGAGTTGGAGCACTTCTTGGTCATGGCTTTGGCTCTCATTTCTGTGGTGGCATATCCCCAGTAGCTCCAGGAATCCTCTACTTGAGAGTCTACCATTCGATCAGAGACATTGAGTTCATCACAGAAGAGATCATCTCTCTCATGATGCACTCCGTGACACAAGTTGCATGCACCGGGCTTCCAAAAGAGACATTAGGGAAGCTGAAGAGGACCAGAAATGGACTTCAGTGTGGCCAAGTGTCACTTGCTGCAGCAATGACAAGAGTCAAACTTGCAGCTTCACTTGGAGCATCTCTAGTTTGTTTATCTGGTGGGCTAGGGTTGGTTCAACTACTGTTCAAAGAGACCTTGCCCTCTTGGTTTATTTCTAGTTATCGCTCCGAACAGGGAGAAGAAGATGGCGGCAGCCTTGGAGGGATGGTTGCTATGCTGAGAGGGTATGCACTAGCGTATTTCGCTGTGCTCTGTGGAGCTTTTGCTTGGGGGATAGATAACTCATGCTTGGCTTCCAAGAGGCGCCCTAAAGTCCTGAGGGCTCACATGGAGTTTCTGGCTAGTGCCCTTGATGGCAAAATCTCTCTTGGCTGTGACAGTGCAACTTGGAAGTCGTATGTGTCGGGTTTCGTGAGCCTGATGGTGGGGTGCACACCTCCATGGGTGCTTGACTTGGAGCCCAATGTTCTAATACGACTTAGCAAAGGTTTGAGACAGTGGAATGAAGAGGAACTTGCTCTAGCTTTGCTTGGCTCTGGTGGGGTGAACACCATGGGTACTGCTGCTGAATTGATATCTGAAATGCAATAATTTTCTATTATTTTTCTCCATTTTTCTTTTGAGTAACCTTCGTGCCAGTAGCCCGTTATTTTCCTTTTTTAACATGTCTTGCTGTAGGCAGTAAATCTTTATAGGTTTCATAGCAAATTTAACATAAGACATGCTGTAGTCAGGAATTTTGCACAGTAATCTTTGTACAGTCTTAGGTATGAGATTTTGTTCAAATACAAGTCCAATCGAGCAACAATGTTTTGGTGTTTGGTTCGGTATTTGTTTTGGTGCATTTGTATAATTGTATTGCAAATTTCCAATGAGATGTATTTGAAACCAATATAGTTTAGTTCAGTGCATTTATGATGAAAATACGATGTAATTGCTCAATCGCATGTTATTGCAAAATTTGATTTCCCAGATAAATCCAACCAAGCCAAACGACCTGCAAGTCAAATCCAAGGTGTTTATTGAACTGATAAAATCTTACAACAGCATCTCTCCATTCATGCGGATTCGTACATGACTATAGCTGTGTGCAGAAATCTGTTTCTGTGGACTATAATTAGAGGCAGGAGAGGTATCAATTACAAGAAGCAAAGCAATCAAACAACACCACTGTAGCCAGGCAATCTCAGCATTCTACTGCTTTGCATAGCTTGCCTAACCGAAAACGCATCTTCCCACTTCCCTGCATCTGCATACAGATTAGACAGAAGAACTCTACTGGCGCCATGGGATGGTTCAAGCCTCGCCAGATTCCCCGCAGCCCATTCTCCTACATCCACGTTGCCATGAGTCCTACAAGCAGCCAACAGCGTGCCCCATATCACCACATCGGCTTCCATTGGCATGCTCCTAATCAGTTTCTCTGCTTCTTCGAGCTGCCCGGATCTCCCCAGAAGATCCACCATACAGCCATAATGCTTGATATCGGGGCTCACATTATGGGCTGATTTCATACTCTCGAAGTATCTCTTCCCAAGCTCCATCATCCCAGTATGGCAGCAGGCGCTGAGAACCCCAATGAATGTAATTGCATTGAGCTGGATGCCTCGCATTTGCAAGTCGTAAAATATCTCGAGAGAGAGATTCGCATGACCATGCATGGCAAGAGCACATATGATGGCGTTCCAGGGTGAGACAGTGGCTGCTTTGTCACGGATTCGATGGAACACTTCCAACGCATTGGGTATGCTCCCACATTTCGCATACATGTCTATGATTGCAGCACTCAGATTGTCGTTAATAGGTATATAGCTATTGACTACGTATCGATGAGCCCAGATGCCTTCTTTCATAGTGCCTAAAGAAGCAATTGCCGAGAACACACTCACCATAGTCACCTCATTAGGTTGGATACCAGCTGCAACCATGTTATGGAATAACTCCAATGCCATGGTTGGCTGCTCGCTCTGTGCATAACCAGAGATCATTGTGCTCCAAGTGAAAACATCTCTTTCTGGCATTTCATTGAATAACTTAGCTGCTTGGTCAATCATCTGGACTCTCACGAAACCTGACAAGAGAGCATTCCATAACGCGACGTTTTTCTTAATTCCTTGATCAAACTGCAAACAAGCTTCCTTGATTCTGCCACAAGCTGCATAGAGATGGGTTACTGTTGCCTGGATAAAATCGTTGCAGTCGAAACCTTTCTTCACGAGGATCGCGTGTAGCTGCTGGCCCTCGCTGATTGCTAGTGCTTTCCTGCAAGCAGAAACCAGGTCGACCATCATAACATCACTAGCTTCTACACCAGAGGATACCATGGATCGGTACATCGAAAGAGCATCACTCAACATCTGTACTCGTATATAACCGTCAATGATGGTACCCCAAGATACAACATCCTTCTCTGGAACATTATCGAACACGTCTCGAGCCAGATGAATAACTCCAGCTTTAGCATATCCATTCAGCATTACGTTCCATGTGAAGATGTTTCTCACTGGCAGTTCATCGAACAATGCTCGGGCATCTGTTAAACTGGAACACAGGCAATACATGCGTAGCAAATTAGTGGAAACAAGGACCAGCTGATCGAATATCATCTTGATGACCAGCCCGTGAAGCATTCTACAGACTTTGATCCCGCCCAAGCTCGAACAAGCGGATATCAAGCTTGCCATCGTCACTTCATTCGGGAGCACCCCAGCACTTCTCATCTGTTTGTAAACCTCAAATGCCTCCCAAAAGAAGCCGCTTTGTGCAAAACCCATGATCATGGTCGTATATGAAACGCAGCCTCTTTTAGGCATTATATCAAACAGCTTGCGGGCTTCATTCAATTCCCCAGATTTCACATACCCTGCTATCATAATGTTATAGGAGACAGGATCCAGTTTCGCACACGAATCAAACATTGATTGCGCATCGCCCAAGCACCCACACTTGGCGTACATGTTGATCAAGCTGTTCTCCACGAAGTTGTTAGACTCCAAGCCGGATTTCATAACCAGGCCATGGATTCCCCTGCCTCGAGAAACATCCAAATTGATACAACATAACTTCAGAGCAGAGACCAAAGCAAGCTCGTGATTGGAGGCTTGATGGTCGTCTCTGGAACTGGAACCAGCTCCATATCGGAGACCGTGAATTGAACTGCGGATGAAGATAGTTCCGGAGGCAAAACATTGTAGAGCAGGCAAACAAGAGCTCGTGAGGCGACGTAGAAAAGCAGGTTTGCAAGACGAGAGGATCATGAGACTGCAACATGAGAAATTTGACTACCCAAATCGCTATCTTCCAGGCCAAAGAGATAAGTGAGCCATTTATTAAGGGCCGCAATGTTTGAAGCTTGAACTTCTCGGAGTTGCCATTACTGCGGAACATTACAATGAAAATTTAACCGTACCTGACAAGCAAGCGGAAAATTTGAACTTCTGATTCAGAACAAGCTGTATATGGAATTTATGATGATGAAGCATAGTTTATTTTATTCCCATTGACAATGCTATATGGATCCAGTTCCAGAATTGAATGACCAAGTCTATAAAGTTTGTATCTTTTCTATCCAGAAACAAGAGAAATGTCTTCAAGAGCAGGCGGGAAAAGAAAATAGTATACTGAGATTCATCGGGTAGATCTTGAAGCATTCTCTTGTTCTAGAGTTGTATAGTCTATGTAAGAGATAGCAAAGAACTGGATTCCTAGAATCTAAACCAGGGGTATAATAGGAAGAGGAGGAGCCTGCTCTTCATCCGAATCACCGCCATCTGTCAGCGATGGAGATCCCTGTTTGCTGCACTCACGTTAGCCAGAGCCCTGCAACAGGTCCCAAAGCAGAGTGACTTATAAGTGTCATGTTGTGAGAAAACGCAGTTGAATGATTAGGCTAATATATTGTCATGAAATGGAAGCTTAATGATGTAGCGTTAATCAACAACAAGAAGTTTTGCCAATTAGTTGCTACTTTATACAATCAAAAGATTGTCTCTTTGGGGACATTCGACATACAATTAAAAGATCATGCACAAACATCAGAAATTTCAAGTTTGGCTTGAACATTCGAAGCATGCAGTGATCATGTCATGGCATCAGAGATTTCAGAAGTACTTGAGGTTCCTAGGGGAATTTACATATGTTTGACCACTGGATGTTGACAAAATCAATCAAATAGCAAAGGAATTTCCCTCAAACATACGACTCTAGTAAGAAATGCTTCCATATGTACTAGCAAATCTAACACATCGATAGAACACATATTGCTTGATGTCGAATTTTCTGAAATAGGGCATCTTCCTATCAACAGTCAATCCAAGGGGATGAATCAGAGGCGGATAAGGCAAATCTACCAGGTAGGGTGTTCCGCCTCTTCGCAATTTCAAGGTACTCGGGATAAACAAGGGAGAATAGAATAAAGGCTGGATGAGTGCCTGAATGTGTGCACTACTTCATATTAGCCAACCAGTCAACTAATTTCGTCATTGGGCCATTGGCCTAGTGCCAAACACACTTACTCTGAAGTAAACTCCACCATACTATCCCAGCCAGTATATATCATTGAAATTTTAGCTGTTCTCAAAATGAGCGGTCAAAGAAATCAACAATAACAATAATTACGAGCAGGGTGGTTATGCAAACAGCAAAGAGCTGCTTGGCCGCCTAATGCTAAATTCAGTAGATATAGATGCCGCAGAAACTTTACCTGAGCACTCAGTAAGAGACTCATTAGTGCCGCTTAATTCTCTAAACTAATAAAGCAAAACAAGAATCTGCATAACTGGTGAAGTTCATTGCAAACAGAGCATTCAACTGATTACCGCTCTTGGGTAGCAAAAAAGAAGGCGCTGATAACCAACACTACACGAAGCAGTATCACTGGTATGCCTTGAACATTGATTATACTAGGAGAACCAAGTTCATTCTTTCTCAACAAGACAACAAAGTTGCATCTCATGCCATCAAAACCACTACTGGGTTCCACACAATTCATCCTTCCTGAAAGCATCCAGTGCCATTAGGAGTTTTCAATTCATCTGTGCTCTCTTAGGAAACATCAAATTGGTGAAGTTTCCCTGAGAAACAATCAATATTCTAGAGCAAAGCAAGTGTATAACACACTGATAGAGCACAAGTTTGGACAGGACAATTACTAACCCATGAAAAAACGAAAGCTTTTCAGAGTCGCTATCCAGAGCCTCAAAAGCTTGATCATTCTAAAGAAAGAGGGAAGAAAACAGCATAACTTCCACACCCATGGTGGACTGGGCAAGAGTTAAGATTTTATTCTAGCTAAGCTCTTGCCATGAACAAGCAGCATTCAGCAATATCATCTTGCAACTGCATGACTTGTTAGCATGTTCAAACGATGTTTTGATTTCTGCCCAATAGGAGCGACCTGTACAGAGTGTTTCCATCACTAACCAAGCTTGCAAACTAGAAGTAGTTCACAATGAGACCAAGAAGATGGTAGCAGAGGATCTCTAATAATATGAACATCTGCAACGAGTAAAATGTAAACCTTGACTACATCTCTCGTTACGTCGAAAATAGTTCTCTAAATCCTCAGGAAAGTCAAGTCAAGAGACATGGAAGCAACCCAAATGGGAGGAGGAAAAGAAGCAGACTTCTACCACTGTTTGGCTGCAAATGGCCAACCAGAGAAGCATGAATGAAGCCCATCACCAAGCATGACCGCAATATGAAAAATTGGCATCGCCCTCAGAATTCAATCCAACTCAATCACCAATGACTCTCAGATGACGGCAGTCATAACTGCAATTGCCCAAATCTTAGAACTAGGGTTTTCATGCGATCAAATTATCCACACCCAATCACTAAAATTTCCCCATTAGAGGAACCAAACGAAACAACAAATTCGAAACCCATCGAATCCAATCAACAAACGATCTGATTGAAAGGAGGGGAGCAATCCAATCCAATCCACAGACAGGAAAGTAACTCACTTTTTATGCCGCCGGCCTCGCTTAGGTCCCCAGCCTTCCAATTTAGCGACGGGGCATCCACACCTAGCCCTGAAGAGCAAAACCGCCCTGCCATTAGGGGGAGCCATCTTCCTGAGCTCAGCCCTCAAGCACTCATAATCCGGGTTCGTCTCATTCCCACCTTTCCACGGCAACTTATCGATCTCCTTGGCGCCATTGGATTTCACACAATCCTCGGTCTGCAGCTGCAAATCGAACTCCATCGCCTTCTTCAGCCCTTTGCATCGCGGCCTGTCGCACTTTCGAGATCTCGGCCCGCAGCAGAACTCGAGGAAGAGGACCGAGAAAAGGAAAAAGGCGAGGAACCCACAGACGTAGGACGCCGGCGGGAGCTGGATTGAGACCTGGATTGACGAATGGGATAGGAGGAGGGAGACGGAGTTGAAGATGTAGGAGAAGTAAGATGTGATGAGGAAAGTGCCGGCGAAGAGGACTAGGATCAGGATTAGGAGGTCGAGAGTCGCCGATGGAGAGTGCTTGCAGAGAAGAACGGATGACGAGGAAGAGAGGGAAGTCTGCGATGCAGTAGGGTTTGGGAAGGCAGAGGATTTGGAGGGTTTTGATAAGGAAGATGGAGAAGAGGAAGCGGGCATGGCGTAGAGGAGATTGTGCATGTTAATCAGAGTAGAGAAGAGAAACGGAAAAGGGGCAAAAAATTGGAGAGGAGGATGAAAAGATTGAAAGGAAAAAAGAAAGAGAGAAAAAAAAAACAGAGTCACAGTTTTATTGAATTCCCTTTAATTGACGGGACGGAGGACGGTGGTGGCGGCGAAGGGAAGGAAGAGGCAAAGAGGCGGTGTATCACACGCGCCTCCAGATGAGAGGTAGCGTGACAAATGTGATGGCCTGCAACTCTGCTTGGTGTGTCAAACAAGGGGAAAGAAAATAAAAATAAATAAGAAAGGGAAATAGTAATTTTGGTTTTTGTCTTGTTGTTTTTATTTTGATTGTTTGCTTAGTTTGTGAAATATTGGGAGGAAAATAGGAAAAAGAGTGAATTAATGGGAAATGAACGAAAAGGACAAAAGAAATTTAGAGCCGATGTGATGACGTGAGGGGGAAAGAGTTCGTGGATTTATAGCCGACAGTGACGATTGTGTTTTATCATTTTGTGGTTGTTCCTTTGTTGTGCATTTCGCAAGTATTTGAGAAAATGGAATTTCCACCGTATTTCTATGAAAATAAGGCCAAAAGCCCCTTATCGGATTTGAACCGATGACTTACGCCTTACCATGGCGTTACTCTACCACTGAGTTAAAAGGGCCTATTTAATTTACTTCAATTTCTGAATGAATCCCTATCCGCCTAAAAAAGAATATATCTACGGAAATAAATTATAAATCAAATATATGGAAAGTAAATAGATTCGAATAGAATTCGAATTTAGACTAGACCCCCTAGGTAACTCCAATTTATCGTTTATGAATGAACTACTCGGAGAGGTCTAGTCTAAATTCGGGAATAAACTAGTAAATAGAATAGAATCAATCATGATAATTGTATTCTCTTTGCATGGTGAGATCAAAATCGTAATTGATGAATGAATTATTGTTCAAAAGGTTATTAGACATGTTGGAAGACCCAAATATTCATTGGAATGGGAATGTTAGGGAAACTGAATTTGATGATTTTGGGATTTTATGTTTTGTGTCTTCACATTCTATTCTATAACGGATTGAATTTGATTTATGTTTTGTGTTGTGCTTACTGCGTATATATTTTTTTTTTTTTTTTTTTGTTATTTGTTATATTGAGATTCGTACATGTTATTTTTTAATTTTTTTTTTTTGTAATTTAACAATATAATTTATTTTGAGATATTTTACACGTTTTTCAAAATAAATAATATTTACTTTCCATAATTTCGATATTGGGTAGAGCCGTAGAGGAAGGAGAAAAGGGCTTTAAGCCCATCGGTGAGAAAAGTATATGAAGGGAGAAATAGCCCACAAGAGTTATTCAAAACTAATCAATAGTATCCTCGGATTGGGCCTAAACCTGTGGGCCAGAAGAAAAGGAAAGAAAGAAGCAGGCTGGGCTTCCACCGCTGCCCTTTGCGGGCTTAGGCAACAATTAAAAGGGAAATAAAAGCAAAGAAAAACCTGCCCGCCCCCTGCGTGGTGTTAAATAGGCAAAGAGGAAATAGATTAGCGTGACTAGGGGTTTAGCCGGATTTGGGTTGACATATTTTTGAAAAATGTATGAAATTTTTTATCATCGTACTTCTCTCATATCATATCATGATACAATGGTACGAAGAAAATCCTAGATGAACACCACTTCACTATTTCTCGATTCTACAAAGGAATAATTGTGTCAGATCTCGATTTATGGTAATAATAACTTATTTGGAGTAAATATTAACGAGAAAGCCTTACATAAACCCAATACTATTAGTCACTAGAAAAAAAATAGAGACATATAAATTTGCCTTTAAAACTTTGAATTTGACAAATAGTAATTATATGTTGCGTGATAATGAGGAAGAAAGAACAAATTTTTTTTATGGTTACAAATAATTATTTGCCTCTAAAAGTCCATCAACAAAACTTTAGAGGACAATCATTATAAATCTGGTTTTAAAGTTTAGAATTCATTAAAACTAAATTTTAATATCTAAAATGGATAATATTATTAGAGGCCGATGATAATACTTGTAAAGGCAAAATTTATATGTTTTGCACTTTTGCTTATGGGGTACTATGTAATAATATTTATAGAGACACATCTTATATTTATCGTGTAAATATATATTTAGAGGCTGATATTATATCTACCTCCAAAATTTTGCCAGCCAATTTTCCTGTAAAATGCTTCAAACTTTATATATATGTGAAAAATATTGAGGAGCTAATGATTTGGGTGATTCTATTTTGTAGTTAATCGCAACCAAGCCGCAATTGCTAACCACTGCAATGTGGTTAGTATATTTAGACATTTGGGTTTGTGATTAATCTCAAAATATGCTTGTGAGAAAACAACAATGATATTGCAAAAGAACCCGCAAAAGGATCTTTGATGGCGCAAGGCTCTTTTATATACTTTGTCAACTTCAAGTAAGGAGACTCAGTTGTACAAATTACCTCAAGGTAACGGTAACAAACGAACAAAACTCTATCTACAAATATGAAAAGGACAAGTGTAATATCTACAGTGAAAACGGAAGACCCCTTTACACTAACTAATACGACTGCGTTCTACTCACCTCCTCTTGTTGCTTCTGAGGGAAACGTTGTCGTATCAGGGACTCCTTAGTGCATCAGGAGAAGGATGAGCTTCCTTCCTATAATCTATATCTGCATCTCCAATACCCTCCCTCAAGCTGACACATACAGGTTTTGTATGTTCAGCTTGGACATCAGATAAAGGAGTCTGAATCGGCTGAGACCCTTTGTAAACAAATCTGCAATTTGGTTTTCAGTTTCCAAGTGGCTCAGACCTATCAGTTTAGATTGAAGGAACTGACGAACGATGTGACAGTCAATCTCAATGTGTTTCGTTCTTTCATGAAACACAGGATTTTCTGCGATTTAAATAGATGATCTTCTGTCATAGAAAAGATCAATAGGCCGAGGATGATCAATACTAAGTTCCTATAATAATCTTTTCACCCAAACAATCTCACACGTCAACTGAGCTAGAGCCCTATACTCAGCTTCAGAGGAATTTCTGGAAACGGTTCCTTGCTTTTTGGAAATCCATATAATCAATGCAGTTCCAAAGGTAATGCAATACCCAGTTGTAGAGCTTCTTGTGTCAGGGCAGGATGCTCAATCTGAGTCACTATACCCTCTAAGTTTCAAATCAGAGGAAGAAGGATAGAAGAGGCCCTGATCGGGTGCATTTTTTAGGTATTTTAGAACTCTGTAGGCCAACTGCATATGAGTGGTGGTTGGTGCAGCTTGGTACTGGCAAAGTTGTTGAACAGCAAAGGTAATCTCAGGTCTTGTGATGGTCAAGTAGTGTAAACGACCCACAATCCTTCTAAACAACCCAGAGTCATCCAAAAGAGGACCATCATCTGCTAAAAGACGAGTCTTCATGTCAATGGGAGTCACAACTGGCTTAGAATCAACAAATCCAGTATCAGTGTGGACTGAGGAGGTCAGTGCAATACTTCTTTTGGCATATATGTAATCCCTCCCAAAATCGTGCCATTTCCAGACTAAGGAAATAATGGAGATGGCCAAGATCCCGAAGCTTGAACTGATTACTCAAATGTGTTTTCAGGGCTTGCATACCCTCAACATCATCTCCAGCAATGATGATGTCATCAACATAAATAAGTAGAGCAGAAGTACCAGCAGAAGAATGATGAAGGAACAGTGAATAATCATTCTGAGACTGTGTATAACCAAAATCAAGCAACACTGAAGTAAGTTTGGCAAACCATTGCCTGGATGCCTGTTTTAGGCCATAAAGGGACTTGTTCAGTTTACAGACATAGCCAGGCTTTGAGATACCAGGGGGAAGTTCCATGTATACATCTTCCTCCAAGTCTCCATTGAGAAAAGATTTACTTACATCAAGGTGATACATGTCCCAATTCTTTGTTGTGGCTACTGACAACAAGGTCTTGATAGAGTTTAACTTAGCTACTGACTCACTCCTGCTGTCACTCTAGAAAATGGCCAAGTGTAACCACTTCCTAAAGCGTAGTATAGCGGGTTTGGGTTTTAATGTCAACCCGGGTCCTAGATGTGATGACTACTCAGCGAATTCTTATTATCTAGCAGTGAAAACTTTAGTGCAGGTTCAATTAAGCAAACAAGCAAAGCAATTAAACGGTTGTTTCAAGTCGAGAGAGGTCACCCGGATATGGTTCCCCCTAGACTGCAGTCAAGTCGGATTGCAATTTACCAAGTTCAGTTTTAATGATAGTTATACTGCGGGAGGTTCTTAAGCAGTCTGAAGTCTCGACTAAAGGTCTCCAGACCCTCTCAATCTGTGTCCCCAGCGGGCGACTAACCTCCACCGGAGTAAACAGATTGAGGCCCTAATGAACCAAACCTCCACTACCGAAGTAAACTCGGTACAGAATAGTGAATTGGCTCCTCGACTAAAGTCGCCAATTCACTACCTTCAATTAAGGGTGCTCTATCAACCTAGGCAGATATTCTCTTTCTAGGCTAAAGCAGAAATAACAGGAAATTTGATAAGGATTCAAGTCATTCAATCATTCAAGCCTCAATTGAATATAATCAAATCATAGAATCTGTACTTGGGTTCATACAATCAGACCTAACACACAAATCTAGGGTTCTCCATACCCATATGAATGGGAAAACTACTCCATGGAGAGAGAAGCAAAAGCAGATTCAGATGCGGAAACCATACTGTGAAGTATGGGTTTCTACTCCTGGTCGTCAATCGGCACTTCTCCAAGTGTGAGCTGATCTCCAATGGTGATGAAGATCAAGCTAGGGCACTTGGGAACTCTGGTTCGTCGCTTTCTCTCTCTAGGAATCGCTTTCTTTCTCTAAAACTCGGAACTCCCTTCTCCTTTGCTGAAAATTGGCTTAAAATCAGAAAATCCCGACTCACACGACCAGGCCACACGGTGACTCCCCCAGCTGCCCGTGTGGCTTTGCAAAACGCGGCGTTTCGTTAAGTGACTTCAGGCTTCCTACGCGGCCACGACCCACAAGGCCGTGTGGCTTCCCAGGGTGCCCGTGTGAGTTCCCTGGAATTTCCACACGGCCATCAGGGGTCCCCTACACGGTCGTGTGGCTTTTAGGCATGCCCGTGTGGCTTCTCAGCTTCTCGCCAAACGTCCAAACTTCGTCCAATCGACCCCGAACTCGTTCCTAAACCTTCATTCACGTACTAGGACCTGAAATATCACAAACAAGAACAACCTAGCGTGAAATCGGCCTAAAACGAGAGAATCGACATCTCAAACGGCTCAAGGATAGGGGTAAAAACATGTGTAATCAATGGTCTATCAGCTACTGGAGAATAGGTATCCAGAAAATTCACACCATAAATTTGTGTAAATCCCTTAGCCACCAACCTGGCTTTGTATCGTTCAATTGTACCATCTGCTTGATACTTGATATTGTAAACCCATATGTTGCTAATAACCTTTTGATGAGAAGGCTTGGGAACTAAATCCCAGGTGTGGTTAGCCTCCAGTTCTTCCAACTCTAAGTCCATGGCTCTTCTCCAATATTCTTCTTTAACGGCTTCTTCAAAAGAACCAGGAATGATAGTGGACTCCACTTCCAAAAACATACTTCCTGTAACTCTTGGACAATTGTTCATATGACAAGCAAGCAACCATTGGATATAAATTTTTGAATCAGTGGTTCCTAGGTGCATTACATAATCATTGTATCGAATAGGTTTGACAGGAACAGGAGGAGCTTTCCTAAGAGCAATTGGTTGAGGAGAAGAAGCTGGAGAAGGTGGAACTGGAATAGGAGAAACAGGCAAGGGAGAGGGAATAATTGGTTCTGTGTGAACAGGACTGGTAGGTGGTGAGGAAGGAGGAGTAGGAGATGGTGAGACCGATGGTTGGGGTTGTGCAAGAGGAACATCAGGTTCATGTGTAGTATCTTGTTCTAGAAAGGGGAAAAGATGAGAAAGTGAAGGAATCATGGGAATAAGAAGTGTATCTTATGAAGGTGTAGTGAAAGATTCAGATAGGCAAGGGATGATATATTCATGAAAGACAACATCCCTAGAAAGAAACACCTTCTCGTCTTGTAAGTCATATAACTTATAACATTCACACCCATAGGGTAGCCTAAGAACACACACTGTTTGGCCCTAGGTAAGAACTTAGTTATGTTGTGTCCCAAAGTGCTAGCATAGCATAGACAACCAAATACCCTTAGGTTTGATAAATCTGGTGTATGACCATACAAAACTTCATAGGGTGTCTTATTGGAAATGGCAACTGTAGGCAACCTATTAATGAGATAAACAGCATGTTGGATGAAATCTGACCAAACTTGAGTGGAAGACCAGATTGGAACTTTAAGGCTCTAGCTACATTTAGTATATGTTGGTGTTTTCTCTCCACTCGGGCGTTTTGTTGAGGTTTTTCAACACAATACATCTGGTGAATGATCCCATGTTGGGAATAGAATTCAGGTATGTGAAATTCAGCACCCTGATCAGACCTGGCAATCTTGACTTTCTTATCAAATTGTGTTTGAATCATAACACAAAAGTCTTGTAATAACTTTCTGACCTCACTTTTAAATTTCATAAAATAAGCCCAAACACACCTTGACTTGTCATCAACAATGGTAAGAAAATATTGAAATCCATTGTAACTAGAAACAGCAAGGGGACCCCAAATATCAACATGAATGAGTTCAAAAACACTCTTTGCCACAAACTGGCTTGAAGAAAAAGGAAGACGCTTCTGTTTGGAAAGGGGACACACTCCACAATGACTAACAGATTCAACAGCTATACTAGGTACAACTTTCTTCAATTCCTTAGTCCTATGCTCAGAGGGATGCCCAAGTCGCCAATGCCATAAATCGAAAGACTGTGGTGTAAGGTTGTGAGTCTTGAGGGAATTGACATGAATGGAATGGTCTTCTGTGGTAAAAGGTGTGAGTTGATAAAGGCCTTTAGTCTCTTGGGCAAAACCAATCATCTTCTTGGTTAGAAGGTCCTGGATATAACAAATGGTTGATTTGAAAGTGAGTGTGATAGGCAAAGATTGAGTGAGTTTACTAACTGAGATTAGATTAAAAGAAAAGGTTGGGACAAACAAAACACCATGAATGACAAGATTTGGTGTTAGCTTAACACTGCCTGAATGTGTGGCAGTTAGGGCTGCAAATAAGCCAAGCCGTTCGCGAGCAACTCGGCGTTCGAATCGAAAAAAACTCGTTCGACACTCGACTCGTTATTTAACAAGCCGGCTCGCGAGCCAACTCGTTAGTTAACGAGCCAAGCTTGAGCTAGACCATGCTCAGCTTGATAAGCTCGCGAGCTAGCTTGATTCGGTGGCTTGGTGAGCTAAGCTCGCGAGTTGCCTTGTTTAGAGCTTGTGGAAGGATGAATTACTCTTTTAAACATGAACATTGTCTTGTTAATACAAATGTGTATGAAATTTAGATGTTATTTATAGTTTTTAGTGTTCTTTCTATCATTTAAATTCTTATGTTTACACATTTTTCAAGCAAGAATGATTTTAAATCAAGCTCATCTTCAGTCGAGCTTGTACTTAGCTTGACAAGCTATGTTAATGAGCATTTATCGAGCTCTACCGAGTCGAGCTCGAGCTAGATTATTTTTATTCAAGCCGAGCTCGAGCTCGAGCTAGATTATTAAAATTCGAGTTCGAGCCGAGCTCGAGCTAAAAAATTAATAAACGAGCCGAGCTCAAACTAAGCAAAAACTCGACTCGACTCGGCTCGTTTGCAGCCCTAGTGGCAGTGGTTCTTGTTCCATTAGGTAAAGTAATGGACACATTCTGAATAGGTATGTGTCTAATGAAACTAGACAATGAGCAAGAAACATGATTTGTAGCACTAGTATCTATGAACCACACATCAATTAATTCCAATGGATGATGCTGGTAACATGAAGAGAGTGTGTATTTATCTGCAAAATTGGGATTTACAGACATATGCCTGCTCACAGAATTGACCATAGGCTGCTGTGATTGATGTGGTCCTACAAGGGCTGTTCCAGGAGATCCGGGTGAAGTAGGAGAACTGGGGGATCCAAACTGAGTAAGAATTCTCTGAAGCCTGCCAATGTCATCATTGGAGAGCCTGATGCTGGTGAAACCATCAGTGGTCTCAAGCGAGGTCCTAGTTTCTGGCTTTGAGAGAATCAATGCATTCAACATCGCAATTCTACCTAGAAGCGGTTGGGTGACCTAGAAGCGTAAAACCGTAAGTTTTTAAGTTTCAAAGCGTAGATTTTGACTATATTTGTAAGGTAAAATCATGATTCTACATATAAGCGTTTTACTAACCTAAAAAGGTAAAAGCGTAAGCTTTTAAGTTTTAAAGTGTGATTTTAACTGCATTGGGGAGAATACCTCCTCCTGACACCTTGTAACTGTCCTGCAAATCTTGATGAAGAACTTGTTTCCTTGTTCTTCCTTTTCAGCTTATAGCAATCAGAGATAACATGGTTATCCTTCTTACAGTATCTGCATAACAAGGTGCCCTGTGTTCCCTTAGCATTCTCCTTACCCTTAGCTTGATTGTTAGCTAAGAGGGCCACAGAGTCAACTTGAATTTTCTGTCCTGGCCTAGAGACCTGCCTTCATGCTGGATAGCATAGTGAAATGATGTCTCCATAGTTGGCAATGGAACCATCATTAACAGATTGGTCTTGACCCCTCCATATGCCTCATTCATATCAGTTATAAATCGAGTAACAAACTCATTCTCTCTATATTTCTTCACTGTGGTCTCAGTAACACAAGGAACATTCCTATCCCTATGTTCTCCTCCACATTTACAACTAGGGATTGGCAGAAATTGAACTAATTCTTCCCAGAAACCCTTCAACTCATAATAAAATTGATTGACAGGCTCATTACCTTGCTTAAGAGTATACACAGCTGTTTGGAGATCACTGATTATCAGCTTGACCATAGCGCTGTCTTAAATCATCCCAGAGAAGCTTGGCGTTGTCCTGAGAAGAAACATTGTTCACCAAGCTTGGGTCCAGAGACCCTAGAATCAGGAAGTAAATTGTTGTGTTGCTTTGTTCCCATGTTTGATAACTTGCATCCGTAGGATCCGGAACAGGATTACACCTAGTAATGAACCCCAGCTTGTTCTTGCTCTTCAGAGCAACCCGGACTGTCCTGCTCCATAGGTTGTAGTTTGTCGTTCCTGTGAGCTTGATGGGGAAGCTTAAAGCCTCATTAGGGTTTATGTAGAAAGGGTTTGTGACTGTAGTAAGAGGTGTAGTGACCACAGTGGTACTGGAGCTGGGATTGTAGATGCTTCAGTAGCCATGATCAAAGAAGGTAGGAAAACAGATATTAAGAGATAGAGAGAAAGAATGTGGGTATAGCGGAAGGTGAAACCCTAGTTCTTGGAATCAAACTCTGATACCATGTGAGAAAACAACGGTGGTATTGTGAAAGAACCCGCAAAGGGATCTTTGGTGGCTCAATGTCCTTTTATATACTCTGTCTACTTCTCAAGGAAGGAGACTCATCTGTACAAATTATCTCAGGGTAACGGTAACAAACGAACAAAACTCTATCTACAAATAAGAAAAGGATATAAGTGCAATATCTACAGTGAAAACGAAAGACCCTTTACACTAACTAATACGATTGCGTTCTACTCAACTCCTCTTGTTGCTTCTGAGGGAAACGTTGTCGTATCAGGAACTCCTTAGTGCATCAGGAGAATGATCAACTTCCTTCCTATAATCTGTATCTGCATCTCCAATAATGCTACCTCATAGCTTTTGGGTTTAAATATGGGATAAAAAGGATTTAAATATTCCACATTTTCTTTCTAGAACAGTGCCTTTAGATAACTATAAGGAGGAAGGATAATTATTCACTTCAACGCCCCATCACGTGGCCCTCAATCAGTCCCCCATCCACAATTACGCTACTGGCCCTCTGAAGCACACTATATAATATTTATTAACACAAATACTAATTATCATGATTAATACTAATTTCTCATTATCCCATTCTATACTAGAAATATATAATTTATAATGAAACTACTTGCCCCTTAATTAATACTGCATCAATTATATTTTACATAAAAATATGGTGACACTCGGGGTTGTAATGCTACTATATTAATACGACCCTGGTGTTTGTACCGTTACAAGTCAAGAACAAGAACAAGAGAGAGATCAAGAGAGAAAGAAAGGAAGACATGTCTCGTCTTGTGCTGAACTCCAACAACCTGTTCCTCCTGCCGGTCAGCGACCGCACGATCTGGGTGCTCGACCCGGAGTGGGAGCTCAACACCCAGACCATAACCAACGACATGGTGAACTGGAAGCACGCGGGTCGGGTCGGTAACAACTCCGCATCGACCCACCGCGAGCTCGAAGTGTTCGGTACGGTCATCGGCGGTTCGAAGCTGGAGGAGCTCTCCACGGAGCTCATCAACCTCCAGGCGGTGACCAACAGGGAAGGCTACACGGTCATGTACTTCAACGTCGGCGCCGGCGACATGTACCTCCGCGAGGGCAGGAGCCAGGTCCGCCGCCTCAACGACCTCTTCGACTGGTCCAAGTACGGTGTCAACGTCCCCACCCCGGTCGAGACCGTGTGGGACCGGTTCCAGCAGGTGGCGAACGGGAAGCTGATGGTGGACAACAAAGGGGCGGCGCAGAAGCAGAAGGAGTTGGAGGAGAAGGAGAAGGAGAGCGAGAGGGTCCAGGCCGAGAAGGACAAGCAGATCGATGAGCTGAAGAAGCAGGCCAAGGAGAAAGACGATCAGCTTGCCGCCAGAGATAAGCAGGTCGCCAGCCTCAAGAAAGCTCTCGAAGCTTTGCTCTAAACCAATTAAAACGTACGTTGTCAATTGTCGTTTCTGTTTCTCTGCATGCATGGATGCATGCATGCATCCACGTACTTTCCTCTCTACCTACGTAACGTACCCCTTGGATGCAGGTAGCATCGGCCGGTGTATGTTTCTTACGTGTCCCGTTCTTTCTCTCTTCCTTTCCGGCAGCCGGAAGTGCTACCTTTACGTTGTTGTGTGTTTTTATTTATTTATTTATTTATCACCATGTCGTATTGTCGTGTGTGTGACTTTATCTACACTAATTAATTGGTGTTATTAATTATTAATTAATAAAAAAGTGTTTGGTTTGGTATAGGGGTCGGCTCTGACTGGAATGGATGTCCTGAATAAAAGAAGATCAGTTGCTTGCTTGCTTTTGTGTCTATTGGAAATTTCGTCATTAGTTGGCCTTCCAAAAAGAAACAAACTGTTTCGACGCAAAATATAAGCTTTGGCTAATACTTCTATTGAACTTACAATGGATACATGCTTGTTTGTGGAACTTTCAGCAAAACTTCAAAGGCCTACGCAAATTATGATGGTATATTTGCAGTATGAGTGACTCATAATTCAATCCAACACAAAAGAACTGAACATATTGAGATTGACTGCTACTTCAGTACTCGGTAATAAGTTTCAAGCGAAGCAAAAGCTTTAAAAGTTCATCACATTTCAACCAAACTCCAACTAGCAGATCGACAGATCCGTTCATCAAAGCACTGTAAGATCACATCTTTTTACTAAGTTAATTTATTTGCTAAACATGAAGAATATCCATCCCTGAGCTTGCAGGTATTGAAGTATGTATGTTTTAGACTTCAATGTAAATATGTAAACTACATGGATTAAAGAGTAGTTGGACATGCACACAGATCGGTGGTTGTGGTGGTTAGGGCTATCAGCTATGTGTCTGGTGTATAAAGCCCTAAGTTGGCGGTTTTGTAGTTAACGGAATAAGAAGTAAAAACGTTGATCATTGTGGAGTGAAGTCTCTATAAAAGTCGAATCACGTTAAATCTCGTATTCCTTTTGGATTATGTTTGTTCGTTCTTCATTTCTAACAATAGGAAGCTGTCAGAGATCTTGATCAAACCACTGATGATCTTACCTTAAGTATTTGATAGAAATGTCTTCGCTAATACTTAATATTATCCTCTCTTTTTTTTCATAACCCACGTGGTTAATTATATCGAATGAATTAAGGTTCACGTGATTAATTATTAACCTTTTTCTTCTTTATAACATATTACTAATCTTAACCCTGGAATCTGGGGGTTGAGTGGGGACCGTGGTACAATAGGAATTGATTGGATGAGAATTTTTTTTTCATTTTGATTTGTTTGACCGTATAAGATTTGGATGAATATCATCGTTATAAAAAAAAATAGATGAAGCAATTTGGTATGGGAATTTCAGATTGGCAGCCTCTACTGTCGTCTCAACGAACTCTTCGACTGGTCCAACCACGTGGTCGTGGTTCCTATCCCGGTTCGAATCGAGTGGGACCGGTACGAGCTCGCCACGGGGAAGCTGATGGTGGAGACTGTGGGGTTGGCCCGGCTGAGGGAAGTGATAGAGGAGATG